CGCCCAATTCCGAGGACTGCTTTTTTTAGCCTATTTGCGGAAATGAAGACATTATTGGATATGGTCGACACCGCATGAATAGAATGATCATTGGCTATTTAATCATTGTCCTTCATTAAAAACGTTCACAGCTACGGCTAATGCTTTTGCTTGCAAGGTAAATTAAACACCAGTTACAATCGTACCATGAAATAGCCGAAAACAGTGGTTTTGGATGTTTTAAGGTGTGCCTGAGGCTTGTCGCCTTGCCCTATTTACAGCGTGATATGTTGTTATTTTGGCGTCACGGTTGATCGCTCGCTGAACGATATTGTTGGCGATTTGCCCGCTCGTTCTGACTGCCTGTATCTTCAATTCTCCATGCCCTCAACGAAAGTATAAAGAGTAATTGTGTATATACTGTATACTGTATATATATATATTGTGTATCTACGTAGGCCAAAGTGTAACCTGAAAATAGATTCAATGGCGATATTTGAAAGTTGTTCATAGTGGATTCTAGATAGCAGATGACAAAACTTCCATAATTTCATAAATTGGATTGTCTGAGATGTGACATATTGCTGAAATTTACGAAATCACGAGTTAAAATTCGAACACATATAAATCAGCGAATTTTAGGTCAAAATTTGAAAAAATTTTCACTAGTCTATGCGGAAAATTTGTATTTATCTTTTCAGGGAGTGGGTTTAAATTAATTATTTGTCATTTGACCCCAAAATTGAAAATTGTTCTATGTAGTTGTATTGAAATTTTAATATATTTGGATAGATTTCAATAAACAAAAACTAAAAATAGTTTTATAATTAAAATTCATTTAATAGTTTTCGAGAAAATTGGGTTCAAAATTTTTTTTTTATCGTTTTTTGGTTATAACTTTTGATATAATTAATAAAAAAACAAAAATGTTAATACCGTTCAGTTGGTATTTTAGAGACGCATTCGGCGATGTATTGTTCAATGATATTGGATGGCTAGAAAAATAATTCAAAATTTTGAAATTTCCAAATAAATGCAGTTCGGAAACATATGATCGCATATCGTCGTTACTAGGGTTTCATCGATTATTTTAATTTTTCGCCTTCGATATCGTTTTTTTTTGTTGTATTCAAATACATTTGAATATAATAAGTGCATTGCACGTGCTTTTCATCAACTTTAGGCAAAAATATCGAAAATATCGCTCGTTTATGGCGATGTTGTCAAAAACGCAATTTTCGCCGTAATTGTTAAGTTTTCTGGCGATAATATGTTGTATTAACAATCAAAAGCATTTATATGAGCAAGTTTTAACTGTACCTAGTATTATGGTACTTCACATCATTAAATTAAACCATCACCTGAATAACTAACCATTTTTTGAATAAATATAGTCACCATTTCGGAAACGAGAAGAAGAATCGGCGATGTATGAAAACTCAAATTCCCGCAGAATTAAATCCAATTGCCCGGTCTAGTAAAGCAAAGAACGTTTCCCATTTAATTCAATGTTTTGTGTTGTGATGACCGTGCTTAATCATATAATTAAAACTGGAGAACAAAGGGAATGAAAGTGGAAAACGAAATAACCCGGCATCGGCATGAGCGACCGAGACTTCCGATATAGAAAGTTTTTCTAATTCCTACATTTCCGCTAATCTAAGTAACAATTTGTATCCCATTTGTTAATTAGGAATACTGTCGCTAAAAGGATCACAGATGTTTCAAATATGCCACTGTTCGTTAAAATAGATTTTAGGGCTAATTAGCTCTTTGTAATCTGAATTTCAACTGCGCAGTGTTCGATTTCCGATTTTGAGATAATGTATTTTTCCGAGTGAGATGCGTCCAAAATAGCCAACAATGTACAAGAGGTTACCATAACTCATTTGCTTATTTGATAGTCGGAAATTAGTGACACCAGTTAATGTAATTAGTATTATGTATTTCCGACAATGTGAAAAATTATAGTGACGTCATACGGGTTTTTTGAGTGAAATTAATTTTGGCGTCATAGCAGAGATGTTCATGTGATATGATGTCATAAATTAATATAAAAAATTTCGCAAAATACGAAAATTGCCGTTGGACGGAAGATCCGTATGTTATTCACGCAAGTATACTGGATAATAAGTTGAATATAAAAAAAAAATAATAAACCGCGTCACCAGTAAACTTGAAGTCATAGTAGCTATTTCTATTTGTGCCAAGGGTGCAGGGACTTACCCAAATCTTACCCTCTTTGTAATTTTATGAAATCGCTCATCTGGGACTTCAAAGAGAGGGGCGTAGGAGTAATATTAAAACGTATCTGCGCATTTCTTGATATGTTCAATAAAGGTGATATGGCAATATTGTTAGCAACGCAATGCAGATCGTTGCTTTATATAGAAGTAAAATCGCCCAGCTTTACACGACCAATCCAGCTTTTCAACTGTTATAACGTCTCATGACCACCCCCCACCCCAAGATCAGTCTTTCAAAATCGGTAACAGCAAAATGACCTACGCTGACCATGCAGTTTATAGTGACTGTTTTGTACCATTGACCGAAAAACAATTCAACTCAGCGTTGTATTTTAACATCTCCGGCTAAAATAAGCACGGTGGTATACACCTGGTCACACATGATTTATTTCCAAAAAATTGTGTTCGAACAAAGTACATTTGCATGCGAAAAGTACATAGTAATCAAGAATATATATTACAATAACCGCTATATATCATGCATCAAACTTTTCTAATATTCCGTTGTCATCCATTCAATATCCAGAAACGTTATGGCGGTATTTAGAAGAATTTTTATAAAATAACCTATTTTTTTGCCAAAATAGGCATGGGTTTCAAAATCCGGTCAGTCCTATTTTAAGACATGAGAAACCCAATACACAGATTACAAAATTTGATTGGTGCGTGCGTCTCCTGCCGAAATTTTAATGAACTTATATTTATATTCATCGATTGTAATAGATAACCTTTTCTAGTGCACAATAGTTCTGGCTTATAAACAAATTTCTAGAGATGCAACCAATTTTTTCTTCCCCATATTTACTGTGTCTACCTTTTTCCAGATTGACCTTACGCTTTTCTGACAATATTCACTTGTCTTATCCTCATTGAACCTTTTGTTCTTCAAAGAACAGTTTTCCTTCCACATGTTTTTAAATGACTCAAAATTATCTTATATATATATACTATAAACTTTCTATTTTAATGTTCTCGAGTTTGCTTGGAAAGTTTTCCAGTCCTTTTCCTGATCTTTGACAGACTTCCGTACACGTTCAATGATCTTCTGTCAGCTTCGTTTTTTCCCAAATCTGTGACTAGGAAAACAAAACATAAATTTATTTTACAAAATAATATAAAGTTTACCTTTTTTGAAAAAATATTGGACTAGACTACATTTACTGCGAAATCCTATTCTGTCGCACTGGATAGGACTATCACGTCTGTTCCATATATTTTCATGTCTTCCATAATTAGGTAGCGAGATACTTTGCAGACTCAAAGTGATAACATCATCTCAAACTATTTCTTTGCATACAATATCTCAGAGCCTTTGTTTTACATAATAACATGTCCCGCATCCTTATGTACAAACTGAATTGCCTTTGATTCAAAACGATAACTAAAACCAACTTCTCTCATCGCTCCTGACAGAGCAGACGCAGACCATATATGACGTCATATGTCTCGTCTGCAATTTGCACATTTTGTCAGAGTGAAATATACCATAGCAGTGTCGTAAGTCCCAGATAAGTTTCCGGTGAATTATTGGAATACCATACGATAGCGAAAAATTTTTCTTGTTAATCCTCCAATTCTGGCCAAAAGATAACCGGGTTAGAAAAGAGAAAATCATGATTTATTTTTGTAGCCACAATTTAGCAAAAATAGCAAAACGGGATATAGCTAGGCCTAGAAACTGTCGGCAAAAACCAGAGTTTTTTTGCTTGAATTTCAAATCCAACATTATGTGGTGATAGTTGAGGGTAATGTTGAAAATGACGAAAAGTTTCAGACTTTTTGCTTGAGGGATTTATGTAGAAAATAAAGCCCAAACTATTTGGGCGAAAACAAAATGTGGCCCAAAAATTCCCGTCGCCCAAATACAGCGAAAATAACTCCGTGTTGTCGACCAAATCGATAAAATAGAAATATATATCTATATATATATATATATATAACTTCTAAATATTGATTATTTTACGTATCAAAAATGTACCAGATTTTGAGAATTGGTTGAAAGGGTGTACCGTTACAAAAAAGGTTGACCAGCACTGCACTACAGGCTCCGCAGCTGGGTTTTTCACTATTCTGATTTTAGGGTGCGGATGAAAGCTGAATTAATGTGGTGATGATAATTTACGGGGGTGGGCTATACCACACAACAATCGAAGGTGGCCCATTGTTACCAGCAGGCGTATCACTATAGAATCTTTAAAAAAATGACCAAGAATGGTTCTACGCTGTGTTTGTGGTCAAATTTAACGCATTAGATAGTTTTTTATCCCTAATTGCGTTATATATTCATATAGCATATATCTTAAAGTTCAAAATCCACCCTTCAGTTTCATTCTAGCCCTTATAACGGCGGACTTATTCGATTCGGTACAACAACACGACGAAAATTTTCCATAAAACTCCATTGTTTCGCGTTTCCCAAATATGGCACAAGATGGCGTCCATGAACTTGTAGGTCACGTTTATTGGACACGTTTAGTGGCCATAACGATCGTTTCAAAATTTTGTTGTTATTGTTATTTGTCTCCGTCTCCATTTTTAAAAAATCGTTTTTTTCTTCGAATACTGGACCAATTGCTTTGATATTTTCAGTGGTTAAAGATAAAATTTTTCTCCAGAAGGCTATTACTTTTTTTTTTCGCTATGACGTCATCAAAATTATTGCCACTAGGTGGCGCTACGTGTCCATATATTTGAGCATAGCTCTCTTGTTTAACATTAGGCAAGTTGGTTGCCGGCCGTTGGTTTTATCCATATGGGCTTTGGTTTTACCCATATGGGCTTTGGTTTTACCCAGTTTTATCATAGTCTACGGTAACTATGGTTTTACGATTTATCTTCCTGAAGAATCGGATGCTGGGAATTAGCGGCCAGGGTATCCCAGGTGGTTCCCGATCCCGAGAATCCCGACCACTGTTCTAGCGTCTGGTGTCCATGTTCTATAACAGCAGAACAGTGTTAGGGCTGTTCGGTAAGCTACAGATACTGTCGTATGGAAGGTCCCGTTGTTCTATAATCTTATATGTCAGAATAACACATTCAGACACAAGTACAGAAGTAGGGTAGGGACATCTTTGTCGAGGCGCGGTTCTTACCACTTCATGGCAGCTCGCGCCACGCACGAACCGCAGCAGCTCTTGCCATTACCAACTTTCATGACCGATGCTGCCAGCTACGTTTTTGTGCTGTTTAGGGGGACACTCGTTGCGTAGCACGTTTCGTCAGGTTTATACTTGTGCGTTGCTCTGACTTGTTTAAATATATCGTTGTGTGTTAGCGTTTTTTCAACAGTCTTTTTCTCATTTATAGATTGAATACAAACTAGCTTGTATATCTGTTATGCATTTGAGCTGCTCTGTTACACAGTCACACAAATCAGACGGAGCTACTTCAAAAGTGATGGTACCGTACTGGCAGACTGGATTTTCTCATTCAGTCATTGCACTGGAATATACTGAGCAGAGATAAACTTTCCAGAGGAAAAGGATTACATACCTAAGAGCTATCTATGAAATGAAGTACTTTGCAAAGTAAGAGTAATCGAAATAAAATTGTATTGTATATTGTAATGAACTGCAAAAGAATGTAACTGTATGGAGGGAGAAAGCAGCTATCAGGAAAAGAAATTTCACCCTTGATTAGGTACCAAGCATGTTTTAGCAAGCATAGGAAAGATTAAAATTGAAAATTAGGAAAAGGAATGATACCCCAAGTTGTTGGGACTCTGCATAAATGCCCTACTGGATGTGGAATTTGTTTAATAGATGATCGGGGCTGAAGCCTGAATATCATTTAAATGCATTCTCAGCACGGTAGACCAGAGGATGTCAAACTCGCACCCCTCGAACACTCGACATTAATTATGATATTTTTTATTTTTATTAAAAATGAAATTTTACATAAGTTGATTTGTATAAATTGCAATAATGGTGATATGCAAGAAATTAATAAGTGAATGGCATTTGAAATTTAAGGTAGACTTAATTTTTTGAAGAAAGTTATGTCTCAAATTTACAATAAATTGGGATCTGGTCTTATTACACTGGCTTTAGTTGCAACAGCATTAATAAAAAAGAAACAATTTCTTTATTCAAATTTGAACACAATAATATTTTGCTTAATTTAGAATTCCCAACATAAGTAGGTTCAAAATATATTGCAACAACATGAGAACACAATTCAACTTTCCCAACCAAGAATTCTTAGCAAGGGTACACTTTGTTTGAACTTCACCACAGCTCTTTTTGTGATTGTATAATCACCATCTGAAATATATTGAGAAAAACATACATGATGAATAAGGTGCAATGCAAATTTTTGAATATTTTACCTATGTAGAACAGCGAACGAATCATGAATTGTATAAAATGGTGGTGATTTTGGGAATGAAAATGATAGCTTTTACAGTCGCGATGAATTGATTTTGCTTTATAAAATATGACATACCTCAATCACCTAATTCTGAATTTTCTATTACTCATGCAATCACCTTTATAAGGCTTGAATATATTTCTGTTCTCTGGATTTTTGATGGCCCGGCTGACATTTGTTAGTTGGTGGCAATAAGTTCACCAAGACTGTTTTTCCTATTTCACAGTCAGATTTAAACTGCATCATTTTCTCTTCTCACTTTCAAATCTCATATGTTGGATGTACATGGAGTATGAATTCTGCTTTCGCATTCGTACCTAAAAGTTATGTAATTTTATATTTATTTATTCTTTTGCAAATAAAAAATATAGCTCGATTTAATGTTGCAAGTGACAATATTTAATAGTTGCCATTATACAGAAGTTCAGCAAATTGATGCCCAACCGTTTTTTTTTCCTCAAAACTACTGTGTCTCATTGTATTTCCCAGACTTTTTTTTTTATCTCATTCTAAAATTATATGTGATGTTTCACAGGAATCTTTACCCTCCCTCCCCTTGTTGGACAATTTTTTCGAATGACTAATATTCTCTACCATTACCTTTTTTATTATTTCAATTTTTGACTGATTTCAAATGTTGGTGTCGCAGACTTATGATGATCCCTTCTGTTTCTTGCGATGAAAGCTACCTGCTTTTAAATTGCGACTAAATCCGTTTCTTTATTGTATAAGCTGTGCCTTTAATTTGTGTATTATTTCCTGCATGACGAAATGAACGAAGATAAAAAAAAATTAATCACTGAATTTTCCCGCCTTATGTTTTTTTTCTCTCTCCCAAATGCTACCTTATATGAATATTTATATCACTCCCTGTTTTGTTGGTAATTTTTTGAATGACTGAGTTTCTCTTTGTATCCATTGCTTTCTTCAATTGCAATTTTTACATTTGACTCGTCTTAAATCTAGGTGTCGCTGACTTATGATGACCATTTCTGGTCCTTCGCGATTTCCTGTCAATTGCAATAAAATCTGTTACTGTAATAATGCATAATTTTTTATCTGTTGTGAACTTGTGTTGTGATTTCTGGCACGACGAAATAAACGTATTGTCTATTGTCATAGTTCATGTTTTTAATGTAAATAATATATAGGTTCAGATTCTAATATATAAAATCAAAAAGGCAATGAACATTATATATGTTAAACAGTAATGTCATATCAGTGTTTGAAACTTTATGTCATTTCACCTTGTATCGAAATATACCGATATACTATAATATATGATTGTTTAGAATCAACATGTTTTGTTATTTCATGATTGGAGTCTTTAGGTCCAATGCAATATTTGAAAGGTTTGTCATACTGTATTTTTGTATTATTCTTATATATAATTATATTCACCTTATGTAGTCAAGTCAACAACAGCAAACAGACGTCTTTCAGCCTGTGATTTCGCTCCACAAATTTGCCATCAAGTTACAATTTCTTCTAATTTAGGTATGGACTATCATTTTAAAGGGCTTATATTACAATAATTTTCATAATTCGGACAAAGTTTTATTTTCGGGGAAACGCGGTAGTAAGCAGTGGCATTGACACAACTTGAAGAACTGTATGGCAGGTAGTAGGTACTGTACCGGACTTCAGTGCTACCAGGTACTGCAGTACTGGTAGCCGGACATGCAATCTAATATCGTCAGCATAGTATATATAGTACGGTACCGTATTTTATACCTTCGAAAAAGATATTACGAGTTCCACCTGATCCAATACACTCCAGGTGCAACATTGGCCCTCAACCAAGCAACAGCTCCAACTCGCGAATGAAAAGCGAAACCGCCTCGTCCCCCAAGAGTGAAGTAAAACAATGACATTAAACATTGTTTAATGTCATTGAGTAAAAACAGTGTCTGGCAGCAACCGTCACGCTTTTTTTCGTTTCGATCATTTTATATTTTGCAATATAATTTCAATTTGTGCAAAATCCCATTATTTAAAAGAATGCTTCCATAATTGAAAATAGTAAATTCATGTAAATATTGTACATAGTATAAATCGTGAGAGACATTGATATATTGACACGAACCTGTTATTTTTATGCTTATTTAATATAATTGGGTGGCAACTGACTCTGATGACCCCCAAAGGTCGTATCGTTGCCCCCCAGTCATATACCGAAAACTATTTTTTTGATATTTGTTTATGTGTGCATAAATTGTTTACTTGGTTTGACAAAATGAAATAAACTCTCTCTGTCTCTCCGATGGTTCGTATGAAAGTCCGTAATGGTTTTAGGATTAGGATTTACATATTTATCCCGCGGAGAGAAAATCCGATAAGACGGCTTATCCATATAGCAAACCACGGCCTCTCGTCCGTTTACCATTCCAAGTCTGGTATGGGATTAGTTATATTTTTTGTTTTCGGAAGCATGGACTTGGTGGTGGAGGAAGCCGTAACCGACCAGCAGTTTTGTGAACCCCCCAACGACGGCGAGGAGTCCAGCAATCCTCTCGCACATAACCATCCCTGCGTGGGATTCGAACCTGCAAACCCACGCAGAGTAATTAGAGGTGCGGTGGCGAGCGTATTCTTAACGCTTAGCCCGTTGAGCCACACCGCCGCGCCGTTTTATTGCGCTATTCAGTATTAACGGTATATTCACAAATTAATGTACCAGATTTTAATTGATCATACGGAATTATATCTACTTAAACCCTAACCCCAAATCCATCAAAACTGTATCCATAAGAAAAACGTTCCAACTTACCCAATATTTGTCACCATAAGGGACAGTCCTGTCTTTACGGCCCACCTGCCGTGGTTACGGCAGCACGCTGTAACGGCAGCTCGTCATTGGTTTGTGGCAGCTAAAAATTCAGTCGCCATAGGTTTGGCTGTAGCGGCCATGGTATGGAAATACCGTCATGGTTTTGCGGCAGCTGCAGACGCCACAGAATACTTAAAACTGCACTTGTCTCAGTCTACAGGTCCAGGGTTGCCATATTGGCTTTTTTAACGCCAAATTTGCCATTTTTGGCTTTTTTCAAACGCGTTTGGCGTCAGAATTTCCGTTTGGCTTTTTGGCGTTTTCTTGGCTTTTTTCAAGTCTATTCTAGTGCCTATTATTAGAATCATATGAAATAAAATATTTAGTGTGTAACAACTGAACAATAGTCTATTACCTGTACTTAGCTACTTAACATTAGGATTTCCTGGAGCATCGATTCCCTTGTTTGTTACATTGACTCTTAACCATACCCAATAAGAAATAATTGCAGTTTCTGCAGCTGCTCAAACAGATGTTCAAGCAAGGTTGTAAACATTGCCTCGTTTTTACAGTTTTGCGTGTTATTTGTCAGTTTTACGTTCTGTTTCCAAAAAATAGTTGTATAACTTAATTTTCATTATGCCTGATATGGTTTATGTGAGCTTCAGTTTAATTCTGCAATTGCAGTAACGATGTGATAAACTACGCTAAAATTACTGAATAAGATATCAGTGAGCGGCAGGGGGTTAGATATTTTTTTAATAAAATTGATGGTTTATAACTTTTGAAAGTGAAAAAATTTTCAATAGTAGAGTACGATATAGGGAGAATTTTTCAAGGTTTAACAAGTTTAAGTAGAAACATGTAGGTATATCTGTATATTACATACTGACAGACTGGAGCGGCACTCTGTATTGTATATATTGAATGGTAAAATAGTGCTGTTCGCTTGATATTTATTTTACTTTCTACAGTTGTATAGGAACTTTACTTTCCATTCGTGTGCCTCACTGAATGAACTAATGGCTCTATATCATCATCAGTACATTGCCAAGGGCTTAAAATCTGACAAATCATGGGGCTTTTGTACTTAGTAAAATTGTTGGCTTTTTCTGGCTTTTTTATGTCTTGATTTGGCTTTTTTTGATCGTTGGGGTCTGGCAACCCTGTACAGGTCTGTGGACGAATCAATTCAAGAGTTACCGTAACGTACCGGTATACTATTATATATACGCTTTGGTACTACTGACAGATGACGGATGTGCGGCTGCCAGTATCAGTACCACAGTACAATGTTGATACCAGTTTATCTGTTACCGGTACCGTAATAGGTACGGTAACGTACCGTAGGCTAGTCTAACTGTCTGACTGTACCGGTACAGTTGCGTATCAAGTTACATGCAAGGTATGGAAAATTTTAAAAAATATAACTGACAATAATTTATGAATTTTCACTCTGTAGATGGTTAGTCGAATAGCACAAAAATTGGCTTTAAATGCTAAACAACCTCAGAATGGATTTTGGGGTTCATTAGTTGGAGCCGCATTTTTAAGGAATGGAAACCTCGAAAAAACTTGTTTTGAACTACTTGAGTCTCTGCCTGAACATAAAGTTCTTTGTGTTGGTTTCAATCGTGCCATTGGACTAGAGTTTGCTTTGTCAAAACAACAATACCCAGGAAAGGTTTTTGGAATTGATCACTCCGAATTGATGTGCAAATTGGCATGCGAAAAATTACGGCATCATATTGACAATGATGAACTAACTATACTTTGTGAATCAGTACATGAAATGTCAATTCCAGATAACTCTATAGATCGAATATTTCACACAAATTGCCATGTGTTCTGGGATGATATTGACAAGTCTTGTGAAGAGCTATACAGGTATGTGTTGATACAGTAATACTGTATAGTTTTAATTTGACTTTTTGTATACTTGGATTAACAGGATTGAACAGGTACCGTAACCAGAATGACAATTTTTATTTTAACATGAAGATCAAAAATATTACAATCAATACGTTCACAACTAAGATGTAAATCCTAACTAAGATATTATAATCCATCAACAACATTGATTGATTGTAGCTCTTTATTCAGGGATAAAGTATTTTACTTCATGCATTGGTATAACAGATATATTTTCTTGACTATAGGCCTAACTGAAATTTTAATGTCTTACTTTTGATACCTCAAAAGGTATAAGATTTTGCAAAGCACTTTAAGAGAGAGAGAGAGATTTATTAATGTGTCAACCAAAAAAATTGCAGTCATCAATACAGTAAAAAAGTAGCAACAATAAAATTGTTTTGGTATGGACAGGAGGGAGCGATACGACCATGCGGTCATCGAGGTCAACTCCCACCTATTTCGCTTGTATGAATAAGATTCAAATTTTGAGATGACTTAATGAAAAAGTTAGACCAGTAATATTTTTACAAACTTTAGGAACAAAAAATAATATAAATGTAAACAGATTATACCTAATAATGAATTGGGACTCAAAATAAACACGATATAACCTGAACGGGTAAGAATAATAAGGTGAAAAATGAAGTCAACATGATATATATTTGGAAACTTAGTTGCACTAATAGTATCAGTCGGCTTTAAACTATAATAAATAATTCTTTATGTAAACATTTTAAATATATGTATAAAAAAAAAAAAATGTATATACAGCGGATCAAGCGCTTCAAACAACATGGCGAAAATTTGCAACCAAGCTAAGAAGTTATTGAAACTTAGTAATATAACTAACTTCTTTGTCATTGAAATTAAAATAAAAAATACTTTTCACAAAATTTTTATTCAATCAAAAGAAAAGGACACAGGGGATCAGTGTAAGGGGCATTTTGGACTTTAATTCTTAGCCTTATTAGCATTGTCAAATGTTTGAAGATTCCACCAGAATATCAAAAACAGGATAGGATTTACATATTTATCCTGGGGGAGGGGAAAGACGATAAGATGGCTTAACCATATGGCGAAACACTGCAGAGTACTTGAATTGGGCATATTGAAGCCGTGTATCAATTTTACATTATTTTATATCACTAAATGAGTACTTAATAAACTGAAATTTTCACCGGAGTATCGGAAAGACTTCACTTTTGATACCTCAAAAGGTATAAGATTTCTCAAAGCAATTTGACCGAGTATATTAAAACTAAACTTTTAATCAATTTCACATTTATACCAGTAAATGACTACTAAATGAAAAAATTTTTTGTTGTTATGCATTGTTATGCCACTTGATCCACATCTTTAAATTTTATTCGATTGACAATCATTGTAGTATTTTAATTAATATTAAGTCCATTTTTTCACTGTATTTATGACCTACCGTACATAATAAAATTTCTATTTGTATTGTCATATATATGTTATGAAATTGGTTTATGAAACACTGTTTATACTAATTACAATGTACTTAATTTTATCTTTTTTTAAGGGTCTTGAAACCAGGAGGAAAAATGGTGTCTTTGGCCCGATACAACAGACTTCGGCTTCAACAAAAGTTTGGTTTTCTGAACTCTTCTCCTATCACTTCAGGCTTTTATATTGGTTCTCTTATTGCCATGGGATTTGATGATATTCGTGTGAAGAATGTTAAAGTTATGAATAAATTTTCAAAGGCATGCGCTGTGTATGCATCAAAGCCAATTTTAACTGCTGAAAAAAACAGTTTTTCAACTTCAAGTGAAAAATCTTCTTGATTTCAACTTGGATTTTTACTCAGTTATCAAATCATATTAGGGCTTATGGCCATTGGCTAATCACATTCAGTTATATCAGAACACATTGATTATGACCTACGTCATACAGAGTCCATGTGCAAACAATTGGCTTCATATATACAAAAAACATACCGGTACATAATATAAATAAAGCAGGTGTTCAATTTGCTTCTCATGTATAATGTCCCATTTTCGGAGCTCCAGAAGTATGTGCGCTAAGATGGCGCACAACCTGAACATAGTATGTGTGTAACGGTTAGGATTCAGTTTGTGCAACATCTTGGTGCACATACTTCCGGAGCACCCTATTTTCTTATTGGGCCTGATATGAAATTGCCATATGCTTTTGTTTGTCGATTGATTCTGAACTTGATGAAATTTGAACTGATTCACAAATCCTACAGCTAAAGATGGTCCTATTGGATTTAGAGTCTGATCTCTTACATTGCTGCATATTCATGTTATTAATATATCAGTGGAATTAATAGGCTGTTCTACTGTTTTAGACTTTGTTATATAGTTTTTATTTCACTTTTGTCACATTAATATGGTTAAACTGATTAAATAGCAACTATTGGAATTTTTATATGACCTTAAATAGTATGTGGGTAAATTTTTTTCTTATCCTGTCAGTTCTTCAAATTATTGCACAATTTGTTATTTTCTTCAGTACCTCCTTCCTACAATAGTTCAATCAACTTTTTTGGTTAAAATCATGTGTTTGATTTGTGTATCATGCAAAATTGGATGTTGTTCGATTTAGAATTATTATGCATTACTTAGTATACAATGCAGTTGATTGCAATATGATAAAACAGACTTTGTGATTCACTGTGATATATGTTAACCTGTGCAATTTAGTGTTCGACTCGACTTCGATAAAATGTATTACTCATTCTGCCCTTTCCATGCTCTCAAGTTTTCTCTTTTAGCATGATTTAGTAGATTTTGTTATTTTGGGGCAGCATAAATTTTATTTTTAAATCTATATTGGTTTTCAATTATATCATTATAGTTCAGTTTGTTTTCAAATTTCTGCATAAAATAAAATATAACCAGCAGGCATGGTACTGCAATCATCGTGCAATTACGAAACTTGTTGGAAGACTGTTATATGCATTTATGTGAAATAGCAAGCCTGTTGAAGATTAAAAGTTCAAAGATGAATATGATATTAAGGGGATTCTCTCACAGTTGTTGCTTGCACACCAGAAAGCTTTTTTATCTTTAGAGTGTGATGCAAAGCAGGAAGCTAAGGACACGCTGACGTACGGTACTAATTTACGGTAACCGTGCTGTCTGACGGAACGGATTAAGTTTTTTTTTTTTTTGATAGTGCTGTTTAATCTGAAGCAAATTCTAAAGATGCTACATACTTAATAAGCTATCGTGAGCTCACAGCCAACGGGCGGGCAGAACTCCGTTACAGATATGAAAGTTTTTTGCTGTTATTTTCGATCAAGGCAGCGGAGTCGAGAAAAATTTGCGATGGACTCCCGAACTCTGCATTACAAACACTTTTAGCTTCAACACTGACTTCGATTCCAGACTCCGGGTTGTAAAAAAACTCCGAACTCTGATACCAAAATCTCTGGCTCATGCAATGTTTCCTTAATATGAATATTTGACTTCTTTTATTGGTATCCCCTTAAAAGTCTGAAATTTCGACTCAGACTCCGGAAAACTACAAATGCGTTCCATTGAAAAATGCCAATTTCAACAGCCCCGCTTGCGAGCCGAACAATCATGTCAGTCCTGACTCTTGTATGAATATTCGATAGGAAAATGAATCGAGAAATCTTTTCATATCCGGAGAAGCTTTATTGTTTTATCTTCAATGTATATCTATTTATTTGAAAATTAAAAATGAAATTGTCATTGCACATTGCTGAAATATATACAGTATATATATACCAAATCACGACGTCAACAACGTACATTGAGAAACTTCACATTTTCACAAAACAATCCTGAATTCTTTTTCTTCTTCTCCATCTGACGTTACGTCAATTTCTAACTGCTTTGGTAATCGAATGGCAGTGTTTCTGAAAATTGAGATATGAATTGAAGGTCCTGAACATATTATTCTCGTCTCGTTAATGATATCTATATGCAGGCATGGATTAACCATTAGGCAAAAAGAGGACGTACGTAGGGTACAAAGAGAAAGCGGGCACCACAGAAATTTTAAAAGACGAATTTTTAATGGTGCATCGATGTTTAATAAATAATTCGAGTTCGTCAGACGCTCCAGGCCTCAATGTTGATCCGCCTAATATTAGTTTTAAAAAATAAATTCTGAAATATACCCAATCATAGCTTGGCCTTAGTATCGAATATTACTTGTAGTTTTCTTCAGATAACACTAGTTTCATCACTATAAATATATAGCTATAGTACCCAAGTCTCCATTGCCTATTGGGCTTCTAAAACGCATGGCCCGGCGCTGTCTATATGTTAAACTAATTATTAGATACGCTAATTACACAAATAAGAAGTAATTATGATTTTAAAGTGTTTGTTTTAAATACGCTTAACGCTTGAGGATTAATTAGCCTAAGCATTAAGTGTCTTGTACAGCAGTTTTTATAAATAAGAAACTTGTTAGTCTTACCATTGCATCTGTACTCGACATCTGACCAAATGATGTTCTCTTGTGAATAACAGTAAACACCTAGTCTTCCTCCCTTGAACGTTTCATCTTTAACTACTCCGCTATCAGTCAACTAAAATTTAGAATATTTATGAATTAATTACGGCAATATAAGACTTGCATGAATATTTGAAATGAACTGAGCCATATATAAAGCTGTGTTTTTATACGCGCTCGTAATTTTAGAATATAAAATACAACCAAGTACTTTTTTTTATTGTTTCACGCAGTATTTCATGTTTTTATATGAAAATGTTTCAAATCGAACGAGAAAAAATAGGGTACACTTCTTTTGCCATCCCGAACCTATAACTGAGACATAATTTCCTCAGGTTCTACTGTGTATGATCACTATCTAATTTTAGGTTCTAAAACATATAGCCACCGTACTAATGAGGTTCCTTGGTATATTCTCAACTTGATATATCCAACTGAAGGTCTGTGGATCAATTCCCACCGGTATGACGTTTTATCCTTCCATCCCTTATTTGCTGGATCAATCCAGATGAGTTTAGCTTGGCCTTCTGCACTTGAACCTTTCCACAGAGCATTAGCTAACTGTTTTGCTGGACCAGTTTGAGATTCAATAACCTGTTTGTGGTGGTATACAATATTAAAGATCTTGTTTACGTAACGAACAAAATTATGCTCATTCTATTGTTCAAAGCCTAAATATATATATATATTCACACGTAACATTCTCACGTATAGTTCACAAATGTAACCTAGATTAATGAAGGACTGATCATAACACCATTGGAGAATATAAGTACAATTTTAAACTGTTACCCTTTCAATTTAATCGAAGTTAATAAATTTACATTTCTAACAGATTTTGAAAAAAAGGTTAACGACGCGACTTTATATATATATATATACCATATATGTGTGAAAGAGATAACCATAAAAGTTAATTATTCTCAACCTCTGACCTTTATTTGAAATCCAGCTTTAGAAACACCTTGATCAGCCTGCTTCCATTGTGCGACGTAAAATCTACTGCTATCCTGTAAAATAAATTACCTATTAATTAAGTATTCAATTGTCGGTATTTCGCACATTTGCTCCAATACAAGAAATATATAAGAGAGAAACGGTGCAGATGAAGGAAGCTTGCGAAATGAAATCGCGAGATGAAAAAAGACAATCGCAATCGGCGATAATTGATTTACTTGCATTTTTTCTGTTTATCAAATTGCAAACTAATTAAAATCACACCTGGAACCCGAAAACAAAACCTATGAAATCGTCATCAGTATTGGTATTCACAAATAATGTTCCATAGAAATCAACTCCGTTGAATGCAGTATCACCGACTGCCAGCGCAGGATCACTGTTCTTGGTTTCTGTAATCTCTTTACCCTGAAATAAATTGCAAAATAATGTACAATCTTTATTCGCCTAGCAGTTTGTTCGACTGTGAAATAGACTTTAAGACTTTCTAAAATCGGAAATCTAAAGCCAATCGAAGATCAGCAACGTTTATCTTTTATATCAATGTTTGTACAATCCACGTCGGAATATATATAAATGTATATGATGTTTTTATAATGCTACTTCTTTGGGTACTTTAATATGAAATTAGGCTAAGTCTTCGGCACATCACGGGCGTTCATTCATGCTGCCCATATTTAAGTATACGATTTAAAATTGGAGAAGTGTTGTAAACAATAAAAGTTGTGATTTGTGAGTTTTTATTGCTACATACATTGTGTGTTACCACCCAATTTGGTGGTTCAGAGCCACTTGGATCAAGATTAATTTGTTGTAAATCTCGGAAATCCGTTTTCTGAATATTAGCATTCTTTGGGCAAGCATCATTCTCGTCTGGTACTTCATCACCGTCAAAATCATCCTCACATGCGTCTCCTACACTGTTTTCTACAAAAAAGTATGCGACAAATTAACACAATCTCAAAGTACTTTTTGTCATGTTTCACTACACAATTAATTTCACACTCACTATTTTTATCTTTCTGATCGGGGTTTGCAACCAATCTACAGTTATCGTTCTCATCAGTTATGCCGTCATCATCATCATCGTCATCACAGGCATCGCCTAAAATTATGATTTTTTCAATAAGTCTGTATGATAGTTTTTTGCATCATTTGGTATTATTATTGATAATACAAATATTTTAATCAAACAAGCATTAGGCTATATTACTATCCTATTTTTGAAACACACCATATAACAAATCATATATATATCATTTTTAATTTGTCGTCAAAATATTTATTTATTTTAATTCTCTTGTCGATTATGAAGGTGTTGTGTCTCGATTGTGGTCATTTGCAGTTTTCAATTTCAATATTGGATTACGTGCCTAGTCCATCCTTGTCAGTATCAAGTTGTCCACTGTTGATGATATCCGGACAATTGTCTTTATCGTCTTGAACACCGTCCTTATCCCGGTCCTAAATTTTACGATTTGATTTATTTAATTCTTATCAAAATTGTCTGCACAAAAAGATCATCTAGCAAAATAAAAGGATAGAGAAATCGGGTGCAATATTAACCCAAGCGCAAAATGGATGTTTCCCCGAGCATTGATTACTGTGTTTATCTCCGTAACAATGGCCAATCAGCAAGTTGACAATGGTATATATATTGTATTTTAGCAGCAGCCCCCCAGAAAGATATTTAAGCATGGTTTTAAACAATGCATCGTTTTCGGGGTTTGCGAGGTATTGGTCAATTTTCCTCTGTTTCCAAAAATTGCTTGTAAACCAAAAAATGAATTGTCATTACGTCTTTCATTTAGTTTCAACAATTTAAAATTAGTCTCGAAAAAGCTGCGATGGATTAGGCCAAAATTAGCGAGCAAACGGCACGTGGTTAAATATACTCGTATATATTAATAAAAATGATGCTTTTAAACGTGCAAACTAGTTTGTAAGCGCCCGCTCGCACAAACGCTCTTAAAATGAGCTTAAAAAATGTTAGAATACAGTAGTAAAGTATAGAGAGGGTTTTCTGTGGCCAGGGGTCCGCGAAAAATCCAAGACAACCGTACGATCACCTCATGCCACAAGACCGGTAGACAATATTATCTATCATTATCAATAGATATCCAAGAATTTCTGAACAATGTACATTGACTATTTGGTATTTGCCATTCCATTTACATCAATGTAAACCAAAGCTAACGTAGCAATTAGCTTGCCCTGTCTTATTATTACAGTATTTCAAACATTACCTGGTCATGGTCACACAAATCGCCTACAAGATCAGAATCCGAATCTTTTTGGTCTGGATTTTCTTCATCTGGACAATTATCGCACACATCTCCTACGTTATCCCCGTCTCTATCAAGCTGACTCTCGTTTGGAATATTTGGACAGTTGTCATCAGAATTGTCATGATCTAGCAAAACGTACTTAAAAATGAACGAACTTAAAGGCATCAGTTGTTTGCAACAGTGTTGTACAGTCATAATTTCTTCGATATAGACTATGAAAACTCTAACTACTTTAAAACAATATCAGATTTGGGTCAAAAATAGCCTGCTGTTCAATCGGATGGGAATAAATCAAATGTCACAATGCAATACTTCAATAAAGATAGTGGCGTCATAACACAATTTTAGGTCGTTAAGCGGAGCCAAATTCCCTCTAAGTACCACACTAATTTCAGCATTGATAAAATACGTCACTATGAGATATTTTGTCTGATATTCTTACTTACCATCCCCATCTTTATCATCATCACACTCATCGCCTAATCCGTCTTTATCAACATCGAATTGTTGGAAATTTTGGACAGATATGCAATTATCACATGCATCGCCCACACCGTCTCCATCCCCATCTTCTTGCCCTTTATTCGCAATGTATTTGCAATTGTCCTGAAAAATCAAAATTAGATCTGTGTATAGCTATAAGTAAAAGTAAAAATTCCTATACGTTTTGAAGGTGCTAATCAATTTACACAGATCCTCCACATGCCCTCAATCAAGCTCCAATAAAATTTGGCAATAATTTCTCTGCGATCATCGGAAAGCAATCTTACTTACATTCCTCTTCACAAAAATAGTTTTCAGAATGCTGAATATAAGGTATAGAAATTAATTAGAGTTCACAATTTTGTTTAGATACTCACACATCACCATTATTAACATTGGGAATTATTTCAGCACTAGAAAATAAATTTTAAGATTTCGGATATTCGCAAATACTGCATCATATCGTGCAAGAGGGGTAAGAGAAATCAATAAAAATAATTTTTACATCTGTATTTTTTCTGCCGTCATCGTCAATATCGTCATCGCAAGAATCGCCAATTCCATCTCCATCCCTGTCCTCCTGTCCACTATTTGGTATATTTACACAATTATCCTTCTGACAGGACTGTTCTTCGCATGGCAGTTTTTCGTCTGGCTGCCCATCATTATCACTATCTTTCCCGCAGTGAATCCCGTTTCCGGCTTGGCCTACCGGGCACTTTAATTAAACAAATGAATGAAACTTTTTATTCAATACCATTTTAGGAATTTATGATGTAGGGGCTTATATTTCTACGAATACTCGTAAATTTGATGCTGATTTTATGATTAATAGAACTTTTTTCGGCGAGAAACATTGTAAATTTGCCAACTCACTTCTTTTATAAATGTGCATGTTTTTCCATCACCCATATAGCCTTCAGGACAAGGTCCACACTTCACGCCTCCTTCTACATTAGTGCATTCAACACCAGTAAAGCAAGGGTTGCTGAGATCACAATCATCTTTTCGATCTATTCCTAAAAATAGATATATATTGCTATAAATTAGAGATGATCGAATGAATTTCAAAAAATTTCACAAAATTTACTTCCAGTAATCATTTTCGCAATGTGAAATTTACTTTAACTTTTGTAATCGATGTCTGATAGCATCTACGTAAATATTTAATACTTTTTATTAGCTTAGATTTTAATCTTCATACCACATGCTTTGCACTCAAGAATTGCTTGCGTCATTTTCTGTGTTGCGAGTGTCAACTTCCCAATCTCTTCGGCAAGTTTTGCAAAACCATCTACTGGCGTCGGGCTTTTACCCCTCGCATGTTTACCTGTAACAATTGGAATAATATAAATTATTACATTCTATCAATAAAACGTTCACACAATTTTGCAATATATGTTCATTTTATTATATATATATAGATTCGCCGTCCTTTACTATATATAAAGTTTGCCTTGATTAAAATAGGCGTATGGTGTATTTTAGATACTCTCCATTACAATTGTTCTCTCAATTAGAAATAAACTCGGGAGACGTAAAAGTCATTGATGAGGCACCCCCTCAATGTATATTCATAGCCTATCTTCGAAAACGCGCTGAATTGCAGAATGTATTACCAATAGTGACAATGTATAAAATGAAGATTTCGTTTGCAATTTGCAATGCCAAACTTTTATCAGTTTTTGCAGACCGTTTATGAGATTTGAGAGTGTCCGGAGATAAAAAAAAAAGCAATAACTTACGGCCTAAAATTGTTGGAAACGAAATTACCGCCAAGCACAATAGTGCCAAAATAGTGAATGCTTTAACCATCTTTGCTCTTTATTAGAAAAGATTCTTGATGTTTGCATCTATGAGAACACGACCAAACTGACAAATTTGCAAGTAGCAGAACGTTATATATCCAGGCCAGAGACGGGAGATTTTTTTTCCTTTTTTAATATTTCATAACTAGCATGAACACCCGTTCTTCTGCAATTATTTGGACACGTATGAATGTTTTACTTGCATAAGCAGGGGTTATGCAACATTTGTTTTTTTGGAAGTCAATTCAGAGAAGCAGCACGCAATCAAAAACACAAAAAAAGGTTTTGTTTTCCTTCAAACCTTAATTATTTAAAGTGAAATTTGATGTTTTGTACAAATGTAGCACTTTTCATCCGAAGATGAAGTGTATATAAATTTGTGATATTTTTTGAGCCGTTATATTTTATACACATTTCTCAAATTCTGGCGCACAAGGTGGTTAATAAAATATCAAGTTCGTCACAGGGTACTGTAATTGTGATTTCTCAAAGTCATTTGAAGCTCACTAATTTAAAAATATAATCAAAATTGATTCTTACTTCAGTCAGACACCAATTAAATGTCCGTAGATTATTAAAACCAAGTTATATTAAACTAAAAATGTTGCCTTAAATATTGTATAATGAAATATAGATGTTCGCTTTAAATATTTTGCATGGAAATGACAAACGAAAACAAAATTTTGTTCTAGTTTTTTTTGTACAAATTGTAGACGGACAAAAATTTATGTTAAAACCGATTGCCAAAGTTGTCACAGCATTGTGCTTTTGGTAAAATATTCGAGTTTGCAATGAAACTGTTTACGCGGCATAACATAATGAATGTGTGTTAAAAAAAAAACGGGTTTTCAATTATTCCCCTTGTATCAGGCCGTACATGTCCGCAATTTGACACTACGTAAAAATTTTTAGTCCATTAGTTTATTTAAATTTCGCAGAAAATAATATTGACTGCTTGAGACTATTTTTCCGAAAACCATTTCAACACAATGTCCGAGATTGCAAATTGAATTGTACGTTATATGAAAAACGGAAATATTCAACTGAAACAGATTGTTTTCATTTTTCAGGAAATTCTATTATATACCTCACTTCAAATTAATATGCTTTTCAATTGCAAAACATTGACTTCATAAGAAAGAGGTGCATGAATATGTAGACTTTGTACAGTCATCAATGCATTCATTGGAAAATTTTAGGAAATTCCAGCTGATCATTTGGGCAAAAATTGTTTTTTAAACATGTGTTACACGTGACAAACTAGGGGTTGTCAAATTCCAAGTATTCTCTCGAAATATTTTCTTAAATTAGAAGTCTTTACACAAATGCAATCTGAGGTATACAACCAAATTAAAATTGTGCTTCATTTTAGACACAACTTCCGTTATATATGCGCTAGTCAAAATATAGGTAGTAGTATTGCATGAGTGGTCACTTATAACACTTCATTCAGTACTTGTTTTATATTCATTTGGGGGCTACAAACTTTGTTTTGAGCACAATTGAATAATAAAAGATAAGGGCAAACCTTACAACCAGATTCAAAAGACATGATTAAAAAAATATTTTTTTTAATAATGTTGAGTTGTCCATATTGTCTCCTTGCCATTTAAAAAATTATTTCAAATATAGATGATGAGGTATCGTAAATGGTTGTTTAATGTTTGTCGAATTTTGCTAATAACGGGTGCGATTGCATTTTGCTAAAATCGCCGATTATTTTCTTCGTTTTAATTTCTTCGTTAATTTTGTTTGCGCTCGAAATTATGTTAATGTATGATTATAAGCAAAAGTTTCAGTAATCTAGGACGTTTCCACAGAAGCCATGTGGAATCTTTTGTAGAGAGCCAGATGCATGAAAAAGCCAGATGAAAACAACATTTTGTCCCATTTTTGTTTTTTTTTGTACAAATTGTATGCCGTATACGGACTAAGATTAATGTCGAAACTGATCGACAAAGTTGTCACAGCATTTTACCGATAAGATGTTCAAGTTTGCAATAAAACTGTTTACACGGCATGACATAATCAATGTGCGTTTAAAAACGAGTTTTAAATGATTCCCCCGGGTATGTGAACGTACATGTCCTCAATTTGACACTACGTTATAATTTAGGACCATTCCTTTATTTAAAGATTCGCAGAAAATAGAGAATGCTCAAGAATACTTTTCCGTAAATATTTCAACACAATGCCCTAGTTTGCAAATGAAATTGTGCGTTATAGGAAAAACAGAAATGTCCGACTTAAGCATATTGTTTTAACATATACAGAATTCTATTATATACCTCATTTCAAAAATAACGTGCTCATGCATTTTTCATGTTTCCAATTATCAAACATTGCCCTCATGAAAAAGAGTTGCTGTGAATATATGTTTTCTTTGTACAGGCAATAATACTATCATTCGACTGGTATTAAACATCGTTCCCAAAACGGTTTCCATGAAAATTATAGGAAACTCCCGCTGAATATTTCAATGAAAATTGTTTTTTAAACATGCGCTATACAAGTGACAACTCCAAAAAATTTCAAATTCCAAGTAGCCCTCTCCGTGAGCTCAAGAAAAAGTAACCGAGTAGTATCTAGAAAGAGTTTAAGGAATTTCATGAAGGCATGAAAACAAGCGTTTTAGTGATGCAGAAGTTGTCAAAGAATGTATGTTTTGAAGTCTAATCTAGATATACCAATAAAAAAAAACCTATAGCATGGCAGCGTATGAAAAAGTAACCGACTGCTCCCTAAAATTGCTTGAATTTTATGTAAGAGTGATGCAGCCTTCAGTGATGCAGAAGTTGCCAAATTTGGCATGGAACATATTGCTCAAACACTGTTTGATGCTATACAAAAGATGAACTAACAATTAAAGTAAAACAGACTCTGTTGTCTGATTCTGTGGCAATGAGGACAATTTAACTATTAGCTAAAGATCACTCACTAAATGACGCGAATGACAAAACTAAACTTGTTATTTATTTGCGAGTGAGAAAATACGGGAATTGTGTGATATGACTGCCCTTAATAGACGGACAAAAATCTTTTTTTTTTTATTTCAGCTTATAAAAATTCACTCAAAGGCTTATGTTATGATATTTCATACATATTTCTGAAATTTTCTGGCACATGGGATTGTTCATAAAATATCAAGTTTGTCACAGGGTGATGGAATTTCGATTTCTCAAAAGCACTAGTTATGAAATCTAATCAATATTCACTAATTAAAAACCTATATATTATCAAAGCTAACTCATAACGCTAAACATGTTGCATGGTCCATGGAACATGTTGGAAAATGGAAATTGATATTTGCATTGAACATTTTATATGGAAATGCCAGATGAAAACAACATTTTGTGTTAGTTTTTTGTACTTATTGTAGATAAACAAACATCAATGTTGCCACTGATCGCCAAAGTCTTCGCCAGTTTTGACCTATAATAAGACATCTGGAATGAACGTTTACATGGCATTATTCAGTGAATGCGTTCATCAACGAGTTTTAGAACATTGAATCTGATTTTTGGTAACTCCGAGTAGGTGAATAAACGCGTTTCTTGAGCGCCACATACATATTGTTCGGATCTTCATATATCCTACTTACGACTCTTTATGAATAAATGTGAGACCATAAACGAGGTCACCAAGATATTTTACCGCAATTTGACCCTGCATGATGCTTGATGGCCATTCTTTTCTTAAAAGGTTCGCAGAAACTTGTCACTGTTTGAGACGATTTTTTCCATGAAAAATCACCTATTTCAATTTTCCTCCGAAAAATAAAACTAGGGCTTATTTTCAGGGTAGGTCTTATTTCATGGGAAAAAAACTGTATGTAATATAGCCTACGAGTTTGCAAATGGGAATTTATGTTACATGAAACAAAAATTCTATAAGGATTGTATTACATCCTTAATTTCAAAATTGAATTGCTCTCGCATATTTAGGTTTTTAATTATGGTACATTGCCTTCATAGGAAAGAGTTGCTATGAATATGTAGACTTTAGAGTTCAGACTGTACAGTCATCAATGGTACCATTTTACTGGTATAAGGCATCGTTACCAATTCGGTTTTCAGGGAAATTATAGGAAATTCCAGCTGATCATTTCGACAAAAATTGTTTTTCAAACATGCGCTACACGTGGCCAATTTAGGTGTTCTCCAATTCCAAGTATTCTTGTGTAATATTTTCTGAAATTGAAAAGCTTTGCACAAATTCAAGCTGATGTAAACAACCAAATTATGATTTTGCATTACTTCAGACATATATGTGACGTAGCCTACATATAAAATTCCGTGTTATGAGCGTGATCCAAAAAAAAACAGAATTTATAAATTTCTTAATTTCTTCTTTGAAAATAAAAATAAAATCGGGGTAATTTTGTTTGCGCTCGGAAATTATGTTTGTATATGATTATGCCCAAAAGTCTAGATAAACTAGGACGCATTGCAAAAGCTATTTGGAATCTTTTGTAGAAAGCCCCCGTCACCGCTAAAAAGAAAAAAATAACAATTATTCAGATAGGGATACAGATCGCGCTAAAAAATCAAAACTTTCAAATCATTCCTAACCCGAACCCCAACCTCGATAATTATTAATTTTGTTTTTAGAACGTGGCGTTTTTTCTCAAATCTCACATTTGTTTTTGCATTAGTGGTGCGCACTTTCTACAAAAGATTCGATATGTGTTCTCTAGGTAGACTCTTGTCCAAATCTTTTTCGGTTTAAAAAGTTACCGTCTCGATTTATTTAAATTTTGGATATTTGAAAAATCGATCTTCTTGAAATAATACTGCCCATATGCTTGAGTTACATGCTGATTGATGTGATTATCTGAATTATTTGTTTGGCAGTTATCATAAGACTTGGCAGTTATCATTTAAGCTAGGTGTTTAAAGAAATGCTTGCTTTGGAACGTCATGGAAGGAGACGTCACATCCGACGAGTTAATCAGAATCCATGCTGTTTCTAAGAATTTGTTATTATAAAATAATGACCTTTACCCGTCATGGATCCTTGCCGAAATTACCATGGAGACGCACCGCGACTTGCCGATGATTGGCAGTTTAGTGCGCTCTTGTGGTGTTCGTGATACGGGTCTAGTGCAAAATGACAGACTTGCCTAAAATATATTGATGTTTTATATTGAAAGAAGCTTCTAGGCAAAGGACTGAGTCATCGAAATGTCACACGGGTGAGTTTGATGCCACCATCGAGTTCTGAAGTAGAGTATCATAAGTTAAAAATATTGCTAACAAATTTCAAAATGTCTTGTTTTTGTTGCCGATTTGCTATTACGCAAACTGCTTTATTCTATATTATTACTGCACACGTATATTGGAATATGTAGGCTATTCAATAAATGTATTTAAATAGTATTCTCATAGTCTCCAGTCTACGATTCATAAGATTATATGTAAAACGAAATGATTCCGGTTTACTCTTGAGATATATCGTATTCAGGTACCAATGGTCAGCCTAGAGCAGGCGGGCCAAATCCGGCCCGCTAGGTTATTCTATCTGGACAACCAAACTGGAACCAAATTTTGATGTTTTAGTTAAAAATAGCTCAAGACATTTATTGACTCTATCTTTTGTTGCAGCACATACAATCAATTATGGGCTGAGGCTCAGACAAGTATTGATGATCTTTTGCCTCGGGAAATACCACTTGAGCCTCCGAGGCCTGAAAAAGTATGTTCAGAAATATTTATTGTTGGATTTCATGGTATTTGTGAATTTATTTAAGATTATTTGTTCGAATGTACATTATATGTTTTCTCATATTCACAAAATATATTATTTTGATATAGTACACTGTTGGAATTATTATTTTCTGTTATGGACATTATAGAGTCATGATTTAAAATAATGTTTTTACAAAAATAATTTCAGGATAGATTGACGGTATTTCAGACGCTTGCTACTCTCTATATCAAATATATCCAAATACTTCGAAAACTTGAAGCATCTTATGATCAGGTAATTTTATTCTAGTTTGTTGTTTTCGTCTAAGAAAAGTTGATGAATCATGTTTGCCAATCACTCGATATTTCCGATTTGTCAGAACAAGATAGGGTTTACACAGGGGTGGTGGGATTCAATTTTTTTGTCAACCGGTCACAAAAGTCATATTTTTTCACCCGGTTCTGTTACAAAAAGTCATTGACAATAACCAGTAATGCTAACCGGTTCGCTGATCTCATAAAATCCTGTGAGACAGTTCCATAGAACCGGTGCGAACCGGCTGAATCCCACCACTGGGTTTACATATTTATCTCAGTGAAGAGGAAAAGACGATGAGACATCTCTAATCATATGACGAACCACAACCTCTCGTCCGGTTACCAGTCCAAGTCGGGTGAATTAGTTAGCCAGGTATAGGTTTCAGATGCATGGTCTCAGTAGTGAAGGAAGATGTCCCCACCAGCGGCTACGAAAAACCACTCTGCAGTGATGAGGAGTGTAGCAATTTTCTCTTGCAAATAATTATCCCCACAGGATTTGAACCTGCAAACCCATATAGAGATTAAATCTCTTATCACACCATGAGAGATGTATGATACAATCGGCGTTAAAAACTGAGCACATTTGACGAAGTGAAGGGGTTTTGTTCAGCTTGTTTTCCTCAAACTATTGATTATACTCTTAATAAAGAGCTAAAAGTCCAAATACATTAAGAGTGAACAATTATGATTCACTTAATTATCAGTTATACTAGGGGTTATATATTTATTGCTTACACTTGCATCTGAAGCCACAAATAACTATTACCGTACCTGATACAACCTAACTAATCATGAGGTATCATTTTTTTCAATTGATAATAATAATTTCTCCATAAGAAAATGAATGTGAATGGTATCACTTCTGATAACCTTCCAGGGAAAGACCCCTCTTATAAGCTAAGGGAAAATAATTAAAAAAGTGATATAATAATTGCAGATAGTTCATCCTCAAAAAAGAAGAGTCTTGCGTCAAGTTGTTGATGGAACAGTAGGAAGATTGTTGGAAGTAAAAAATGAAATGGTCAACTTGGAATTTTCAGAGTTTCATTATTTTGATGACATCCTCTCAGATCTGAAACTCACTCCTGTGAGTCAAAGTAGTTATGAAATGTAGAAGGCTTTCTGGATTATGCCTGGTAGTCATTTTATATATGTTGTGCTGGCTTTATTTAATATTTTTGATTTGTACATTTAAATATTTTATCAGGCAATAGGCTAATTCGTAAGAGATTCACATACAATTACAGTAACTACTCTGAAGGAAAGCTAAAAATATTTAAAATTTGATAAATCAGTGGACATAAGCCTTTACGAATCAAGTTTAGATCCGCCAGTTAAATTTTCTCATTGGAGTAACATGAATAAATTTTCTAGCCCAATTCATTTTTTTTCAATCTGGCTTATAGTATAATGTTAATATTATATTTTCAACACAGAATGATATAGAAATTCCAGTACCAAAATACTACAGATATGAACGCAAGAAGATATTGAAGGATCGAGAGCAGTTGTTGGGAAGCATTCTTTCCAAAATGGGTCCAAGTTTGACAGATAAGGTAGATTTATTAGAGATATTTGGAGATTTCTTTTTCTTGTTGCTATATTATAATTAATTTATTGATAATTTCATCTCTATTACATATCTAGACCGATTTTGTATTATTCAAATTATCTTTTATTAAATTGCCTATAAATATAACATACATTTTTTGGCGCTCCTGAAGTATGCGAACCAAGATGACGCACAACCTGAAGCCTAACCGGGTACACATACTATGTTCAGGTTGTGTGCCATCTTGGTACACATACTTCGGGAGCACCCATTTTTTTATGAAAAAGCATTTAAACCTTGATTTCCTACTTTTCATCAATTTATATGAGGTGTGTTATTATTTTGTCTTTGGATAGGCATCCACATAAATGCAAAGAGCTGTACAATTCAAAAAAACTCAGTTATTTCTTTATTGACTAATTGTACCTAGTTTTTTGTGCCCTGTGTGAGACGGTGAACTGCAAGACTAACAATTGTTCGAATCTGTGGAGCCACACACCAGAGATAGTCTAATATGCTGGTCATGAGAAAAACATGCTGGTCATGAAAATACTAAGAAAAAACTTTGTTCAGGAAAAAGACGTGAAGCAGATGTCTCTTGAGGAAGCGATTCGACTTATTCAAGTTCATGAACGTGCTAGACAAGGACGTCTTCGAGCTAAATTTATGAAAGAGATTCGAATGGAAGAAGAGCGAGAAAGAGTTGCGGCACAGAGAGGAGCTCCCACACTTGATCCCGATGTTGCGGCAACAAGAATTCAGAAGGTATAATAGTTTTCAGACAAAAAAACTGAAAATTAATTTTTAGTCTTAATTGAAATCATAATAAATTGATAGGGCACATGCATATGTTGATATTTAACGTAAATATTAGTTAGTGACATGTACCCTCGCAGAATGTGATTAGGATCACCTAATTTGTACATAAAATTCAGTTCCTACATTTGTCATCACAATAAAAATCGTGCTAAGAACCAGTATACTAAATAAATGTACTATGCACTAAATGTGCTGTGAAGTAGTGACACTCACACACAACACAAGTTGATAACACATAATAGCAAGATTCATGATTGTCAGCTCTCGTAATGAACCAGTAGTACATTTTCTATGTTAAATAGCTGTTTTCTTCACATAGATCTGGAAAGGATTTGTCAGAAGAAAATTAACAAGAAAACAAAGAGAGGAAGAAATGATTTTCATTGGAATGGTTAGAAATATTTTAAAATTAATATGATTGTGGTTTCAGAAACCAGTTTTATGTTCGAATAGAAAATTATCAGCTTTTGTTTATCACAACTAACAATAAAGATAAGAAACAGAGCTCATTAAAATCAATTGGGAAAAAATCTCACGGCAAAATTTCTCTCAAAACAACATGTCCAAGTTTTTTTTTAAAAAATGGGAATACAGAATGTATAATTTCACCTAAGAAAATTTAACTTGTTATTAGTTATATTGGCAATTAAGTCAGATAGTTTTTGTGTCTTTTTTGCTCATTTACCTAATTATTTGCGTTCAGGTTCCAACGAAAGAGTCCAGACCAAAAAAATTTTTACCACAAACTCTTGCTGAAAACACAGAGGTATGGATCATTAGTACATATTATGAAATATAAAGTTTAGATTGTAGTCATTCATATGATTGCTCGATTTAGCAAAAGTTTTTGATCAAGTAGTAGATGTGTTAAAAATGTTTATTTTCTGTAGATTGAGTACGCATTTATATTGCAAGTTAGGGCTTTGTGTGGATAAAATGTATAATTGACCATACTTTCACCTCTGGCTCTGACATTGAACTCCAAGAAAATCAAATCTTGAAGATGATTTTTTACAAGCTTTATTTAATAGACTGCTGAAAATACTTTTCACTTATTAATCGAAAGTTTGGCTTATTTTATTACTATTGAAAATCTACAATCGTGACTCCGGGGAATGTAGTATTATGAGTCCAACTCCGGAAAGATTGAAATATGGCTTCAATTCTGACTCCATTGTGAAAATGCTCAACTCTGACAGGGAAATGTTCCTTATATTTCATGTAGATGGCACGTCGTGTAACACAAGATGAATATGAAGTAGAATACCAGCAAGCTCTTGTTACTGTAAAAGAGAAAATACGGGAAGTTGAAGGACCTGATATGAAGGAAAGAATGCAAGATCAAATTCGGCAATGGTTTATTGAATGCAGGTCTGTTTAATTATACAAAATACGAAATGTTTAAAGTAATTATAGTGAATCATAGTACTTAGATATCGTATGATGATGTGACAATGAGGATATTTGCATGTGGTCTTTTTCAGTTATAATGTTCATTTATTATTTATTATCTAACAGTTTAGAACAGGGGTGTGCAAACTGCAGCCCGCGGGCCAAATGCGGCCCGCAAGGCAAAATTGTGCGGCCCGCGGATAAGTGCCAATATTGAATGATATGCGGCCCGCAAAACGAGTGTTTAATCGAGTTTGATCCGGTATGTGAGAGTTATTCCAATTCCCGGCTGAACGAGTAATACGTAGTCTTCACAGGCACCGCCAATCCTGCGATTCTCTATTGCCTGTTCATTACACCCTACAATGTTGCAAACGTTTTTATTTTTCTCCCATTGCCAAATCCATTCAATAGTGTTATTGTCGAAAGAGGTGAACAAACTATAGTTCCTTACAACAATTAACTATTATCTCTGAACTATCTAACTAGGTTTTAAATTGTTATAAACAATTTTCACCACTTGGCGTAAATTGTCACGTTATGAGTTTTATGCAAAACTCAAGCATGATTTGATGGCCAACATCATTGCCGTTACTATACTGTAATGTTTTTTTACGAATGAAGTTAGAACACTCATTAAAATAAGATTTTCTTACCGCAAAAACGACATAAAATATAACCGTATTTGGTGCTTGAGTTGTGGAATAATCGCCTACTCTAGCACGCATCATATGGAGAGCTTTTCACTAAATTAAATAAAGTTTTTACCAAGTTACATTGCAGCGGTGTTACGACGACCATGTATTTTACCGTAAAAGTTGCTCAATCGCAAATATATTTATAGACCCGAATAATTCAAATATTTTTATCGAATACCGAATATTTTTAGAAAACCAGGACGCTCGCCATCCTAATGTTTGTCATTTAAATTACTGCCCGTTTATTCTTTTACAATTGACAATTCTTACATAAAGGGGATGTCGAAGTTTGGTTTTATATATCTGCCAGAACTATGCATTCACATCGGTGACGTATGTCAAGGACTACTAAGGAGTAAATTCAGGACTCGAGCTATTTTATTCTGATTTTATCTTTTTCATCGACTCTGTATTCATCATCACCGTTTGTGAATTAAGCATCAGAATTTTATACGAACAATATTTTCTTCACTTGCAGTGGAATGTGATATTTATGAAGTTGATTCTTATTATTGAATACTTATACTCTTTTTACTGCGTCTGTCTTGTTTTTGCAATGGATAAAAACTCTGAAAAGCTGCAAAATTAGTAGTTGAAATGACAGAAAAATAATATCGAGAAATCTTTAGTTTTTATATGTTAGTAAGAGCCGTGGGAAAAATATCATTGAATTCAAGGGTTCGATTTAGTGACGCGCAAATATCGAATTGACATTCCAAAATCTTAAGAGATTGACAATTTGAACGGTTATTGTGACATAACAATGTGCCAACACGACACCGCCCGTCTTGGTTGACGATTCAATTTCGCCCCTTCAAAATTATAGAAAGTATCTGCTTCTGCTTTGCAAAGCCTATAACGAACTCCAATTTATTATCTATGCCTATTAAGTTACATAGCTTTGAGTTTATTCGAACAGTCAATAACTATACCATAGTTACAATACCGTCCTTGCATTATACACATACGAATCTGCAAACGGAAAGGCGTATGAATCAACAAGTGAAAACGGATAAGTACGGTAGTTGCTCAACCCCAACCCTATTGAAATTTTCATGTGTTAAACAGAATGTGATTCATGTAATTCAGTTTTCTTCCAGAAATAATCACAGCATAATAATATTATCGCCTTTTCTGTGTTACTGTTATATCCTCAATAAATTATCGATCCTTATACATATCAAAATGACTTATTTCAACTTATTTCAATAGCTTTTTCAAGTGACCAGTTAGTTAAATCTCTAGTTTGCGCAGTATGCTAAAATACTAAATAGTACGATCATCCTATGATGTTAAATTATTATTCTGATGTACATTTAGATAGGTTACAGCTACGATAAAAATATATATCAACAACACTTCCGTTTATGATAAATATCTCATAACTGTTGAGATTGTGTGTGCATAAAAACACTCAGTTCATAAGATACTTGTTGCAGGCCTTTTATTGTATAGTTTCCTAGTTTAATACTTTTATTTTTATTCATTATTCAGAGATGCAACTGGTAAGTTTCCTGATTATCCTGATGAAGAAGATGGAGGATCAGCTCTTTTATTCAAGGAAAAAACACCTGAAGAGGTTTAATTTATTGAAGATTATTGCTTCTGAATTTTATTGATAAATCATTTGTACAAGTTATTAATATTATATAGGTTGAAGCTGAAATGGCTGCAAAAGAAGAAGAAAAAGGTGGAAAAAAGAAAGGAAAGAAAGGGAAAAAATCAGGAAAGAAGAAAAAGGGAAAGAAATCAGGAAAGAAAGGCAAGAAGGGAAAGAAAGGTGGTGGTGACGAAGAGGTATAATTAATAGAATTCTATTCGTGGCAAATGTTTTGTCATTTCTGGTTCAGAGATTGTTCAAACCATATACTCTCTTGCTTCACTGATTCGCCACTGTGCCGCCATTGATTACTCTGCACAGGGGTTGAATCCCATGAAGTATGATATTAATGTTGTAACCTCTATTCGATTGCGGTATCCTTTAACCAACCTCCATTGAAACAAATGAATTTTGCTATCTGATGTTCTCATATTGTGCACAGAGAATCACTTTGTTTGATTTCATTACCAATTGTATTTGTGTGGCTGCCATGACACTTCTTCAATTATATTAGAAATAATTTTAAACATTGGCATGTTTTTACAGTTTTACACCCTAATTGTCAATTTAAAGTTTTGATTTCAAAAATGTATGTACATATCAAATACCTCAATGGTCATTATGCCTCAATGTCATTATGTGAGGTGTTTTAGCTTAGACGCAGTAATCACAAAATTTTTCATCAAGAAAGCTGTGATAGACTAGCCTAAACTTAGCGATTTGTACTTCTAAATGGCAGGTGGGTAAATGTTTTGAATCAAAACCAGTTTGTGGGCACCAACTCGCGAAAAAGCTCTTGAAATGGGCAACAAAAACTTTGCAATACCTAAGATAACTATTTATGGGCTCTAGAGTTAGGAAACATCCATTCTGTACCGATTTGTCTTTGGATGAGAGTTCTCAGTTTGCAATATAATCAATTGATCTTATTTTCTTTCCTTTCACCCAGGATAAATTTTATTTGTTATTATCTCAAATTCATGCTATTGTTTTTATTTTCCAATCCCCTTCAGGAAGAAGAACCAGGATGGAAAATGGCTCCATCAAACTTTTTACCAGAGGTTGAGCAAGCTCATAGAGGGTTTCGAGGTACATTAGAAACAAACTTTATCCATTTATACTCGAGCAATACCGAAACTACCGTGAAACAACAATTGTAATTTTACCTACACTCCAACCTTTAAACCTGCTTGTGGACAAGTAGTAGATTTTGGTTTGACTAGTGGGAATTATGTTAATATACTTTAATTGTGAATCGACCAACTGATTCTGGTGGAGTTTATTTAACTTGGATAATCAAAAAATGCTTTTAAAATCAGCAGAATAGACTCTTAGTCCTTACAGCTATTCGAAGGTATAAAACAATTTACTGATATTTATATTATAATTATAATCATTCCAACACTAAAATGGGAAAACACTTTCAAATTGAGCATGAGAACTTCTATATGGTAAGGTATAGAATAGATTTTTTATAGGTCAACGGGAAACATTTATTATCGTATATTCTTGCATGCAAGCCGAGTTTAAAACTGAAAAAAGTTGGCAAACTAAGGGATCATCTTATACGGTCCTATCTCTAATTCTCTTCTGCAACCATTTGCTGTTATAGGTGTGTACGGCATGGTACGATTTGTAAGGTCAGCTTATATGCGAATTTTTATGAATTCACCTATTAGTTTTGATCATAGGGCAGTGGTTCTTAAACTTTTTCGAGCGCGACCCAAATCTGTGTTTTATGAATACTCGCGACCCAATCCTAAATAACGCAAAATGTGTTTTTAATGTTAGTACAGTTTGACTCAAATACAGACAACTATTTATTAGAAACAGTCCATTGACTCAGTGAGATTGATGAAACTGAAATTTCCTTTTCATTATATCTTCAATACACAGCTCTATTTTACTTAACGCAATACGCAAGTTGTCATGGGTATCGAGGCGATTGCGAGCTTAGTTTTGATACCGTCAGTGCCAAATATCCTCGCTCGCACAAGTGCCTTGTCGCGAATTGTAGCAGAAAAGGCGTCCGCTGTCCGTCGCAAACACGACATCCTAGCTGGCCTTTGGTATCTCTCGAGATGAAGTCACATTTTCTCTAGATATTGAATAATCTAATGTCGAGAAGCGAGCTTTTTCATTGCGTCGTCTATTACAATTTACATTACCAAAAAGACACCCATTTTTGGTTATTTTAATCCACTAAGACGACATTCCACGCGGTCAACACAACGACAAGCGACGTGCATGGTTACCGATACCATAAAAATAATACACGTGACTGGCATATCAGAATTGTGATGTAACAATGAGCTCAAGACAGTTCTTTCCGTGAATGAAATTTTATATTTCATTATTTTTGAATACCAGAGTTTAGAAGCTAAATTGAAACATTGGGAAAGCTGAAAATTCCTCCTTCTCCTCTTAGATTGCCCTTGCATTGACGACCTTGTCGCGACCCATTTTTAAACCTTCCCATACTTTAAGAACCACTGTCTTAGGGGAGTCTATTTGGACTTATATGCGAGATTGATCAGCTTATATGCGAAAATTTAAATCAGTATATTTCATCTTCGTTTTATTTATAGACGTGTGGATGACAAGAGATGAGAGTGGCAATTTTCAACAAAAACATGACAATGAATTAATCAAAGAAAAGAAGAGACTAGAAGTTGAAGATGAAGTTAGGAAACAAGTTGATGAATTAATGAGAGAGGAATTGAATAATTTGAAAATGGTGATTAAGTTCATTAACCCTTTCCATGCGATTTTTATTTTTTATTAAATAATCGTATTTGCTACGCCGATTTTATGCATTTGTACCCTCACAACTAATCGATCGACTAACGAAAAACTAATGATCCTCTGCTGCCCACTGACGACTCGTTTGAAAGCTTATTTAAAGAGCTTGCAATTGGCGATTGAAAAAAAAAGTTTTTTTTAAAAGTGGTGGTCTGAGTCACAAACCGGATAGAAAAAAAGCATTTTTATGGGAGTTGAAACTTCAAACCTTGATAAAAAATAGAAATATTCGCTAAATCCTTTACTGTTACCGCTTCGTGGTTGGCAAACAATAGCATAATATTGCTGTGGCAATTTCGTGATCTAACTCAAAATACTTTGGTAGATGGAAGGGATAATATGTCTTCTATTACCACCCAAAAATCACCGAAATTTGCATAAATTTAAAAAAAAAACACTCCCTCGTTACGCCGCAAATAAAATTCCCGTCGTAAACTAAAGCGAGATTTACCGTCGCCTATGTTAATCTCGAAGAAGACTTCTTATCAATAAACTAAAACCCGGAAAAATTAGACCAACAGTTTGCGACCGATTGCTAAATGAAACAGTGGAGTACATCAATGTACCCGCCGCAATCTAGCGACTTTTGTCGGTTAATAAAGCAAAAATTAAATTTCAATAACCGAGTATTTTATTACTAAAATAGTATCTTTGTAATCATTGCTGTTTTAAAGTACCATGGAATGTTAAGCTTCTGTTTGAACTGATTACTATTAACCTTTTATTATTTGGATACTTTTTTGTTTTACCTATTTAAAAAAGAAAAAGAACATAAATAGAATTGATGTACCGGTATGTTAATGCTTAATGCAAAATTTCAACTTTGTGTCATCAGTTTTTTCATGTCTAATCAAAAAATCTTGGTGTGAGAAATTTTACAAACTCAATGTGTCACACTTTTAAGAATTATTTTTGACTCTAAGTTTAATGAATTATATCTTCCAGGCACTTGATCGTGACAAAGGTAAGAAGGGGAAAAAAGGGAAAAAGAGCGGAAAGAAGGTGAGTTTAAATTTGTTCTGCAGTTTTTTTTCGTCTCAGCTGTTGTTGGTTCACGACACAGACAAATATAGATATCAGAAAATAGTCATATTGACTCCTATAGCCTGAACTTGTGTGTTGCTGTTAACAAAAATACAAGGATGTGATAATGCAGATTTGTTATACATAGGATAGGATTTACATATTTATCCAGGGGGAGAGGAAAGCCGATAAGACGGCTTATCCATATGGCGAACCACGGCCTCTCGTCCGGTTAACATTACAAGTCGGGTATGGGATTAGATTTACTGTATTGTTTGTTTTCGGAAGCATGGACTTGGTGGTGGAGGAAGCCGTAACCGACCAGCGGTTACGTGAACCACCCAACGACGGCGAGGAGTCCAGCAATCCTCTTGCACATAACCATCCCTGCATGGGATTCAAAGCTCACTTCATTTAAAAATAATCCCAACCACTGTCAAAGCAGAAATACTAGAATGAGACATTTAAAATATTCATATAGAATGGAATATAAAATAAAAATAAAAACACAACAAATTAATTTACGACAAACACGGACAAGTAAATAGTGTATAAATGCATGTGAATGACTGACAGACAGTTAATACATAATTATTGAACCTGAAAACGAACTATGATTACTTGCGACTCAAGATACTTATTGCTTGCTAAAGATCACATGAACTTTATATAAAATATAATATTTAGGATTCTTTGAATTTAATCCAAGTCGATTTCAAATTTGAATCTGTTCTTTAAAATATGCCAATTAATTATAATTTTATTTGTTTGAAATTTTAGGACCTCATCAGAAATTATATCTGATTGAATATTTTTTTTAAACCTTCTTTATCAAACAGAAAAAGAAGAAAGGTAAGAAAAGTGGTAAGAAGGGAAAGAAAGGAAAAAAAGAGAAAGATTTGACAGCTGATAGAACAATTGAATCATTGTATGAAGAACTTGTACAACAAGGAATCCTAGTTCGTTCTCCACAGGTATGATTTTAATTTCAGGCTTATTTTGGATAACCTCAAGCATTACCGCAATTCAATCACATTTAATGAATATATTTCTCAGTGTTTTTAATTTAATGATTTAATATTCATTTTTAATCACTTTATGGTTGGTGATTGACTCATCATGCTAAGCAATATGAACAGGCTTGGCAATACACTACTGATAGCATATAATCTTGGTATGTTCACATATTATAAAGCAGTGTTTCCCAACCTTTTTACCCTGGCGGACCGGTAGAATTAAATTAAATGTGTTGGCGGACCGGCAAAAACTTGAGATAACCGGAACAGAAACGAATAACATATATTTTTTTTTTTTTTTTTTTTTTTTTATTAATAAAAACATCACATTATCACAAGCTCAACTTTAAGGAACGATGGCGAGCGGAGGTGCAGCTAAGCTCCCGGCAGGGAACTTTTGCGGCGGTCACGTCGATGGGATTGAGTTTCATGAAAACAAGAAGGCGAGTATTCTCCACGACATTAAATAATAAAGAAAGACCATGTTGCATGGAAGTTAAATATATTGCAGGATATGGTAAACCGTATAATATTGACACGCGAAACGCAGTGAAGCATGCAATTTTACAATGCTTAAAACTAGAAGAAGTGGAGGCACTTGTCGAAAGAAGGTCTAATGTATTTGAGGTAACCGCAAAAAGCAGAGAAGATATCTTGAAATTAGATTCATACTTAATGTCCGGGAGAATGAAAAACATACAAGGAAGGCTTTTAAAGTCAAATTCGTCAAAAGTTATCCTGCGTGGTGTACCAGGTATATACAGAGAACAGGATATAAAAAACATAATTGTAGCATTTACCAACATCAATCCAGTGGGTATTTTGAAAATCTGGGAAGTAAAAGACAATGAAACCCCTTCTCTCCGTACAGGAAATTGGAATATCTTGGTAGAAACCAAGTATATGAATCTTTTTGATCTACCAAGTTATGTTGAAATTGATGGTAGGCAAATTTTTGTAAAATATGATGGACAAAAGCAAACTTGTCGTGCATGTGATAGTACCGAACACTTCGTTACAAACTGCCCAAAAAGAAAGAGTTCAACACATACAGTGGCCGCTGAGGAGAAGCCAGCAAATGAAAAAGGTACCGGTACCGGTATCCAGTTACAAGATCATGACTATCGTGGAGTGACAGTACACACAAAAAGCAATACTGAGACCATAATAGCACCAACACCAAAAGAAAATATACAAGTGGAAATACAAACAGAAAACGAAACAAAAGAAATGAAAGATTTTTATGAAGAATACATGGATACAGAAAATTTGTTTAGATGGGAAGATGTGGCATTTGTGGAAAAGAATGATGGTATATCTGATTCAAATAATATGCAGATAGACATAATTTCAAGTAAAAGAAATCGAGAAGAGGAATTTTCAGAAAAAACACAATCTACAATGAAAGCATCAAAAAACTCGAGTTTCTCAGAAAAATGTGGAGAATGTGAATTTGTAAACAAAATACCCAAGAACATAAAAGAGTTTACTTGTCCAAACTGTGATACTGAGTATTTTGTAACAAAAAAGTGCTGTAGTAACAAATACATCACTTATAAGAAAAAATTAATCACAGAAAATGGAAACAACATGATATGTGGTGATTGTGAACAGAGGATAGTCCACTTGTCATGTTGCAATTACTTGGAAAGTATGAAGTTAATAGAAGAATATATTGAATGCAGCAGATGTGGAAAAGGCCACTCCATATGTGCATGCCAAATGATAAATGACACACCAGGCATAGGGCAGATCTCCAAATGTTTAAATTCAAATTGTGAGTATTTCAACTTGCAATGCATGTGCGGATACAAACAAAACATCTTAGATGTGGAAAATCATGTATGCACAAATTGTGCTAGAATATACAGATGTGCTGAAGTGACGAAAAATGAATAAACTCAAAAAATGGCTCTGAAAATTACCACTTTTAACTGTAGAGGTTTACGGGATACAGTAAAAAGAAGGAACATATTTCAATTGTTTAGTCTGCGAAAACTTGGAATCATCTTCCTGCAAGAAACTCACTGGACAGATGATATAAGAAGCGAAATAAACACATTCAAAGGGTATGAAATAATTGCAGCGAATTATACGTCACACAGGGCGGGAGTTGCCATTTAATATCAGCAAAACTGTCATACAAGAAAATTTATCTAAATTGTGATCCAAACGGCAGGTATATACTTCTTCAAATGGAAATGGAAGGAAAAAACATAATGCTTGTAAACCTTTATGGTCCAAACAAAGATGACACACAATTTTTCTCACTCTGTTGCAAAAAATTGAAGAAAGGGAAATATTTGAAATTATAATTGGAGGAGATTTTAATACTGTAATGAATAATGATTTAGATAAAAGAGGGGGACAAGCAATACATAAAAATAAAAATGCTCAGAATCTAATTAACTGCATAGCAGAAGAAATGGGATTGGTCGATATTTTTCGAGAACTAAACCCTGGAGTAAAAGAATATACCAGAGAACAATATAATCCAACAGTCGCCTCTAGACTAGATTTTTTCCTCATATCTGCTTCACTTCTCGTATATACAACGAATAGTGAACACGAGACAAGTATTCAATCAGATCATCGAATGGCGAGTTTTGACATAGATTGGAAAAAGGAGAATCGTGGTCCAGGATACTGGAAATTCAACAACTCATTATTAATAGATGAAAAATATAAAGAACTGATACATCAACTAATAGAGCAAACAATGAGAGATCATTCTCATGCGTATGTTAAACCAACAACAATGTGGGATACAATGAAATGTATAATTAGGGGATACACCATTCAATATGCTTCAAGGAAGAAAAGGGAAAATCATAGAATCCGTGACAATCTTGAAAGGGACATTAAGGATCTGGAAGACAAACCAACAAAATCCAGTGAAGAAATAAGCAGATTAAATAAAAGTAAAGAGAAATTTGAAATCCTTATTGCGCAAGATGCCCAGGGAGCAATGGTTCGAAGCAGAATCAAACACGCCGAATATGGAGGCAAATGCAATGCATACTTTCTAAAAAGAGAAAAATATAATGTGAACAAAAATAATATCAATCTTTTACACTATAAGGAGAAACAAATCAAAGATCCACAAAAAATAGCAAACATAGCCGCTGATTTTTATGAAAACCTATTAACTCCCAAGACAAATTCGAAGACAGAAGATATCAAAACATATTTAAACACTGTACAGGCGACAAAACTTACTGAAGAAGAACAACAACAAAGTGAGGGTTTATTAACTTTGAGAGAATGCGAGAATGCACTGAAAGAAATGAGATCAAATACAAGCCCGGGGGAAGACGGATTCACAGTTGAATTTTACAGAGAATTCTGGGAACATCTCAAACAACTATTGCTTAATTCCTACAACTACTCAGTGGCAAATGAGACAATGAGTAATTCACAATCTAGGGGAATAATAAAGCTGCTACCTAAGCAAGGAAAAAATCTCAACTTCATTGAAAACTACAGACCTATCACCTTATTAAACATTGACTATAAAATTGCATCCAAAAGTATAGCTAATAGACTGAAAAATGTGATACAAAAATTGATTCACAATGATCAAAAAGGATTTACTAAGGGAAGATATATTGGCGAAAATGTAAGATTATTTTTTAATGTTAGAGACTTTTTGAAATATAAAAGGCTTCCAGGAATAGCACTCAACTTGGATATAGAAAAAGCTTATGATTCTGTTTCATGGAATTATCTTTTTCAAGTGTTGGAATTTTTTAATTTTGGTCAAATGTTTATTAAGTGGGTCAAAACTTTATATTTTCAAAGTCAAAGCACTGTTGTTAATAATAATTATAGTTCAAGAATGTTTCAAGTTAAGAAAGGTTTGAGGCAAGGTTGTAGTCTCTCACCATATATGTTCTTATTAATAATTGAAATATTTGCATGTAGAATGCGACAAAACCATAATATACAAGGTATATGTCTCGGAAATACAGAAATTAAAATTTCCTTGTTTGCAGATGACGCAACAGTATATTGTGATGGGTCACAAAAAAGTATTAAAACAGTATTTTCTGAAACCGATAATTTCTTTACCATGTCTGGGTGCAAGATAAATACGAATAAATGCCAAGCATTATACCTGGGTGCAAATAATAATTGGCAAAATTTTCCTATGCAAGACCGAGGACTTCAGTGGAACCCTAGCTGTTTTAAAATTTTGGGCATTAATGTGTGTGGAAATGATACGGATCTTTTTACTGTGAACCTTTTGCCAAAACTTCAAAAACTGAAAATGGTTGCACAAATATGGTCCAAAAGAAATCTAGATTTCCTCGGAAAAATCACTGTGATTAAATCTTTGATGTTGAGCTTATTGGTTTATGTAGTTTCCATCTTACCAGTAATACTGCCCAATAGTTTTATAATGGAAGTAAATAAGATATGCCATGAATTTTTATGGGGTTCAAAATGGGAGAGAATAAAACGTAAGACATTAATTGCACCTGTGAAGGAAGGGGGGGTCAATATGCTTGATGTGGAATCATTTCTCATTGGTCAAAAATTAAGATGGGTTAAATGTTTAATAAATGACGAAATTGATGTCTCATGGAAATCCATAGAAATGTTTTTCTTGAATTTGTATGGAGGAAAGGCTTTATTTTATGGAAATGTATATCCGCATGGAGTGTATATCAAAAATATGTATTCCAGATGTTTGAGAGATACTCTGTACTATTGGTTTATTTTCAAATCCAAGATTATTAGGGATGTAAGTCATTTACATGAACCTTTGTGGTTTAATAAAAATATAACTTGCAAAGGAAAACTTTTATATATGGATGATTGGAATAGTAAAAATATTTGTTTCGTTGAAGATATTTGTGATTCTAATCAGCAACTTGCAATGTTTCCGTATGTTTTTCATCATTATTGTTTTTCTAGTTTTTATGATGACATGCTAGCGTATTTAAAAATTATATCATGTATACCCCAGCAATGGAAAACTAATTTATCAAAAACCTCACCAGTCAATCCACATCTTAGTCTTATCGAAGATATTAAAAGCATTGATAAAACGTCTCGATATATTTATGATAAGCTTCGTAATGAAAAAATTTTGCCGCCAACTGAAAAAATAGAAAAATGGTCAAAAGAATTGTGCAGGAACTTAGATAATTGGTTTACATTGTATGAAAAAGTTTTTTATTGCTCTATTGAATCCAGACTTCGTTCATTCCATGTCAAATTTGCCTTGCGAGCAGTGCCCACTAATGACCTGCTATATAGAATAAATAAAACACAAAGTCCAAAATGTACATTTTGTAATATGCATGTTGAAACCGTGTTACATTTATTTTATCTCTGTGAATTTGTGCAGCAATTTTGGGAAATAATTAACGCTTGGCTAACCGTTGAGTATGGATTAAACTTCAATTTGACACATAGAGAAATGTTATTGGGGGTAGGGCAAAATCAGGGTATAAACTGTGTTTTATTATGTGCCAGATATTTTATATACAAATGTAAACTGCGTAATGAAAGGCCTCAATTTTGCCAATTTTTATATATGATAAAAAATATTATAAACTGTGAAAAGATTATTGCAACTAAAAATGGTAAACTGTCAATCCATAATAAGAAGTGGAAAACTATTGTGTGCTCGTTTTTTTAAAATGCAATTGTATTTGTGCTATTGTGTCTATATAAATGTGTTGTGAATAACATATATTTGCGTAATATAATGCAATGTCGGGCACCCAATATGCTTCTAAACACAGAGTAAAAAAAAACACAGAGAAAAACTAATGCGGTAACTGGTTGAAAATACGGACAACAGTTCGATTGCTCGATTATTTAGCGATGGGTATTCGTTATCAAGAAATATCCAAAATTGTTTCAAGTAATTCTGTTTTAAATCTGGACTGTAAAGTTTAATCACAATTTTAATCAAGCTTTTTCTTTTTCGTCGGGTTTATCATATTAATCCCTCTGCAGTTGATTGACGCCTCGAACGAATGAATTTACATTACAATGATAAAGTTGTTGATGACTTGGCACCAAGCTCAAAATCCTACTGTGTCTGCTCAAAATACTGGAAAAGATCTCTGCGGCCCATGCTTTTTTGCGCGTCTCGTGGCCACCTGTATGGTCGCAACAAGTTCATACATCACTGGAAAACTATACTGTTTTTGACTTTTTTCTGGTTTAAAAGGAAAGAAATATGTATAACGTATGCTATGGATGGTTATATTAATTAGGAAAAGCAGGCAGAACAGAAAAGCACGCGTTCCGTTTTTTAGGATTCCGAATCTTGCCAGATTTCATAGAGCGCATTCGCGATGAATCGGAGCCGAAAAAGCGAAAAGTGTGATTGCTCTGCGTCAAGATGTCGCGAAAGACGGCGCCATGATGTCACGAAAGATGTCGCAATATGACGGCGGAAAACAAAAAAACAACGAAGTTTCTCGCGGACCGGCACCGGCCCGCGGACTGGCGGTTGGGGACCACTGTTATAAAGAATAATTATGTTTAGTTATGAAATACTGAACTTCTCACCATCACAGGCAGGCTAGTTCTTGTAAAATCTTCTTGGTTGGTTCCTCACACCAAAGTCTCTGCATATGAAACGATTAATTGGGTGGCTATTTTTATACTTAAAATGGTAACTAATGGAAAGGTTGTATATCACCATGTGGTTGATTTCTGAAATGCTAGACCAAATTATTTCTGACTACGCTCCGAAGGATATAGGTTTTACAGCATTTGTATTAAGATGATCTCGTTTGATTGTATGCTTCTATTAGCGACTTTTGTTGAACTTATATCCATGTGATTTTCTGGCTTTACGGAATTTGTTCATATTTTCTATAATATATCGAATGCCCTGGATGAATATGTGAATTGCTATTCATTTATAAGTATAAAACTTTCAATTGCCAGATATATTTAAAAGACTACATCGGGGATTACAGCTATCTTGGAACAACTTTAAGACAAGCTGACATTGAACCAATGCCTTCATTATCTGATGTCAGACAACTTGTTGCTTTGTATGGGATTCTACCTCTTGGTGGGTTTAGATTGGATATGTGTTCAATTTTTTATAAGTAAGCACACATCAGAATGATGTGCCATTAGAAGAGTTCAATTTGTTGAAAATTAATAATGAAGCGATAGATCCACTCTGGCCACCATGGACAGGATTAGGGCTTCACATATTTTTTCTGGGAAACAAAAAAATAAGAATTATGTGGACCATTGGCTCTCATTCTAATACCAGTCTAGGTCAGGTATGGGAATAGCTAACCATTTTGTGTTCCAGGTGCATGGTCTTGAATGGTGCTGTATTCAACCAGTGGTTAAATGAACCTTCCCTTGTTGCCAATCACCTCGTCTCAATCGTCTCCCACAACCACAAGACTCCTGTATCAAAAGAAAGGAAATGGTTTTGCATAAGACCGAGTCACCTCATTGCCATTTATAGTTATAAATTCGATCCAATTTCCAATCCAATTGGCTCAATTAATATTGATTAAACTGTTCTATGTTTTCAAACGGTTGATATAATTTTACAGGATCACAGTTTGTTCACCAGAACATGCCACAAATAAAGTCTATTTTACTTGCTGGACCTCGGGGTGTTGGAAAGAAGATGCTTCTTCATGCGATTTGTACTGAAACTGGAGCTAATTTGTTTGATTTAACACCTGAAAATATTGCAGGAAAATATCCTGGGAAATCTGGCTTAGCAATGCTGATCCATATGGTCACAAAGGTAAAGTATAGACTTTAGAATCTTGTATTCTGGTTAGGTAAAGTCATTTGAAGAATATAATTATGGCCTCGACCATAATTGAGCAAGTTGTATTTGTAAGTAAGATTTCTAGGTGCAATGAAATAGATCTTATATTCTGATCCATATGTCAATACATTTTTTTGGTGCAAAGGTGTAAATGAGAATCAAATGAATATCTTAGTTGTTAGCACTCATTGTAAAAGTTTTTGAACCATGGGTCAAGTCAAGTCCTGGGTTATCCGAGTCCGAAGTCGAGTCCATTACTGAGTTATAGTTGATTCCGAATATGAGTTCATTTATTTATTACAGTACACAACAATGGCATTTACTGTGCAGTTTTTGTGTTTGCCTGTGTTTATTGATTTGTTTTTGTAACTTGATATAGACCATGATGGTGTGGTTCAATAGAATTGAATTAAATGAACTCAGTCCTTTCCAGTCTTTGATGAATTGTGGCTCAAGTCAATGACTAAAACCCCCCCAACACTGTTAGCACGTCGTCAAAACTTTGTTGGCGTCACTGGTTAAAAACCTAATGCCTACCACTAACCACTTAACATAGGATGTAATAAATTTGGATTGGCAAGACCAAATTGGAAAAATTGTAGTTCTTCTTATACAACACCCCATAATTAATAAATGCACACTGTTTTCAATGCAGACAAGCTTATATTCAATTCTGAAACTCCAAATCAAATCTTGTAAATTATGCTTTACATATTATTTAACAGGTGGCAAGAGAACTGCAACCGTCTGTCATATTCATTGGAGGTTGTGAAAAAACATTCGTCAAGAAAGCACCCAAAGGGGATAAAACTGATCCAAAGAGATTAAAGAAAGATTTACCGAAAATATTGAAGGGATTCAAACCAGAAGATAGGTGAGAATAAACTATCTCTCGAGGCCAGTTAGTGATTTCAGATGTGTGAACTTGTGTGTTGAAAGAATTATAACTAACCAGGAATTATGTGGACTACCTTGTAATGGTTAGGACCCATGCATGTTACCTAATTGTTGTTGGGATAATTTTCTTTCGGCTCAAAGTAAGACTTATTATTGCCTTAATATAGCATATTTAATAGTACTGTAATGAATTGTAACTCCTAACTGTTTCTTGTAGATTTTGAAAAAATGATTGTATATTCGAAAATGTTAAAAAGCTTGTTTTTTGAATACCGGTACTTTGCCCTTTGAACGTGTTTTACTCTCAATACTGGTTGTTTTTATTTCAGGGTCGTTTTGGTTGGAACATCTGTTTCTCCATTTGATGCAGAATTGAAACCTTTTGTAAAAACATATGAGAGGATTATTCTTATTCCAAGACCTGATTACGCATCAAGATACAGTAAGTATGCTGGTCATATACATATAATACTGCATTATATATACCACAGCAGGCTGCAGATCAATAATTTCAACGGTTTTCGATTACGGATTCTTTCACCATCAAGTCCATGCATCTGAAACAAATAAGTGTCTAACTAATCCCATACCCGACATGGACTAGTAATCCAATCCTATCTATCCAATCCGACCTATCCAATCCTTCATCAATTTCACTAATGGCGGATTGGGAAACATAATCAAATTTCACGATTCTTAAAATCAGGATGTTTTACCCTAATCATAGTTTTTTTTGCTCAACAGATAATAGATATCTGGTGTCGAGAATGAAATTTTTATCCTATCTCAGGTGTTGGTGCCACAGTTGGGTTTTTGAATGGGTGGACTCTTATAACACTTTTCTACTTGCACTGCATGTTGGCATATGTACCTCTTGGTTTGCCCTAGTTGACCTGTTGAATGAACGACAGCAGCAATGACTTGACATACGACTAATTTCTCCTAGTGGCATCTGTCTAGAATTTAGATGAACATTCAAATTGCCCTTGAAGTTTTACATTTGATTAAATATATTATACTTCATTTAAAGTTTTATGGAAGCATCTTATCTTGGAACACAATGGCATTATCACACAACATCTTGATGTCAGTAGTTTAACAAAAATCACTGATGGGTATACGCAAGGTCATGTTGTTGAAGCTGTCAAATACATCTTGACAGAAAGAAGAATTTCTCAGGTTTGAATATTTATGTATTATTTTTTATTGCAAAGACTATAATTGATGTAAACGTAATATATAGTCTTTAAGATAATTGATGGTTGTTAACAGAATTCACCATCGACTCCAGAGCATTTTAAAAGAGTTACAGAATTATGATGTCTGTTTTAAAATCTCAATTTTTTTTTCAAAATTTCTGCTATATTTTATAGTTTCACTGCACCACACATATTGAAATGGAATTTCTTCTCCACTATCTTATAATCGTGTGTCATATTTTTTCATAGTTTTACTGATGGTTCAGTGAAAAGCATTCACAATGAAGTAGCTTTGATTTTCAGGTTGTTTCAACATTTTTATAAATTACCAAACACATTGATCTTATACATGTCGCATTGTTGAACATATTCAAATCGAAATCCTAATGCTTCCTTCTTATTATATCATATTTTCTTGAATATTTTAAATTTCAACGTCTTTTCCAGCTTTCTAAGAAACCTCTTGCTGCCGTTGAATTTGTTTCTCCACTTGCTCGAATTGATCCAATTTATAAAGAAGAAGAGGAAGCATTTAAGGTAAGCTATACTAGCAAACGTTTAATTGTCTCACTTAATTTATCTTCAGTTTATGGGCTTAATCCCTATCTTTTGCTTTATTTTCTTTACTTTATTTATGAAAAATTGGCTGATAAAATGATAACCTTGAATGTTCAGATGGTATTTCGTTAACATATGGTGAATTTTTTTTTAAATAGACTTTCTAGTTCATTTTTATAATTTTGGAATTAATCTTGGTAACACACTTATTATTGGTTTTCCGCAGCCTAAATTTAAATACGGTTCACCATATTTTAATTGATTTCTTATTATTTGCTATTATTTTGCTTCTTTGCCAACTCAGTCTTGGTATGGTAAAACTCCACTCGGCAAAAAGAGGGAAAAATTAGCCAAAGGAGGAGATGAAGATGGAGATGGCGGTGGAAAGAAAGGAAAAGGAAAGAAGAAGGGAAAGAAAGGAAAAAAGAAGAAGAAATAAACTTTTGCTTTATCATGCTTTTTTCCGCAAGTTTCAGTTTGATCCAGTGCTTTCAGTTTTGCCGATCTAGACTTTCTTAACTCAAATTAGATATCATTTTAATATTTCGATATTCCAGATTTTAAAATCATGGAAAATAAGGATATTCTGTTTAAAAATGTAAATTGATCCCATCAGTATTTGAAAAAAATAAGGTTTTTGGTTAATTATTTCGATTTTGATTTTATTTTTCCTCAACAATTATGTTGTGCTTTTTAATTTTTTTGTCGGTTTCAGCTGGTAAGGTTTCAATAATGCGAGTGCAAATTTTATTATGGTACTAAGATTAATTTACACCTATAACACTGTATGAAGACATTTGATATGTATTTAATATATTAGAAACTATTTTTGAATTGTTTTTATAATAAAAATGACATTTGACACAAAAAAGTCTAAAAGAAAGAATATTCATCGTATTAACTCTTTCCGTGCGGTGGGCACGTATACGTACCCACGACAAAACTCGCTAGATTGCGGTGGGTACGTTGATGTACTCCACTGTTTTATTTAGCAATCGGTCGCAAACTGTTGGTCTAGTTTTTCCAGGTTTTAGTCTATTGATAAGAAGTCTTCTTCGAGATTAACATAAGCGACGGTAAATCTCGTGTTCGTTTACCATGGGAATTTTATTTGCGGCGGAACGAGGGAGTGTTTTGGAAATTTATGCAAATTTCGGTGTTTTTTGGGTGGTAATAGAAGACATATTATCCCTTCCATCTACCAAAGTATTTTGAGTTAGATAACGAAATTGCTACAGCAATATTATGCTATTGTTTGCCAACCAAGAAGCGTTAACAGTAAAGGATTTAGCGAATATTTCTATTTTTTATCACGGTTTGAAGTTTCAACACCCAAGAAAAAAAAAATCCTTTTTTCTATCCGGTTTGTGACTCAGGCCACCCCTTTTAAAAAATTTTTTTTTTTAAATCGCCAATTGCAAGCTCTTTAAATAAGCTTTCCAACGAGCCGTCAGTGGGCAGCAGAGGATCATTAGTTTTTCGTTAGTCGATCGATTAGTTGTGGGGGTACAAATGCATAAAGTCGGCGTAGCAAATACGATTATTTAATAAAAAATAAAAATAGCACGGAAAGGGATAAATATTCGAAGAACTAAGGCGTTATGATTTGAGAAAATAATTACTTTGAAGTTTGACTCCAATGTTGGATTCTAAATCATTACGTAGTTGCGTTTTCCATTTTCAAAATCGATATCTGGTTATAGATAAGAAGCTACTCACAATTCTGCAAATTTGCGAATAGAGGTCTCTATTCAAAATACAAGTGCCATCATTTTGTTACCTTATTATCATTGTTGAGCGCTGGTAAGTTCAAAGAGAAAGGTGAATCCGGGGGTTGGTAAACACGGATCACAAGTTAATGCTTAGTTCACTACGTGGCCCTCGTCCCCCATTTTTATCGTTTGCCCACAGGTAATGGTGCTGATGGTACTCCCATAATTTATTTATTTCTTCTGTGTTTTAATTTTTGATTAACGCAGAATTGGTATATGAAAACCCCACTCGGGAAGAAAAGATTAGAAGCAGCGAAAAATCCGGATGAAGAAGAAGAAAGTGGAAAAGGAAAGAAGGGAAAGAAAAAGAAGAAATAAAATCTTGTAGTAATAATTGGATAAATATTGTGCTCCCTCAAACTCATAGTGTATAATATATTTACTTCAAAAACCTAGTAACTGGTAGTTTTGATGCTAAATTACTTGTATCGCAATTACATGGTTACATGAAAAAATTTCCATTTCAAGGCTTGTACTTGGATATTTAAATGTTTTATATATGGCCGTCACGCACTCTCCGCACTCTATACGCCCCAATACAAACTCACTGGGTCAGTGAACCGTATGTACAAGTGATTAAGCGTAACAGCGATACAAATGCAGAAATTTATCATGGAGGCTTTTGATGGCCAAACAGCATGCAAAATTGGTTACAAATTTGAGAGGCGTTATCTGGGCGGTCCGCCACTTTTCTCACGAACTTCCGGTTTGGTTTAATACAAAAAAGTTCAGACGGAATGCCTAATTAGGCGATTCAAAGCAAGCCAATGGTAAAAAGCATGTTCTTGCTATTGTTTTGACTGAGAGGAGAAACGCTACGCCACATACATGACCGCAGGGCACGTTCGACACCAAACAAGTGCATTATTGCCTATACACGTGTCATATGGGAAATATTAGAAGACTACTAAATTCAAAATATCATATAATTAGCAGTTCATGCATCTAAAACATAATAACTGGCTAGCAGCTAACTATTTCCATACCCATCATGGACTGGTAACCGGACGATAGGCTTGGGTTCGCCTTATGATTTAGCTGTTTTATCGGCTTTCCTCGCCACCCCCAGGCTAAATTGGTAAATCCCATCCTATATCATCAAAGTGTTTTAAAACATACTAATTTAAAAATATCAAAACAAGCGAAATACATCCAACAATTCGAAATAACATTACACTGTCGCCCATTGTGGCATCCGTAAAGTCCCTGTTTCGTAGTCAACGTGACACATCTCATAAATGTGCTTTCAACCTTCTGCACGTTTACACCTTGAAAACCAAACGAAGGGAGTGTCAAGCACGGGCCCTGAGAAAATGAACCTGCGCTGTGGCTTTAGCCAGACGTATCCAAAGCATTAAGTTGACAAAAGAGTTCATTCTCCGAATATTGAACGAGTATAACGTCGTTTTCGATGTTAAACGTGACGCGCAAACGTGTACGTCATTTTGACGTCAAAGGTCTATAACCAACCGGACGCACATATTACTCACATCTCAGCACAGGTTTCTAAATTAGTTTGCGTATAAAATTCTGATTGAGTCACGGATATTGGCGTAGACTTCATTGATTAGATAACAATAGAATTACACACGAGGAAGACCATAAACTGATACGTGAATGACCTCACGTTGTTGCTTACCACCTATTCCACTTTACACACATGTGTGACTTTTTTAAACTCTGGATTAAAAAGCTATGTAAAAGTGAAAATTCCGAATCAATATGACAGACTTCGTTAGATTCTAGGAATATTTGACAACCAAGCACCACAACGTCAAAAGTACTCAGTTTACTTAAGTAATGTAAGTCTATGGACTGGTAGCAGCCGTATCGCAACACTTTCCTAGCTTGACACCAACATTGAAAAATATTTTGTTTCTCTCCATCTGTCTTTAGTTTCGACATTGCGTGGGTGGATTGCGCCATCAAATGAGTTCCCAATCTATTTTTGTCCATCGTTAATGTATAATGAACTACAGGTGCCCAGGTGAAACACCAGCATTTGCTTTGGGGATTCCTCCCTACAGAGTACTGTACAAAGAATATGGTCTAGTTGGAGAACATCGAGACAACAGTTCCTGGTACACCCGCTTAAGACAACAAATGAATATTCCCCAAGCTGCCTATTCAATAACTGGCTGTTGAGATTTCAACAACATGACACAATACCTTTACTATTGAAATAAATTTTATTTTCGAGTGAGAAAAAGGAAAAAATACAATTCAAGAGGTTGAAGTTGAAATAAGCCAGCAGTTTGCGGCACATAAGATATATTTTATCACCATACCGAATATATTAAAATAAAACAGCAACAAATTTAATTTTTAAGATGGACTTTTTTTTCATTTGAAAGCTTCGCATACAAGAATAATAGCACAATAAAATTTAATAACATAGGCAATAACGCAATTGCAATTTAGCCGAACTTAGTTTGGAAAGCACAAAACAGCCAAATTGAAAAATATATTTTAAAAAGATACAAAAAAAACAGTAAAATTGTATGTTAGTCGGATCGTGCAAATTTACTTTTCATATTCAAAAAACCTGGTCAAACTGTGACATCATATTGAGTTTGGCTAAGCATTGAGGAGATTCATGTGCTAAAATCAACTAAAAATGGTTTGAATTTAGACCAAAACTCCATACAACTTCTATTTTCTAACTTGAAACAAGGGCAACTTTGAACAAAATGTACAACATTGTTCTGATGCCCATAGGTTTCTACACAAATACAATTACGATACTATGAATAACATAAAAAAAGTTCCACTGACTTCATTCATATTTATTCACGGCTTAATAGATAGGGGCCGATGATCAGATTTACACAAATACAATATTTTCTGACAGAGAAGCACAATGACATAACAAAGCGGAAAATTTTTTACACGATACAAAATATATATACTGTATATAGTAATGAATAGTGGTGAAAACCTATTTCACAAGAATTAGTTTCAGATTCAGCAAAGTAATCTTACTCCTATTTAATTTTAACTGATAAAAAAGTGTAATTGAGATTATGCAGGACTAGAAATGAGAAGAAAATGACAATAAAAAGTTAAGATCATAAGGAGACAGACAGGTGAGAATTTAGTACAACACACAGCTGTAAAGTTAGAGCGAAACAAATGAGGAAAACAGAAAACAACAAAAAGGCTTCACACATACTTCACTGCATGGGTTAATCTCAAAAATAGCAATCCAGTTGCTTTTGCCATCAAAATGTAAAATCAATTTTCAGTTCAGCAAGTGGGTGGTCATAATAACATATTCATATGATCTGACTCTAATGTTTGTCACATGGATTCTTCACAATCACATGGGAGGCCAAATTTTCAATATCAATTTGAATTTTTATAATTCACATAATTATATTTTGTTAACCAAAATGGGGTTATTGGTAAGAATAAGGGAATCTGATATTGTAATGAATTAGCCCATAATCAAACACCATAAGTCTACAGTTTTTATTTTTTAACTGAAGAACTATCCTCAAAAAGTTTACCTGGTTTTGCATGACCCAAAATTAAATACTTAAATATATTAGAGGTCTATAACGTGAAACCTTGACAGTTGACACTTTTGTGAACACATACCATACGGGTACACATAGAAAGACAATAAAAACGACTCATTCTGATTCGGAAAACTTAAGCATGTATACATCCTATTGTTTTCAATACTTGGCTTCCAAAAGATATGCTGTTTAAAGGGTATCATATATCCATAGGTCTAATCATGATAAGCCCGATTTAGAATCTTTGTTGGAGCTTCACAATTATTAATAATACTACATGTAGTTGATGGGACCACATTGCTGAAATTACTTTTATAACAATTATGCTGAATTAAGATCTTATATTTTTGTTACAAATAATTCACATTTACTAATGAGTTTTCAGAATCAAAAAAGATTTTGAGGTGTGTTGTTAACTGTAGCGAATTTTCAATCAACAGTGGACTTTTTCACATGTGTGGACTGTGGATATCCCAGGATTTTTAGTATTAGCCAAATAAAAGGAGAATAATTGAAACATGGTGACTGAAAATTTTTTTGGGTTAATTGAGCTTAGAGATTTAAAATGAATCAACAGTTATTATGGCGAGATAATTATATAGCTTATTTGACAGTCTCAGGTGGAAATGCCTGAAAATTTGAACAACAAATTTCGCAGAAAAACTGGTTTATTATCTGAATAAATATAAATACCGATTTGTTTAGAAACTTTTTATTGAAAATAATTTTCTGTCATAAATATCTGAAGTTTTTATAAATGTGCTAAAGTAAATTTTGCATATGACACAATTATGAAGCAATTTCAAATAATAGAATGAATTCATGTTTTAAATTTTTCAAGTGTTTCACATATTCTCCTACTGAATATATAGTTTCTCATACTGGATATATAGTTTTCAAATATCTGTTCAAGGTGTTTTACAATAGAATTAATTCATTTTTAATGCAGAATAATCAGTACCTAAGGTCCTAACCATGCTTCATTTGAAATATGAACTTATTAAATTGAACCCCCAAAACTAGGATGTATATCTTTTAGATATGGAACATCCCCAAACCTTAAATCTATTTTTTTTTTAATATTTGTGAATATAACATAGTACAACAAAAACAATAAAACACAGAGAAAATAAAGATACATTTCATTTCGCACACATATAGTTTTTTATTTGTTAGGGGTATTAAAAATAGATATTATTACAAAACGACATCAGAATAGTATCATTATGTAGTGATAAAGTTTTACACAGGTACAAAAAATTTGACAAAAATAAGAAAAATACACCCAACAATGAGAGAATTACAATAAAGAATAACGCATCACAAGCTAAAAAATATGACCCTTCCAAACAAAAATTAGACATTCTAAGCTTATTTCATGAATATGTTAGTTGCTGATGTATTGATATGTGATTAAATTCTACATAAAATATATGGAACTGTCTACAAACATACCTCTATACATAAATAACACTTCGAACAACAATCGAAAATGAATTTTTTTCAGAGCCACTTGCCCTAATTCAAGTTTACCATCGAGCCAAATTAGGCCGAGGGTCATATTTATGACTGATGGCATACGGATCACTCTTATAGTAATGAATTATAATATCCACAATCCTCAGGTTTGTGCATTAACAGGTTTCAATAAAGAGTTCAACTATTCATAAAACATTTACTTTGGCCTATTACACCTTACGCTGGCACAGGGGCCGGCTAATTTGCATATTTTTTAAGGATCCAATAGTAAAATTCAATTGATTATTTCAATTGTTAACTTGTAATGCGACCATGAATTTGGATTAAAATAAAAAAAATTGGGCATAATGACGGTTTGTTAAACCCTGAGCCAATGGTTTGAAATAATTTGGCGCATTGTTAAGTGAATTACCGAATAGACATATAAAAAATAAAGTTTTGGTTGATATACACAGGTCACAAGACAGTCATATGATACCTAAAACCAATTATATATATAATTTTTTTTTTTCAATATATTAATAATACACTCGTATATAAACACAATTTATGATATTTTAGTTTCGGGAACTGAATATTAAATAACATTCTGTGTCGCCAGTGTCAGTCGGACAAATGCATAATTTAGGCACCAAAAATTCAACACAGTTTTCCCTTGAATTTAGAACTGGAGACAAAACACACAATACAAATTTGAATGGGCCTGAATATATTTTTTTCAAATTTTCACAGTGATTCTTTGGCCGCATTTGGTGTGGAAAATGTTTTGAAAGGCGATAGGTGAGTTTACCTGGTTGGTTGGCTGGCTCGTAGGGCAATAACGATAGCATTTGCATAACAAAAAATTTTTGCGACATGAAAATACATATTCATTTTTTATGTAAAGCAATACAGTACTTGGAATTTCAAGACTCGAGAATATATCGACATGTATACGATACATATTATGGAATTTTCAAATGTAAGCTCCCATTTCCATGGCGAAGCTTGAAATTACAGAAAGTATTTTCAGCCAGAGAAAAACAATTAATAATATGCAGTTCAAAAACAATTATAATAAATCCTAAGCATGATGGCCTAGGAATCTTACACTTAAGGTTTTTATATGAATCTAACTACTTCAACAACATATAAAAACGAAGAATAGATTATTCTCCTATGCTATTCATACATTGATGTGGGAAAAACCACAGCAATATAGAAAAGTGTTGATATACCAATACTAAATTCCGTGCCCCAAATGGTCATTTATTTTTATTAAGTACATTGGCCTAATGAGAGTAAATAGGAAGCACAACAAAACCATAACGAATTTCTAAATCAGATTTCAATAAATGAAATAATAAAAGCGGATAACTCCCTGATTCAATTTGCCTAATATTATTAGGGCATGGGAAATTAGCCTTCGCTTGTTAGGAAATTTTTGAAGGTCAATAAAATTCATTTTCTTAATAATATTAATATATAGAAATATATATTTATTTTTAGGAATAATCAGAGTCGCAAATGTAGTCATTACTGGAAGTGACGAAGCAAAATGTTTATGATTAAAAGGAAAATGTTGACCTGGTTCATCAGAGAGACATGCTACGTGGAGACAATCAAAATTTCAGGCATGCTGATAAGCATACCGTTGGCATCGTTGTTGGCCGCTGTCATAACTTGGATTAACTCGTCGCTGCTGCTACAGCTTGTGTCCAAAACATCAATAATTTCATCTGTTCATTAAAAAATACAGAAATTTACATTAATTTAAAATATAATAAAAACGCTAATCAGGTTGAGGCTATAGAAACAAATTAAAACAATTTAGATCACCAAGTCTTATTAACTATACTATTAGAACATGGAATTACACCCATTAAAACTTTAATCAGTCAAAGCAATGTGTAGTTAAGATCATTGCGAATAAGTTCAATATAAGTCATATTACTCTCCTCTAAAATAGAGACAAAACTAATTTTGATTACTGATAATATGTGGAGGATTTTGGTATCCAATCTCATGATTTATCAATAATGACCCATCATATAAACATTTAGAAAGCAATGTTTCAAATGAATAGAAAACGTGCAGGCTTAAAAATGAATTTCATAACCTCGCATTTGTGACATTAGAACGCTGAAAAACTTTGGTTAAAATACAAGTCAAAATGATTCGCATATAAAGTCAATAGCCACACCATTTTAAATACTGATAAGATCAGAAATGATCTTTAATTCAATTCCATTCTGATAAAATACAAAAACATGTAGGCCTACTGGGAATTTCTCAGTCTAATAAGTTTTCCTTCAAAAAATGTTATTATTAGGGAAAAATTTGGGATACGCAATTCAGTATTCTGAATCAATTCATATTAAATATAGAGGGAAATTTAAAAAACCTAAGTTTTATTTTTCCAATGTTGATCAATACCACAGTCCGCAGAATTAAATTTACAATGAAGAACTTTTTATTTGACATTGATATAATATTTGTCACACTCAAAGAGACAATTGACCTCATGAAAGGCACTAAATATTAATAGCCTTACTCTGTTTAAATATTAAACTACTGCATATCATCAATGTGATGCAAATGTTTGATAGCATTCGCACGCACGCAACAACTCGAAAAAGAGAGAATAAGATCTTCAGATTACAAACAAAATACCAGCTGACTCAAGTCTGAACTTGCCCAAGTGTGGCTTTAAGTAAATATGCTTAGGTGTGTGACGTTTGTACGCTTCGATGACTAACACCAAAATTACTTGACGTGCCATGTGACCTACATCAATTGTGTTACAAAGAAACGGGAACTTGCGAGTTGTGATCCAACACGGTCCAAAATATCCTTTCAATAGGTATATTCGATAACAAATAATACTATGATACACGAAAATTATCATTGTCCAATGAGCATTGCAAGATGGTATTGTAATTTCAATAATGTATAAGATTGCCTTGCTTCTGAGAAATGTTTCGAATGATGTTGTAATATGTAGCAACACAGTTATAAAATTTAATAACAAAAATAGGACAGAATAATAGACAGTTTTTATTTGATTTATTATTAAATTATGGCTTCATTGGCAGAAATATCCATTGATTATCCGTTTATGTTAAGTATTTCAAAATTTGAATGTTTCATTCTGAAACCAAATATTCAAAACTTATTAACTGAAATGTTCAAATGTTTCTGCAGAATACAAAATGTTGTGCACAAAAACATGGTGGAAGCAGAATCTTTTGATAAAATTATCTGTCTACTTACAAACTACTTGAGGGAGTATATACTATTGCATAATATTAAACCAAATATAGCAGGCGGTTGCTGAAAGGCTTATTCAAATTAATCGCTCTGATGAAGTTTGTCTGTATATACATTCAAAATGTTGGCTTGACCATATTGTTCGCTTCTTGCTAGTTGTGCATGCATTGCTATGAACCTAAATAAGTTGTAACAAAAATACACCTACCTTTATCAGAATCGTTTGAGCACTCAGACAGTGAAGTAGATCCGGTTGAATCTCGACGCAGTCTTTCAAATTTTATTTCCAACCGAAATAAAATTTGCTTCAATTGTTCATTATATTTGCCGAGTTTGTCTTTTTCTTTCTCATAACCAACCTCCTTCCCCTCAAGGTCCTAAAATATTAACAAATTTAAAGAATGATAATTTTTCATAATTATTTTATTTAAGATCATCCGTACATATTCAAAACTGCTACCAAAAAGCCATAACAACCTTCAGCCTTGCAAAAGTTTTCCCAGCATAAATTAGTCTGTATCTAACTTGAATAATTTCACAGCAAGAGAGTCTATAAATACAGGAAATTACATTTTTATAATATGTACTATCAAAAAGTATTACGAATTAATTCTGAAAATCCAAATTGAAAATATTTCTTCCACCAACCTTAATCAATGAAGTAGCTTTTTTCAACAGTCCTAAGGTAGTGTGCCTGTTTGAGTCAGATCCAAGAGGAACGATTGATTTGAGGTTATCGAGGCAGTTTCGTAGGTGGGCACGTCTAAATTGTGTATCAAAATAATACAATCATATATGACAGAAACAATTAAAACCTTTGCTCAATATTTGAAATATGCCAGGGTGGGGAAGAGCAATTTTAATGAATGCATCAGTTTAGGTCAGTATTCATTATGAATTTTCATTACCGGTACATGGAATAGTCGAGAATGAAGTTACCACAACAAAAAATCTTGGTTTAATCAAATAGTCGGATGATAATCCAGCCTATGAGGCTAAAGTAACTCCACTTACCTATTTTTTTCAAGTTCATTATGGGATGTCCTGAAAACAAAAAGAGCATTATAGTACTTCAGAAATACCATGTCAAAAATGTTAAATTGATATAAAAGGATAATTGAAGTTTATAACTAGAACAAATTACTGTATTCAATAATATTCAAGAGTCTAACAGATTTTTGATCACAATATTCATACCTGCTTTGACTTTTCTTTGAACTTTTCAGTCGTTTTTTAGCTGGTTCATCGTCACCGTATTTAAAAGTTGATGCATATCCATGATCTGATTCTGTATGAAATAAAAAAAAATATTTGTCACCAAAATCAAAATCTTTTTCAATCACAATATGAATCATTATATGGTATGACCCCAAAAACAGAACTCAGAGAAGGAGAGAGAGAAGATAATTCTTATGCAAAGCCTCGTAGATTACTGCAAATTTTGGGTACAATCATACACAAACTGAAGTTACGTGTTCAGATTTTAAAATATTTTTGTAGAAGTAATTAAGAAATTTATGGGTTCTGAATTTTGAGTCGCCATATATAAGGTACGATATTGTTTATCAATGTTCAGACTAAAATATTTTTTAACCAAAATCCTTGGTCAACATGCAATATGCTGAAATACTTATTAAATGCAATATGCTAAATATATTTAAAAACTTGCGATGATCTGAATACAGAGAAATACCCAGAAAGTTGAAAGTTACACCTAAAGTACAGCACACTATCCAAATTCCAAGAATTTCCCTCCATTTGACTCAATAAAACAAACACTCTATGTGTCTCACAAACGAGGGGCGTCTGGGACCACGTCAGATGCTCCATATCGTGCCATGCTTGTTTCAATAAAAATCTAAATTAATCGAGGCCGTCACATGACCAAAATTGCCGTTTTTTGCTAAAAACTCTCGAATGCTACGGTAGAATTTTTTTTCCTTCGGTAAATCGGATTATTTTTTTCCAAGGAATTCAATGATGACGTTACTAGAGTGCGCTTCTTTGTAGTATTTTGCGCAACTTCATTATACTGCATTATTACCGATATTGAGAGACAACAATGTCCAGACATCTCCCAAAGAAGGGGTGTCTGATCATCTGTAAAATGGGTTTCTCTGAAACGGGACAATGTCACCCGATTTGTATAGTGTGCTGTACTGTAATGTGAATTATTACATCATGCCATAAACAACTGAGCAACATTTGCTGAATCAATTGACACTTCTGGAATAGTTTGATAAGTTACTTAAAACTTGATAAAAGTATTTATTGTAACAACTGCATTAGTCAAACGCTCTAATGCAGTTGCAATACTGTATCAATGCGTGTATAAAAGTTTTACAACTTTTCTTGACAATACCAGCAATATATAGCCTATTATAAATATTGATATTGTATTTGATCAAAACTGAATTTTATTGAGTGCAGAAAAATAGGATGACCGCACTTACAGACTTATGACCTGTGACTGTGTGAGTGACTTTTATAAACTGGTACATTTTCCAGTTTTATCAGAAATATAGTTATAACTGATATTGATCACACAAGTGTAAAATGCAATACTAGAATATATCACCAACAACAACTTAATGTGCTAATAATCAATGAGAATAAAAAAAGAAAACTGAAAAATATCATCTGATAAAGGTCTGTAATTTCTCGATTTACATATTTAAAATGAATGGTATTGAGGAAAATATGCACAAATTGATTGTCAGTATATTACCTCTTTGCCTTTTACTGTCACATTTCTCTAAATAGTTTGCAGCTTCAATCAATAACTCCAACCCCAGCACCTTCGTATCGTCATCACTTTCGCTGGTCGGAGATGCATTCATTGATCGCAACATGATTAACAGTCAATATTCTAAGTTACTTGCTTAATAAAATAGTTTCACGTTATTCCACTAATTGTAATCAAATATTTCGTTAAAAATAAATCTGCTATAGATGCTCTAAGGTCGCCCGCTAAACCTCGTCGTGTCAGGTTGTTACCTCTGGGCTAAACACAAAAACAAAGAAATCGTGACGTAAAAACTCGGTAACCAATCAAATTCAAAGCATTTCTTCTCCAGTGAGGCCACATGTCTCGCACGCCTGCGCCTACTTTTCCTTTTAAACGCGTATCGAAGAGGCGGGGTACCGCTGCTAAACAATAGTGGAATAAGAGAGACGCGAGCACAAGGTCGCTATCGCTAAATTTTGAAACCCCTGTCCGCCATTTCCAACAGAAAATCGGCAATGCGGAGCGCGTCGCTCAACACGAAGAAACAAACACGCGACACCCACGCCTCTCTGCGAAATCAGCTGACTGGTGTATGATGATTGTACGTCATACAAGACTCCAATCAGCCTGTGTTGTTGTTCTGTAGACGGCATCCGTCCGCTCCGAGTGTTTTATGGCATACGTTTTCCGCGCTATAAGTGGAGTGTTTGCTTACAAAAAAATTTCACGCAATGGGATGATTTGAGGATTTAATGGAACCGAATCCAATTAGAATACGATTTTCGATTACTATTAATTCCATCAAAGCCAACGCGAAACCCACATTTGTTCAATTCGTTGTACAGCGATGCCTCTAACCTGACAAGAATCAGCATTTTAGCCACGTATCAACATTTTGTAAGTTCTGTTGGCTTGTTTGATAGTTTCTGATGGCGAATAGTAGGTCATTTACCCTCATAAACCGAATTTGGACAATCATGCCGTGAATTCCGATTTATAAAGCCGCCTTTACGCTTATCTTCCCCATCGTGACAACGACAAGTGAAGTTCCAAACGTGCGAAGCCGGCCGAAACGAGATTTTATTTCCCAGATTCATACGCAATAAGAACTGCGAAAGGGATATCACACTACCCTTTCTAAAAATCTAATATTATGGATACGAGAAAGTATCCCACTTCGGGGCGCCGACTACCTACCACTCACTCAAAAGCAAACCCATGCGCATAACCGACATGACGGACGGGTAATTTCACGAAAGCCGTAAACTCGAGTAATTGAAGCACCTTGTATAAAAAAAACGCATTGTCAAAGGCCCGACTCCAGAAAGATTTCACCTGCAACGTGCGCCTCAAAATAGTTCCCAAGCAAATATGCGTGAAAAAGGCACAATTATTGCTTCAATTATTTCATTCATGAGCTAATACCATACAAGCCATTTAAGATTTAGTCTATTGATTGAAATGCATGTATTCTGATCAAAGTGTCCGCTCTGGGAACAAGCGTTTCGGGAAAAGTGGTACTATACAAAATTCGGAAAATGCGTGAAAATCTCGACAACTGATGCAGATATGCCAGGAACGTGTTAAATAGGGACACTAACAATTTATATTGCAATTGGAAGGCATATTTTCAAAGTCTGCTCAATACTCTTCTTCTTCAGCGCTGCCGTCAGCCGCAGAATCGACACCAACCTCTTCATAGTCTTTTTCCAGGGCAGCAAGGTCTTCGCGAGCTTCTGAAAATTCTCCTTCCTCCATGCCCTCGCCGACGTACCTTCGAAACGAAACTTCATTTATTATCGCATTTCAATCTTAAAAACTGGTTATGAATTGACGTTCCAAAGTTTGCATGAATGAAATTCGGGGAAAAAATACTAAATTGAAAATATCCGCCTTCGTGTTTGACAAAATCTACATCCTACCTACAAACGTGCATAAATTTCCTACCAGTGAACAAATGCTCGTTTTGCATACATCAAGTCGAACTTGTGATCCAGACGTGCCCAAGCGTCAGCGATGGCAGTCGTATTGCTGAGCATGCAAACTGCACGCTGTACTTTTGCCAAGTCGCCACCCGGAACGACAGTCGGAGGCTGGTAGTTTATGCCCACCTTGAAGCCAGTTGGACACCAGTCGACGAACTAAAATATAAAAAAGATTAATATCTAGCTACCACTTCTTATTCGCAACACACTTGACATACCTGCACCGTGCGTTTAGACTTGATATTGGCTATTGCTGCATTCACGTCTTTCGGAACAACATCACCTCGGTAAAGCATGCAGCAAGCCATATATTTTCCATGGCGAGGATCACATTTAACCATCTGGTTAGCATGGTCAAAGCAAGCGTTTGTGATTTCTGCTACTGAGAGCTGTTCGTGGTACGCCTTCTCAGCCGATATCACAGGGGCGTATGTAACTAGAGGAAAATGGATTCGTGGATATGGCACTAAGTTAGTCTGAAATTCTGTCAGATCTACGTTGAGTGCGCCATCAAATCTCAATGATGCAGTGATAGAAGACACAATTTGGCCGACCAGTCTGTTCAGATTGGTGTAGCTTGGGCGGTCAATGTCCAGATTACGTCGACATATATCATAGATGGCTTCATTGTCGACCATGAAAGCGCAATCTGAATGTTCCAGAGTTGTGTGAGTGGTCAGAATAGAATTGTATGGTTCAACAACAGCGGTCGAAACCTTGGAAAACATAAAAAAATTATATTGGGCACTGCCCCTTGGAACACCCAAATCCAATAAGCCTACTAATTAAAGGCCAGGAAAAAAGCCGACCTGATAACGCTTTTGTCACATTGATAGATCTTACCTGGGGAGCGGGGTAGACAGCAAATTCTAGCTTCGACTTTTTACCATAGTCTACAGAGAGTCTCTCCATCAATAAGGAGGCAAATCCTGACCCAGTTCCGCCGCCAAACGAATGGAAAATGAGAAATCCTTGTAAACCGGTGCACTGATCAGTGAGCTTTCGAATTCGATCCAAAACGGAATCAACCAGTTCTTTGCCTAAAAATTCTCTAAAAGTTAATAATCGTCAAAAAAAAAATACTCTCTAGATGAGACTACCTACCGATGGTGTAATGTCCACGCGCGTAATTGTTCGCTGCATCTTCCTTCCCAGTAATCAGTTGTTCAGGATGGAACAGTTGTCGATACTTGCCGGAACGGATTTCGTCTGTAATGGTTAGGTTATTAGACACGGATTGTATGTTTTAAATCAAGTTATCTTTTATATTTTATCATTTTACCTACAACAGTTGGTTCCAAGTCCACAAACACTGCTCTCGGGACATACTTTCCAGACCCCGTCTCGCTGAAAAAAGTGTTGAACGAATCATCGGCCCTGCATTCTTTGGTGGGATCAGAACGTGCTGGTATGTTACCATCTGGTTCTATACCATGTTCCAGGCAATAAAGCTCCCAGCATGCATTTCCAATTTGAACTCCGGCTTGTCCAACGTGAATTGAAATACACTCGCGCTGTAATACAAATTCACTCCTGACAATGATAGGAACTATGGCCTTATAATGGTATGTCGTAAAGAGGCTTGGGGAATTTTTAAATTTCGACGTGTTACGAACCACCGTGCCTTCCACGCCCGCGCCTGACAGTTAAAAAGTCAATAAACTAGTTGTACATTATTTCACCTCAAACATTCCTTTCAGCAGCTTTGGCTAGTGAAATAAAGCCACATAAAAATCCCACATGTTTCGCTCATCTAGCTGACTTTTTGCATCAGTAGCGATTAGTAACTATAATACTCACCATCTTCCGATAACCTTTCAACAACGAACGAAAATAAAACTAAACAGATCCGCGAACGGGGTTAGACGCTCGACGTGGCAAGAGGAGATGCGTTTGACAAAACTGTTCTTATATCGGACAGCGAACAACAAGTGATTAGTGCTCAGACAAAATAGTGATGTTGTTTATCAGTAATGATTACTGCCAAGCAGATGCCTTTCTTCCGAATGTGGCCAAACTTTCATACTTATCCCACACAGTATGTTTATACGGATGTATCTGATGTAACATGGGGGTGTTCAATATATTTATGGCACAATCGAAATAGAATTTCAAGGCTAACATAGATCTACTCTTTTGAGTTGAGTAATGAGTTTATGTATCACCAGTATTACTTAAACGTGTTCGATCGAATCCTTGGGGTGCGGGGAAGATGTTCGAAGAAGGTCCGATGAAACAGTTTTCTATCATGGAGTTTCGTATGAAACAGCATTTTAATTGTGTGAAATTTAATCGCATGTGTTCAGACTTTCGTGTTTAAACGGTGACGGCACATTTGAACCCACGTAAATTTGCACCCGTATATCCGCGGGTTCAATGCAATCTATATGCGGGTGCTAAAAGTTCAAATATCCGTAGATGCAAATTTCCATATGTGCAATAGTATGCACCTAGGTGCAATTGTCGTGGGTTCGGGTTAGTATGGGTTCAAATATCCGTAGATGCAAATTTCCATAGGTGCAATTGTCGTGGGTTCAAATGTAATGGAACCGTTTAAACAACTCATAAAATAGCTGTCTCTCCATGTTCAGTATGCACAGCAGGTATAAATTTATCTGGACGATTTTACTTAAATCCCAGTACACTTGTTTCGTCACGGATATCGCACACTTGGGGTACTTCTGTGTGATATCGTTTTAGGCTGTGTTTGCAATTGGCTTCGAAATATCTCAGGCTGCTACGAAAAACCTGCAAGGGGAACGACGCCTTATTCATAATTTACTAGTGAAGTGTCGCTCAGTTTCACGGACAAGTTCAAAATCAGAAATTGATGTAGGCCTACACAATGAAGGCATGTCCTCATCGACGTAGCCTACACGAAAGAATATGAAATAAGGGCGTGTCTGAAACTCATGACATCATAGAATTCGCAGCAAAGAATATATCATGGCAGAGCTTGGTTGAAATTATTATAACCCGCCATGGACGACGGCAGCGAATTGGTAACGTGCATCGCAGCTAGCCTTGTTGTATTTTCGTTAGTTTTTGTATTAAATTTATGTAAAGCTAATTTACATGCTAATATAGCTTACGTACCGACATAAAAAAACGGCATTCATACCCTATTACAGTGGTTCTCAACCGGGGGCCACGAAGCAGTTCAAGGGGGGCACGACACAAGGCTAATAATTCATTATAAAGCGACTTCGTTTAACACATGTATGAACCATAGTTATCCTTCCTTTCAAGTTCTATTCAGCCTGTAATTAAGAACAAAAATGGTGACATTTGTAGTGCAAGTAACTACAGGCCTATTGCAGTGGCCTCTGTCTTATCTAAGATTTTTGACAAACACATTTTAAATAACACTGAGTCTTACTTAACCACATCTCACAACCAGTTTGGTTTCAAGCCTGGTCACGGGACTGACATGTGCATTTTTACAATAAAGCATCTAGCTACTTATTATTCCAAAAAATCATCACCAGTTTTCATAGCTTTTTTGGATGCCACTAAAGCTTTTGATAAAGTTAATCACTGGACTCTATTTCGTAAATTAATCAACAGAAGAATCCCCAAAATATTTTTATCGCTGATTGTACACATGTATCGTAATCAATCCATGTTTGTTAGATGGGGTAGCAGTGTGTCAGATCCTTTCTCTGTTCATAATGGTACCAAGCAAGGTAGTATATTAAGTCCATATTTATATGCTGTTTTCATGGATGACCTTTCTGTTAAGTTGAATCAATAGACCATTGGATGTGTAGCAAATAACAATATTATCAATCATTTTTTTATGCTGATGACATGTGTTGCATTTCACCTTCAGCCAAAGGTCTTCAACGTTTACTTAACATATGCGATAAATACTCTATTGAACATGACATCTTGAAAAAATCTGTTTGTATGTGTATCCAGAATAAAAAGTTTAGGCTGAATAATTTGCCTGATATCAAACTTCGTAATTCTGTGTTGACTTAGGTTTCGTCCACTAAATATCTTGGTGTTTTCCTATCCAGTGATCTTAGAGATGACCTTGACTTGAAACGTCAGTATAAATCAATTTATTTTATAGCCCATACAATTTGGAAAAAATTTGTCAATTGTTCCACTACTGTGAAAAATCTTTTATTTAGGACGTATTGTTGTAGGATTTATAACTGCCAGCTCTGGTTGTTTTTCAATAATTATAGTTATAAAAAAGTTAAAATTTCATATAATAATGCTTATCGCGTAATTCACTGTGTCTCTAGATCTGAGAGTGTCCGTCACAAAATGGTATCTGGGAACATTCCCTCTTTCGAAGCACTCCATAGAAAAAATCTGTGGTTGTTCATGACGAGATGCAGGAACTCCAATAACATTCTATTACAATCATTATTTGATTCCCAGATACTGTTTGTTACGGGCTATCTTAGATTCTATTTCTATACTTCACTTTTGGTCTCTTAAATTGCTATAGTATAACTCTTTTTTGAGACTTACTGTGAATCTGATTGTCATATCAGGTATTTTATGTATTTATTGTGTTCCTTTTGTTTTGCTTATGTTTACTTGTTGTGTTGTTTTTATATGGACCACGGCGGTCTGGAGTAATAAACGAATTGAATTGAATTTGCATACTTTAACTTAAAAGAAAATTCCCCGTTCACCTCAGTTTTATTACTTCAGTCACTAGGTGTATCCAAATTTTTATGTATGCGAATTGTTTGATCATAATGGAATTTTGAATCTACTAATCCGAATAGTTTGTTAGTAGGCCATCTAACAGCAGACGGGCAGTTTCGCGAGACTGCGAGATAACGGTCGATATCATATTATACCTGCAGAAGCCTATATGTAAATTCCCAATCCCCAAAATATATTGAGCTGCCCTATAGACAGTGTGTTCGTTTTTAAGACGTGTACAGCAAATCAAGTGTGGTGTTTTGTGTAAATACTTGTTCTCATAACGTTTTTTAAATGTCTCCAGCATTAAGGAAAATGTCGGGATAGCATAAGTTAGAGTCATGTACTTTAACACAATGTTTTTCTTGCAAAAAAGATCATGCCCAATCGGAATTCCTGGTTCTTCTGGTAAAAGCCTTCATGGTACACCTGGTTTTAAACACAAGCGAAAATAGCCCACGACTAACGGATCTATACCAAGAACATTGTTCTGTAAGATGCCAGGAAGGCGAATGACTTTTTGGAACATGTTTTGCGTTGTATAAAGTGATTGGACAAACCTTAAAAACTACTGATCATGACTATTTTCTCAAAATAAGTATTAAGTTTATTGAATTCTATTTCGATTTTGAATGGATCCTGGATTTTCAAGTCAGAATTCGGGTCCAATTCAATTGTAATGTAGCAAAAATAAAAACTTTTTTTCTAAAAAGCTCAATTATGCGCCCCGTCTGTAAAAAGGTTTCAGAGATTTTGATACAACTGTTGAGCCTGGCTTGGATAATGCCTACTGCATAAATACCTAAACAGAGGATAATAAACAATTGTATAATGAATATTTATTAAAAACAAGGTCACAAGCACTCGTAATCAGAAATACGAACCGAGATTATTTATACATGGCCAAAACTATGCGATTTATCATTGATTTATGTGCAAAAATCAATTCATTCATGAATGAGCAGTAGCAGTATAGCTTCTGTCAACTGGTTTGTCCGTAAAAAACATGGTATTTAAAATGATTCACGAACAAAAAGAAGGCATCACATAATCAGACGGTACAAAAAATAAAAAAAGAGCACGCAATGTCATATTTTCGTGCCACCATATTCATAAACCAAGCAATCACGTCAATTTTGGTTGGAAAAATCAAATATTTTTAGTAACTAATTCTATCATAGTTTTGTAATAACGTTCATTGTTTTATTATTTGTCACACAGTAACTTCCGATAGCGTCACTTCTCGAAGACGATCCGGTACGATCTGTTTCTGAACCGGATGTATCCGATCGGAAGCAGGGTTTTTCAATTGGAGATGTAAGCAGAGCAGACTTTGAGCCACATGATAAATCTCTTGCAAGGTAACCTCCCTCAACAGGTAGTGTGTCATTAATTTCAACGTCGCTTTTTTGAGAATCGGATTGTATAGCATATGCGTAACTTTCTCCAACTTGGGAAATGGCGGAAGAAGACGCCATGTGTGATTCGCTTCCGTGATGCCCAGCCCGCGTTGTTGTTTCTAATCCATATCGCTGAAAAGCGCTTCGTCCGTCGGCAACAGATGACACAATGGACCAAAGCGACGTGGGCCGATTCGATTCTTCGCCTGGTGGTTCAACAACGTTCAGTCGCACTGTGCCTTGAACGGCTTGTTTTCCATTGTATGTTTTGTACGCCCGATGATGATCTGGAGTAGCCGAATTGGTAGTTTGTAAACTGTACCGACCGCCACTTTCAGTCGAAAAGTCGCCTTTCTTCATTCCCAAGCTGAATTCCGGTATGGGTGGGTGAATTGTTGATAACTCCTCCTTGCTGTTGCAAACCATCATGCTAGCGGGTGATCCATCGTCACTTGAGTGATATGTGTTGCCATATTTTTTAAAGCTTCTTCTTTTTGTATTTCTGCTCTGTTCTTCTGCTGATGTCGACGTGAGGGAATCGTCACGAAAAACGCATGGTTTCAATTGTGGTAGCGCAGTCGTAGACATAGCACGTGTTGGAGATTTTGTGTGAGAATACCTATGTGGTAAAGTGTACGCACATAATGCGTGGTTAGACTTTTCCAACACTGCTGCATCCAGTGATATTTCAGGATTGGTGTGACAGTTTGTAATACTCCGTGGCTTCATTTTATTGTCCCCACTTGGAGCATCATCACCGTTGCTATCAACCTTCTTCATTTCTTTTTTGAAAAGATCGTTCTTTTCAGCCAATTGTGCTTCCAGTTTCTATGTAAAATATAATCATCAAAATATTGTTGAGAGCATAAAAATAATAACATACGTTTTTTAATTAAATGTGTTAAATCATGGTTCGCACAAACATAGCTTTATTGACTTCAAATACCGGCTTGCTCCAGTTCGAGCCCTGATAAGTACAGGGGATGCGGTCAATAACCACTAAACCTGAAAAAGATGTGATAAATTGCACAATTTATTCTAGGGCGCAACCATAAGTGTGTGCTTAAATTTGCCTTGTTCCAAGCAGAAAGCAACGTCTGGTTTGAATCAGTAATCACCAGTAGTGGTTATCGAGAAGCGACATCTATAAAAAAGTCTAACATTGAATCATACCAGGATAAAAAGTCAAACTCCACATATAAATATATATAAGAGACCGGATATTTCCAGTATTACTGAGAACAAACGACTCCGAGAACCGACTGGCAGCTAACTATGGCAACTATAGCACAAATAGCTAGATAGAAACATTCAATAAAAATATCAAAACAAAAAATACTTTTCATTTCGGATATGTCTTAGGTTATACTGTACGCACCTCGATCTTGAACTTGTCTTTCTTTTTATGATATGAGACAACGGAGAAAGCAATGATGTTCACAAACAGAAGAACGAATCCTATAGCCAAGGTAATGGTCAAACGAAGTGACATCCCACCATCAGCTTTGTTCGATTCATCACTTGAATTTGGTGACATTGTACTAAGGGCGTCACTACAAGATGAGAAAGAAACAATATTTTACACGAGAAATGCTCAATAGTTTTCAAATATATCTTTGAGCCAAGTGATACTCACAATATAACAAATATTTCACATAGAATCAATATTTTGCATCTAGTAGCTACAATCAATATCTATTTAGGTAACATGCGTGTCTATTCAAATACTATTAATATAAAAAAAATAATATAAAATAAAATCTTCATGCGTGAACCAATTCCAACAATTCTGCGCCACGACGTCGTAAGCATTTGGATCATAGAAAAAATGTATCTAGCTAATTCCTCACTTAATGGGGGCAATGGAGGCAATAGTTTCCCTGCCAGGGAAAATAAGAAACAATGTATAATTTAAGAACAATATCGATTCACATTTGTTTTACCAGTAGTATATTTTTGGCAATTCTGAGACAAAACATTTTTCAACCAAACGAGTAACACAATTCTTACCGAATAGGGCTCCATATGATAGGCTTATCAGTAGATTTCTTGGTTGTTGGTGGCGTGGCTATAGCAGGACGCCAGGTCGTAGACTTTTGAGATGGAAATATTTTCTCAGCCTCCTGTGATTATTTCAATAAATAAAATTTGATAAATATTTGATCTGTTTTTATGTACCGTAAGTGTCAAAGTACATTTTTAAGAATATGTATGTTTAAATTCTATTGAAAGTTTTTTCATAATCGCACAAAGACAAGCAATATAAAATGTATGTGAACCCTTTTCAAACATAATCTGCGACGCTTTGTAAGTTAATAGTTTTTTAATTCACGTTGGTTGAACCACAAAACCTCAAAACATGACTATCAACCGCAATCTCGAATTCAACAAAACGTGATTCGCGGTATTTATGATATGCATGCGATTCCGTTTCAAGGATTTGAAAACACGATACGCTATTATTCCACTTAACTCAATGTCAATACCCGATGGTAAATACAAATTTCGAATTTAAAATGTGCATATGATGCAATTTAGCAATAAATAAAAGATTACTGTTCGCAAAAATGATTAGAATAAAAAGGGACTGTTACTTACCATCATATTTGGTAAAAAAGTATTCCAAAATGCCACTTGATTTGCCCGGTAATGATCTAGTATCGCAGGTTTCTTTGAGATCATCAAATATTTTTGGGCGGCTTTATCGTATTTTGGCCAATCCAAGTCTTGAAATTTGTTATGAACACCCGTCAGAAAATCCGTCTTCTGCTTGTTGCCCAACATTGGGTTTCTGTTAAACACATGAGATAATATTTTCTTCAAATGGTGGTGGGTTCGTGTTCAATTATAAATACTTACTCAGTAGTAGAATGTGTATCTGAATTGTCTGAAATTGCATGTGTTCCGCACAGTTCGTTATTGGGAATCATTATTATGATTTTTTTTCATGCAAGATCTTTTCGGTTCGTCATTGTCTACCCAATTCTTTGTGCGCAGGTGAGGTGTTAGGCATAGGATTTCAACCCGAGATACGTAATCTGTGATGCCAACACTTAAGTTTGACGCTTTGACTGCTGCCGTTACCAGTATTATTTGAAAAGGCCAATACCAGTTATACTTTTCTAATTTTTTCCGATATTTTTGATAATGTATTCTGCCATAATGTGATACCTATTGTATACGTCAAATACCGAAACCTCGGATATATATGAACGAATTGTAGACCTACACATTCAAATAACATTCAATACTGTCTGCTCTTAGACTTGGAGGCATTTTCAAGATTTTTAGAATCAGGATAGTGCTATTGTATTAAAATCAGTCCCTGAGCGACAACTTTGATCTGTTTTTATACTTTTTCGACAACCTGAAAATTGCGACCTTAAAATAATTTATCTCATACTAATGCAGACGTTGACGCGAAAAGCCAGGTTAATGATTATTGTTCAGTCAACCTGTTCTCAACAAAGGGTACTCCTGAAGTATGCGCACCAAGATGTCGCACAACCTGAACCCTAACCCGGTACACAACCTGAGTTCAGGTTGTGCGCCATCTTGGTGCGCATACTTCAGGAGGTCCCAACAAAGTCTACTTGAGCCCTGGTTAATAACCAGACACCTTTATAATAAATGTTATAACATGAAAGAAAATGCAATAAACTAACCAAAACTTTAAACGATTGTGCAGGTAGAACCAGGTGAATGCATTAATTAATAATAGAATGTTGATAGAGATGGCAAACGCTCACAAGTAATTGAAGCCACAAACGTACCGTCAGTATTTACGTAAAATGTAATTATTTGCGCCCGCCATTTTTAATTCGATTTGAGTTGAATAGCCGATTTAATAGACATTGATCCATTTGCGTGCGTCAGTTACGCGAAAATGCGGAGAACCCAAAATGAGTAAAATAATAGTTTGTTGACAAGCCTCCCTTCTACAATTATTCCTGGCCACGTTTCCTAATATCTCTACTTTCATTCTCACAGGGTGAACAAAAAACAGAATCCATTAATTTTTTAATTACTTCTACGAAAAATAATAAAATTGATTTAACACTTGAATTTCTATGTATGTGTATGATTGCACACAAATGTTGCATAACCTTGGAAGTTCTGCACAAAAGTGATATTCTCTTTAGATTTTTAGAATATGTCCCTGTGTTCAGTGTTTTCAGATTGATTTCTAGTAATGATCATTCGCAAAGAGCCTGGGGCTTGTAGGTAAATCTTGATTGGGGCTATGTTCCGGCTTAAGATAAGTATGCATACAATGGGTGGAAATGGGAAATAAGAATAAGTAAGCTTTGAATAGCACAAATTGGTGGTTCGCGCGTTAGATTTTCTTGTACAAAATGCCAACTCAGAGAATAATGCACTGGGCCTTCAAAATAGTTAGTACCTACTGGATAAACGAAATATAATATTCCATACATAATACGACGTTACAGTGCTAACAACTGGACATATTCAGACTGTTTGTACTCACCTTTCTTTTGCAAAATTTGTCCAATATGTCATGATTCCAGCACTGATCATCCTATCTGTTTTTGTGAAGTTATATCCAAACAAAACATCTTGGCCTGAGTAGAATGGATACCCGAATACAAACGGTAATTCGTCACCGTGGCCAGCATCCATCCACTCTGATTCACTATCGATTCCTGTGAATTAATTAATACTTGGTGTTTATTAAAATAAAGCGACAACTGTATTGTGTAACGCCATGAATAGAAGATTTTTTTTTATTGTCACTAGGTGTTTCCATACTGGAATACTTTTTATTAAAATGAAGCGACAACTATATTGTGTAACACCATGAATAGATGTTTTTTTTATTACGACTATGCGTTTACATATTCGAAGACTTTGGCATTAATTTTTTCTTTGCAGATTTTTTTTCAAATATCTTGAATTGGTAACTAAAACGAACCATTTCATGACAAATGATTATTACATAAGAAAATCTATAATTTTTTATTATTTTCAAATTTGAATTTTGGCTAATTTTTTTTTAAATATTCCTGACGCCTATTCTCTCTAACAATAACATCGTCACACTTCTGAGACGATTAACAAGAAATTGCATCCCTTATGTAGATCAAAATTCATGAGTACCGTTATGTCATAAGCTAGTGCTTGAGTCGAATTTCAAACTACCCGGATACGGTAGTCAGAGTCGAATTTTTAATGACGATTATGATAGTCAATCTTGTTTTCAGACTCTCAAAAGGAATCAGCGTTACCAAATGTTTTTAATATAGCCTATTAAAGGAGATTTGAGTGCGCCAATGTTTTAGTAATCAAAATATATATATATATTTTTTTCAGTTTAAGGCTGTAGTCGGAGACAAAAAAAATTTCAGTCCGGAGTTCAGTGTCAGAGTCAATTGCAAATTTTCTCATCCCAGAGTGGCCACTCTACAACCCCGATTTTAAGTATGGTGGAACACTTCTTATAATTATCGCTTGTATATGGACTATAAAATCGTACCAACATTTGAATCAATTGCAAAACAGAGGAAACCTAATTTATAAATGCTTCTCTAAAAGCATATTCAGTAGCACAAACCTGCTCGATGAAATAAAGTGTAGAAATATACAGAATATCCCAGCTTCAAATTCATGTTTGCAGTTCGCACGACCGGCTCCACCCATTGTCTGTCGGTGTATAAATCAAGAAGAGATCTTCGCAATGTTCTTTCGTCTGATCTGAGAAAAGCGATATATAAATAAAATGGTTGATTATTTGTGAGATTTAGATTTTGTTCGTATGTTTACATGTCAGGCATCTTAAAAGTGCAAACAAAATTTTTCGAATTTCAAGTATTATAACCGTGGACGGTGGACGTTTATGCAGAAGAACCAATATGGAGCTGACTAATTTTGTTCGCCTACTTTACACCAAGTTGTGTGTAAAGGAACGGAAGCATATAGGCAGGGGTTATATTAACTTAACTAACACAAACAGACCCCGAACTCGTAATAGAACTAAAACAGGGAAAATCGGAATAAAATTATGACCCAACCCTAACCTGGTACACATACCATACGGGAGTACATTTATGCAAAGTGAAACAGGTGACTCACGATTTTTAAAATAATAAAATTTTCATGCAACGAAAATGAACGCCAGACAAATGAAAAGAGTGACATCGTAAGTATCCTTTGGCGTCTCTCATGGGGGTAAGACTTTACCTAAAAACACTTTTCGTAAAAAGCCTTGTCGCTGTCATAAAGTACCAATTGTATTAACGCCTTTGTCGGTAAAAAATTATTTCACTCACTCGCGTGTCCAATCCGTGTACATAAATTCTATAATACGTCTGAGAATCCCTTTCGCCGTTCCAGCTCGTCTATAGAATCCATCTACAAATTTATCGACGTCCATCTTGAAATCTTTCTGATCATACACGCGTTTCGTTACTTCAAATGCTGACATTATTCCCACCGGATTTCGTTTTCGTACCAATCCATATCCGTCACCTTGCGAGACACCGATGATCATCTAAACAAAAAACAAGTGATGTGTTCCGAATTTTTATATTACTTTTACTCGATTCATTAATTCATAGATAATTATGTATCATTCGATAACGGTCTCGTTACTGTCGGGATTTTCATTTGGTGACGTTGTTATTAAAGGCTTGGAGTTTTATCTGCATTGTGGCTCTTCAATTTTTGCTGACAACTCTCAATCAGCGACGTCCTCGCTGGAAAATGTCGAGTAATAAATTCGGATTTCACCAAAATGGAAATTTGAAAATAGGTAATCTATTTAGTTGTTGTCGAGCAAAGTTGGTGCCGCACATCCATTGATATTAAAGTTATCATGTTACTATAACAGTTTTTTTTTTCCTTTTATTGTAGAAATAGCTCTAAATGTGTGATGATTTGATTTCAAAAACATGATGTTACGGGTGATGTCAGACATGCTAAATACAACAAAATCAATGTTAAATGAAGTTTATTTTCTATTAGCTTGAACTGATTCAGTTCAAATTGTTTTTAGTTTTAGAAGATCCATAAATCAACACTAATCCCAGCAAACGAATCAATACGATTTTTTTATATAAAATTGTCAGCCATGTATTCAGTGTTCACGATGTAGTATGTCAAATCGATTGCCGGCTTCTACTTAACTTTTTCGTCGCGTTTGTGGCGTAGAATTAAAAGGGAAACTCAGATGAACCAATTGCTCATTTGAATTTTCACCAAATTTCTGAAAGCTGGAATTACCCAATAAACTCATTCCAGTACGATTTTATCAAACGAATCTGAGCCGAGAGGCCTGAGTCACTCTTTCCAAGTTGGACACGAAGTGGACCTATGAATAATTTCGCTGAATTCTTGTTTTTGAAGTTGGAATGAAACGCCTTTCTTCGGAACCATTAGGGCAATCAGATTCTTACTTTCAGTACTGGTTCCCAACCTTTTTTTCAAGCGACCCAAATTAAAAAAAATACGTTTTATAAATAAGCGCGACCCAAGGATATGCTCAAATAATAAACGTGACCAAAATAAAATGAATAATATAAAACAATCCATTTTATATAACATTTATTTCCCCAGAAATTACTTTAAGGTGTGAAAACTGAGCGTGTTTGCCATCAGCGAGTTTTTGAAATCGACGAGTAGCTTTTCTCAAACGAAATAAGCAATTGCAATTACTATTAGGGCAACACTCAAATATCAATTATAAAATAAACAATGAATTTACTATAAATAAAAAATAAAATTAGTAACTTTTAGTTTTTTTTATTGTAAAAAGCAAGCGACTCAAGTAAATTTTCAGGCGACCCAGTTTTGGGTGATTGGGATAGACAAACATACACTGAATTGGGTGTTCTTACAATTGTCATAATAGTCGGATCCAGTTATGAAAAATATTTGATGCAGACTTGGTTTACGTAATACAGATTTAATAAATACAAAGGAAAATAAATGATATTAACGATACTGTCAAATTATTTCTTCATTAAAAATTTAATATTCTGTTTTCCGACATTATATTTTCAGTAATATAAAGTTTAAATTTATAGTTTGTCATTATGCACAGACGATTTTATCAGACCTTGTTAAAATAATCGATGAATTTAAGTATAAGACACATAGTGTATATCTGCATATTCACGATAATAAAACTTTTTTTCTTCCTATCGAGTGTTTTATTTAATAAAGGTCGGGATATCCTTATAAATATCAGAATGAAAATGGCGTCACCACAAAAGAGCGAGATGTTTTCTTGAATTGCTGAAATATCAAATCATCGAACTGTTTTCTAAGTAGAAAGACTTAAATTTTGAAAGGCAAAAAAACATTGTCGCAAATTTTTTTTATGTGGAATCAGGCAAACGCGACATTTCTAGAATATTTGAATATAGTTATTTGTGATAATTTTATTGTTTTACACAAATTTCATGGAACAGTTTTCACCTCGTTTCATTCAGGTTTCAGGTGGATAATAAGAACAATTTTCTACGCATTTCGTACTTGATCGTATTTTGTAACTGCCTTAAAAATCAAACCTTCTATCTGTATGGCAGCTCAATTTAGGATAGGATAGGATAGGATTTACATATTTATCCCGGGGGAGAGGAAAGCCGATAAGACGGCTTATCCATATGGCGAACCACGGCCTCTCGTCCGGTTACCATCCCAAGTCGGGTATGGGATTAGTTATATTGTTTGGTTTCGGAAGCATGGACTTGGTGGTGGAGGAAGCCGTAACCGACCAGCGGTTACGTGAACCACCCAACGACGGCGAGGAGTCCAGCAATCCTCTCGCACATAACCATCCCTGCATGGGATTCGAACCTGCGAACCCACGCAGAGTAATTAGAGGTGCGGTGGCGAGCGTATTCCTAACGCTTAGCCCGTTGAGCCACACCGCCGCGCCGCGCCGCGCCATTTCTCTGTATGGAAGAGACCATTTACTTGGAGATCTTCAAAATGACGCTTGTTCTGGTCGCCTAATTTTGAGGGCGACGGTTATCACGGCATATTAATATCGAATATTAAATTCACATTTTCTTTACTAAAGGATCAGTGACGCAGCGTGGGTAAAGGCCGTTGCGCTCACAACGAAATGGTAGTTTTTTCAATTTCAGTGATTATAATTGTGGCTCTGTAAATATCATACCGGATAGTTCATATATTCTCCGGATTTCATTAGTTCTTCCGGTTCATCGGATAAGACTCCATCTGATCCATCCACCACCGGCCCAAACGCAAGATTGTACATTTCGGGTTGCAGATCTGCTGCCAGTATATCACTAAAACCACAAATAAAACTGAATAATAAAATTAAAAATCAATTCGAAATAAACATCTCTTTCGATTAACCAAAAACCAATAATTGATTATTCAAAAGAGATTACATTATTATTACATTATTTTGTTTATTTGATAAAACCATTCAATGACCTGGTTAAGCATATATTGGCATTGCAAGGTTGTAATTGTTTTCCCATAGATCACAACACGCCCATTTCAACTAAGGTAACAAATTTGGTACGCGACCGAAAAGATACCGGCCGTTCCGAACTTTAGTATTCCCATTCATGTACGCTATTATTTGCCCAGTGCTTTGTTTCGATAGCGATATCATGAAACATATCATAAGACTTATATTTGGGGTTGTAAAAAATATTGTGACTGGAAATATTTGACATAATGGGAATATTCTCGGCGCTCCAGAAGTATGTGTATACCAATATGGAGGTAACTAATTTTTTTCGCCTACTCTACATTAAGTTGTGTAAATCGAAGGAAGCCTATGAGCAGGGGGTATACTCACTTGGCTAACACAGACAGTCCCCGAACTCATAATAGAACTAAAAGAAGGAAAATCGGAATAAAATTATGGTCTAACCTGGTACACATACTACGGGAGTACCCTATTCTCACTGAAATATTTTAAATTCAATATTTCTCCCTCAGTGATTCTGAAATGCACCGACCTCCAATGCTTTTTTCGTAAGCAATCCATTAATTCGGCTCCTGACGAATTACTAGCACAATTAATACCAGGATGTTGAGAAAATAGCCTTGTCTGCGTCATTGGACGTTGAACTATAGTCCACGATGATAACGCCGTTCCACTCTGCAGTATTATTTGTTGAAAGTAATCTGAAATAATATTTGGTAATCCGTTGTCTTTTTTAGGTTATTTTCACACCGGCTGATGACGCGGAAGTTATTTAGCGGTTTATTGTCCAATCTAGATTATTTTTTCTGACATATTGTAATCGAAGCCTAGCTTATTATTTTCGTGAAGAGGAATACGGTTTGTATTTCCGTTGTCAGAATTTTGTCGTCCAGTAGCTTATTCCGAGCGTCAAATCATTTTGTAGTAGGAGTCAAGATTGTTAAGAACCCGGATCCGGATTTTAAAAATTATGAATTTTCAATCAACTCAACAATATAATATATCAATACAAAAGCAAAAGGTACAATCTGTGATCGGGATACATCCTCTGTAAGTTATGCTCCCACATAAATCACGATAATAGTTTCCGTCATTTTTGACATGATATTAAAGTTGCAAATGCAAAAGGCAAATGACATTTTGAATTTTTACTCTACTAAATGCTATACCTTCAACATGCACCGATACCATAAGCAAGCTAATACTTGCTGCTCCCGATCCCGAACCAAACAATGTCACCCTTGTTTTGTCTCCGCCAAAATGTTCTATATTTTTATATATCCATTCAAGCGCCTTGATTTGGTCCCAAAGGCCGTAGTTTCCTGGGCTGTGTTGGTTCGAAGTGCTAAGAAATCCTGTAAGATATAAATTTAAAGACAATGTAAGTTAAAGTGAAAATCCAGAATCACTATCTCCCTTTAATTTCGTCTATACCAGGCAAACTGTTGGTACAAGTTCTACATATCAAACGCTAAATGTACCGTTTGACGTTTAATTTTATTGGCACCCCCGTAGTGTGTGTACCAGGTTAGAGTTGGGCCATAATTTTATTCGGATTCTTCCTATTTTAGTTATATATATTACGAGTTCGGGGACTGTCTGTGTTAGCCAAGTGAATATAACAAGTGATGAGCTGTAGCCGGAACGGCGTTCCGGTTGTTAGACATTTTATTGCATTTGCGTTCCGGTTGATGAAATAAAATTATGTCATAGAAAGTCCAGTTCTAGTACATCTTGTAAACTTACTTATAACCTTACGTTCTGTTACGCCATAATTCTTTTTACATTACAGCAGACAAATATTTAGTGCACAGCAATAACGTGTAATGGATGTTTTGCCGACCTTTGACCCAGTGGAATTTCATCCTATACCTTTCTAATAAACACATTCGTATTGAATTGGTATAAATATTCTTGCAATTTTGATCAAACATATACCAGATAATTTCTTTATATTTCATTGTAGTCCTTCGGCTCTATCTTAGGACAGACAAAAATGTGTGGTAGCGTCCGCGTCGATTTGTAAATATATATTACATTTTCACAAATTAGCTGCGTTCCCGGTTGTTACGATTTTCCTAGATCATCACTGAATATACTCCCTGTCCATAGGATTTAGTTCCTTTACACAACTTGATGTAAAGTGGGCGAACAAAATCAGTAACTTCCATATCGGTATACACACACTTCTGGAGCGTCATTTGATTTCTTATAGGGTTTTAAGGCAAATCTAAACTTCTTACTCTATAAATATCTTATATATTCAAAGTTAATATAACTAAGCATAGCCATGACACATTCTAAAAAAAATTATGTACACAACTTCACTCTGCAGAACTGTAGTGAATGAGCGTTTTCGCTATAAAGTAACGTTGACACTCAACATCCGACAACTATTATACCTATTTGAATTATAAATCTAGAAACTAAAGTGTTGAACTTACCCAAAGCACCAAGCCTATAGTTAAATGTAATCACAATTACTTTCCCGTAGCTTGCTAAAACACTTCCGTCGTAAAAATTTCCGGAACCTTCCATGAACGTGTGACCGTGAATATAAACCATTACAGCGAGTCGGTTTTTGTAACTTCCGGGTGCATGGGACTCTGTACAAACAAAAGAGGTTATTGCAGAAAAAAAAAGTCAGTTCGATGCCTGATTTTGTCGATGATCGATAATAAATTGAACGTATTTATTATATGTTGTCATCATTCTTATTGGACGGACGCTATATACAGAACAAATTTATTTTTGTTTTCAAATAACGATCCGTGCTTTGCTTTTATTTATAGCTCGCTACTACAAAGATAGCAGAAATAAAATTTCCTCAAATAAACAATATCTAGAAAAGGAAATTTAAAATAATTGATGCTCGGGTTGCGAGCTTTTATGTGGCTTTTTATAGTGCCTTCGTCATCATGCTTGTGTAATACTAAACAACTATACGAAGAAAATCATCAAGAGACCAAAGTCTTTGTATCAAGTGTTTCAGAACGAACGAATGTTCGCTCGTGACGTCGTGAGTTCTTGGAGAATTAATAAAGTCGTTGGATAGAAATAGATTATTCAAACACAAGGACATTCAGCTGCTTTTGTAATAAACTTTACTTGTAATAATTTCATCATCGAAAATTACTCCTGATCATGATTCACGTTCTAGCCGGTAAATACTCATCGCTAATAGCGAGGCAGTTACTCAAACACAAGTTTGCTCATTGCTTCCCAAGAAACACACAATTTTTAGAGGTCCAGTTAAATTGGTCATCGTAATAAAAATGAATAAAAGACCCCAACTGCTGGAAAATATTGCGAAGTTTTCTGATAGAATGATTACTTATACTGAAGGCTGTAGAAAATGGAACAAGCACTCTGAAATATCCCAACAAATCTGTGATAGCAATATAATTGACGATGAGGACGGAAGGCGTTCGTTAAAAATACGATATTCAGTCAATTCTCAATTATGTCTTTGTAACATAAATATTGATTTTGCGTTCTATAATTATGACAACTGTTTTATTATCAGAAAGATTAATATTTAAAATTTCAATTAGACAATTTCTCATATTGCATATTTTACGGAGGTCGGCTTCGAATATGGTCACAAAGCTTACTTCGACTTCAAGAGTCGAGATACGAGCACATACATCAAGTTCTCATCTACACAAAGAATCGTTTGTATAATAATCTTTCTGTATCGATCAATGTCATAACTTTGCACGCTCGGATTTATAATTCTATATCGTAATATGTGCTCCGACATGCGTAATTGAAAATTGACTGAATTATAATATCAATCACAATTTTAGGTGTCTTATAAAAAGAACTCTTTGTTCTATTGCCTTAAACTTCAAATGAAATGAAGTGATGACCCAAGCTATAGCTTTCTATTTTGATTCAGTAATTTATCAACTGATGTAAATATTTAGCAAGAGACAATTTTTGGGCTCATACGGGAAACAACCTTTAAATTCATTCCCTTAAATTTTACTCTTACCATCTGGGAATACTTTTTACGGTTTTGTTGCACGCTGCATATACCTACACATGTATGACAAATTGCTGACATTTCGCGGCGAAAGGACAGAAAATGGGTTCCAATACATATAACGCGTGCTCGTGCCAAAAAGCAAGTAGCGTACCGCGGGGAAAAGATGTACCAAAGTGCATTTACATCTCGCTGATACAGAGTGTCCAAACACACAAGTGAAATTTATTTTAAAAAATTTCGCGCACACCACAATTCGACTTCGAAGAAGGCGGTGTGTCATTCCATCGTTGCAAATTCGCAGGCGAGATTGAAAATTGGACGGAGCCGATTTATTCCGCTCTGAATGCGCAACGAAAATCGATTTTTCAAAGTCCCGGCGGATTCAACTTCCAGGACGAAATTGATTGGAGATAACTACGGTAAGTCTTCGTAAATGGCAAAGGATTTACATTACTAAGACAACCGTAATTTTGTGTTCATTTGGTCTTATTAATGACTTCGCTTCTAAATAATAGATAAAGTATAAAATTGAGGGTAAAGAACGACCAATATTATGTTTTTAGTCGTTTGTCTGACAAATAACGATGTTATTTTCAGATTTTGAATTGGGTAAACATGGCTCTCACTATGAAGGAATTTCCTAATGAATTATACATAGGGTTGACTTATTTCACGTGTCCCTTAAACGTGCGATCACAAGATTTAATGCAAAGACTAAGCGAAGAATCGATATTTCAACTTGTCATTTGGACAGTGTCGTAAAACAAGAAACCCATTTCGTTTTTTGATATTGGACAGTCACTGAATAAAGGTGGCCAAGTTTGCAACGCACCATTGGCAACTAAATTGAATATATTCATACAGGAAACGTCGACCCATTTTTTGAAAATATAATATTAATTTTTCAAGCATTCAACATCGTTTGTTTTATTTCTAATCCCCTTTTATCCTATGATTAAAATAATCTGGTACATATACATATTTTATTGTTTATGATATGGCATTGGACAACTGATTGAAAAGCGATAAACCTTTTCCCTAAGATTTAGAATTCTTACAACTTTTGACACTGGTACGGGGAATATTTGAAAGGTACCAGTACGATGTCACGTATGACAAGGCGAATATCACGACTATATTGAGACGAGAGTTCGTTTTTTTTTAACCATTATTTCTCGCACCTAAATGATTTTCTACATGGTAGAAGATGTTAACTGTGGATAGCGACCATCCGCTAAAACTTTTCGAAACTATTGCTGCCATTTCTTAAATACAGATGCTCAGGAAGAAAATGGAATACCCATGTCGGGCGGAAAGCCCGAATTCGTTCGTATCGCCGTATTTCGTATTTGAAACAATTCAGAAAATATATTCTGCGACGATTTGAAATGTGCAGCTATTACGTGTAAATGAAATCATAGCACCAGTATTTTAGTGACTTAAATTGGTGTAAATAAAGTACCTGAACATTCAATAATATCGTACGTATACCAAGAATTTTCTTGATATTTGGCTCTTTTGGGATATCGTCCCTGAAGTGTCAACATCTTACCAGCCGAGGGTGTTAAATTCGGCGTTTGACAAAAAAACGATAAGAATTTTTACAAGATTCTTGACAGGCAGATTGTGTTGTGATAAACAGCTGACATGTTTTCTTACATGGGGAATAAACAGTTTGATCCGTGGGGAATTCGCAGTGGCGCTGATTACATATACTTAGACACAGAAAGTGTGATGCGGGCATGACGATCTGCTTAAAATTCGATTGGATGATTTAAAAATCAATAGGGTCGTTTAATGGCCTTTGTGATTTAAATTAATAAATTTCAATATCGTCAATATTTAATATGCTATTTTACAACATATATGCAAATGATATACAAAAAGTGCTGAGCTTAAAATAAAAATACATTGAAAATAAGAATCAAAAATATTAAAAAGATAATAACTAAAGCAATAAACACATAAATTTGAGCCAAACTATACATAAAAAATAGCAATGAAAAATGTTTGCGGGCATTCAATGCCAGCCATTTTCTATTCAAACATGCTTTTCAGAAATTTTTTATATTCTTAGGCAGTGTTTCTCAAACTGTGTGATTCTCAAGTGTGCCGTGAAGCATTTTGGAATTTTAGAAAACAAGCTGTTCGTATTACACATACATGCAGCTGGCAAGCTTGTGATACTTGAGTACCCATATTTAATTACACTGATAATATTATATATAGCATTTGCCTTGTCGTTGTAGTAAGGGGGATTGTTTCGGCATAAATGTATTGTGATGTCATAATGTTTTTGTAAACATGTCGTCCACCTTCCACGGTGTTGACTTTCACGTTCAGTTAGGTAACAGGAAAGCAGGTTTGAACAAGTTTTGGCTATCTGCTTAGAAAATATATTTAATCATCGGCGCAAAGGCCATCAAAATATTCTAGCCATTTGCATCTCCATGGCTCTGTTAACACGTATTTTATGTTTCGACTGAAATTAAAAGCAAAAAAGGGAGCCACAGAACCTCCTTTCTATTGTTTCTCAAAACAGGCACACACATCGCATTAGCATTTGCTGAATAATTTGTTGAAGTCCAGCTTTATTTTTTCACGAGTGTGCCGCAAGATTTTTTTTATTTTCTTTGTGCGCCGCGAGCAAAAAAAGTTTGAGAACCACTGTTCTTAGGTGCGCAATACTTTCACACAGAAAAGCTGCTAATCCATTGGGCAACACTTTAACACTACAAATTTGTTTGCCTGAAAATTTGTTGGCAAATAGACATCTTGAGATCAGGGATATGTGGTTGCTTGACAGCAATTTTTTTTAAGTCACAACTTAATGAGTAGAAGAAGTGGAATATATCCAGATGTTCAAATTGGTATAGGATCATATTTAAGCGATGATATGAGAAATCTTTGCCTTGTTAAAGCACTGGCATAAACGTTATAAAGTTAAGTTTTAATCATGAAGAAAACTCACCGTTGTAATAGAACTCAAGTGGGACATATATATTCATGTACAAACAATCTTCCGACATATTTTTAGACATTTTCTTCATGTATTTCGATGATTTTTGAAACCAAGCTGGAAGCAGTGGATAAAGAAACGGCCCATCCAATTTTTGTGGGCAAATTGGACCCATCGTGAACGCGTCTCGAACTCCTGTTTGAATTGGGGTAATAAGATAAATCGCCGTTTTAATATATCACTGTGGATGGAATGACATTTCAAAATTTACCATTTTTGTAAGTGAATAATCGGGAGATAACGACATAATAAAAACGAAAAACGGTCAATGATTTCAACAAAAATGGGAAAGTTACGTTTAAACAGAAACGTTGAAATTATGAAAAGGCATGATAACTGTTTAAAAAATTACATTCAAACAGTAACAAATTTGTTGATTAAAAATTTGAATAAATTGGTTCAAGATTGGACAGATAATTATGAATATCACAGATTTCCAATTGGGAACAATAAGAACTTCTAAAATTTGAGTACAGAATTGCTATTACTTAGCATTGTATGCATCACATATGAAATATGATCTCACAAATAACAACAAAATTCTATTGTATAAATTTGATATAAAAATGATCAATATCTGTCATCTTTTTGCAAACTGGTTGTTGAGCTCGCTTTGCCCTGTAAATCCCCAGCTAGTAATATGACTTACAGGCTCGTGTCAGTCCACACCAGTTCATACAAATCTGGTGAAAATTTTAATTTTCGATAATGGTTAGGTATTAGTATGGAGCTTCTTATATAAATGACATAAAAATTTGAAAGAATTGTGTTATTATATCTTGGATTCGAACGATTGAGAAAAGTTTGAAGATTAAGCGGGTAAACATATCAGCATTATTTACAATTGTTTGACAGTTGTAGCAATTACGCTGTTCAATTCGCTGTGCCGAAGACCTTAATTAAAATCTGAAATTTGGCAGGTTTCATTTCCCACGTCATTGACGTACCAGGATCCGTCACGGAAAAAACTCATCAGGGATGCCAAATCCGCGTTCTTTATTAATCAATTTAACTCTGGCCTCAATCCTGTTTCGTCGAAGTTTACGCGGTAGTTCTGTGACGAGAGCGGACGAAAATATTAGCGTTGAGTGGATTACATACCCAAATTGGCAATATTGTAGGTAAAATTGGGTAGACGCGAAATTTGACGAGAAAAACAAATCGAATTGGATGGTCAAATATTCATTCATTACCGCTGACTATATTGGACATCACGCAAAACGCTATTAGTCGAATTTGATAATTTACTGCACAGCCACATATTATATATAGATTTTTCCCGAATATGAAACAAACATAATACCTATTCCAGTGATTTCTATGCATTTCTGATTTACGAAATTTTCAGAAAATGTAAAAAAAAACGCAGAACGTAAACGCTTCAGCTAACAGCTAAAACACGCCTTGTTACCTGGCGCGTTTTTAAAAAAGCCTCGATTCTTAGTAGCGCCGAAACAAAAAGAGCGTCGGTAGAATTTGAGCTTGTGGTACCTTAGTGTTTCTCCACAAAACCATTATTATTCTTAATTTTGCTCTCATTTGTATGGCTTTCATTTAACTCACGATTTGGAATAGTTCCATAGATAGTTCTTAGCGTATTGTCTTCCACAATCACGTTCAGGTACGCGATCCCAGTAAACGTAATGTTTTGAAGCGTTGGAATTAAGTGTGTATATTTGTCTCTTAAAAAAACATTACGAGAAAGGTTTTTAGGCACAAATATTTTTTTCGCAAGCCATATTTTGAGTAAAAGTGGCAACTAAAATTCATGGGGGATTTTGTTAACAATAGTGGAAGAGACTGGATTTTTTTTTTTTTTTGAATGAAAATATATTGCTTTTCTAGATTATTTCTATAAATTTAATATTCGATATTTTGTTCAAATAATAACTAACTCACCATCCCATGTATTTGGATCTTCTGGTTTCTGCCATCGCCTGTCGCCGATTGGGGGCTTACTGTACGGCACTCCTAAGAATTGAACAACAGGGCAGAGCATGTCAATATTGAATCGTTTCCCCCTTAACTTGCCGTAATTTGTCGGTATAATTGGCAGATTGTATTGTCTTGTTTTACAATCCGTATTTTGAGTCTTATATTTCGGGAACCGTAAGTCTCCGAAGTAACTAGAATCGTCATATGGTTGTTTTCCCATCAAATCAAAATCGGAAAAATCGTTTCGGGCATTTGTTAGTCCGAAAAATAGTCCACAAAAAACAAATCTAACTAGAAAAGCGTTGTAGTGCAGTATTTCCATCCCTTTGCAACTTCTTTGTTTTCCCAGCTTGATATCACATCGTCTGTACCAGCACCTTCCTCGCAGTGAAATCAGCAATACCAGACTGTCACACTCGCTGTAGCTGCGGACTGAAAATCGATTCACAGAAAGTTATATTCCGAAGATGATTTCAACCCGACAAAGTGAGTCTGCCTTCTTTTCGTGGACAGAAGTCTAAATCCCTGCGAGATTTATGTACTTAGGGAAAATAATTCGCACAAAGTGTGGTAGTTGTACGTTTGGTGCGCATCAATAATTTATTCATTTAAAAATAATTCGGTTTTACTGGGTTTTGTCTATATAGCTCCTGACATAGTGAAGCCACACTAAGTTTGCTAATAGTTCAAGGTACAACCAATACTAAGCATATAAGTTTTCAAATTTCTTCACTGGTCTCAACTACAGTTATATATATATATATACTTTATATTTAAACTTCCCGAGTCTAAAAAACGAATGAAAAGAGTGAAAGGGACATTGTGCCATTTATCACAGTGCACAATCATTAAAGTTGTGCGCGTCTACGGAATGCATTCTCATTAGAATCCGAGTTGCACGCCTTGTTTTACAGCACCGCTCGCAACCAGACTAAAATTATTGGACACGGAATACACATGTGAATCGTTTTGGTGGACTGCTGTTGTTGGAGAAAACGCTTTAGTAGTGTAAAGTAAATAATGTATCAGTCGTACTGGTACTTCAAGATGATTGAAGCCGCTTGAAAGCTATAATGTCATTCCTAAAATTTCCCCTAACTTTTTTTCCATCACGTTTGACAACCTCCGTCACACCTGTTCGCTAGTCTTTGCAGCCAACTAGTGTTAAGTTGAGAATAAATAGGACTGCGATTTTTAATATAAGATAGCCTCTCTTTCAGATAGAGTTCGGATCCTATACCCGTTGAAAACTACGTAGATTAATTTAAGTTGTAAGACTGTGAAGTCTCATGCACAATTGAATGGCCAACCTATTTAAAATGCAATACGGACAAAGAAAATGTGATCACAAACCAGGCTTCAAAAAGCGACTATATTCATTACTATCTTAAATCTATTCAAACTGGCAAAAATTTGTATGTTTTTAAACTGTACAACCGTAAATATATACTACTACGGTACAACAAGTATGCATAATGTAAACGGACAGAAGTCCAAACTTATTACCTAGTCCGTTTCCCAACCAGGGAGGGATCCCTCTCCAGGGAGGAATATTTTCGTTTTTGGGGAGGAATTTTGCTTTGTATTTGCTGTAGTATTACTAATATTCTCCAGTTCTTTATTATTACAATGAATACTTATTTATGCACACATTATCAACTACTTGAAATTAAAGCAGGATCTGGTAAGGATCTATTAAATATTGAATAAATAAAGTACTTTTTATGAATAGTAAGGGAAGAATAACAAGTTTCAAAATAGCCGAAGGGAGGAATGTAACGAAAAAGGTTGGGAACCCCTGGGATGGGCAATGTAGGATAATTTGCGATTCTAAAATACTTAAATCGAATCCAGAATACCGAATCATATTCTAGTTTTTCAGGTATTCAAATAGTAGAAATTCCCCACCACATCGCTTGATTAAAACTTTAAAAAAGCAAAATTGAAGCCCAAATGTATTTCTATCTTTGTACAATGGCTTGCGCGCTGTATTTTATTTGATATAAATCAGGCATTACCCGGAGACAATAAAATTTAAGAATTTTGACAATATTTTTTTTGCCTTGAACTGTTTAAAATTTATGTGATCCTAAATACTGATATGCAAAATTAGTACTCGCATTATGTAGACCTACTTTAATAGTAAACGGTGGAATACAAAAAATAGATATGAAACAGCATTAAATAATTATTCATGTGAGAGTGTACTAAAACATATCCGCTGAAAATTAATTAGGTGCGTGTCCAACGTACAGTATATTTAAATTATGCGGAAATAATATTTGATCTAAATTCATCGCAAATAGTGTTATAACATTTAACGTCTGGCTTTTAGTTTACATCATTTTTAGGGAGAAATCTTAGGCCGCGAAATATCTTAAATAATACAAGAGAGCTACGCTCGAATATATGGACACGTAGCGCCACCTAGTGGCGAATTCGGATGGCGTCATGGAACTCAAAAAACGAATCCCATGCAGATCACCGAAATATTTGGAATGAATAAAAGTAATAGCCTCCTAGAGAAAAAGTCTTCATCTTCAACCACTGAAAATTTCAAAGCAAATGGTCCAGTAATCAATCAGAAAAGCGGTTTTTTCATAACGATACCAAGAAGAATTCAATGAAAAGAGGAAGAGTGCCAGCATAAAATGCAAAACGATCGTTATGTCCACTTACGTGTCCAATAAACTATCTATCTATCGAAACGTTCCATATGTACACAAAATGTCTGAGACACAACCCTGATGTGTTGTCCCGGCCTATAATTCACCGTACCCACATAACATTTGTCTGATTATTAAGATAATTTTGCTCGTCATTACCTGATTGTTGACAAAAATATTTTTTTAGTGTTCTTAAATCCCATATGTTATAAAATCGTATTTGGTTTGGGAATCGCTGCCTGCTAAACCTTAGTAACTAAAAAGGGTTCAATCCGGATATAGTATTGTATGCTCCTGCCACCTAAAAGTTTTGCAATAGTGTTAGGTCACGGTTCAGTAACCTCCAGCAGTATATAATCGTATTTCACGCTGTCGCGGCCTCCATTCCGCCAGGTCTTCCTCGCTTGTCACGTAGCTGAGATATTGTTAAAAATGACGCCGTTACCTTACAAAGTCGCTGATATAAGTCTCGCCGATTTTGGCCGCAAAGAAATAAACATTGCAGAAAATGAAATGCCAGGACTCATGTCGCTACGTAAGGTGTATGGACCATCAAAACCACTGAAAGGTGCAAGGATAGCAGGGTGCCTGCACATGACAATTCAGACCGCAGTTTTAATAGAAACATTGAAAGAGTTGGGTGCAGAAGTACAGTGGTCGTCATGCAATATTTTTTCAACACAAGATCACGCTGCGGCAGCCATTGCGGCAACTGGTGTTCCAGTTTTTGCCTGGAAAGGTGAAACAGATGATGAGTACATGTGGTGCATTGAGCAAACTTTGGTTTTTGCTGATGGTCAACCATTGAACATGATTTTAGATGATGGAGGTGATCTTACAAACTTGGTACATGAAAAATTTTCTCAATATCTAGATGGTATCAAAGGAATTTCTGAAGAGACAACAACAGGCGTTCACAATCTTTATAAAATGATGGAAAAGGGAACTCTTCACACTCCTGCTATCAATGTGAATGACTCAGTCACAAAAAGCAAGTTTGACAATTTGTATGGTTGTAGGGAGTCCCTGGTTGATGGAATCAAACGAGCAACGGATGTTATGCTGGCAGGAAAAGTTGCAGTTGTTGCAGGATATGGTGATGTCGGGAAAGGAAGTGCTTCTTCCCTTCGTGCTTTTGGTTGCAGAGTTATAATTACTGAAATTGATCCGATCAATGCATTGCAGGCAGCAATGGAAGGATATGAAGTCACAACTATTCAAAAGGCTGCATCTCGTGCCAACATTATTGTTACAACCACTGGTTGCAAATCTATTGTTACTAAAGAAATATTCGAAAGTTTGCCTAATGATGCAATTGTTTGTAACATTGGACATTTTGATTGTGAACTTGATGTCGCATGGCTCAATGCAAATGCAGTCGAAAAAATAAATGTCAAGCCACAAGTTGACAGGTATAAACTGAAAAGCGGAAGACACATCATCTTACTTGCAGAAGGACGATTGGTCAATCTTGGATGTGCTACAGGTCACCCTAGCTTTGTAATGAGCAATTCATTTACTAATCAAACTCTTGCACAAATCGAATTATGGTCAAATAATCTTGACAACTGCAAATATGCAAAGGGAAAAGTTTACATGTTGCCTAAACATCTTGATGAAAAAGTTGCAGCATTACATCTCGACCATCTTGGTGTTGAGCTAACCAAATTGACAGAAGATCAGTCACAATACCTTGGTCTTCCAGTTAAAGGGCCCTACAAGCCAGATTATTATCGTTATTAATGTGTTAAATGGTTGGTGTACAGTGAATCTTGAAGGTCAGCTTATAGTTCAATTGCAAAAAGTGCTGGCAAACCGTAAAATATCAAACTATTTTTGCAAGATGGTTATATGTTTCTTCTCAAATCATAAAATATGTTACATTTTTAGCACTTCACAAATATTCCATTTGATTAAGCTACAATGTGTGTATTTTCTGATTTTTATGTACACCATGCTAATGCACAACTAGATATTGTCTCATGGATGAGATTGTACAATTCATGTATAAAAGAATTATGTGTTAGTATTTGTTTATGGTGTTTGAGACTTTAATATAATTAAATCATCAGATTTGCAAAATTTCGGAGCCTACTTGTTGGTATAGGATTGATTGTAGTTTTATAACTAAGAGCTTGAATGTGTACACCGTGGATATCCTAATTGAAATGTTTATTTAATACTCTCTGGTTGGGGGAAAAACTTTAGTATATTTCAGATTGAAAACCGAAGTTAAGCCCTATTTTTTGTTTTAATATCGTCATGTCTTTTTGTCTCTATACGCAACTCAAGTTGGAATACATCAATGTTAATTCTTCCATAGTTAGTACTTATCGATCTTAAGATCGTTAAGTATGTTGATAGGTATTTGTTTGTCTGTGTGTTAGATGCACGCGATATCTCACGAAAGCGAGGTTGAATCCGTTCCAAATTTTGCATTTGCATTCATCATAGCTCTGATCAGAAGCCTATTGATTTTGGATGGATTATGTCTTATAATTAGCGAGTTATTTATTAATTAGTAATGGGAAACACGGTGTCACTATGGAGTAAGACCACTGTTTTGGGGCATCCCCTAACCTTCGATCGATAAGTCTTCGGTTTCTAACCGATATTCTAGTTTCCATTTTGGCTACTCTTGATGGTGTACACAATTTTGAATGCACCAAGTCATATACATTTTTGTTCTGTTTTTAAGGCCTATAGTTCACAACAGAAACTGATATATAAAACTGTTATAATTTGGGGCTCAAACACTTGTGGTCTAGGACTAGGTAATAATCAGTTGTCAAAGCCTGATCAATAGAGGCATCTAGAGTGGGTGTGTTATCCTCTTTCACCATACAGATGCACACTTTTAAGGAGATCTCAATGCCCCACCCACGTTTACCTTCATCTGCTGATAAGTAAGTCCACTTGCAGTTTTTAGCCATGTTTCAGTGGATACTAGTGACTCTACCCACAAGACGGGCGGCGATTTTTTTAGTAACGAGATTACATGAAAAGAACCATTTATATATTACCAGGCTCCTAACCGGATTATCGAATACCATTCTTTAAGTTTATAACATTACCGAATATAATAGCGCTTTGCCTCTTCTCATATCTATGGAGCGGAAGATGAAAGCTTTTGCAGAAATTTCGCATTGCTCTGACCAAAAAAGAGTTAGAGCAAATACCAAAAAAATATATTTTGCGATAGCTATTGTAATGGAGTTTTCCATGCCAAGAAGTGGGACGAATACATCAGCAGCAGAATACTGGTTCTTTTCCACCACAGATTCAAATCTAATCTAAATGTTTGATAAATAAATCTTAGTATATATGCTTAAATACGGGGCTAAATCTGATGGTGATCGCATGCTGAAATACTCCGATAGAAGATTATACCGTCAGCTTCGTCGCTTCTCACATTTCGAATTCAAGTTGCGCAAGTTTTCCTCGTGGGGCAACTGTGTGCAGAGGATTACTGTATTCTTCATAGTCGTAGGGTAGCAAAGACTGGTTGCGCCTATTCCACTATTCGATTACATGCGTGTAGAACAATTATATCGAACTGTTACGATAGTTTAGTGTTACGTCAGAGGTTCCCAACCGCTGGTCCGCGAGAAATTTTGTTCAAACTGTTACGATAGTTTAGTGTTACGTCAGAGGTTCCCAACCGCTGGTCCGCGAGAAATTTCGTTGTTTTGTTATTCTCATGCCGCCTCAATCGCTTTACCGAAGACGAGGTTGCGTTTGTTTATTAGGCCATTCCTCTTTCGCCGTCATATTGCGACATCTTGGCGCCGAGTAATTACACTTTTCGCTTTTTCGGCTCCGATTCATCGCGAATGCGCTCCATCTTATCTCGCAAGATTCAGAAACATAAAAATCCGCACGAGTCCTTTTTCTGTTCTGCGTGCTTTTCTGAATTAATAGGACCATCCATATAAAACGCTATGCATATTTCTTTGTTTAAACAAGAAAACAGCCAAGAGCAATATAATATTCCAGTAAGATATGAAGTTGTTGCGACTCTGCAGGTGATCACAAGACGTGCAAAAACACATAGTCTGCCTAGTTATTTTCCAGTATTTTGTGCATACACAGTGGGATTTTGAGCCTGATGCCAAGTTACCGACGACTTTGTCATTGTAATGTAAATTCATTTCGTTTGAGGCGTCGATCAACTGCAGAGGGATTAACATGTTGAAACGACCAGATGAAAGGGAAAAAGCTTGATTAAATTTTTGATTCTACCTTACTGTCCAGATTTAAAAAAATAACCACTGTCACAATTTTGGATATCTCTTGATAACGAATACCCATCGCTAAGTAATCGAGCAATCAAACTTTTGTCCGTATTTTCAGCCAGGTACTAATGCGTTCTGCGAAAAAAACATCCTCATCACTAGCTTTAATTAAAACAATGCAAACAAATGAGCTACAGCCGCTGCAGAGCTACGTGCTGCAGAAACTTCTTTGAGGCATCATATATTGGAAAAGAAACAGCAGCAAAATTCTCACCAAATTCAATTGTGTTTGTTCATGATTTGGCATGTACAGGTTTTTTAGGTGAGATGTTTTATGCCTGCATTTCTTACGCATAATGGGTGCCCAGCACTGCATTTCATTACACAAATATATGATATTATTTTATGTTTCACCCATTTCAATTTTTTACCCGCACTAGTTTTTCTTCGTGTAAAATGTTTTAAGTGTGCCTTTTTTTTGTCTAGAAGCATATTGAGTGCCCGACATTGCATTATATTACGCAAATATATGTTATTATTTTCTGTTCCACTCTTTTCAATTTTTTTGCCGGTCAGTGTGTACATTTAATTTAATTTTACCCGTCCACCACGGTAGAAAGGTTGGGAACCGCTGATCTACGTTATAAAGTAACTCCCGAAGAATCGGAATCGAAAATTCCCGTGTTACGGCTTCTAAAACATGCGCCGACTAAAGTGGGCCATGGTGTCAGCGTCTCCTTGTTCGCTGAATTGAAAAGCAGATGAAATCAAACAAACGAGAATTAAATCATCATGATTTGCTGAATAAATTCAATTCAGAAAATATAAGTTGAATATAGCGCGAGTTATGAAAAAAATGACTAAAGTAGTCAGTTGTGCTCTGAAACGTCATACACCACTAGTTAAAATGACCCCGTTTTTCATCGGTTTTTTTAGCACTGAATGCCACTTGGAATTATTTTCAAGATATCGCCGTTAGAAAAATTCCAAGGTCTGCCTTAAAATCTCGTAGAGCACAATTAGCAATTGCGCTAAGTATTCAATTCATGACCGATACGGGCGTAATTAAAATGTCTTGCTTTATTAATTTAATTGTGTTCAATGTAACCTGCTGTTCCGTCGACTGAAAATATAAAAGCATTACAAATGCTGCGATTTAAAATGTTTGAAAAGCATTTGGAGTAGGTGTGTTATCTTTTTTTACCGTGCAAATACCCTTTAAGTAGACTTTAAAAGCTTCAAGAGGATGACCCGCCACTTTACGACGGAATTACGCCACGGAGAATCATATATATACTGCTCTTCGTGAGTTGGGCGAGGCCGATGAAGCTTCTACCGAGGCCTTCCGTACCTGCATCAAGTCCTCCACTAGGGGTTCCGGAGAGTTTGCTGCAAACTTCTCGACAGTTTTGGCTATTCTTCTCGTAGCCGATTTGCGACCCTGTTTTCTGTTTATTCTTCGGCTTTTAATACAATTAGTCGCGCTCCTCCGGTTGATTTCCGAGTAGAGTTAAAATCTGAAGCCCGAGCCCGACCCGAAATTCGGGCCTGAAATGTCAATCACTACGTTCGGGTCGGGCTTCTCTACCGTCGACTTTTTTTTAAATGAGGCGTTTCAGTCCTGTTTTGGCGCGAGAGACCGTGGTCTGCAAAAAACAGAAGTTGCCTCATCAACGCGACACGCGCCATTGAACATGATTTTAGATGATGGAGGTGATCTTACAAACTTGGTACATGAAAAATTTTCTCAATATCTAGATGGTATCAAAGGAATTTCTGAAGAGACAACAACAGGCGTTCACAATCTTTATAAAATGATGGAAAAGGGAACTCTTCACACTCCTGCTATCAATGTGAATGACTCAGTCACAAAAAGCAAGTTTGACAATTTGTATGGTTGTAGGGAGTCCCTGGTTGATGGAATCAAACGAGCAACGGATGTTATGCTGGCAGGAAAAGTTGCAGTTGTTGCAGGATATGGTGATGTCGGGAAAGGAAGTGCTTCTTCCCTTCGTGCTTTTGGTTGCAGAGTTATAATTACTGAAATTGATCCGATCAATGCATTGCAGGCAGCAATGGAAGGATATGAAGTCACAACTATTCAAAAGGCTGCATCTCGTGCCAACATTATTGTTACAACCACTGGTTGCAAATCTATTGTTACTAAAGAAATATTCGAAAGTTTGCCTAATGATGCAATTGTTTGTAACATTGGACATTTTGATTGTGAACTTGATGTCGCATGGCTCAATGCAAATGCAGTCGAAAAAATAAATGTCAAGCCACAAGTTGACAGGTATAAACTGAAAAGCGGAAGACACATCATCTTACTTGCAGAAGGACGATTGGTCAATCTTGGATGTGCTACAGGTCACCCTAGCTTTGTAATGAGCAATTCATTTACTAATCAAACTCTTGCACAAATCGAATTATGGTCAAATAATCTTGACAACTGCAAATATGCAAAGGGAAAAGTTTACATGTTGCCTAAACATCTTGATGAAAAAGTTGCAGCATTACATCTCGACCATCTTGGTGTTGAGCTAACCAAATTGACAGAAGATCAGTCACAATACCTTGGTCTTCCAGTTAAAGGGCCCTACAAGCCAGATTATTATCGTTATTAATGTGTTAAATGGTTGGTGTACAGTGAATCTTGAAGGTCAGCTTATAGTTCAATTGCAAAAAGTGCTGGCAAACCGTAAAATATCAAACTATTTTTGCAAGATGGTTATATGTTTCTTCTCAAATCATAAAATATGTTACATTTTTAGCACTTCACAAATATTCCATTTGATTAAGCTACAATGTGTGTATTTTCTGATTTTTATGTACACCATGCTAATGCACAACTAGATATTGTCTCATGGATGAGATTGTACAATTCATGTATAAAAGAATTATGTGTTAGTATTTGTTTATGGTGTTTGAGACTTTAATATAATTAAATCATCAGATTTGCAAAATTTCGGAGCCTACTTGTTGGTATAGGATTGATTGTAGTTTTATAACTAAGAGCTTGAATGTGTACACCGTGGATATCCTAATTGAAATGTTTATTTAATACTCTCTGGTTGGGGGAAAAACTTTAGTATATTTCAGATTGAAAACCGAAGTTAAGCCCTATTTTTTGTTTTAATATCGTCATGTCTTTTTGTCTCTATACGCAACTCAAGTTGGAATACATCAATGTTAATTCTTCCATAGTTAGTACTTATCGATCTTAAGATCGTTAAGTATGTTGATAGGTATTTGTTTGTCTGTGTGTTAGATGCACGCGATATCTCACGAAAGCGAGGTTGAATCCGTTCCAAATTTTGCATTTGCATTCATCATAGCTCTGATCAGAAGCCTATTGATTTTGGATGGATTATGTCTTATAATTAGCGAGTTATTTATTAATTAGTAATGGGAAACACGGTGTCACTATGGAGTAAGACCACTGTTTTGGGGCATCCCCTAACCTTCGATCGATAAGTCTTCGGTTTCTAACCGATATTCTAGTTTCCATTTTGGCTACTCTTGATGGTGTACACAATTTTGAATGCACCAAGTCATATACATTTTTGTTCTGTTTTTAAGGCCTATAGTTCACAACAGAAACTGATATATAAAACTGTTATAATTTGGGGCTCAAACACTTGTGGTCTAGGACTAGGTAATAATCAGTTGTCAAAGCCTGATCAATAGAGGCATCTAGAGTGGGTGTGTTATCCTCTTTCACCATACAGATGCACACTTTTAAGGAGATCTCAATGCCCCACCCACGTTTACCTTCATCTGCTGATAAGTAAGTCCACTTGCAGTTTTTAGCCATGTTTCAGTGGATACTAGTGACTCTACCCACAAGACGGGCGGCGATTTTTTTAGTAACGAGATTACATGAAAAGAACCATTTATATATTACCAGGCTCCTAACCGGATTATCGAATACCATTCTTTAAGTTTATAACATTACCGAATATAATAGCGCTTTGCCTCTTCTCATATCTATGGAGCGGAAGATGAAAGCTTTTGCAGAAATTTCGCATTGCTCTGACCAAAAAAGAGTTAGAGCAAATACCAAAAAAATATATTTTGCGATAGCTATTGTAATGGAGTTTTCCATGCCAAGAAGTGGGACGAATACATCAGCAGCAGAATACTGGTTCTTTTCCACCACAGATTCAAATCTAATCTAAATGTTTGATAAATAAATCTTAGTATATATGCTTAAATACGGGGCTAAATCTGATGGTGATCGCATGCTGAAATACTCCGATAGAAGATTATACCGTCAGCTTCGTCGCTTCTCACATTTCGAATTCAAGTTGCGCAAGTTTTCCTCGTGGGGCAACTGTGTGCAGAGGATTACTGTATTCTTCATAGTCGTAGGGTAGCAAAGACTGGTTGCGCCTATTCCACTATTCGATTACATGCGTGTAGAACAATTATATCGAACTGTTACGATAGTTTAGTGTTACGTCAGAGGTTCCCAACCGCTGGTCCGCGAGAAATTTTGTTCAAACTGTTACGATAGTTTAGTGTTACGTCAGAGGTTCCCAACCGCTGGTCCGCGAGAAATTTCGTTGTTTTGTTATTCTCATGCCGCCTCAATCGCTTTACCGAAGACGAGGTTGCGTTTGTTTATTAGGCCATTCCTCTTTCGCCGTCATATTGCGACATCTTGGCGCCGAGTAATTACACTTTTCGCTTTTTCGGCTCCGATTCATCGCGAATGCGCTCCATCTTATCTCGCAAGATTCAGAAACATAAAAATCCGCACGAGTCCTTTTTCTGTTCTGCGTGCTTTTCTGAATTAATAGGACCATCCATATAAAACGCTATGCATATTTCTTTGTTTAAACAAGAAAACAGCCAAGAGCAATATAATATTCCAGTAAGATATGAAGTTGTTGCGACTCTGCAGGTGATCACAAGACGTGCAAAAACACATAGTCTGCCTAGTTATTTTCCAGTATTTTGTGCATACACAGTGGGATTTTGAGCCTGATGCCAAGTTACCGACGACTTTGTCATTGTAATGTAAATTCATTTCGTTTGAGGCGTCGATCAACTGCAGAGGGATTAACATGTTGAAACGACCAGATGAAAGGGAAAAAGCTTGATTAAATTTTTGATTCTACCTTACTGTCCAGATTTAAAAAAATAACCACTGTCACAATTTTGGATATCTCTTGATAACGAATACCCATCGCTAAGTAATCGAGCAATCAAACTTTTGTCCGTATTTTCAGCCAGGTACTAATGCGTTCTGCGAAAAAAACATCCTCATCACTAGCTTTAATTAAAACAATGCAAACAAATGAGCTACAGCCGCTGCAGAGCTACGTGCTGCAGAAACTTCTTTGAGGCATCATATATTGGAAACGAAACAGCAGCAAAATTCTCACCAAATTCAATTGTGTTTGTTCATGATTTGGCATGTACAGGTTTTTTAGGTGAGATGTTTTATGCCTGCATTTCTTACGCATAATGGGTGCCCAGCACTGCATTTCATTACACAAATATATGATATTATTTTATGTTTCACCCATTTCAATTTTTTACCCGCACTAGTTTTTCTTCGTGTAAAATGTTTTAAGTGTGCCTTTTTTTTGTCTAGAAGCATATTGAGTGCCCGACATTGCATTATATTACGCAAATATATGTTATTATTTTCTGTTCCACTCTTTTCAATTTTTTTGCCGGTCAGTGTGTACATTTAATTTAATTTTACCCGTCCACCACGGTAGAAAGGTTGGGAACCGCTGATCTACGTTATAAAGTAACTCCCGAAGAATCGGAATCGAAAATTCCCGTGTTACGGCTTCTAAAACATGCGCCGACTAAAGTGGGCCATGGTGTCAGCGTCTCCTTGTTCGCTGAATTGAAAAGCAGATGAAATCAAACAAACGAGAATTAAATCATCATGATTTGCTGAATAAATTCAATTCAGAAAATATAAGTTGAATATAGCGCGAGTTATGAAAAAAATGACTAAAGTAGTCAGTTGTGCTCTGAAACGTCATACACCACTAGTTAAAATGACCCCGTTTTTCATCGGTTTTTTTAGCACTGAATGCCACTTGGAATTATTTTCAAGATATCGCCGTTAGAAAAATTCCAAGGTCTGCCTTAAAATCTCGTAGAGCACAATTAGCAATTGCGCTAAGTATTCAATTCATGACCGATACGGGCGTAATTAAAATGTCTTGCTTTATTAATTTAATTGTGTTCAATGTAACCTGCTGTTCCGTCGACTGAAAATATAAAAGCATTACAAATGCTGCGATTTAAAATGTTTGAAAAGCATTTGGAGTAGGTGTGTTATCTTTTTTTACCGTGCAAATACCCTTTAAGTAGACTTTAAAAGCTTCAAGAGGATGACCCGCCACTTTACGACGGAATTACGCCACGGAGAATCATATATATACTGCTCTTCGTGAGTTGGGCGAGGCCGATGAAGCTTCTACCGAGGCCTTCCGTACCTGCATCAAGTCCTCCACTAGGGGTTCCGGAGAGTTTGCTGCAAACTTCTCGACAGTTTTGGCTATTCTTCTCGTAGCCGATTTGCGACCCTGTTTTCTGTTTATTCTTCGGCTTTTAATACAATTAGTCGCGCTCCTCCGGTTGATTTCCGAGTAGAGTTAAAATCTGAAGCCCGAGCCCGACCCGAAATTCGGGCCTGAAATGTCAATCACTACGTTCGGGTCGGGCTTCTCTACCGTCGACTTTTTTTTAAATGAGGCGTTTCAGTCCTGTTTTGGCGCGAGAGACCGTGGTCTGCAAAAAACAGAAGTTGCCTCATCAACGCGACACATACTGTACTAAACTCATTCAATGACAATTCAATTAACTCCTAAATATAATACCAAATTTCGCGTTTGCTTCGGGCACGGGCCTGCAAATCCAGTTAATTAGTCGGGCTCGGGTCGGGTTTGATATCCACGGGCCCGGGTCGGGCTGGAATTTTTGGGCCCGACCTCTATTTCCGAGATCGTTTAAGAACTTAGCTCACCGAAATGAGTGTCCCGGTCCAATGATAGTAAATTCTGTTGCTTGCATTTTGTTCCCCGCAGAATACTTGCCTCCACAATATCAAACCTAAAGATTAGCTTGGACACAATAAAACCATACTTCACGCGTGAATTATATCACAGAAATTCATTATATATAGTTTCACCATCGATACAGAAAGGTGAGCAGTGAATATTATTCTGTTGTGTATTCTTCAAATCTCAAACCCATCGCCTGGTCGGCCAACCCTATTAATCATTTTACCCTTTTCCAATTTTTTTTTTCTGAGTAGCTTGCTGGACAGGTCAGCCATATCTGGCGTTGAAGCGCATCACCCAACTTTGAATGTGCGGATACGCCAGGTTTCGTGCCGACCTTCCACCTATTTGTTACAAATCTATTTCGTTAGGAGGCTAGCCAAAATTAGATTAACCGTAAGTTTTCTTTACATTGAAATGTTCTCGTTATACTACATTTTCAATTTGTTTTCTTTATTTAGTTATTACTTTCATTTCCAGTTGTGGTGACCTATGTCCAAGTAATCTGAGTTCCGAGATATTCAAGTTTGCATATCCTTGGGTAATGTCGATTTTATTACATTTGTTGTCGTATTTTAACTCAGCATTTGCCTCAATTTCAATATATCATACATACCTTTTATGTTTATCTTACTTATATAATAGGTTTCAGCAAATTCCATCTTATTTGTCTACTTTTATTACCGTATTCTCACTACTTTGTCTTTCTTTCACACAAAACCCAATTTTTATATTTGGGTTTCCATTCAACGTTTTACTTTTTTCTAACGGGCCTTTATGAATGTCAGTGTCCTTTTACTTAACCATTAATCCTTCATTAAAACATTGGGTCGTCTTGAAGCAAGAGAGCACCATTCTCTTTAGCGGGCTTTTTCGTACCGTTTATGCGGCAATAAATTGGCGATTTTTTGAATTCACATTCGAGTTTGGGCTGGCATGTAGGGAACACGGTTAGTTATATACTACCAATGCCTTTTGCTTGAATCATTCTAACTATATATTTAATTATCAGCAATAACTCGTCTGTTTTTATAAGCTTGAATTCAACGGAGTATACGGTAGATCAGAAACACTGGAATAAGATACGGGTCAATTTTTCAAGAGAGTTAAATAACATAGGAGGCACAAGCCTAAAATTTCTATGAAAGCAGAGCAGTGTTAAAGTAATCACGAAATCCAATCTTTTATGCTACGCTATATTCACTAGGTTTTTATTTAAAGTATGATAGGTTTGTGGTCGTGCCTATATGCAAAGTCAAAAAAGAGTTTTCAGAGAAAGTTCTTCGTCAAATGAAGAACTTTTTCAGAAAGTGATTCTGAGTTAAAACTTATCCCACTTTATATGATGGGAATAAAATCGTTTCAACGTGGGTTGTCCCTATCATTTGTACATTTGGGAATAGTAATACAATGCATCACTCCCTTACTATATAAAACGATGGGATGGAGGTAACATCAACTTGCTTTGGATCGATTTACATCATTTTTTCCACGAAAGTGTTTCTTTCTGAACTGTACTGAACAATGTGAACATCAGTCAAACTGCAATGTTGCAAACGTCAATATGCGGATACATAGATTAATTGCTTGGTGCGCTACAGCTTTCCTGTAGCTACAATGGCGGTCTCTTGCGAAACCGTTAAAATTGAGCCTAGACAGTGGTTGTTTTTGAATCCTACTTGTAAGTCAAACTGCAATGTTGCCAAACATAAACATGCGGATACAGAGATTAATTGCTTGGTGCGCTACTGCCTTCATGCAGACTCCAGCGGCGGTCACTTGAACAGCAGTTGAAATTTAGCCTGGAAAGGGGTTGTGAGTAAGTATAACATAGGTATAACATCCTGCATAACGCAAGAAAACAATATAATTCATAAGCTTTTTCTAGCCGATATGCGACGTTTACGCTCCTTCGTGCTTAACTTTATTCACGTTTTTTACGAATACCCAATAATTAGTATATATGTTAGAACTTATTTTTAAGAAGAGTACGTATGAGAGAATTGCAAGGCAATCCGCATAATCGATCTACCCGATAAAAAACGGCCCGGTTATGGGGCCAAAAACTTTTGCATCGATGAAACTATATATTCATTTGTTGGAAATACACAAGCAGCTGAAAATTCGATTCGACTGAAATCATCGAATAAGAATATTGTGGAAAATATTATTGTCAAGATTTGTTGTTGTCAAGATTAGGCCTGTGTTACACATTGATCCAAATATTCATCAGACGGACGAATGGCCTTTGTTGAACAGTATACACTACAGTTATATTTTCCGGCATGGTGCTTGTAATTGCAATATCTGCAATTGGCCTTCTTGCCCGACCTCGATATTTCTTGAATTTCTTCATTGGTCTTTTTCCTCTTCTTCTATGGCAGGGGTGGCCCCCTGCTTTCGACTAAAATCTCCAAAATAGCTCGCGACCGACTGATCGGTAATAAGGTCATACACAAAAACGAATGGGTACTAAATATGCAGATAACTACACACGCACTCATGCAAAAATTAGTTTGCTGCCAATAACGTCGGCTCTGTGTGCGCATTCTTAATGAAATCGTCACTAAAATTTGTATTCTATGTTCCAATTAATTAGTTAATTTGATTATGTAATTGTACCCGGAGTAAATATACCATCATTTATTTAAGATTTATTCAAATAATACAATAAGAGCTAAGGCCTGCCTACCTTTTAGTCGTGAGTGTTGAAAATTTCTCAAAAAACTTGCCAAGTATAAACAGCGAAAAATAAGTATTCTCAAACGATACATGTTACATGACTGATCAAACTTCAGTATCTCATTTACAGTTTTCTTCCAAGTCCGATTCTTCGATCGCTTGGATTTAAAAAAAATGTGCATTCTGATGTTACTGCTACCGTTGCGAATAAAATTTATCATGCGATTTTTGGAGGGAGACAATAACTTTTGCATACTGCAGAAGGTATTGTAAGATTGTTTTTAGGCAGTACACGCGATATTTCGCAAGCTTTTATATCAAGGCTATCTGGAGGTTTACACAACCTTCGGCCACTACGCTTATGCTTTATTTAATTATTTCATTGGTCTATGTTTTGCTCGATAGTGTCTTTTCAATTTGCGCTTGGTTTAGAGTTAAACTCAAACTTTGCTATTCCGTTCTGCATCAAGGTATGCAGATCCATCAACTTGAACTTATATTTGGTATGTGACGTCACATTTGTTTGTGAGGAAAGATAACGGGAGTTAAAATCCAAACTTAATTACGACGCGGTGAGGTATAAAATGTACTTTCTATGAGTTTGAAAATAGTTAAACATGTAAGTTCACAATCACATAAAAACGATGTCATATCAGAATTTAATAAGAAGATTATAAAATACACATCACAGTTAGTGCTTAAACAAGGTTCCTCAATAGATAAAGGTATTCAAAATTAGATGGAGGAAGAATTGATGTGATGAAATCACGAATAACATTGACATAAATTAGAACTTAGCGATGAGAGAGAGATTTATTTGTTGCCACAAAACAAAGTCAACTCTATTAGAACAAAAGCCATTAAAGAAAATAATTTGACAGTAATTAACAGTGATTGATTGTTGTTTTGTGCTGGACGGTGTGTAGGACCGATGCCTGGACTTAGCTACGACAAATCGATCATTCTATTAACTCTTTCCGGGGTTGAAGCGCAACATTTTTGAGAGATCGTTTATATTCATTCGCATGTGCTGCATCCGTCATTTGAAAACTGCATAATTATTTGAGGAATTTCTTTTCATTGTAAAACTATATAATAATAACATTATGCGTGTGTAGCGTGCTGCACTATTTGAAGTTCGAATCTGTAATGGAAAGTTTAATTTTGCAGTGATGGAAATTTATTGTATACAGGATTTAGGTATACAGTTGTAAATCAGTAAATATAATATAGTAATTGCACGAGAAAGCATTGCATTGGTAGTTTGTTTTAGATATATATATATATATGTATAGTTTACCGACGGGGAGACCAACTGAATTTTCGGAGCTCGCTATTACATACTCATTAATTTTATTGTCTGGGTTGCGATTGGGAAGTGAGCCCGCTCATAAAACAGTGATGAATGCAACTCAGTTACTGTGATCTTGTTTGAACAAATATTCATTGCAAACATAATCTTGTTTCAAACAATGAGCTTTACAGTTAAATTGGCTCCTGTTCGTAATATCAAATGTTATTTGCTTATGCATCCATGAAATATTAGTTATTGTGACATTATAGTTCTCTTGAGCATAGAAAAACTTTTCGAAAATGACATTTCAAGATTTAGTCTGTTATTAAGATGAAGAGTATCAAGGTTATAGCATGTACAAAGAGTTTTTTGAAAAAAAACTTAAAAGAGGATTTTCTACCAGAAGTCGAAAAAATTGTTGGTTACAAAGGTTCAACAGCAATATTCCAGTATTACAACTAAATTATCACAATAGGCGTTTTTAAAATGTTGGAAACATAGATGCGCAATTATCATATACTTGATGAAATTTCACAAATCGTAATTGAATTTGTTTTTATTTATTTGGTCGGAATATATAATGTTCAGCTTTTAGGATAAAAACGCGTAAAACAGACAGTCATTCAATTAAAAAAATATATTGAACATAAGAAAGTCGTAGGAAAGTCTACTTTCAGATTTTCTATAGTGGGAGCAATTTTCTTTTTCTATAATCAGGACTATTGTAGTAAAATGCTATCTTGCCGATGGAAAATAATATAAAATTAAGTTTTGCACGTGGACTATGACTTTGGTATATGGAAACATGACAAAACTAGCGTTTCAGACACTGCAGCTTTTCATGTTGGCATGATTTGCTCATGGCTATCAGGATGCTTTAGTTAGACTCTATTCTACGGCCTCTTTTGTGGCTATTATAACGCCACGTCTTCTTAATATAGTATTTTTCATTATTTTTGAACGGACACTCCCCGTCGAACCGGTGCTGGTAAATATAAATGACACTAAAAGTTAGCTAAAGATATATGCTATGAAGTTTTGTTCAAGAAATTTTCAATATAATTATCTTCATATATAATATCTTGCTGTTATTTTTAAAAAGTAAGCATCGGGTGGGCACCAAAAGCCTATATATTCTAATATGTCTTTGTCGTACTTTTTCTCGTCGTTATGGAGGTTTCGCAAAAGTGCAATTCTTCTTTTGACTCCGATACTTCTTCTTCCAATGCTCATACTTGGGAATTCGAAGGTAAGATGATATTGTAAGTCAATAAAGACTATACCAAATACTGGTATTCAAATCGAGTAGGCCGACTTACATAATTCAAAAACGAAAGCTTGAAATAACTCTAAAACTGCTAGTTAAGTCTATTTAATCACTATTATTTAATAATGTGCCCAATTACACTATTTTGAAATGGTTCACTTTCGTCAAAACTGATAAAACAAATCAATTAATTTGTAATGTCATGTGCCTGACGATATTTTTATAACTGAATACAATTTTCATCCAGGTGTCAAGTTGCGGATACGTGATTTGCATTATGTCTGTTTACTGGACGACTGAAGCATGTCCACTTGTTGTGACGTCACTAATTCCATTGTTACTGTTCCCGCTGTTTGGAATCCAGACAGCAGATGAGGTAACAGCTAACTTTGTTTAATTCCAAAGGTACAATGGCCATAGTTTAGTTACTGGAGCGCGGGTGCAAAGTGTCAAAATATGATTGATCGGTTGACCGTGGCGTTGATTACAAAATAGTGTAGTATTTCTGTTTTGTGCGTTTACATTTAGGTATTTTTGTGAATTTGCAAATTTCAACTTTGATTTAGTATTGTGCCAAAAATATCATTCGCCATATGAAGCGTATATTAAAATCCAAATATTTCCCACAATCGGCGACAATTTTGTGGAGTGAATGTGGAATGTAATTTAGCTATTAGCACGTACGCGGCGCTAAAAGTCGTTTTTAGTTTTACTTTGAATTGTTATAAATCTTAAACATAAAAACAACTTCATATTTGCATCCAACATTGCCAAACTACAAAAATTATCACCGTCTACAGCAGAACAGATTCTAATATAAAATACTTATAAATTACGATGATTTTATTGCTTTTTGCTCTGAAAATGGCGTTTTTTTTATTACCCTTTACTATTAAACCATAATTTTTTGACAGTGAAGTGAATATATTGTGTCAAAATTTTACGATTATTTATTTTATTCAATTTGACATTTGAAAACATCACCGCACGCAGTAATATAGTTATGCACACAATTTACTGCGATGTATAGTATCGGCTTTGTTCACATTACCTTGATTTTAGCTAAAACGAGACACAATTTTTGTGACATAAATATCCCACCGACTCAACTGTTTTTCTCTTATAAAGTAATTTTTGTTTTGTACTTGAATGCGCTGGTTCCATTACATTTGAACCCACGTACATTTGAACCCACGACAATTGCACCTGCATGCCATTGCACCTATGGAATGTTTTTTGGTTTTACGGATATTTGTACCCATACTAACCTAACCCATGGGTTTTAGCACCCGCATATTGATTGAACCCGCGGATATACACATGGGTTCAAATGTACATGGGTTCAAATGTACGGTCACCGAATGCGCTTGTCTCACATATTCAACGTTGTTATGTATCAAGGTTTCGATGAGTTACACGCGTCACACTTGTTTTCTCTTTCTGGGAACGTTCATCCTTTGCATTGCAATAGAAGAGTGGAATTTGCATAGAAGATTTTCTCTTCGAGTTTTGCTGCTTTTCGGATCTAAGCCATGCTGGTGAGCTACGGCCAATTTCCCTAATCTAATACAATTTTCAAACCATTCAATATACGTTTTTTAAAAACTATAATAAAAAATGGCCGTACCTCCTGAAGTACCCGCACCAAGATGGCGCACAACCTGAACTCAGGTTGTGTACCAGGTTAAGTAAGGTTCAGGTTATGCAACATCTTGGTGCGCATACTTCAGGAGTACCAAATGACCTACTTGGTGCACCGGGTAAAGTAAAGGCAAGTGATAACCAAACCGTGATTTACTTGTGCTTGGAATTAAATTTGGATCTGGATGACGATAATCAATTTTAAATCAAAGACTGAATTTTGTTATGTCTACAATTAGGGGGTTGGGATATCCACAAAAAGGTACTCCTGAAGTATGCGCACCAAGATGTCGCATAACCTGTACCCTAACCTGGTACACAACCTGAGTTCAGGTTGTGCACCATCTTGGTGCGCATACTTCAGAAGGTCCCACAAAAGATATATATATCTATTATTTTCACTAAATACCATTTTTTTGAGAATTTTTTCTGAACGAACTTTGTTTACAACGAATGGCAATTACTGGTTAGATACTGTCATTGATTTCTTTTCAAGGATTATGTTAGGAATGATGTTTATCACTGGATTCCTGTCTATGTGGTTGAGCAACACTTCGACATGTGCTCTTATGCATCCGATTACTGTTGCTATATGTAGAGAGATTTCAACAGCAGAAAAGAACGTAAGTTGCAGATAATACTCGATTGATATAAAATAGTTTGACATTATATCTATGTGCATAACTGACATGCAGTAAAACAGGTTGGCTATGCCCATCATTTAGGTTTTTGCTTTCTGATGTAGTCAGGAACATTAGCATGACTGGCAACAATAATCCCAAAGCAAATTCCAAAACTATTAACGATGTCATCAAATCCCTAATAACATATTCTTACTTTTGCAGAGACAGGAGCCACATAAGAATAAGAAGAATAAAGACGTGTCCGGTAAGTTATCTCTCTTGTTGTGTGACATTGTTAATCAAAAGTACTCGGAACATCAGGTAGAATATAAGTATTTTTTTATTTTTCAATAAAACTATCTTTGAAGTGGCTATATATCACTATATATCAATTATATATCTTTGCAGACAACGTGTTGGAAGTTTCCGATAACACGGAAGACATGTATAATAATCCAGAAGTCACACAGTTTATCAGTAAAAACAACAACGACGATATACTGAAAGTTCAGGAGGATAATGAGGTAGCACGTATCATCCTAATGCAGTAATATCCATTTTTGCTCTTATACATCTTATTATACAAATTTTTGTTTGACCAACTGCTGCCATATTAAATGTGTGGACAGGCTTAAAGTTATAGTTTTATGCTTTATAAAAATATACAGCATCGTATTGATTAAATCGGGTTTTGCCATAAAGATTATTATGAGTTATGAGACAATAACGGTTGGTACAATGTAATATTCGCAATTTGACAGTTATACTCCGTTCGGGCTTTTTTATCCGAACTCCTCGCAATAATATTTTCAAATTTCTTTCAATTTGGTTTATTCTGATTTCAGTTAGAAGAAGAATCTTCAACAAAAATAGATGGCAAATCGACCAATTTAGAAAAATCAATGCTACTCGCGGTGACATACGCTTCTACCTTGGGAGGTATATGTACTATAGTGGGAACACCAACGAACCTTGTGGCTATTGGAATTTTTATAGCAACGTAAGAATTAATAGCTTCAGCAGATTTTATGCTAAACTACACAATCTATAATGGAACGGGTAAACAACGAAGCATTGCTGTTGAAATGAGACGAGGGAAAAATATCCTTGCAAATATAATATTTATACACTTGAAATATGCATGTGAAATATCCAGCTTGTCGTATGATTTTTGCGGCCCGTTTCGAAGACAAGAAGCGAAAGCAAATATACAGTTACGATTCGCAGAGCCCAAGTTCAGAATACTCGTACACTTATAGATATATTATATATCTGCAATCAAAAATTATTTCGTAAACAACAACTAAAACTTGTCAAACAACACTATCATTACGTATTTTTTCAGTTTTGGAGAAGAATCGGGACAAGACTTGAACTTCGTTTCGTGGTTCATATTCTGTCTTCCGATGACTATTATTTTGATAATCATCACATGGATTTGGGTGCTATGTCGATTTCGAAGTCTTGGGTAAGCTATGATGCATTATATTTGGGATTGGGCGCTCCCGTAGTATGTGCACCAAGATGGCGGACACCGGATCATAGTATGTGTACCAGGTTAGGACATAATTTTATTCCAGTTTTCCTTATTTTACTTCTATTACGAGTTCGGAGACTAGCCAATTGACTCCCGTAGTATTAGTACCTGAAATTATGGCCCAACATGGTACACATACTACGTTCCGGTGTCCGCCATCTTGGTTCACATACGACATGAGTACCTGTGAACTGTGATTGTTGGTTTATTTGGTTAAACTATTACTTCTAGAAATAAGAATTATGAGTCGGTGTACATGAGAAAAACTAATGAAGGATATCTATACGAAATCGTTGCTAAAGAATATTCAGATCCATTTTTGGGGTATATCGATACCCAACCAACTACGTTCTATAAAATTTGTTTCTATTTTCTTGGTATTTATATCAGACAATTGAGATCACGAAATACAAACACCACATCAAAGCGCATCAAGAAATTAATACAAGCCAACTATGACAAGTTGGCCCCTATGAGGTATGCGGTATATATAATAGTCTTTTGGAAGCTTATTTGAAATATAAAATCAGAAAGTTGGGCAGAACACTTTTTTGTAGAGTACAAACATGTGGGTGAGGCCTACCGTTCCCGCCCCTGTTATATTCCGAAGGGTTGTCCATTTCATAAATTGTATAGGATAGGAACGGAAAAATTACAGTCGTTCTAACAATAATAGCTTCGAGGGCGTATATCTGTATTTGGAGAATACTTTGTAGCCTAAAGATCACACAATGTTTACTTGGATAGACAACGTATACTTTACCTAATATATATGTATATACACATATGTCTACGATAATTCTACCGTATTGCATTTTCTTTTGTTTAGTTTCGGTGAAATCTGTGTTGTGATTCATTTCCTTGTACTGATTCTACTATGGTTTCTTCGTGATCCGAAGATTATTCCTGGCTGGAGAGATTTATTCCCAAACGGGTAGGAATTTTTTAATTTTGTAGTATTACGTAATCCAGATAGCTGCCGAGGCAGTATATATTTTGTTGCATATATATATATATATATATATATTCAACAGACATGCATAGAATTAAAATAAATATACCTAACAATAAATTAAATTTGTTATAACATGATTTAAGCAATGAACCACCACATTTTTATAATGATGTAAAATAAGACCAAACGCCATCATTCTAAAAAAAAACATTATCATCGTCATAACATTTATAAAAATAATTTACATATATAGGGTGTTAGATGAGGAAAAAATACCACGTAGGCTATACAAATTTTACTCTAGATATGCAAAAGATTCCACAACTGCTGTATTGGTTGGAATGTGCGTCTTCTTATTCCCATCACAATCATCTTCCTTTACTTGGATATGGAAAAAACCGAAGACTGAAGGAAAAAAAGAATATTGTTTACCAACTACATCTCCCGCGTTATTATCTTGGAAAACATTTCAACAAAAATTTCCATGGGATGTGATGCTTCTGTTGGGTGCAGGATTTTCCTTGGCTGGAGCATGTGAGGTTAGCAAGTCTGACGAAAAGACAGTCAGTTCAGTGATTTTGGCACTGTTGCTCGAAATAACGACTGTTTGTATGCTCTGCTGGTATTGTAACATCCTGAGACAATGCAAAAGAAATTCAGTCAAATAATGAAAAATATAACAAGGTATTTCATTAAAATCGAGGAGGAACTATTAATTTAAATAGAAAAAGTTAAAGCATTGTCAAGATGTTTATCCTTTCGGCTACATATTATCATATTATATCACGCACCGTCGCTTCAAACAATTCGGTCTCGTTCTGTCACAGTTTTATATTTATATGTAGCTTTGATACCAACCAGAGTCTGACTTGAGCACTCATGTAGAACCATATATCGGCAATTCTTATTTATTATTTTGCTCCAGAATTCCGGATTGTCAGAATGGTTTGGCCGTAACCTTACAGCGGGACTTCGAGGAACACCTGTGTGGATTGTGCTACTGGTGGTTTCGATTTCAATATCATTATTGACAGGTAAAAGAGGGTTTGGGCATCTAAGTTATGTTACATACATATATAATGTTATAAGCCTCTTAAATGTGCCGAGAACACAATTGCAAATATTATCATAATCTTTAGTATGCTCTGTTTGATATGCTGAAAAAATAATTTACAGGTATATATTTGTAAAAATGTGACTTCTTTTAATCAAATACAAATGTGTGTTGCTTCCGTTAGCATTAACCAGCTTTTTCGTTAGCTTCAGAGTTTGGACTATTAGAATTTGAACAAATGTTCAATGGTATTCAACAAGCGCGTTGAAAATTTTCACTAGTAATTGTTCGGGCATGTTGTCAGATATATCCTTTTACAGTGTAGGAAAATATTTACAAATATGACATTTCACTTACAATGTTTTCCATGTTACAGAATTCACAAGCAATGTGGCAACCACCAGCATATTTTTACCAATCATGATAGGATTATCCAGAGACCTGAGTATAAATCCAGTTTATATTTTACTCATTGCAACATTATCTTGCTCATTCGCATTCTCTTTGCCGATCGCAACTCCACCAAATGCTCTGGCATTCACATTCGGATCTTTGCGGGTAACGGATATGGTAAGTAGTAGTTTAAATAATATTTTCCCACCAGCATAAAAAATATATGTTATTTGTAATGCAGTCTATATGGGCTAAATAAATCCTCCGATTAATTTCGAAATGGCATTATTTTTTCAGGTGACAACAGGCTTGCCGCTAAATTTCATATGTGTCGGAGTACTAAATGCTTTTATTCACATGACTGGCGTCTCAATATTTCATCTCGACGTTATTCCGGCCTGGGCTATGACGAATGGAACATATGTTGTCCCTCCTAATAGTACACTTACGCCGGGGCAGAACTAATTCATGACACTCGATTCCAAAAGTTTTGTCCAAAAGCGATATCTTTGACTTTAAGCCCATCACACGATAAACCGGTATAAAGAGTCTTTAGGTTTACAGTGGCCTAATTGAAATATAAATTCACTCACCTATGCCTCAACAAAAATATGATTTTATTATTTCATCGTGTGTAATTCAACAGAATTCTATTATAAATATATATGCCTGCTATAAATTATTGTGTTTTTTTCTGATTTTAAGGGGGTACATTATACACACCTGCGTCAGGTATGTCATCTCTATGATGATATAACTTGTATTGTATTAGTATTGTAGTGCGATTTCACGGAGTTGTTTGGGTTTTCCGGAAAGTGATGGTGACACAATAATTGAAGTAGATTAGAAAACTTTTTTGGTGTGTTTTGGGGAAGTTCAGAAAAACGCAATCCATTACTATATATATGCAAAGCAAGAGAGCAATGCTCAAATATATGGACACGGAACTCAACGACAACAAACTCAATAAAGCCGGAGCTATTCTTCTCATATTGTGACATGGCAGTGATGTAATTTTTGGATGGCGTAGTCAGGTTCGAACAGACAGATATCCGTTTTCAACTCAGAGTATCAAAACTTTAACGAACCTCAAAAGATTGTTTTACTATCTGTTACATACCAATAATATATAGAGAGAAATGATATGGTTGAATGCGAACAGGTTGACATTTCGTGCCATTTTCAACTGAAACCGGTGGACTGGAACCACAACCGATGATCGATCATTCTATTCTACATGATGAGCGGACACTTATTATTGGAGGCAGTATTCAAATGTAGTTCCATAGAAGGTTGAGATCTAACATAGTTTGCCCTTAACATACGTTGAACTCATTGGTCGTATATTATTAACTTATACGTATTTGAAATACTGATCAAATTCAGGACTAATGTAGCTAGTTTTGTAGTTTTTCGTCTTGATGTTGTAATCGCGTTCGGGTAGGACCATGTTCTTTCACGACCGGAATGAGACCGTTTAATGAAAAATGTTGTTTGTACTGCGAAATTGTGAAAATTTTGTTTACCATTAACTAGTTCCTAGTCGAACAACCATGTAGTCGCTCATCTCAATTCAAGGGTTAAATAATATGCAATGCTGAATTACACTAAACCTCCTGCGAACATTCTTAATTAATAGTAAATTAAGTTATGTTACATTGTACCAAATTAAAGTTTGACAAATAAAAGCCCGCACTTTGCAATGGGTTTTGCGTGTCGTAAATTACAATTATCACACAAAACAAGTAAGTCTGATGCTTTAACCTTGTTTGGTCGCGCGCAAAGGTTGCATCACGATCGCCCGCTGAACATTTTCGCGGACATAGTATTATTGTTCATGCAATAAACCCGCGCGCAGAATCACGTTAAAATTTAGTAATTTCAAGTAAAATCACACCACCACGGAGAGAATATTCTAACAATATACAGGAATAGTTAAACTGATACTAATTTTGGAATCATGACAATATAATTGCTCGAACCTTTCTCACCGGGAAAACTGTTGAACATTGAGTCAACATGCACTCTAATTGCCTATTGTTTCAATTTCGTCTAAACGACTTCTAAATAAATTGTTCTTTATTAGAGTTTTTTTTTTTCAACCCAGCCCGCTAAGCCATTTAGTTTGAATCTTGTCTCCACTCGAGCAAACATGAAATCCTAATCCGACAGTTCATGTTTAAAAACCATGGGTAGAAATACATGTTTTACTCCTGTCGCTGCGTTAAATCTTGCATTGTGGTAATTTTTTAATCCGTTGTGTACATGGAAAAACTAAATTTGTTGTGTTGCCCATCTAAATGTCTGAAATTGGTTCTGTGGCCAACCGACAAAAAAATGTTGCACACCCCTCATCTAAAATGATACATACCAACATACGTCAAGAAATTGGTTAAATGTTACCTCGATTTAGCAGCAAGGCATGACTCATGTTAGCATTGCTAAAATAAGTTGCTAAATTAATCATCACTTGATAGTGAAATATGAACCTATTTGTACAAATATTGCGCGTTCGTTTTCCTCATATCAATTACAAAAGATAATCACCATTCTTAACATCTAAGCGTTCGTATATCCTTGGGCGGGTAACGCAATTGCCGTAGCATACTCTTTACTGGTGTATGTTTATTATGAATGTTTTAGAGATTAAATCTGTAAGTTTAGATAGTAAAGATCAACGAGCATAAACATTCATTCTATAAAATTTGCGAACGAGTTGTACGCATTTGGTGAAACGAGATAGCAGAAATATGTCTTTGGCTTACTTTTTCACCTGGATTCGGCGGTTTCAGAAAAGTGTGATTTTTCTACTGACACCAATACTGTTTCTCCCGCTGCTGATAATGGGAACTACAAAAGTAAGATATTTATCTAAAAAAATTATATTCCGATTATTTTTTATATGGGTTCACGAAATTTCTTTTTTTTTATCGATTTAATATATATACGTTATTGATGCCATCGTTTTCTCAAAAAACTTTTATTTTGAACGATTAACTTTAAAATGAATATTTGTAAATGTAAACCATGTGTAATATACAAACATATTACAGGTCTCAAGCTGCGGTTACGTGATTTGTCTTATGGGCGTCTACTGGACAACTGAAGCATGTCCTCTTGTAGTGACGTCATTCATGCCAATTTTGTTGTTTCCTATTTTCGGGATTCAAACTGTAGATGCGGTAAAATACACAATTCATACTTGAAATATATTTTAATAATACGTATCTACAATATATATTCTTAGTTTACTTGTACTTAGTCAGGTTACGTGTACAAGAACAAGTGATGAATCCAGTTTATATGACATAGTATACTGTATATAGTGTCCAGTTTATATATCATAGTCAGTGTATCAGTGTGACTCGAATATTTTAGAACTAGACGAAAGCGCTGACAAAAAAGTATTTAGCAAGAAAACATTCTTTTGTCGATAAAAAGCGATTTACTACGTCGCCCAGTGATTTATTCAAAACCGAAATCGCATTAGGTTGTACTCATAATAAACTAAAATAAGCAAAGTAAATATAGTCAACACGCAATTAAGTCATACTTTAATTTCAAAGTACGGAAAGAATAATTACATTACGAAAAGAAATTAGGACGCTAAGCACTCACACGAAGATATAATCTCATGTGCATATGCCATTGAAGCTTTATAATAAATTCTCGCACTTTGGCGAAAAATTAAAAACGTGAATACCAAATTGTAGCAACCCTAACCAACCATACTTCACATTAAGGTGTCGATGAGTTATATGCGCCATGTATGCTTTCTCTTTCTTGGTGCTTTTGTGCTCTGCATTGCAATAGAAGAATGGAATTTACATAGAAGATTTGCGCTTCGGGTGTTGCTCTTTTTCGGGTCGAGACCATGCTGGTGAGTCTCGAAAATTGAAACGTAGAATTATTCCTATACGATAACATAATTATTTAACAAAAATTTAAGCTGGACTGGACATTCCAGTTTGGGAACAAATTCGAGGTTAAGCATCAAGTTAGCAAACATAAGCGTCGTTGGCGCTATTCAAACAATCTATGTTGCAGAATACTCTTCCCACTTCTCGTTGAAAGCGTAGTACCTTCGAGAAACCTTAAATAACATTTTGTTTATAAATAAACATCTGATAAATGACATTTTTTACGCCAATCGTTATACATATATTTAACATCTAATTCTCATTTAAGGATTATGTTGGGAATGATGTTTATTACTGGATTCCTCTCTATGTGGTTGAGCAACTCTTCAACGTGTGCCCTCATGCATCCGATCACCGTTGCTTTATGCAGAGAAATTTCAACAGCAGAAAAGAAAGTAAGCCGTAGGTCGTTGAACCGAATGCTGAGATGTTACAATCCAAGCACCGAAAGAAGGAGCATGCTTAAATTCTTTCGCTATTGGGGTTTTGTCGGAAGTTGACTCAGAGTCGGAAACTTCGAGATCGAAATTTTGACCCTCAGGCGCTGTAGTTGGACTTCTAAAAAATTCCTATTCTTATAAAGTCGGAATAAAATTTTCGATGAAAACTGAAAAAACGTGTAACCAAGCTCTTCTTTTACTGGCGATACCTCCCCTCTAGCTGTGACAATGCTGCTTTCAGGTTACACGTTAATTGTAGGTTACTGGAGTAGCACTAGATCTAATTGTTAATATTTTCTGCAAGTCTTCGAGTTAATTCGTAAACTCACGTTGAAAACATTGATAAAATTTGTTTGAATACTATAAACTCAATGGTTCCGTTTTAGACTATACGTGTACATTATGTGTGATAGGCTACTTCTTTTTACGATTCCACTTTATGTTTTTATTTGTTCATTACAAAGAAAAGGTGCGAAGAGACCCAGCAGGAAGTAAAGGAAATCTCTGGTAAGCAATACAAGTCGACTCATTTATAACATTCGCATTTATAAATAGTTTTAATCTTGTGGAGCATGGATATATTAAAATCTATATATCATATTGTTCATTCGCATTAATCTAGTGTGCTATAGTTTTTAACAATCATTGCACATATTTCGTCTTTATTTTATGCTTCGGTCATTTTAATATAATGAGAACATAAAAGTATTTAATCTTGTTGCGTATACCAAAGTACGACGAAGGATCGAGTTTACAGGAGGCAAAAATAATGGAGATGGGATCTTTCTCTTATCACAATGCTTTAAAAACTTTAACTCGGAATGACAATATAATGTTTCATAGACGAGGTGTTTGAACTTCCCGAAAATACAGTCAACGCAGAAAATATACAAGAAACAATTGAATTCTTACCCGAAAGTGATCGCAAAAACGAAACGAAGAGGGATGAAACTCTGGTATTAAGGTTTTCAATATTATACGTCTCTTGACAGTTACTTCTTGTGTGTATATTTTCTCAAACTTATAACAAGTGCCATTAAATTCAGTTCGATTCCGGCGCTATATAAAAACATATTATGCTCGTACCGTGCAGAACTGGGAAAAACTGATATTTTGGGACTGATGCCAGCAATATATAATATTGACTTTTCTTTGGAACATCTATAACAGAACACTGTTTCTGTATCTTTAGCAGAGAATCGATTGTAAAGAACGTCACAAACGATTTATCAGACATTTTTCTAAACTTTTATTTACAAATTTACTATTTTCCTGATTTCACTCAAAAATATTTCATTACAACTGTGTTTGCCAAATCTTATTCATCAATTTTTAGATAAACGAAGAAATTTCCATACTCCAGGATGAAGAAGCGATTAATTTGGAAAAATCAATGTTGCTCGCAGTAACATATTCTTCTACATTTGGAGGTACATGTACAACGGTTGGAACACCATCAAACCTTGTGGCTATTGGAATTTTCGCGACAACGTAAGTATCGTGACATTCGTGACGCACTAAATTAATATTACGAAAACGATATTTAAAAATATTCATCAGTTTTTGAGCGTTCCAATTCTGGCCTTATTTTAAATTGAATTCTACACGGCTATGTCGCTATGTGCGCACTAATGCTAAATTTTTACACAAATAAACAAAATATCTAATACTAAAGCTGCACATAAAAAATAAACCACAATCCCCTAGTGTAGAGTTGTCGATTGCCGCAGGCAGTCTGTGTCCGCGATTTTCACTTTTTATTATACATATGAAATAGCAAAGATATAATTTTCGCCAACGCAAATTTTGAACTTTTATTCAATATTACAAGTCAGTCTACTTATTTTTCAATAAAATAATATGTATATGTTAATATTTTTAACAATGCATTTCTTTCAAATTTGGACATCAAGTCTGTTTGTTGTATTTTGACAAATAAGGTATTTTGAGTGTTAGCGTAGTCGTAGACAAAACAAAATACACTACACAAATGGAATTGTGAAAAAATAATAGGAAGTCATAAACTGCATACCAACATTTAATGTATTTCTTTTATACAGTTTCGGGAAAGAATCATCAAAAGACTTGAATTTTGTTTCGTGGTTTCTATTTTGTCTCCCGATGGCAATTGTTTTTATATTCATCACATGGATTTGGGTGCTATTCCGGTTTCGGAATATTGGGTATGAGTTGTAATAAATATCATTTTTTCATTATGACAATTTATATCAAAAGTTCATATATACAGGGTGGGCCAAAAAAAAATGTTACCATGGTAACGTTTTTTAGCCCTCCATGTATACATAATAAATTTTATTGTATGCAACCTCGATAAACTCATGACATTTTGAAGTATTACTCCGCTAAAGATTTTATTGAACAATGAAAGTGTATGCATAGTTTTCAAATGTAAATGGTAAACGATTGTTCAGTGCGTGTGCCCATTTTCAATTTTTTTCACCACTTTTCGATTTCTGAAGAGAAATTCGTAACGTCAGTAAATTGTACCTTTTTGTATATGTATTCAAGCTATACAGTATATACATTCATTTGATATTATGTAAATTGTAAGATTTAATTAGGTAACGAACATCGTAAATTCATTTATTTTGTTGTGTATACTTTTAGGCAGTTGAGATCACGAAGCATAAACAAAATATCATCAAAACGCATCAAGGAGATGATACAAGCCAAAAATGATAAATTACCACCCATGAGGTAATAGTGTACAAATTTACTGACATCGCAAGCTTATTTTGTGTCAATCCGTAATCGCGCCTGAAGCACCAAACACACGTTACATATTTTACTTGTAAATTAAGCAATCATAATTTCCCTATCTCAGTTCAATTGCCGAAGCATCGAATGTACGAAACGTTTAGTCCCAAATAATTTAAATACACGATGATGATATGATGTGACTTAACTAAAGAGGTCATATGTAGGAAAACTAGGGTCGGGCATCGTTATTCGTTACCGATAGACAAGGTCAGATCATGACTTCTAGAGAATCTAGAGGACCAAAGAACTTAAGACTTTGGTGCCTTATGTATAAAAAATTAATAATATATATGTATGTAACTAGAGTTCCTTGTTATCTGAAATTGAATAAGTAAGTTGCAGTATTCATTACTGATTAGAGGCCAAATTATAATCAATTTGCATGATATTTTTTGGAAATATTCTCATGACTACAAACATTTATATAGGTTTAATATGATACTTGAGAATGAAAAACAAGCAGAATTTATTTTAATCGGGACAATATCGAGGTCTGAGTCGTCGAATTCAAAATATTTCAATGTACACTAAGGCGCCATTGAAAATTCGATCATGAAAATGTCTGTGGTGTCCCATTTTCCTCGATGCCCCAATCACGTGCTTATTTTGCCAAATTGTTAATCTAGCCCCGTCGGCAGAGCACCGAGTTTGCGGGATACGTTAACAACCATAAAATCAATGGTATATATAAGTATTCTACATCCCAATCCCCTGTGAACTAATAATAATTAAATCATCTATAATATTTTCTACAGTTTTGGAGAAATATGTGTTCTTATTCATTTTGTTGTGTTAATTCTGCTATGGTTTCTACGAGATCCGAAAATATTTCCTGGATGGAAAAACTTGCTCCCAAACGGGTATGAAATCGTCTGTCATATATATATATATAATCGTACCGTATATAGATATTTATATAGATATAGATGTTTATTGAAAATCAAAAACATTGAAGCGATTATAAAAAAGTGTTAGTGCATTTACCTATTTGGTAATAAAATAATAATTAAATAATATAATAAAATATATATCAATATAATCTATATTTATTAGCACAAACAACCTTTCCGACAAACTTTCGTAAGTAAAAAAACTACATGTTTCAGATATGCACAAGATTCTACGACTGCTGTGCTAGTTGCAATGTCATTGTTTTTGTTTCCTTCAAAATTGTCTTCATTTTCGTGGATGTGGAAAAAAAAGACTGAACAATTTTTGCCACCTACATCTCCCACGTTATTATCATGGAACACGTTTCAACGAAAATTTCCATGGGATGTGATGCTTTTAGTGGGTGCTGGATTTTCTTTAGCCAAAGCATGTGTGGTTAGTATGCGGTTGCCTGCAATGTTTTTGAATTTATGTCATTGTAATTTACATGTATTAGAATGAGAGAAAGTTTATATATAAATTGTACCATACGAACAACCGGGGCCGGAAAAAAAACATGACTAAAATATCACATTGCGCGACGTAGTTGAACATACCTGCACTAATGAGTTAAAAGTCTATCGTCTTGTATCGTACGGCATCTGGTTTAATGTTGTTTCTATCAAGTATCAATATAACAAATATATATCTTTTGATTTCGTCATCAAGCTATTCGGCAGCATCCAATAGTACACATTGTGTCAGTACTAGTTCACTGTCAGATGAAATTACACACACTCTTGTTTTAGGATTCCGGGTTATCAGAATGGTTCGGCGCCAGCCTTACAACAGCACTTCAAGGAATACCAGCGTGGGCAGTGTTGTTAGTAATTTCTATTACAATATCGTTATTGACAGGTATGGTTGGCAGCCTTGAGCTTCGCATTTTTAGTGACATCGTATTTCATAAGATTCTAGGACTGGCGGCTTGTTGGACACGTCAGTGTACATAACGATCGTTTCAATATTATGTTGTTGTTCTTGTTAGTCTTCTCTTTCGTCATGATGAAATCGCTTTTCTCTTCGAATACTGGACCAATTGCTTTGAAATTTTCAGCGGTTAAAGATTGATTTTTTTTCCAGGAGGGTATTACTTTTACTTATTTCAAAAATTTCTGTGGACTTCAAGAGATTCGTTTTTTATGTGTCAGAATAAAAAATAGCGACACCTTGTAACGTGTCCATATATTTGAGCACAGCTCTCTTGTTGCATGTTGCCAGCATTCCCAATTCTCGTCGCACAAGTAAGAAGACAAACGGTAAACAAAACTGTTGAATGAGAAAGATATTATTCAATAAATTCTGTTCATTTCACAGAATTCAGCAGCAATCTCGCGACAACCAGTGTATTTTTGCCAATTATGATGGAGTTGTCAAGAGACTTGAATATAAATCCAGTGTTTATTTTACTTATTACAACTTTATCCAGCTCATTTGCATTCTCTTTACCAATTGCAACTCCAGCTAACGCTTTGGCATTCACATTCGGCTCTTTGCGCGTTATGGATATGGTAAGTCGAGTCCGGAACTAGTCATTTATATATATAATATATATATATATGATTAGTTCTCACTTCGAGCGTCGTAAAATATTTTCCACTGCATCAATAACATCCTCAATTTATATGATACTCTCAGCACTAAGCCTAGAAGCTAGTATGTCGTAATTTGCATCCGGGGATAACACAACTGCACTCCGCCGCCAACTGTAGGCCAACGGTTTCTAAAACATTGCATTTTGGAGAAAATAATTTTGAAATCATTTAGAAAATATCCTATTGATTACCAATCGTTTGCTGTGTTTGCTTTCTTCAAATCATCGACAGAAGTTTATGAATTTCATAGGTGTAAAACATGGTTATGTTTATGGGACATGAAAGAGTTTTGTTGAAGCAAAAAAAACTGCTACTGAATAAAATCGTATGCGGATTTATTAAATTAGGTTACTATCGTTTAATCATGATGCGTTACATCATACCTCAGGTTACGACCGGTCTTCCACTGAATTTCGTGTGCGTGGGAATTCTGAATGTTTTTGTCCACCTCACGGGTGTTCACATTTTCCACCTGGATGCAATTCCTGTTTGGGCGCTGGGAAACAACACTAATGTTACCTTTCAAAACAACACAACTGCTCAGTGGGGAAGGTAATTCAACGATATGGAAATAAAATGAAGAGCAAAAAGAGAATTTTTTTCGGAAATCCATAATATATAAGAAGCCATAAGTATGCCTTTGTACTGGCTACTATTCAAAAAGCATGGCAGCGCTTGGATGGGCGCCTTTTCCGCTGATGGGGAACCACAGCTCTACTGTATTTGACAATCTGTCTGTGGCTTTGACTATTAGTTGAACTAAGCTCGTGGTGAAAATCTCAATATATATGCAGTTCACGTGTATTGCACAAAACTTTGATTTTGAAATACATTAATTACAAAAGCATCGTGAAAGTCTGACATCATTATAAAATTGAATAAGTACAGCATTGAGTGCAGGTGGTGAAGTCATCAGGAAGTACCGTAATTACCCCCTATCAGCATATATGATGCAAAGTTGTATACTTCGTAAAATTTCGACGCGGTCTCCCACGCTTAGCATTAAGTGTGAGTTTTCAACAATTACGAAAACTCGTAAAATATTCCAGTAATTTCCGATCGTTAAATACAAATATTTTGGGTATTTGTGTTATATTTGTATCAGAACATCGGAATTATTTTACTTTGATATTATGCTTTTGTTAAATATGTAAACGAAGGTACGCATAAAAAAAAGACTACAAACGTGTTCGACCGGAATCCCATTTTTCAAGACCCTTAACATGCAGATTAATTTGTGAAATATTACAATTTGATAAAATATCAAAACTTGAAATTACATTATAATTTCATGCATTTATCTCGAAAAGACTCCATTGTTTTTATTCCCAGTAAAAGTGAAACATTTTCCATCAGTCTGGCTGACATTTCATTCCTGTTCCCTTTTCTTTTAACGCTCTGTGTTTCATCTTTCACGATATCGAAACTAAACTCGTATGGGTTTTCAATACATGCAAAGTCGAACGTAATTTTTATTAAATCTATGATTTTACACAGCAGACATGTTTGGAAGCGCTTAGATAATGCAAAAGTGAAATATTAGAAAAAATATCAGTACAAAGCATGATGTGTGTAACTTGACATTAAGTAAAATATTTTTAGGCATATTTAGGTGAGATTGCCAGTCGCACTAACTTGCTTGCTTGTGCGTTTAAAAAAAAAAACCACGCAATATCACAACCACTCATTCTTAACATATGAATTTGTTTGTAAAAGGTGATTTTACAAGGATGGGCAATGTAATAAATATTCCTACGGTGTTTCACCAACTAGACTTCGGTGATTAAAACTTAACAAGTAGTGAGAGTCATATTTCTGTTGCAATGCATTACTGGCGACGATCTCATTGCACAATCATAATATTTATTGTCGAATGCAATTTGAAAATCAAAAATCAATCAAGAGGGTATAACTCTTGCATTGCTGGTCTCATGTGGTATTGAGCACCATCGTAAAAATCGAAGTAGTCCCATATGCTCGGATGTTGCACTTCAATGTTTGTAACAATGTCTATGTTTTCTTGTGCAACATATGTTGTTTGTATTTCTTGGCGATCTCGTTTATCAACCAAGATAGAATAATGAGGTGTCTTTACTATTGCTGGGTTATTGCCATGCATGGTAAGTATCCAAGTTTTTGGTGCTTTACAGGTTTCATCCCATCCTACAATTACTCCTCTATATCCATATTTCTTGTGCTTTATGACTTGGCCAACTCTATACTTTAATGCTTTCGGCCGTGGAGATCGTACAGTGATAGATTTAGAAAAATATCCAGTTCCAGATGGATCTTCATACCTGAAAACTTCTTTTGCAAATGATTCCCCTCCAGGCGCAGTTTTGGCCGCTTTCTGATGCTTTTTAATTTTTTTCAAATCTAATCTGAAAGAGCCACCACTGGCCATGTATGTTCCAACAGCTTTTATCCATGATTTGCATGTAGCAGCAGTCGCTTTTAAAGAACGTATGATCTCTTGAATAGACCTGGCTCTTACGCTGTCGGATCTGTTTCCATACCACTCGGTCAATATGTACTGAGCGGGAAGGGCCAACAACAAAAGGGTGAGTTGCGCAAATTGCAACCTGTTAACAGGCATTTTCTCGTCACCGAGAATTCGAAAGCAATAACAACATTTGTTAAATCGATTTGCAACAAATTTCAACTTTAACGGCACGTAATCCAATTCAATGTGGTCTTCTGCTCTGCCTTAACTCAGCAATATAACGGTGGTACTGTTTCCAGAAAACGCGGCGAATATCACTACGCGGAAACACGACTGACAGAAAAGACACGTAGCCTAGATTGTAAAGGATACCTCTCATACGCGACCGACACCGTGAAACCTTGGATAGATTAATAAAAACCTAATTTTAATAATTTCTCTACGCATCAATTTCCTAAATAATTACAGCAGACTCTATCCACCAACAAGCTTGTCCTATATCAGATGGTCTTTGATCCAACCACTAAAATGTACTTACATCTGAATTTTCTGAAGCGTAGAAAACGCAGAGTTTAGTTAAATGTTTTGTAGTCGTGGTTCAGTGCTCTGCTCTGTAGTGCTTCAAGCGACCAAATATTGCGGGTATTTTACTCACTGGTGTAATTCACTGAATTAGGATTTTCCAATAGATGGTTTGCATATTGTGAAAATACGCCGTTCCACAGTTTATTATTAAAAATGTCGAGACAATTAGAACCTCTTCGGACATATGGGCCAAAGCCCGCAAAGTTTCAGCTGGAAGAGAATGGAGAATATTATATGATTGGTTCGGAGGTAGGTATCAAAACTTCCTACTGTTGTACTGTATCTATAATCCCGACTTGATGCAGTATAACATGTTAAACCTACCATTCATTCATAACCTGTTAATATAGCGGTACTAATCTTCTGTCTTTAATGTATAATCTTTCAATAGCTTTTTGTCTTTCTTGTGTCGAATGTTATCTTTTTTACAGGTTGGAAACTATCTTAGACTTTTCCGAGGATCTCTTTATAAGCGATACCCATCATTGTGGCGAAGAGTAGCTACTGCTGATGAGAGAAAAATTATTGCTACTAGGTCACCAGGTCTGTTTACAAACATCTTTTAGCGGAGAATTTATTGATGTAGTTGTAATCCCTGCCAGTGTATGCAGATAGGATAAGATTTACATATTTATCCTGGGGGAGAGGAAAGCCGATGAGACGGCTTATCCATATGGCGAACCACGGCCTCTCGTTCGGTTACCATTCCAAGTCGGGTATGTCAGGATATTTATTTTCATTATTTATTATTCCTGTATCCCATAGAAATTTTATCAGACAAGTTTGGATAATGAATAAGAAATTTTGATTTGTATTATATGCATCATTGCACTTGAAGATTTCATTCAATATCATTTTTTGATGTAATTATACTAAATATTATCATTTTTAGACTTATGGAAAAGAATAGCAAAGAAATTATATAAGCAGGCAAAGGGCAGAAAGAAAGGTTTATGATACAGATTTTACACACTGTCAATGGAGAATGCTATATTTACCATGATGATTATGACAGAATAGTCAGATAGAATGGCAGATAAATATTTTTTTTTATTGAATTGTTCATTTTTTGAAGATTTTTGCCGTATTGTATACTGCACAACTTTTTTGTTATAGAATATTCATGAAAGTAGAGTATGTTTGAGAAATAAGTTTATATTTCAGATTTATATAAGGGGAGCTTTTTTTCAAAATCAGATTAGAATCCAATATTTTATAGTTTATGATAGATTGAAAAGTATTGTTGGCAGAAAGTTTTTTGTATTTCCGATAGTTTCATGAATCTTCTGAATTGCGTGCTATTAAGCGATGTCAGAGTCAGATACATCTAAAATGCATATCGTTAAAAACATTTTCAAAGTTTGATAAAGTTTTGCAAATTAACACATCTGGTGCTTGTGCCAGTTTCATATCTTCACAAAGAAAGACTATAATCATATTTAAATAGATTTTATGTAATAATATTGAGTGGTTGATATCGTAGATAGTTTGATATCAAAGTGTAACACAATTTTAATTACATGTTATTACATGGGTTCTAGATCTTGGACACAGCACTCTTGCGACAAATGTATCTTTACTCCGCGCTGTTGAAGTGGAAGATGTTTTTGCAGGGAATGATCAAAAATACAGAGCTTCAACATTGTCACTGCCTGTTGACACTTCATATTCAAGGTTCTCATATGAATTTCTAAATCTGTGAAACATGATATCAAATGATGAGATTTTTGTTGTATTCTGTATTGTAATTTGTCGTAATGACCATTTTATAGTCTGAAATGGTGAATTTGATTTCTAAATAGTGAAAACCAAATTTTGAATATGATTTAGTTTTTCACTCCCAAGCAAAAAATGTGAAATCCTCTTTTGTTCAAAATCATTTTCCTTTTAATAATTGAGATCACGGAATTGCTAATTTTTTTCATTTAAAACTTTCTGGATATGTCGCCCAACTGACATTTGAATCATCAAATTTTCAGGGATTCAGGAAAGAATAAAAGGAACAGTTCTTGGGTTCCAACTCTTCCTAATAGTTCGCATCATCTTGATGCTGTTCCTTGTGCAACACCAATCAGCCATGTTCCAAAATCACAAAAGAAGATTAGAACATTTCCTTTCTGGTAAGATTTTGAGTATTTGTGTATTATTCTTTATGTAGTTATCATAGAACAGAATTTCTGACCAGAAAATGTGTCAGTTCTTACAATACAATCAAAATAAATTAAAATTCCCATGCTGCTGTATAAACTTCCTTGCAGTTATGATGATAGAGATCCAACTCTCATAAACAGCAATGCTCAACAACCTGAAGTATTAATTCCAATCAGACTTGATATGGAGGTAGACGGACAAAAATTGAGAGACACTTTCTGTTGGAACAAAAATGGTAACTATATTTACTATTTGGTTTTAATGGCAAATATGTGGTAAAAAGCATATTTTTCATGGTTGTGGTTATTACACCTTGAGTGAAGATGGTATTTGAACTCAAGATGTGTAACCTGTGATGCCAACGTAGTTTAGTCTAATGTTTTAACCACTGAGCTATCGTGCCCATTGACATACAAGAGTGGCAGAAAGTAGGGTAACTGGATTATTAAGAGATGTGCAGAATTGTGGAATGACAAACAACCATTTACAAAGTGTGTGACAGGCCTTAAAAATTGCAGTCTTAAGAGGGCAATGATAGAAAACCTTTCGTGTAATTTATTTATATGTGCTATGCTGGGTAAAGTGCACGTACAATAAATGCGGTGAAATTCATTCACCCTAAATTTTTCCCTTGTAACAAATATTGGAAATTGAAATATTTTTCAGAACAACTCATCTCTCCAGAAATGTTTGCAGAGGTGTTATGCGATGATCTCGATATAAATCCTTTGACACTTGTTCCTCTCATATCTCAAGCAATTCGAACACAAATAGAAGCTTATCCAAATGCCAGTGATAGCTTATTATCAGAGCAGTCTGACCAGCGAGTTATATTGAAGGTAAACTTTTTTTCCTATTGCACTGCAGAAGATTACTTTGGGCTGTCATCTTTGGTTACCAAGAGCTTGCTGCAATTTTATTGGCACTTTTTTCAAAATTGATTTCAGTTATAGGTGTCAAATGTTTCCCTACTTTTTAATATTTATTGAGAGAGGCATGACCACAAACCATATATTTACTTGCAGTTGAATATCCATGTTGGCAACATAAGCCTTGTCGACCAGTTTGAATGGGATATGTCAGATCCAGACAACAGTCCAGAAAAATTTGCAATGAAGTTATCACAAGAACTTGGGCTAGGTGGAGAATTTGTTACAGCTATTGCGTATAGTGTTAGAGGCCAACTAAGCTGGCATCAACGAACATATGCCTTCAGGTTTGTAATTTGTGTTTTCTTTACGATATATATATTTTGGTTTTAAATGTTGCTTTGTCCTCGTCCGCAAACATAAATGTTTGATATAATCTATCAGTCCTTTAGAAAACTTAGGATGTTAGCTGTCTTAACCCACCCATAATATTTCATTTAGTTGGAAGTATTTGATTTTGTTAATATCAAGACCAATTTTTTAATAATGGCAGTGAGAATCCTCTTCCTGGTGTTGATATTCCTGTGAGGAATACAGGGGAAGCCGATCAATGGTGTCCATTCCTTGAAACTTTGACCGATGCTGAGATGGAAAAGAAGATTAGGGATCAGGATCGAAACACAAGGTATATCTTATATTTTGCACAGTAATTTTATAGGATTCGAATATAGAGTAGACAACAGCAGTACTTCCTATCAAGGGAAGTGTTTATAAAAAAAAAACTCGATTTTCAAAGAAACAAATGTTTATGTTCGTCAAGCTTTTTCCATATAAATAAACATTTTATTCTCTTCCCAATTCGTTTTGCATGAAATGAAACATTCTCTCATTTTCACAGGCGAATGAGGCGATTAGCAAATGCTTGGTAAATCTACTTTTGATGTGAATTATTTGCTGCCGTCGTGTCAATCATCAGTATCTTGAAGTCGCTTCATGCTGTTGAGTCGGAAGTGATATTGTGCTGGATACTATTTTGTATTTTTGTTAAATCTTTTCAATAAATTGGCAATTAAACAAGTCTGAGTCGTTTTTTGAAATCAACACTGCAATTATGTGGTTTCAGCTGAGAGGTTCATTGGAACAATGTGGATGCAATGGTTACTAGACTCGTTGCTTGTGAAAAGGGTCTGTCGACATAGTTCCTCCCACATTACAAGCTGCACTCGCTCAGGATAGTATGGTGTTGGGCAAAGGAGTGCCGCAAACCGCCACCCATGTTCACACCTTTCTCTTGTATTCGTTTTCAAAATAACCAATCAGCTTGAGTCCATACATCTGGAACGTATAACTGCTTTTGATCAGCTATTCCCATACCCGACATGAACTGGTAAGCGGGGCCGTGGCACTCCTAATGAATAAGTCGTCTTGTCAAGGTACCTCTGCCCTGGTATGAATATGAAAAAATTCAATCCTGACTACCATTGTTGAATGCTAAAGATTGTTTTTTCTACATCCTAGGGACTGTACGCTGACTATGTACGACCATACGGTAATTGGAGTCAGCTTCCCTCCATATTCTGGTAATGCATAGAATTCACAATTATTCGATGACACAATATATGTAAGGGCTAAATAATAGGTATTGACTATTTTATTCCATTATGAAATAATACAAATCACAAATTCAACTAATGGTCGAGGCGATAAGCTTGACTATGCAAAATAAAATTATTGAAAGTACTGTGCGATACTTGAACCGTACAGCGTCGGCGTTTTAATTTTTGCTATAGAATTCCTAAACATATATATTTATTAAACACTAATGCAGATAAAAAGATCAACAGTCGGTTATAATGTTACTCCAATTGATAACAAGAAGAACTGATTACGGAAAATGTGAACCCGTAAATCAGGGATCGGCAAACTTTTGTCGTTCGCGGGCCGAAATTGAAGGTTGCAAGTCATTGGCGGGCCGCACATAGAAAGTTAAAAACCGAAGGAATGGCCAATGAATCATATTTTTTTCACACATATTTCAGTTAAATTTCAAGCAGTGCGCGAAGACTGATGATTTGAATATTTTCTGCGTCATTGAACCATTTGCACTCGGCATCAACTTTTTTACGTTCTGTTGCCATTTGTCTAATTATAATCAATTTAGGCTCATTAAACGAGTGATTGTGAATTATATACTTGCTGGGTTATAATATAATTCAGTGTCTCAAAACAAATTCTGTCACGTAAAAAATATAATCGTCAATACAGCTGTTTTGTTAATATAACTCAGTGAAGCGTCGCGGGCCGGATTATATTGCTCTGCGCGGGACGGACCCACCCCTGCCGTAAATGATCCAGTTCCAGCAAATCCACGTTATCGGAGATAATGCGTATTTAAAGGAAAATATCCCGCTACGGGGAATTCGTCTGAATTATTATCCACCAGTTAAATTGAGAAAAGTTAGGAAGTTTATATGATATTAGTCGTATGTAATTTAGCATAATCAAGTTCGACTCGGCGATGTGGCTTGATTTTGAGTTGAAAAATAGCGGGAAAAGAGAGAAATGCCATGGAACAAAATAAATTACATGCCCAGTAAACTATTGAATATTATCTGTATGTTATTCTTCATTATTATTACTGATAAATAAATGATAATAAATTAATCCCATTTTCATAAGTGGAGTCGGCCCCAGACTCGCGCGCTCATCTGGCTACATCGAGATAGTGTGATCAATGACATTGTTTAATGTCATTGGTGTGATGTATGATAATTTGGAAAAAAAACAAATTCATCAAAGAATACAGAATAAAACCATGATCCGAGCTCAAATTATTTGTTTTCAATCATACAAAAAAGAGAGATACATGCAAAATATTGTTAGATCTATGCTTGAGAAACCTGTTCATCTGAACTAAATTATTCCAAACTTACCTCAACTATTTATAACAATATTTAATATTATTAATACTATTTATTTGAGAATTGAAGTATTAGTATAAGCGTAAATATATACTACCACGGTATAAGTTCATTTCGACTCCATCCATACTCAGCATAAAAGGCCATTAAATAATTGATAAAAACAAATAAATAAAAACTGACACCATTCCCTTCAGCTGATCGAACATGATCGTTAACTGATCTAATTAGTGTCAATGTTTTTCTATTTTCCATGCATACCGCATTATTAAATAACTTAGGTAAAAAAAAGAGAGACACGCGCGCCGTTTGTTGTGTTGGTTACGCTTGGATGTTAAAAGCACAGGGTTCAAATTTCGAATATTTTTGCTAGTTTGTTTACGTTTTGTCAAATATTGCCCCGACGGTTTGTTCTTCGCCGGTTTTGTAATAAAACTTTCATGACTCTCTTTAAAAGTGCCAGTGATACAATTCAAGACAGCCAGGACACTGAAATATCAAACAAGTACGTTGAGCAAGCTATACAGATGTACAGCGCAATATCTGAATACTGGAATATCAAAATCAAGAAAGTTTGGCGACCATTTTTGGATTGGTGTGAAATGTCAGAATAGACTGCGTCAGTTATAAGCTGTAAAAGACCGTTTTACATTTCATTAATCACTGTACTGGTATATTAGTTGGGGATAGTAAAACTACAAATACATCATATACAGTACCGGTATTTGAGATTTTGATATTTCATTGTTTTCAACCTTATACAGTTATAGCTTGATACTTGTTATCACAGGATCCTTGCGTGATGAACAACACTTCAATATTTCACACAATGAAACTATTAAATAAATTTAAAGATATCAGACCAATATGTAGGAGAAGAAGGGTCATGACAGCAACATTTTCAAAAACAAAACTTTCTAATGCACCTTGTGTACCTTTTCACACATCAACATGTTTGGCTGAAGACAAAATCTCACTGAACTTTGTGGACAGAAAAGGAGAAACGACTGTTGTGAAAGCAGCACCATATGATACAATATTGGACGTTGTAATAGATAACGATTTAGACATTGAATCATTCGGTGTTTGTGAGGGTACTTTAGGTTGTTCAACATGTCATGTTGTGCTTGAAGATAAAACTTTTAATTTTTTAGAGGAGTCTTGTCCTCCTACAGCAGAAGAATTCGACATGCTAGATCTGGCATGTGGTTTAACTGAAACATCAAGACTTGGTTGCCAAGTTGAAATTACAAAAGATATGGAAGGATGCACAATAAAAGTTCCGAAAGAGGCTATTGATGCTAGAGATTTTTGACAGTTGTAGTTTAAAAAGAAATTACTCAATTGTTTTCGAAAGAAGCATAAAGATTTTATTTTTGAAGCTACTCAATGCTTTTATGGTGATACTTTTGTATTAATATTCATATTTCTCGTTTGCCGCAAATCATATTTCTAATACAATTGATGGAGTCCAATAATTCAAAGCCTATATAGAATGTTTATGCCATATTAGTAACAGTTCAATTTATTGTGCAATTTTTCTTCTGTTTCTTTCGTCGTGTAAAATCAATGCTTAAAATTGATTTCAACATGAAATAGAAAATTGAATTCTACATTTCCTCTTTTTTTTGCGCGAATATATTCAATATTTCATATAATTGAATAATCAGTTTTCCAAAACAGGTACATTAAGGTCAACTGACATATTGCTTATTGGTGATATCATATCATGAAGCTTATTATTTTTCAACATGGCTGCTTGATCTTTTGATCATAAAACGGATTAAGAGGTTTTTGTCCATGATTGATAGCAAATTGTGTTATTTTTTAAACTTTGTCGGGTGGTATTAGGGCGTGTTATTTCATTGTAAAAAATTGTAATTTGCTGTGGGTAGAACATTTATTGACATAGCCTTTAAATGGCCAGAATAACTCGTTTTATACAATGGGTGACACTTTTGGTGTAGCAAACTTAAGCTCTGTTTAATATTTTATTTCATGATACAGATTATTTTATCTTTCATTATGTATAATGGCACTATACATGACACTGTGATCACACCAAGACTAACGAGTTCCATGAGGTTGGACAAAAAAGCAGATCTCAATGAATTAAGTCATCAAATGAAATTGAACATCGCACAACTAAAATCTTTACTCGGAATCAAAAATAAGGTAAAACTTTAGAATTTTTCTTTCCACAGATGTAGTGTAGGCCTATATATTTTACACTAAATCTGAGATATATACGGTATGTAACTCAGTTGAACATCAAGTTTGAGATATGAATGGATGGAAATATTGCTACATATTATTTTAAATTTATACATTTTAGAATAGACTTCCATTTTTGTTTCGGTGTAATGGACTTGTTTAAAATCCTTTTTTCAGCTTTCTATATCTTGTGATATCAATCGTCCTTGCTTCTAAATGAGTTATCAAGTGTAAATGTGCTATACTGAAATGTATATGAAGTATAAAATAACAATCTAGTAATTTACTGTTTTTGAATGATTTTGCTTATGTTTTAGGATGGAGATTTTGACCTTGGTTCAATTGAAGAATTGTCTTTTTTTGTAAGTAGAACATGCTTTTGCTGTCAGTCCAGTTTCTCTTCTGTTTGATTAACTGCTTCCTCATCTCCTTCTTTAACATAGCGTTTATGAGTCTGTGTTCATCAATTTGAGGATGAAGTAAAAAGAGTAAAATTGATTGTACTATTAGGTTTAGGATCCTTGATGTCATTGTACCAGCTCTGCCACATCCAGGCCCAATACTAAAATAGTCCTACAGGCGATTACTTCCTTAAGCATAACTCGAAGTCTATGACTAATAGTAAAAGTTTCTTGAAAGTTTATATTTGGCAGTTAAAGTTATTTAACTTACTTTCCCTATAATGACTGAAAAAGTTTGTTTGGCTCATAACTCTGTGCAAGAGGTATTTAATCTACTTTTACTAAAGCAATTTGCTTTTTTGATGATTCTAGCAAACAGCTTCCATCATAAGCTTGACTTTATTACTTCCCTTTATTGACATACTTTTATAGATTAGTAAACATGATTTTCCTCTTCAAAACCTTCTTTGGGACTTGTTTGCAAATCTGTATATTCTTCTGAACTTTTCATGCTTTTCATGAATAAAAGTAGTATCATATAAAATTTTACATTAAATGACATTTTTTGGTTGCTTTTCATTTTAAAAAATTATCTCCATTTATCGTATATATATTAACCTTTCTCAATTTGAATCTCCTTCGACTTGGCGCCATCATTTCTTTTATATTAACTTTCTTTACTTTTCATTTCTAGTGCCCAAGCATAAAGTATATATATTTGAGATTTGAATTTTTCCTTATGTATATTTTGTACATGGGCAATATATAATTCACTTTCACAAACTTTATCAATATAGTATGTAGTGTTTGCATAGAAGGGTGGACTGTGTGAACTCTTTACACAATAATATAAAGTAACGAGTACATGTAGTAAATTTACATTGTGTTTTTGACTCTTATCAATTTATTATATCTTGTGATGACATAGAGGCAGTGTGACAAGCAACTAACTACTTGAAGATTGTCTTTCTTTCTTATTGTGTGACTAAAATCATCTCTCTTCTAACGTTTTTCTCTGTGATCAGTCAAGTGATGTGATTGTTGATTTCTGGTACGGTAAGTTTCTTATGAGTTAGTGTGATAGATTCATACTTTTTTTTAAATCATTTTGCTGACAAAATGCTAGCAATATCCCTGAACAGATATTGATACCACAATTACCAATCATCGAGAGAAAACTCAGTTTAATTTAATATTAAAGAATGGGTATGCAAAGCAAATTTAACAAAAAATTTGCTAATTTGTCTGACATCTTTTTACCAATATTAGGAATATATGCCAAAAAAGGGGAAAAGTTGCAATCAACTGATTCCTGGGAACTGTAATACAACAATATATTAATTTTGTTGACGATAAAAGATAAAAACATATTTTGACTGATTACTTGTCTGGTGCCGATTTCGGGGCTTATTCCAAATTAAATATGAACAATAGTTCTATTTAAAATTAGGTTATATAAACATCTAGGAGTGCTATCATCAATTTTTTTATTTTCTTATGATCTACCATGTGTTTATTTTTCTCGGTTTGTATAATTTTATTTTTTTATTGATCATTTTTTGTGATTTTCGTAATATTGGTATTGGATGAAATTTGATTACGCAAAAATTTTACCCTGCAGCACTTTTGCCTTGTTAACATATTTCTCTCACAGGCATCAATTATCTAACTTATAATTTAGGCATAGTCTGTATACTGATACATTCATTTGAGAAAGGAAGGAAACCAACGAGCCAGATTTTAGAATAAGTTATATTACAGCAATTTCATTTTCATGGTCTTTCAGTAAAGTAGAAATCTATACTCTGATGATTGCAAATTAATTGTGTTTGAAACTAAATTTTTTGGGAGCGCAAGCATTAGACTAATCTGTGTTGGCGTCTCAGGCTCCATTCGGGTTCAAATCCCATGCTCCCCACCTCATCCAGGGTGTAATAAATTGGAATTCCGAACCGAAAAACCACCGATCCTTTTTAGAATAGTAGCTTCTTACATATCGCTATATATCGTTGTTGCTTGTTCAGAGCCTTGTTCAAGCCGGCATAAATAATTGTTGTATAAAAAAGTAATACTGTATATCCTCGACCTCGCATATAAGCCGACTTAAAAACGGCCCTGAAAATAGTGAATTTATAAAATATTGCATATAAGTCGACCCTATGAATCGTAACACTCTGTGCGAGTTGCTGTTGGAATTAAGTTAGCATAATGTCATTTCGTTTGAGTGCGATCAGAGTTATGCGGACATTTTTTTTTTTGAGTTTTAAACTCGGCTTATGTAGATTTGTATTCAAAAGGGGCCATGAATTTTATGGAACGCCCATTTTGACTACTTTATTTTATTTTTAGGGTAAAAGTTTTAATTCTGTGTTGGATCATAAAGAAGAAGAATTAAGATTGTTGCAAAATGATATTTCCAAACTACATGGACTTTATTTAAAAAATAAGGTATGCTGAGATAGATATCTTTTTTGATATGTGCTTATATGAAATGTTATATGTATTTTTATTAATTTTTGTATTACGCTCTATATTTGAAAGAAATCCATAATTTTGAAAAGTGCGGTTGTAGTTTTATGCTTGGCCGAAAGATGTACCTACCTCTTTGACTTTATTTGAAAACCAGATATGCTGATTGCTGAGATATCATCATTGCAACCATAAGAAATGTTAGATTTTGCCCAATTATATATATTCATTTTGGTACATCGAAATAAATCCATACTTCAGTCTGGATGTGTACATATATACTATATGTCTGCCTACATCAATGCCATGCAGATGTACATGATTTAATTTACCACGAGGCATATTAGTTTTTTGATGGAAAATATAATTAGAATTATTTTCAAGTTTAGGCATAGACTCAATTAATGTTAATAAAACAAAGAAAGATGATATCACAAATGTATGGAAAAAATAATGCCAATTATGTTAAGCTAAATACCATGATATATTGTTCTTATTAGTTACAGCGAAGCTTTTATCTACAGCTATTGCATATATTCAACCTAGTCAGGCCTCCCTCCAAGCATGTCCAAACATTTCTTGATAGCGCAATTTATCAATAAATCAGTCTCGATTGTGCAAATGTAAAGAAGCTTTTCTTGACTTGGCATGTGTACCTGGTATTGTGTTTCTTGTGTATTCTTGAGGCAATTCACACAAAGTCCCTTATCAAATTTCACTCCTTTCTTTACTTAAGAAATCCAATTCATACGGGATACTCTATCTTTGCTACAGTAAGATTATTGTGTCACATTCGCCCTTGTTGGAGATGCTATCTAGTCAGTCAGGTTTCATATAGTTTGTTAACTTGTTTTGAGTATACACATGGAAATAAATGGGATCTACAGAAAAAGTTAGGTGTGATTGTTTATGGGTAAACTCAAATTTCGATTTGTGTAAATGTAATGATTCGAAATGGATAAAATAACATACAATTCAGAGGTGAGTTGCCTTTTTGTAGTAAGTGTAAGTGTAGCTCATTCAATTTTATCGATACAATTACGATGCTTCTCATCTTCTAAAAAATATCCTCATATTTTAACTACTGTATACTATATTTAGTTTGTTCAATCTTTTGTTGGGAAAAAATAACTTTTTTCTAAAGCCAATGGACCAATGCATTTTAAATTCTCAATATCCAGGGCTGGAAGTCATTTGAAGGCTATAACTTCCATTTTTTTTTACATTTCCTTTGAGTCTCATGGGACCTGATATTTAATCAAAAATTTTGCTGTTTTATTTTTGAAAATGGATTAAAAATCTGTCACGCTTGTCTGCCGATCTAATTAGCAAATCGCATGCTCTAAATGTTATCGTGCTGGTCTCGATGCGTGACCTTCAAGTTCATATGTTTTAGCATTGCTTTCTTTCTTGAATCATATTCAAATATTGGTTTAAATTTGAAATATATTTGCTGACATTTTCGAGTAGGGAATTATACCAGTGACGTCTTAAGTTGAAACGGTATTGCTTTCTTTCTCTGAAGGTTTTAGATTTTCTTGAAATGGAAAGCCCTAGTTGACATGAAATAGCTGTTATTTTGATGTAATGTTATTTTCAGTGAATATATCACTCTTATCTTTTGATCATATTTTGAATTTTCAATGTTTTATTATCTTGCACATATATTTCTGCCATACACAGTTTCTTAATCCTTCATTATCTAAAATATGATCAAATTTAATAGTCTTTTTTTGCATATTACAGAGTTATCCTTCACCGAGACGGTCTTTGAGTTCACCTTCAACTCCAAGGAAGCTGAGCACTTCATTGATGTTAGAGAGTTCAACCTTTGTTGGAATTCCATCAAAATCTTCCGCATTTTCTCCAAGATTCTCAACATCCTCGTTACCTGGGAAGGACTTGGAACAAAGGGAGCTGGAGTTTGATATGTCGCTTAGGTCTGTATAATTAGCAGTGGCAAGTTAACATAGGCATTGGCCATAAAGCTTACTTATGATCTTTGTGTTGGGAGCCGTGCCTATAGCATTTCTCTATATATATTTATACAAAAGTAACTTTGTTCCACACTTTGATGAATCAAAGGCATTGACAATGTGTTGTTTTTTCTAATTTCATCCTTTTTGTGATTATCAATTTTTGTCCAAAAAGCGTATTGTCTGAAGCAGGGTTCTTCAAACTGTGGGTCTTGACCCCCCGGTGGGTCCCAAATAGGCTCAATGACGGTCGTGGTACCCATTATTGTCAGAACTAGCCATATTTACCTTTTCTCCTTTTTGCTTCCACTTCTGTGTGTGAAAAATCTCTTCGACACTAACTCATGTTAAAACAAAGTATTGATCAAATTTGAAAGATTTCGAACCAGTACCGAGACCCATCATCACTGAAATAAAACCAAGGTTTGATCTTTTGTGTGAGAATATACATATCGGTCTCATTAACGTTCCTGGAGGTCATGAAAAAATATTTGTCTGTGCCAAGTTGGCTGTGATGAAAAAAGTTCGAAGAACACTGGTTTAAAGGAATATGGTTATTTTCAATAAAAATATGTCAAATACCTCTCTATAGAGAACTAGTAGATGATTAATTTCTTATCATTAAGATGAGTTGTTTATTTTATCATGGCTTTCAGTCTCATGTTTCGATAACCCTAATCAGTTTGGCGGTTGATACAATTTTTCAAAACATTTCAATAGTACTGTCAGCTAGCTGTTTATACAATAAAAACATGTGGTTAACATGAATGACAATGAAATTTAATTTTGCTTTGATATTGACGTCCTGTCACAACATGTCACAATTGAAGTCATGCCACTCCTTAGATCAATCATATTGTGTTGTGATAGACTTGAATACCCTTTTTTGAAAGCGAACCATGATCGTGGGCTCGTAGATGACATCGTGGCAGCCAGATATGAGTTTGTATATGATTGTACCCAAAAGTATCACCTCTATAGGACACTATACACAAGTATTATTTTCTCTATTCTTAAAATGACCTGGCCACTTTGGTTCTGTTTTTTTGTCATCCTATACCAGGGATGGTGAACCTTTTTCAATGAATGGGTCAAAAATTATATTTTTATCGCGGAACAGAAGTGAGTGGGTCACAGATATTTAACCAATGTTTGTATCTATAAGAAACTTCTGAAACAAATCTTATAAGCTTCTGTTGGTGTTGGTGTAGTTTTGGGCTTCACTTATGCGACACTTCTGTCAATGACTTAATACGGCACTCGAATATATGAAATCAGAATAATAAAACACGCATATGAATTACCAAAACTGTTTCGGATGATGCAGCAAATTATTTCATGGTTCCAAAGAGTTTAAAGCAGTGAACTACGGCTCGCATGCGGCTCTCAACAACCTTTCCTGCGGCTCTTGTTAATGCTTTATAAATTAATTATTTTCAAAGAAAAATTTTTGATTGAAAACTAATCATTGACTTGAAATTAAAATGCTGATCAGGGATCCAGCACGTCGGAGGTCGATACCCTTGCGTTCACATAAGCGACAGCTGTTGAATAGATTAAGGGCTGATTTCAAAACCAAATTAATTTTATTCTGAGTTTTATCCTCTGCCTTGGATTTGATCCTCCTTATCAGCGCTTATAAATTAACCGTACATGTTTAAAGTGAACGGTAACCGAGATGCAGATATTTATTAAAATGATAATTGAGTTTCTCATGCTTTTCGATGGTGTTTGTGTTATTTTAGTATTAGATAGATAAACCTAGCAAACTTACGATTTCGTGAATCCGGAATGTTGATTTAAAATAGCGAATAAATAAATTGGCAATAAAGGCATTTCTAGGCATTTGTGCCTAATAGAGGGTCAGACGCCAATTACACCTAATTCCTTCAAGTTTTATCATTTTGTTTCAACAAAACAACACCCCGATGGTTATTTTGGCTAAAATACTTACTGAGTAATGCTCAATTTTCTTTATGGAATTTGCAAATTCAGCACTTCACTTGAATAATCCCTTTTTTCACAATGAAACGCTGAAAAGTCATTTTAACATTTAATTTTAATCAACTCTATGTCGGTAATGCAAGAAATTGGCTAATGACATGTCACCAAGCATGCGGAGTTTAAAATCTGGGAAATTTATTTTAAATACCTCATCTGGTTTGACGTTTCTAAATTTAACTTTTTCAAACTTGTCTTTTTTTTCTGATAGCGAGCACCGTTGGGAAATCTCGCACAATTCACGATTGAGTTGGAGACGCGCGAGTTCGGTGTCCAAGCAGAGCGGCGCAGGTCATGTGGTACCGGATATTCGAATAGTAAAATGCCATTCGAATATGTTATTATTCGAATAGTTTGCCCAACCCTAGTTGTTATGTGTGTTGTTTTTACGATGACTTGGTATTTTAAATACGAGCTTAAGGTTTGTTGCTATTTTACCTTGCGTTGTTTGTGTGCGGCTCTTCATAACTTTGATGTTTGAAATGCTGCTCTGAGACTAAAAAAGTTTGAGAACCACTGGTTTAGAGGGAATTCCACTCTGATAGTATTATATTTTTTGATCGGTTTTCAACCACATTAAGGCACTTTTACACTGCCCCATTGCTATTTCATATTTCTAGGTTTTTATTTCAAGTCTTAAAAAAATTTTGTTTTCTCAATGGCATTATAAGCTAAAAACTAATGAAATGCAAAGTAACATCTAGTTCTCGTGTAAACCCTAAAACAGTCTGCAGATGCATTTCCGAAAGAGACAATACATTGCGAGAAATGAACAGATCAATTGCGTTGTTATGTCATAAACGATGTCAGAGTCAATAGCTGAATAACGGTACACAATAGTGCAGAAATGCGTCCAAGATTACAGGTTTTTAAAATTACCATACTTGTCCAGAAATTAACAATTTGAATATGAGCGATCGCAGCTCTGACGGTACATTATACTACGGTAGTTTAGGTATTGTTAGATTAATTTAAGGCCGGTTTCATCAATATTTATCACTGATATGTTAGCATTTTTTTTAGTTTATTCGTGCCTTGGCGGGTCACGAATGAAACGCATAGGGTCACTTTGTGACCCGCAGGTCAATGGTTCGCCATCCCTGTCCTACACTATACTATACATGATTGTCTGAAATTGTAAAAATTAAAGATTTCCATCTGACTCTGGGCTAATCGAATATTTGACTCCCAACTCTTAGGTAATGAAATTTCAAATGTGAAAGCTTTAAACCTGGATTTCAGTTGAGAGTTCTGATTCAAAGCCAATCTAATATTTGACTCTAAATTTGTAGGCAACAAATATTGATTATGGACACTTCAACTCTGAAAACCCGTGTATAGTTACACAATTGAAAATTCAAATTCGTCCACCCAAATGCCTTCGACTATCTATAAATCTGGTTCCTTAAATAAGCTTGTCTTTATCAAAATTAGGTATTAACAAATTCAATTATAATATTTAGGAAATTCAGCCGTGAAAGTGAAAATGCTTTTACGAGGAGCAGCGACAGATTGAGTAGAGATTATGAGTTGAGGAGGAAATCATCTTCTTCTCAGTCATCCTCACTCAAGTCGAGTCCAAGGAATTTGCAAAATCGTGACTCCAATCTTTCCTTGTCACAATCGTCATCAAATAAGAGAAAAACAAGTGCTAGAAGCTTTACAGATATTGCAGAGAATTCAACATGTTCAAGTAAAAAGAGTCAAAATCGACCTTATGTTGGAGCACAAAGGTGAAGTCATAGATTTGCGTATGCTTTTTTATCTCTATTTTAGAGCATTTTTGTCAATAGTGAATAATATGCTAGTTTTCTATGTAAACTGTGAAGTATGTTTATCAATAAATCTTTATGTAGTCAAGCCTAATTCATCAAGTGATCTCTCACGACTCTTCTTGCATGAGTCAAAAAATTTCTGAGTTCAGTCGCCCATGCATTTTCAATTTTCCACGCTACTGTGTTCTGAAAACTTCCAAGCTTTCCAATCTTGCTAGCTACAAAGTACTGTATTCTTCTGTATTAATCTATTACTTTTGACCTCTAATTACATTTTCAGACTTCGAAATAAATATGGCTCGGCGCATCATGCTAAGTGTTGAGAATACGCTCGCCACTTCTGATAACCCTGTGTGTTGAATGCGTAGTTTCGCATTCAATACAGGATTAATAGTGTGCGAGAAGATCGCTGGACTCCTCGCCACTGTAGGGTGGTTCACGTAACCTCTGTTGGGTCAAAACTTTCTCCACCATCAACAAATCCCATACCTGGCATGGACTGGTAACCAGACGAGAGGCTGTGGTACACCATATGATTAAGGCGTCTTATGGTTTTCCTCTCCACCGGGATAAATTTGTAAATCCTATCCCATGCTAAATATTGGTATATTGCTTCAATCTGTAATTTTGTACCCCTATCCAGAATAAGTCAGGATCACTTTGTATGTTTTAATATTTATTTGAAATTTAGTGGAAGTGAAAATTATTTGTGAAAGTATAATTATTTTCTAGGCCGCTGAATAAGACTCAAATAATCAAAGTTAGATCAAAATCAGATTCACATCAGCCATTGTCAGGAAATACGAACAACAACAATCATGAAAGGTACATTTACTATAGCATTTTTTCATAGCATAGCATAGCACTAACGATATATAACAATGTTCACAACGTCTTGTGTTAAGTTAGGTGAAAGAGCTATTGTGTGGCTCATGCAACTAATGGTAGGCATATAAAGGTGTATTAAATGTAATAAAACGTTTAAATGAACTTTGATTAAAATTAAATAAATGGTTAAAATAATTGAAAATTATCTTCCTAACAGAGCTATTGTGTGGCTCATGCAACTAATGGTAGGCATATAAAGGTGTATTAAATGTAATAAAACGTTTAAATGAACTTTGATTAAAATTAAATAAATGGTTAAAATAATTGAAAATTATCTTCCTAACAGAATTATGAATTTAACAGGACTTTATGACCACGATGTTTATATATTGGTTTATCCTTGCTTGAGGGGTGCTCAACAACATCCAAGTGTTTTAAATTAATGGCATGGTGCAATAACATATTTAGGAGGGGTATCAGTTCTTTGTCATTCTCCACTAATGTTTATTTTCAGGTCTAAACAGTCAAATTCTGTCGCAAGTGAAATCCGAAAACCTCAACCTAGAAAACAGAGTGGGCCCATATCTTTAGCTAGCACATATGTGGATACATCAACAAATGGTAGGTAGCCTACTTCTGTTCAATAATATTATTCATTAACATATTATATATTTTTGTCCAAATAGAAGATTGTGGAAACACTTGCCTTTATTTGTTTGTATCCTCCTATTCAAGCTTGTGAGTACCTCAAATTTTTTTGAATTTCTCTGATTAGTTACCATAATCAGAATGGTTAATTGCATTTATTTGTTTGTGTCCCCCTATTTAAAGTGTGTGAGCACTTCAAATTTTTTTTCGCCCATTTGATCAGAATCATAATGATCTTCAGACACTTGTCATATTGATATCTCAAGTGCTGTGTGGCATTTATTGATACAAAAATTATTTGACATGGGAGTTTGCTTTCTACAGTATAATGATGGTTTGTATTTAACCGAGACATCCGAGAGTACTAATTTTTAATGGTTTAGTAATTGTAACGCTCATTTGACAGATTTGGTAATCTTGCAGGCAACAGAACTTTCTATGAATGGCTCATAAACATAGCAACATATTGAAAATATCTAAGTTGCCTGGATTTTAATGGAGCTTGTTTTTGAATGCCTGTTTAACAATAAACGTTGTAACGGTAGAATTGGTCGTTTTTATTTCAGATGATGTTTCTAGTAGTGATTATGATGAGAGTTCATTGAGTACCGATCCTGAGGAACCTCGAACTGAACATTCGCTTCGAAGCAGTGGGAGAAAGAAGATACAGCAAACAAACAAGAGTAAAAATAGAAATGATGCTGTGATTAAATTTGAGGAAGTTGAAAGAAAATTATCAATGCTGCAACAACGATGTGATCTGTTGGAAAACGAAAACGACAAAATTGTAAGTGAATGTGTAGACTGTAGACATATAATTATTTTGTTGAATGATAGCTGGGGGCATTACAAATGTGACATCATAATGATACAAAATCCCATGTGTCATAATGCTCTGTTACAGAAGGAATGGATCAATGCATACCCCTCACAAATCCCCCCCATGGGCTAATTGTTTATGAAATTTTTAGTTTAACACTTTATTTTGAAATTATTAGACCAATCAGAGGATACTAATAATGAACAGAATTTGTAACATGTTATGTACAGAAAATTATCCATATACCACTATCTACCACAGATCAGAAGTTTCCAGAATTAAAATTATTTCACAAGCCTTCAACATACACTCTTTAATGAAGCTTCCCTCAACGAAAGGACGCTACGATTTCGCAATCATCTCACTTATGGCAAAGCTTGCTTTCATCGAATCTTTACAAGTTTTGTTTATTTCTGAGAAAAATTTTTCTGTTTCAATTTGCGATATCATTTCGTGACGAATTGTTTCAGTATAAACATGGTATTTTTCCCTGTGTAAAGATCCATAAGTTTATATTAATCTAGTTTTGTGTTAACTGCTCATATGATTCATAATCAACTTCCATGCACACTTCCATGATCTGACCGAAACTTGTTTATTTCGTCATAATAAAAATGCGAAATGAAATGATTAAATTTACAATTTACAATAGAATAAAATATGAACGTGGTAAAGTGGAATAACGAGGGGGAATTTTTGTTTTACTTTTAGCAGTTTATTTTACCGGACTCTTGGTGTTAAACAACACGATAAAATTCATAGTTAACATCATACTTTTTCTGGAAAAATTTCAACCACGACGCGGGCCGCAAAAAAACGCTTTGCAGGGCTGCGTGTTGGAGACCCCTGATGTAGGCGATCTGGAATGGAAAGATTCCAATCCGTTCAAAAACAGTAGCTTCTGAAAACGGGGCCTCGTTACAAGCGAAGGCATGAAACAGCATCATATAAAATAGAGTCATTTTAATTTATCAATCTGGTAGAGAATAACGTCCTCATTTAGAAAACTAAATCATTGTATAATTTTTATGGTCATGAGTCATTACAGGTTGATTATTTTTTAAAATAAGACTATGACTAAAAAATTGAATAAGATAAGATTTTTATTTGTTGTCAATGTAATTCAATTGACAATTTGTTATCTCGTCAGCTATTGAGACCAAGTGTTTTCTGAAATCATTATCTGATATAACTGTTTAACAGTATCAGTTACACAATACCATAAAGATAAACAGTTGTTTTGTACGATAAAACAAATGATTTTGAAATCCAAGTTAATCTATAATGAATGATTGGATTTTCATTTACGTTTTGTTTGAAACTGCAAAATTGACAGACTCGTGAGATATTTTTAATTTTCCCATCTAGTTTCCTGTGCTTTTTCTCTGTGTATGATTAGTACTTGTACATAACAGACTATAATAGACTATTATTCATACTCTGATAAGAATAGTCACTGTTTTATGTCACTGAAGATAATAATTCACGTAATACAACACATTAAAAAATGATCTTAGTTTATTATTAACGTAATATGTACGTCACTTCTTTGCAATATAGTCAACATGATGTTCTTATCAACATAGAACAGATTATTGTTCCCATTTTATCATTATTCACAATGATAATGTAATAGTGATGACGTAAATCTATAGGATATAGCAGTTTTGATAATATTATAATTTGACATGGAAATCAGATTTTAAACAGAATAAAAGAAATAAGCCACTCATTGTTATAAATAATATTAGCAATGATACATGACAAAGACATACATATAATATGTAGAAATCTCAATTCAATTTACACAATTTTTTCTCAGAATAGTAAACTAGAAGTTTACAGTATAAGGTGAAAAGCTACTGATTTCTATTATCACTTTGGGAAACAGTTTCTTATTACTGTTATATTTGCTCAGCATCACTGATCAATATCAATCTCTGCTGTACTATTCAATACTCTTTTCTATTTTTCAATGGATAAAATGGGGATTTTTATAAATTAATACTATATTATTGCATATGTTATACATCAATCAGCTTTTCTAGCTAAACATGGTTTTGATGTTCATTCTTCCTATTAAATTTTTTCTTTCAAATATATGCAAATTAAAGATATGGTGGTAAGTCATTTTATTGTGTTGCAAGAATTGCATGAAATATTTGTATTCAGATCACCTGAGTGATGTGATAGGATATCCATGTTATGAGTAATTGTCTATGTTAGTGTTTTTAACGAGTGTAAATATTTTAAATGCGATGTACGGTATGTAATAATTCGTGAAATTATCTTGTATTGTTGACTTGTTATGATGCATCCTTTTCTTTTCACAGTCTGTATTGTATTTTACGAAAGAAGTTATGAATTATAATACTTTCTTTTAGTGTGTTTGACAATTGTTAGTGTTTTTGATGTGAGATAAATGTTGTCCAATGATTTTCATAAAATCGACCAAAATTTGAGGTATTATGGGCAGCAAATTTGTGATGTATGCGAAAATTTCATAAAATCTTCTCGCTTTTGGTGCATCTTCAGTATTCAGAAAAATCATATTCTAAGCTTAGTCTCACTTTATATAACTTCAACATGATTTTTGATTCTTTTACTCTTGCAAAACACTTTTGATACTGATGAAGTTTGTACATGTGACTCCGTTACAAATTCAGTTCCAATAATTTTTTGTTAGTTCTTTTCTCACATAATGATTTTTACACTTTATTTGACACATTAGGGTTTTTGATAATGACTCGAAATACCTATAATAATCTTGATAATTATCAAAATTGATAAAATACAACAGAAATGCCAATATTATTGAGGTCAGAAACTCTTTGCACCGAGCCTAAGGGAAATAGAAAATTCCACAGCATTTCAATTTTGGTACATACTCTTTCCAATCGCATACAAATGACATGATAAGTTTTATTTCAAGAATCACCCTTTGATATTGAATTATACCTATTGCTGTTATGACTGATACTACCAAGTGCATGCTTAGTATTTATATTTATATCACGTTTAGACACATTTGAAAGGATTATATTTATTAATTTCATCAGATTATCTTTAATATTTCCAGAAGTCATGATTTCCTCTTCAGTCTTATCCACTTGTATTTACATATATAAGGAAGTAATTAATAATGATTACATTAATAAGTTAATTAAATGAGGTCGCCATTTGACTTTTTTCATTACTTTGTTATAGAAAAAAGAACAACATGCAAAGAACAATAAAAAGATTGTCGACTTGAAACATCAGAATTCACAACTTGTTAGTGTCGCAAGAAGGTTAGAACAGAAAGCAAAAGCTCTGCAATTGGAAAATAATAAAGTAGGTTATGTCAGTAATGTAATGAGAATTTCAGTAGTGGATTTCCTTACATAAATATGTATGGTAGCAATGCTTTGGGGTATAACCAGAAGTAAGGAAAATTAGGAAAGGTATTTTAGAAAAAAATATAATAAAATGGTATGTGTTTTAAATTTTCTCACTTGAATTCCATCAAAGTTAACAAGCATTAATTGATTCAATCAGATATGGTAATATTTTCATTTACAAAATAGCATGAAATATCGTACATTTTACAGTTTAGTTGAAAAGTTTTGCTATGAACATTGCCTTAAATACTTAATAAGTAGCTATTTGGTAAATGTATGGAGCTATCATAGTTTAGATCTAGGATATATCTTTTAATATATTTTGTTTTGGCTTTTAACTTATTATATTAATCCAGACCTTGGAAAAATTGGCATCATCCCAATTGTAAGCAGTTTTACTTTTTTTTAGACTCAACGTATGTTTGAATTTCCTGTTACTTTCAATAAATTTGGTACTAATTTAACTAATTTTCAGAGACAGCATAATACAAAACATTAAAAAATTTCCAAAGATTTTCCGAGTCTGCTGTCCTGTCCTGTCAGACTTACATGGCATTACGAGTTCTTTAAGAATATGAACAGCACTTTTGTCTGATTTACCTATCTTCCACTTTGATTTAGTGAAAGATATGCTTGTCTATCTTTAGAAAACTAGTGAAACTGTTGGTGGGGCTCAGGATCTCATCCAGCAAAAGAAAACTTTTGCCAAACTCAAATCAAGAATGGAAACTGAACATTCTAGAGCTATCACAGAAAAAGAGCATCAAATTGAAACCTTGAAAAAACAAATTGATGATCTGAAGAAAGCACTTCGACAATCTAATAATATCAAGTTTTCTCAGGTTAGTTGGAAATTAAGGGAATGCACCGTATCACCCCCTGTGCATTGAGATTCTTCATATGTCACAATCTGAATTCAGTTCTAATTTTAAACCATGTATTTTCTACCACATTTTCAAAATTCTGAATTGATTTGTACATATCAAGAAGACTTCGTTTCATTTTGAAACTAAAATGTTTTTCAGTCAATTTAGTTTATTTTGCCGGAGGTATTTGATTTGAATGAAATAATACCATGCTGCAACATTGTTGCGATAAGTTGAAACCAACAGCGAATTAATAGGACAGATTTTGTGGGTCAGAACTCCCTCCTCTTTTGAAATGTAAAAAAAGCATTTTTCTGTATCAGACATAGCAAGGCCAGACCCAAGCTATTACGGTGTAACCTCACAATTAGAAATTTCAGAAACCCTCTTTGAAAATTCCTGGGTACGCCTCTGAATAGGCATCAAGTTTTATGTTTAGTGTTTTGTAATAGAATCATTTGATTTTTCATATGAACTTGCTTTTCAATATCCTTTCTTTTTTTAGGGTGCTGATGATACACTCGCATCATCGTTGAGATTAGCACAGAAAGAATCTCTTCAATTGCAAAAACTTGCTGCTGCTGGAAATAAGAAGGTATACCTATGTTTTTAATTTTGATATCCATTTTGAATATTTCTGTCATTCATTCATTTTGTGACATAGTAATCTAGCTATTATATGTAAAAAGATCTCTGGCTTGAGCTTAACAACCTAGGTTGAACCAAGACATTGAAAGTCTATTATATTTCAAGCATGTACCATTCTAGTCTTTACCACTAATCCTCTCAGAAGTTTTTTGTGAGATAGATAATCCAAAAAAAGATAATACTTCTGAAAACAAATCAGTTGTATTTTATTGTTTACTCTTTACCCATCATGCGTATAGAGGTGAAAATTTTGCGATTTTTTTGAAGAATCAGGAAAAGTTATATACATTGTTGGCTATCTGTTTAGCAATACAAAAATACTTTTTCTGCAAGAAGATTCATAACTTGGAATAGCAATGAGAATTGTGGTGAAATACGGTACATTTAGCATTTCATTTTTTTTTGACTGCTACAAATAGGATCTATCTTGTTCAGCTACCTTTTTTAGTTGTAGCATTTAAAGTTGTTTTTAAAATCTCTTGGGATATTGAGTCTCGAATGAACGCAAAATATTTTACTAAAATGACAATGACAGGTCCTATTCTTATATATGAATTGACGGAAAATTGTTTTTTTGCTCAAAAAGAGTTCATTGAAAATTCATTGGCTTTGACTGAAAAGTTAAGACTTAAGTTAACATTATATGCCATTTTCGGAAAAAGTAAAGTTATCTGCATATCAAAATATTCAAGCCAACGTAGACTGTAATAATATATTTACGCCAAAGCAAAGGTCTCTTGAGTATAGTAGCTAAGTGCCAGATTTGCATTTAGCACTATCTTTCCTCATGTTTAATTACATATATCAGTTTATGCAGGATAGATAACATTTTCTGTGTTGTGTCCTAAATATTGACTACCATTTTATTTTTCCTCTATGGGCGTTACTAGTCTTTTTCTAGCCTTAGTAGCATTGCAGTGGAGATGATTCAACAACAGTTATTGAAGTTTGTGATTCTGTATACTTGGTTGTAAGCCCGTCTCCTATTAGTATTTGGTAACCGTAATGAAAAGTACCGGTAATGTTAATATTACTTTATTTTTTAGGTTTCAAGTACTAGCTTGAAAATTTTTTTGGCTATGTTTCATAGGGACGTTCCTTTGTTGATATTATTAATGTAAGAACAATCCTATTTAACTTTTTTTGTATATTTTTTGAAAAATATGAGGCACTACCTCAATATATGATTAGATGCTAGTTTTTATTTACTGTAATTGGTCTTTCAACAAAATATTATTTGATGGATAATTTAAAAAAAAACATTGTTAGAACTTATTAAGTAGAGTTGCCGTGCTTGATTTTTTTTAATGAGAGTCTATTTGAAAAGAATTTGAGAAAAAAAACGTTGATATAATGTAAGTAAAAAAAAGCAAAAAACATAGGGGTTTAGGTAACGCCGCTCAGCTATGATGGCTTCACAGTTCAAATCTAGGGTGCATCCCATACCCAACACCTCACCCAGAGTGTAATAAATTGAGTACGCATCACTTGTTCAGAGATTTGTTCAAAGAGAAAGACATATATAAATACGTCGTACAAAGAATTATGAATAGAATTTTCAATTTGCATTGTGAATTAAAATCTGTGACTTCCAGTGATTCAAGTTCATCAAAAAACCATATTTTTATACTGGTATTAAATTTATTTTCTCTACAATATGATAGGTTTGTTTTCTGTGATGAACGTCAGAAAAAATCAATTTTTGTCTATTTCCAGATCGCTGACTGTAAATTGACATTGTTTGCTTTTATTATTATAATGTGCACCTGCCATCTTATCGACACATTTCATTTTTTTTTTCTGTATTACCTGATATATTAAATTATTTATTATTTGCCATTTATTCAAGCAAAACAAGCAATTATTTGATCTTCGACCAAAAAAATCAATATTTTCCCATCTTTATTCCGTTTTTGTCATTAGCTTCCTTAACGACTACAAATTCACGGATGTTGTGTATTCGCTCTGAATTAATTACCCGAGCAGTAACAAGGCACAAATTACAGAAAGGAGTTGTTTTCAATTTTTATTCATAAATTGATCCTGTCAGCCTTAGCTGCCAATTTAAAATGTTTGTGGTTTTATTTTATTGCTTACTTTCTGCCCAGCTTAGGTCTTCTTTGGAGGTCTTTGGTCTTTGGAAGTCTTCTTTGAATGGAAATTTGTCAGTAAATCAGCCTTAAATAATGTGAGAATAACTGTTATTCTACAAGTGCAGGAAATATTGGAATTGTCATGTCATAGTATATATAAGACTCATTGTTTCTGAAATTTTTTCTGTTGAGTTTTGAATAAGGAATGTAGTTGAAGCAGAATTTGAAAGGGAAAAAGAAATTTAAAAATTTCGAAAATTTAAAAATAAAATTAATGTATGTCATTTATCATTTTACAATGATGCTCTGATGTATGTGAAATTTGACAGACAGAAATGTAGCATAAGTATAGATATAAGTTTATTTTGTCTCCATAATCAGTATAAAAAATTGATAAAAACAGAATAAATAGAACTGATTACAGAATAAGGAGAGCAAACAAAACCTAATGTAAGGTTTAAAACATACAGATTTTAGATTGAATATGTCATGATATTTGCATGTAATTGATACACTCATATTGCTTAGATTTGCAAAGTTAATAATAAGATAGAATATCAAGCTATTTCATTCACTCAATATCAAGCGATTTCATTCACTCAAATTTCAGAAAAGCTTCGTTAATAATAACAGGTCTCAACATATTATTTCAAAACAATATTTGAATCAAATACCAAATAAAGAAATTCATATTCAATATGATGGCATTTAATTTTTATTTTATAACACATACATGCAATTAATTCTCCAAAATTTTGAACCTTTGAAACTGTATGTTCATTTTGAAAATTTTGATACACTTATTCAATCTGTTGTTATTTTATTAAATTGTTTGACAGTGACCATGATTATTTGAGAATCCGATTATCAGTTTGAAATATATAATATATATACATTTTGTTACTTTTATTTGGAGACATATTTTTATATTTGTGTGTCCATATATAAGTACCTGTGTTTAAGTATCTTGGTTCAGAGATACTCGTATTAGAAATTTTGTTGTTTTTATATATTTTTTGTATGTCTGATATTCAGGTGAAAATATACCAATGATTCTGATTTCACTTGTGATTGGCGAAATATGGTAACTATTAATGAAGACAATAATTTTGATTTTTTAAATTTAATAAATTTTTATTTCTATTTTATTCATCTATCCAATGAATATTTATTTTGATGTTTTGTCCTTCAGAATTCTACATGATAAGGTTATTTTGACAAATTTTCATTTGCCTCTCGCATTCTATAGAAAATAGTTTAAATGCATATTTGATCATGTAATAACAAATTTATTAGTAAATTATTCATATTAAATATAATTTAAAAATTTCTTCTGCATCATTACTCAAAAGTGATTTAATAAGTAATACCATTTCCAAGTATGGTCTATACATAGTTAATTCATACTGACATATTATTTCTTCTTCTAAATCTCTACAAACGTACGATAGATCAAGTATGGATATTTTATTTTTCATTCTATTTTGTCATTTATTAAACATGATTTATCATGAATTTTTAACATGATCTTATTACATCACCTGATCTTGTTTTAAATATTGATGATATATCGTAAGCAGATTCAGTGGTCATGTCAAATGCATCATTATTGCGTCACAATCACTATTCTGCATCAACTGCAGAAATTAGTCTTCAACAATTATTGGAGATTATTATAGTGTTCTTGTTTAAAAATATTTATTCATTCGTACATGATGTGTAAGTTCAGAAAAATCTAATTTTATAAGGAATCGTGTTTTTAAAAAGGAATAGCATAATCTCTTACAGTAATGTGTTAATTCAGAAAAAGCTAATTTTATAAGGGATTGTATCTTTAAATAAGAATAGCATAATCTCTTACAGTAATGTGTTAATTCAGAAAAAGCTAATTTCATAAGGGATTGTATTTTTAAATAAGAATAGCATAATCTCTTACAGGAATGTGTTAATTCAGAAAAAGCTAACTTTATAAGGGATTGTATCTTTAAATAAGAATAGCATAATCTCTTACAGTAATGTGTTAATTCAGAAAAAGCTAATTTCATAAAGGATTGTATTTTTGAATAAGAATAGCATGTTCTCTTACAGGAATGTGTTAATTCAGAAAAAGCTAATTTCATAAGGGATTGTATTTTTAAATAAGAATAGCATAATGTCTTACAGTAATGTGTTATTTCAGGAAAAGCTAATTTTATAAGGGATTGTATCTAAATAAGAATAGCATAATCTTTTACCACGAAATAGTACTGTAAGTATATTAGTAAGCTTTTGTTAGATCATAGTCTAACTTTGTCGGACAGAACAAGATGTAACTGCAAATATAGAAGACCATAATAATCGGCACAAGAAGAAAGGATCTGTAGTTCAATACACAAAAAACACTCGTATCCGCTGGTATAACTTTTAACAAACTTTTATTGTTGCTAACCTTGTTTAGTTTCTAATTCATAGATCACAGGTATGGCTGATATTCACGAGATAATGAACTAGGTTTTTAACACTAATATTCTATTTAATCTACTTAAGATTTTTTTCAACAGGTTCAGAAATACGTATGTATGGTTGAAAACTGGTTAGGTTATCAGGATTTTAATTTTTGAGAGAATTCAGGTTCAGGGCAATATTATGAATATTACTTTCTACACACAAACACAAATATATTTTTGTAAGTATTCATCTGACCTGACCTCATTTGTAGTATAATTACCTTTAACTGAGGAAGTCTGACTTTGGACAGACGGAACATTACAGAAATATATTTGTGTTAGTGTACAGCAAGACTCTTTAATCACCTAAAATTATTATCTTCACTCTTGCTACAGCATCTTTGCATCATATTCATACAGATCTACCAGCACAAAAACATAGAATTAGAATGGTATTTTTCAAATCGACAAGATTTTTTCTTAAAGTTTATCATATTATCATTCAGATTAGTTTTGTTACTAACAAGTTGTTGGAATTAAATATTGTCAATTTTGTTTTTCACATTGGTAAATATCCTTGATGAAATATTCCTCATAGTTCAACTCTTCAAGTCCTTTTAACGAATATTGCTAAAATTTCTATTGAATTCAATAAGCTATGGCCCAGGGACGGCCAAAATCGAATAATTTAGTATTTCAAAAACATTCTAAAATAATATTTTCGAATATAAAATATTGAGGATATTCTAAAGTGGGTCTATTCTACGAAAGAAATTCTTCAAAATGATTGCAAATTCCTAAAAAATCAAAGTTTGTTATTCATATTTAATTGAGATAAACATCGTCATAATCAGTATTCTTCATTTTATTAGGTCAGAAGTGAGCTAATTTTTTGTCTATCATAAAATAATAAATGCCAAAAAAGACATTTTTAAATAAAAATATTCAAGTTATTCCTAGAACAAAAATTTACTAAATCAAATATTACTACCTAATTTCGAATGTATTCGAATGTTCGATTCGTTTTGGGCAGATATATATTGTTTGTAAACATAGTAAAAAATCTAACAGTAAATTTATTTCTGAAATCAATCCTGTATAACAAATCATATGAGCAGATAATCAATAACAGGTATACTATTGCTGTTATTTGTAATATACAATATTCGGCGCAAGATTATGTGTGTGGCCATTGTGCTTCACTTTATTCCCGAGTATGCATGCATTACATTCAGATTAGCTGACTGTAACTAATCATATTATATTACATAAAGCTCTGCTCTAATTAAAATCTTTATTATGTCTAGTTTTAAATTATTTAACGTAGAACATGGATCTACTTTTAGGTTACTATACGTTCCTTGTCGATGCCAGTAACAGCGCGTCAGAAAATTTTGGAAGAATCGAATAGAAACTTAAGGCGACAATTATCACAACTTGAAGAAAAGTATCGGCAAGCCTGTAATGGCTCATGTACAGAAGATTTGAAAATAGAACTTGAAGACTATAAACAGAAATACGAGAATTTGGAAAAAGAATCAAAAGAAGCAAAATTACACACTGTGAATTTAGTAAGTATTGGTTTATGATTATTAGGAATAAAAAATAAACTAAATTCTTGATTTGAAAGTGTTTTACTTTTTACCTGTCTCTACATCTGACTACAATTTATGAGTGGAAAGCAGCGATTTACTTTATGATTTAGCCATTATGTTTGCCTACTTAATTACACTTCCTAGAGGTGAATTCAGAAATCCATATATCGTTCCTAGTTTTTTAAACTGTAATCTAAGCAGGATTAGCAAATTATTGAAAATAAATTATGAACAGAACGAACCTCGAATTGATAGATTCACCAAAACAGGTTTTTGTCCACGATTTTCACATTGTATATAATGCTGTCTCGTGATTGTTGCTATAATCTATATCCATCAATGTTTCTTTAATTCAAATCTAGTCGACTATCAGTTTGGGGTAGGCGAATCTAACCACTTTTGCGTGCTCTATGCCTTTGCGCAAACGGATCCTGAGTCATATAACACACAAGGATGCTGTAGCAAGAATGAAAATGACTGTTTTATTTAATTTAAAAGTCTCGCTGCACATTTACACAAATGTGTTTGTGTAACTTTTTGTCTGACCTCGGTCCTTGTTACTCTCAGTCACAAAATTTTTTTGGATCGATTTTTATTCTGGGCTTTCATTAAACTTCCTATGTCTGATAATATGATTAACTTACTTATAATATGAAATGAACTCAAATAGTCGAAAATTTTGAACTTTGAAATTCAAACATTCAACATAACCTGTCGAAGCAAATAAAAATTTTTTTAATAATTTTCCATTTTTTGGGTACCATTTAATACTTTTGAAGAAAAACTGCTTGTTTGGAATTTTTGGAATAAACCTGTTTATGTAATGCCCTTTTATTAGTTTGGTTTTCATTTTTTGAATTTTCAATATCTGTCCGAGTGTGGGATATCAAATGCAACGCGTTATGCTCAACTTTTAAATTATGCATGTAGTGTACGTCAAATTGTAATGTGTTTATTTATAAATCTTATTTTGCCATAAACACTAATATATCTCAATATTTAGTTTTAATGAAGTAAATATATTAAATTTTTCGCTTTTGGATAAATGTATTTATTGTGCCAAGCGGTATAAATGTATGATTTATATATGACAAATTAATGATATATATGGCAGTGGTTCTCAAACTTTTAAAGCCGCAACCCCCTTTTCAGAAATTGTTAGGTCTCGCGCCTCAAAAATAACTAGCTAACAATGAGCTACAAATAATAGATAGTAAAGCGAAAGTATGTTGTATTCAAAAATCATGTTGAAAATATGTGAATGGAACGTAAATATCCAAAATAAGGTGGGCAAGTTGAAATCTAACATATATTTTTAGTTTTACTTAGCTTCACCTCCCTCAAATATTGTCTACAACCCCCCTTGTGGGGCGCGCCCCACCGTTTGAAAACCACTGATAAACGATGTTTCATTGTCTGGTGAATTTTTAGGGTTCATTTATTTTTTAGGAATCAGAACTACAGATAGCAAAAGTTGAGTCAAGTGATACAAACTTACGATTGAGTGAACTAAAGAATTCATTTAGCCAGGTATGTGAATAATATCTTGTTTACTAGTATTTAAGTTAAAGTTGGTGCTTGACTATCAAAACTTTTTCAAGGAAATGTAAAACTTTAATTCCCATGATATGGAAGTTATTTGTCTAATTTATTTATTTTTGGCTGAATTGTTGAATTTTGGCATCACGGATAAAAGGTCAAAATCTCATACCCACTGCCTCACTCTAAATATACTAAAAAGGCAATCCAAAAACAGGAAGCTTTCAATTCTGTCAGAAATAGTAGTTCTTTTTATAGCAGTTACTGCTGTGATCGGAATTGAAGGCATCAAAAAAAAAACGTATAGAAAAGAATAGTCATCCACAAATCACTCATAACTATTACTTTGTGCTGCAATCAACACTTTTTTTCCACCTGTTTGGAATTTGGTCATGTGGTTCTCGGTAATGTGTGAGAGTTGATGTCAAACTATATCACTAATAAAATGTTGTATATGTCATCATGATATGTATTTAGTCTATTTGTTGGAACTCTTGTAAAGATGTTTTGGAACAGCGAACCATTTAATTTGGAAAGTGGTTTTGTGGAGATGTCTTAGAATTCGCTGAACCAAATTCAAAATTTTTATATTTGGAAATGTTTTTGCTATGAATTCGAGTAAAAAATTACTGCTTTTCTTAATTTGACAATATTGTATTGAAGTCATAATTAATGTTAATGTATATAATAACTTTTCCAACATGGTTCTATATTTTATAATTAAATTAAATATTATATACAAGGCAATTGAGACGTTCGATGAATTTAATTCTAGAAAATTTATTTTAATAGTTTTGAACAAAGATTTTAAAAAGGAAGTATTACCGAAATTTCTGTGTAATTTTAAATCACATTCATGTAAAGAAATTCAGAACAAAGATCCATTTCAATAATTTACTCAACAATAAAAGATTGTTCCATTAAAAATTGTTCCTATGAACTGAAATAAAATTAATATTTAAGTGAGATATCAGGTCCCATAGGATTCAGAATATATTTAAAAAAAATTGAGTATTTCCGGTTCTCTTGCGATACTGGAAATTCGAAATTGATTGGTCAGTTGCATAGAAAAGTGTTTTCTTCCAACAACATTATTTTAGCGGAACGATCCGTAGGTCCTGTTTGTGTCTATTGAGACACACTTGCAATACTGACTGTAAAATTAGGTAGATTGAATTTTTATCTCGTACTATTTTTTCTTTAAATATAAAGTTTCGTTATTTAATTATGCAATTTGTTTTCAATGCAAGATACTTAATTCTGACAGGCAACAGGTTTACTGTGACCGCAGTCATGTTAAAACTTGTCACTTGGGATTCCATTTTCTGCTTGAACTTATGTTACCCCATTCAAATCATGTTTACCGAAATAATTCAATTTTCTTTGCCTTTAATAATTAAATCTCTTTTTGTGATGGGAAATTCGGTCTTATGTGACTAGTAAGAAGAATATAATGACTGATGAGTTGTGTATTAAACCAGGTGGTGTTAAAGCTATATGCTGTATAACGGTCTGTAAATAGCAAAATTCAGAAGATTTTCTGGCATTTTAAATTCAGTGAAATGGAATGTTAGCTCCAGCGCAGTATGTGTTATTTTAAGCAAATATAAACCATAGAAAAGTTGTGAATAAATGCTTGAATTTATCTACATTTCAAACTTGTTCTACTATAAGGTACTATTGGACTACCATTTGGGAAAATGTGTATTGGATGGGCATTTTGGAATGTTGTTTAGGTGGTTGCATTAGTTAAGTCTGCTAATAGCGAGGAGGAAGTACTCAGTCTTACTATATATGCATTAAAGGTATTTTACCAACAATCTCCAAAAAGATCCTTATCCGATAAAAGCTTACTGTCTGAGACGGAATAATGTGACTCTGCTGTCGATACGATGTTGATGGATTTTCGATTAAATATTCTGCAATTACAAAATTTGTGTTATTGACTTTGCTTTTTGTATTGCTAGTATTCTCTAAAGCAGCGGTGGGCAATTATATTTCTGAGTGGGCCAGTTACAGGTAATAAACTTGGTTACTGGGCCGGAGGCTCGATACTCAATATGAAAATCTATTAATAAAAAACAGTTTATTTAAAACAGCTAGGCTAACGTTTTTATAATAGTAAGAAGAACAGTATAAAATCCGAGTTCATTATGACGTTATTTTCATCAATATTTTCTACAGAATGGTCTTATTATGAGTTTATGAACATAAACCCTGGATGAATTTTTGACTAAATATATGCGAAAATTGTAAAATAGTTATTATTTTACTCTAAAACTTTTTTATCAACCCCACCCATTGACATTTTTTATATGGCTCTCAATGTATGTATGGAGCTGCTATTTTAAGAAGGATCAAAATTTTTCCGGTTTGCCATCGCCAACCTATTATTATACCCTGGGTAAGGTGTTAACAATAGGATTGACCCTAAACTAATAAAATATAGACATCCATCTTTTATGTTATATTCATTTATCAGCTTGAAGAAGAATACAATACTGTGCATGAACAACTTTCTGTAGCAATCAAAGAACGAGATGCAGCAATAAAACAGTGTAAAGAAAGTGCCACAAAAATCAATGAAATGGAACTTTGTATCAAGTAAGTGGAACTTGATAATTTAAACATTCTTGCACCTCTTGGAGGTAATATTTATACATTTGCAACACTCTTTTGAAAAAAACATATTTAGGGAAGATTTTAATCACATCACAAACAATCAACTCATCTGGTTATCATTCCAGGTTGGGTGTGAGGATAGTTAACAAGTTAATTCTTCTTTTATAAACTTTGATGATCCACGAGGCCGTAGTCTACCAGCAGTCAAGCGAATTACAATCATGCTCTACGAAACCTAAACCTGCTAGCCCACGCAATATAACCAGCAGTGTGGCGGCAAACATGTTACTAACGCTCATCACATTCCGTCGCGAATTAACCTTCATATATGCAACCTTTATTTTTTACCGGGATTCTCTGCATGCTTCACTTCTTATAATATTTCTAATAATTTTGCTTTTGTTTTTTACTTAAAAATATCAATAAATAAAAGGCACTTTCATTCTTTCTATTAAATATCTCACCAGGTATAATATGTATATACCTATCTCATGAAAGCCAGAAGAGATCTATAATATCTGGAAATTTTCTGGACAAACGTCATCTGAAGTTAATACTTGGCAAAAGAATCTATTTCCAACTGTTGATAAAGCCACTTATCAGCTCATTATTCCTTGTGATTTTGAAATCTTTCTGTTCACTCTGAGGTATTCTCTTGTAAATTACTTTTGCTTTATTTTCAAGGTCAATGGATAATCATGTTGGAGGAGGTGGTGATAATGGTAAATGGACAAAAATGAATAACAAAGCTGCATCACAATATCAAATTGCTTTAGAGAAGTTACAGGTATGTGGTTTTTGACAGCATTGTATTCGTATCTTGATTTTGACATCAGAAGGGCAATATTTACCGATTGGATTGGATTTCAATTCAATTTCAATATAGAAGCTTACTAAATTACCAGTTTTCAAATTGTAATTGAATGTATAAGCTTCAGGCGTTATTAAGTTACATTTGTAATCACAGCTCATGGTTTAAAATGTATATCTTGTCTAATCAAGGATTATTTAAAATTTGCAGGCTAAAATTGCGGAGTTGGAAAAACAATGTCATGAACAGAATGAAACAAACAGATTATTGAATGAACAACTCATTAAATTGATGAAAAGTTCAACACAAACGTCACCTGTTGATCATGAAGGTAAAGTAGTGGATATGGTACGGTGGTACGACAAATCATTAGACTTGGCCATTTCGGCTTCTCAGTTTAAAATCTCCTTGAAACTTCAGTTCCCATGTTCACTGGGTGTAATGGGGCGGTATATACCCATCCCTACTCTTTACTGTTAATTGGATAGGCAATACAAGAAGGGAAAGATTCTGATCCTTCAAATCAGGGGTGTGCAACAGGCGGTCTGCGGGGCACAACCTGGCCCGACCTGGCACATTTAATGTGGCCCTTGTCAACACTCAGATTTAAAAACACAGCATCAGTTGTAGGATCAGTTGTAGGATTTTATTCGGAGTGAAATGCATATAAACATGTCTTATATTTACGGGGTGTCAGATGTGACTCAAATTTTTTTTTTTTCAAAAGCCTAAAATTAGTTATATAGGCCATTAAAAATTATTCTATTTCTATTGGGAAAATTTGAATTTGGAATATTTGTTCGGACTATTGGAGAAATTATTATAGCCGATCAAGAAATATAATGCAAAACTTCCCTCTTTTTTATATTAATGTTTTCAAACTGATTATGAACCTGTCATTCTTACTTGTAAATATATCGTATATAAATACTAATTCATATTACTCTTGGTCTTATCTCCTTAGCAAAATCTCTCCCTGGAATTGACATTTCATAATGTTTCATAACAAACAGCCTATTAAGAAATTTGAATATTAGAATTTTGTTGTCAAAAATTTTATCATGTAATATGTATCATAATGATATTATTTTTTCATCTTTATCCTGTGTTTGCCTTTGTAATTTGGTTGTTAGTCTCATTTTAATAGGATCAGATATAAACCATAACTGGCCAAGCCTGTTTTAGTCTTATTATCTACTTTTCTTACTCAAACATATGAATACGTATTTGAACCTGTAATGAAAATTAAATTGGATAAAAAATCAATCTTAAGCTAATTCTGAACGACATTTCGCACCAGCGTCTGTGGTTAGATTTTTTCTCTTCTCTCCTTTTCCAATAGTGTATTATGAAATTTGGAAAGTTTCGCACTTCCAAATTAGCGTCGCTTGCTGTTTTTCTGATTTCAAATGTCTTTCTATCGCAGTGAAAGAAACAACACATGAAGTTGAAACAGAATTGTCTCCTTATACGCAAGTCCACAAACTTCCAACTTTTACAACGGAACTTGAAGCGCCTGCTTTACCAGTGCAGTCAGCTAAAATCAATGCTAACAATGTGAATGGTATCCAAACAGGGTATCACGAAGATAACAAGCACCAATTACCAAGAAACAAAGCACAGCATAACGGTAAGTAATGAATTAAAATATTAAATAAATAATTCTATTTATTGGTTAACAATGTATGTGAAGATAGTGGTGCAAATTGCATTCGTTTTTCTATAATAAAATGTTGAAAATCTATGAATTGCGTTATTTATGGAGTAATTTAATATTACAATTTATAATAGTGAAGGGATTACTTTCTCTATAATGTTTTCATTCACACATACCGGTAATAAAATTTCTCAATGTGACAAGTTTTTTTAGAATGTGTTACTTCATCATTTTGAACTAGCCTATGCTATAATAGAAAATATATCATGTTTACGATGCTTTGTTTCGATTAGAGTTGCTCTGACTGCTTCACAATTATATCTTATATGAAAAATTCAGACTATGCTTTGATATAAGCTTACAAAATCTCAGATATTGTAGGATGAGAGCATATTGTTCATGCAGCATATGGATCGTTTTGCTATATTGGGAAAAATTGCAACAAATGAACGAATCTGTTTGAGATTTTGGATCTTTTGTACAAAGCCCCCACCAATTAAAAAACTCCCCCACCAAAACCCAAATTAAATAAAATAGTAATTTATCCAGTTAGGGTTTGGATTCGGAATGCAGATTGCGCTGGAAATTCAAATTTTTAAATCATTTCTAACCCCAACTCAAACGCCAACTGGATAATTACTAATTGTTATTTGGTGTTTTTTTTTTTAATTTCACATTTTTGCATCATGGGACGCGGCTTTGCAAAAGATCCAGTATATTAACTATATAAAGATGGTTGAAGTCGCTAGGAGGCTACTGCCTTCATTTTTTTCAAGTCGATGGGACCTGACACCCAATGATTTGCTGTTTTATATTAATTCATGAAATCACTTAATATGACATATGGATCTTTTTTATATGACATTTGAACTTTGTGTCCATATATCGCACAGCTCTATTGTTTGTATATATATGATTAAAAACTCTCAAGTAGATTCAAAACTGAAGTCATATACAGTATTGAGGTTGTGAACAAACAAGGATTTAGATATTTAATATCTAATGTGGAATAATGCACATTGACATTTGATTCTATCGATATATATTTAGTTGAGTAATATAATTTTAGCAGCTCATTAAAAATACAAAGTAGACATAGAATGATGCAAAATGTTTTATCGGGATTAGTCTGTCAAAATTATACTTTCACAGTCTGTCACACTCGGCGGTATGGTGCACCGTGCTAATCGTTTGAAATATGCTTGCCATAAAACCATTGCAATTCTGATTATTTTGCACGAGTTCGCAGGTTCGAATCCTGTCAAGAATAATTATGTGCGAGAGAATTTGCTATGCTCCTCGCCGTGGTAGGGTGGTTCTCGTAACTGCTGGTCGGTTATGGCTTCCTTCAACATCAAGACCGTGCATCTGAAACGAATGACTGGCTAAGTATTTCTACACCCGCATGGACTAGTGTGCGGGAGAATAGCTGGACTCCTCGCCGTACTAGGGTGGTTCACGCAACTGAAGCTTATAGCTTATTCATCTTATAAATTCAATCCGCGGTCATTCGAAACGTAGAAATCGAACCGATAACAGTCAGGAGATTTAGTGATGCGCTAGACTAGAGTGCATGGAAAGCGTCAGATAGCACGTGATATTCCTTAAGCTCTTATATATAAAACGACGGTACGTCGACCTGTTTAGTAAAAGGTCGACTAACTCGAATTTCAGCATTCCGCGGTGAAAGACACCCGAGTACAAAAGAATTATTTGATTATGTCCAAATTTCTCAAGATCCTATTTTCACAAGCAGTTAATTGTGATTCGCGCGCTAGCGATTATGAAAAATGACAATATTAAAATAATATCGAAAAGAATAATACCTTATTGGAACAAAATAAAAATCACGAGCAGGTGATATTGCAATGTAGTTGGAGTCAAAAATTTTCAATCCGTAGTCGGGAGACTGCAAAATTTTCCCATTTTCAAAGCCTATTCTCGAGATACAACGGATTCCACATAGCTTCAATTACTGTCGAATTTCTGGGCGAATTTTTGAAGTACGGGACGACCTCCGTCGTTTTTAAATACATATATTTATATTCAGTTTACCATGTGGTAAATTAAATACACGCTTATTTAGTATTAGGCTCTGCGGTGTGGGGAATAATTATGTGCTATGATATAATTATGGGAATTTCACGTAAACGCTGGTCGGTTACGGCTTTCTCCACCAACAAGTCCATGCATCTGAAACGAATAACTGGTTAACTAACCCATACCCGACATAGACTGGTAACCGGTCAAGAGGCCGATGTTTGCCATAAATATAAGCCATCTTATCGGCTTTCCTCTCCCCTGCATAAATATTATAATCCTATCCTATTTTGCCATACAGGTTGGGCTATTGTTTTGACGACCACTAAGCATTCAACAAATTGTGTATTATAAACTAGTTTTTCTGCTGACAGACGCCATGGGCCGCTGGAATATTTTTAAAATAAAAGGGGATTGAATGTAAGAAGTTTGGAAGCCCGTTTAATTACAGATTATCAATCCGCTGCATCATGGAACGACTTTTATTACCAAAATACCATTCGAGAGAAGATGCCTGCATGCTCATCCGGCTTGACTGAATCGCCGTGACTGCGTGTTAAAATAATCTCGACCGAATAAAATCTAATATTGTCATATAAACCATAAGATGACAAGAAAAGTCATGGAGTCGATTTCATTTTAAACACGACATTGATCTCGAAGTATTCGTTACGCAAGTGCGTAATTTAAAACTGACGCACGCATTGCGTGAAAGGGAAAAAGTAAAAAACAAGCCGTCTTCAAGTTTATATTGAAATAAATTTAAAACACAATATTTAAGGATATAAATTATTCATAGTCTGTACATTACCGAATTAGCGGCTCCGTCTAAAGATATTTTAAACTCAGTGTAATTTATTGTTGGCGCATGAGAATGCTGTATTTTCTATCGTCTAGTCTAGTGACTCTAGTCATAGGATGGTCATTAGTGGAGATTTAATGAGATCCAGACCAGAAAAAGAAAATCAGAATATCTAATGAAGTTTTTTTTGAACAACGAGTTGACGAATATGCGGTATAGTTTTAATACGTAATATTATATGAAGACACGGTTAAACCGAACAGATGTAGTTTGGACATTTTGGAACATCGAGACTGACGGTCTTTCCGGATGAAGTCGTGATTTGTATTAAGTGAAATTAGACTTATATATATTACAATTTCGCTGAAAAATAACTTTTTTTAAAACTGGATCAAATTAAACTGTGAGGCACAATTCCAGAATATTATGTTATTCAGATATTAAACTTGCCCCGCGAGCCGCATGCGCCCGCCAAAGTATTTTGTGTGGCCCTCTGCTCTTTGAGAAAGTTGTGAGATTATCCTTTTTATGAACCTTAACCGGTAATGAGTTACTTTTATTTGTCACGTTAATTTGTTTCAGTTGACATTTTTACTTTGTCGTTTAATACATTTATTCAAAAATCTTCAATTTCGGATATTTTAGATATTAAATTTCAATTGAAGGTAACTATATAATATGGTATTTTGGAAAAATTAATGCGGCCCTTGCTGCAAAAAATATTTTTTGAATGCGGCCCTTGCAAAATAACTTTGCTCAACCCTAATTTAGTGGATCGAATTTGCGACTACTTTTTCGGCCCGTAACCTTTTAACGTCTTCCTTCATAAAACGTTCCTATGGCATATAAAATCATTTGATTCGTCGATAAACTGCTGCAGACGACAAATGAGAATGACGTCACATAATGAATTATATTATCACTCTTACTGCCGATTGCAACAGTTATCGATCGGTTGTAAGAGATACCGCCGTCGCCGTAAATGAGGAATATGCCTTTCCGTTCTTCGCTGTACGCCAGCGGTTAACACTGAGGAGAACAGAAGGGTCGTCATTAATATTTCATAGTATGAGCGTGCAGCAGTGATACTTGGTTACCGAATTTCGACTCTAGTTCCGTGAATGTTACTTTTGCCCTTGAAGTTGACAAATTGTTTAGGGCAGTACGGTCGAGCTAGGTTATAGAAAGTCGGAAAAGCTTGTTTTTGCACCCGCTAATGTGTGTAATCCTTCGGACAGTGGTCTGTATAACATTTGAATTTAGCGAGTATTCGGCATTTAGTGTCTTCTCATATGAGATTTTCGGCGATCTTGATTAGCACAAATATGCATAACTCATTGAAGATTTTTTTTCTGTTTACACGTATCATTATAAACGATTTGCATGGTCTTCTTCGAACTGAAGTCCGTTTTCTCTTGGGGGATTTACATAATTTTCACAATGTGTAGAATATATTTTCGACCGCCATGATGGGAATAAAGGGAACAAAGAATTGTGTACTTTGTCCGGCCTTACATAGAACACTTCTACACGACTTGAATTATCTTTGGCCATACAAGAATGAAGGGAATATTGTTCATGGCAGTTAAATAGCGTGCAGTATTGTTATTTTATATAGCGAAATAAGTCCCGTCGCCATATGTGACTTTATTCTCATGTTCAGTCAGTCGATAATGTCGTGCGATAAAAACTATTCTTGAATATATTGTTGATAGCAGGCTGTTTATTGTTATGAAATTCACTGTATTCAGGCATTATTAATATGATATATAGATGTTTTGTAGTAGCCCAGTATGTAACGTTGGGTGGTACAAATTGTAAAAATATTTATCGTTGTGTATAATGGATTAGTGTTATGGAATCGATTTCAACTTGAATCACCATTGTCTGATTGTGTCTGTATAACAGTCAGTATGCTGATGTTTTTACCAGGTGAGTTCGAATAATTTACAAAAATTTTACATTTAATACTGATGCTGACCAATCCCATCTTAGATCGTGATTTTCAAAATCAATGATGTGTGACTAGTCATAATAATTCTAATGAGGGCTATCCTAATTATTCTGAACTTGTGTACCCCCGTAAAAAAAAATTTTAGGAAATTTTGATTTTGTACAGCTTTGATTCTTTTGCAAAGAGGGTCATTGAAGCGTGACTGGTTAGAATAATCTCATTTTAACAGTGGAATACCAAAACTGCTTGATAAAATTTAATTCAAATCATACCTGAGTTGAACAGACTAGCTAGAATTGCATCTGATATATTATAGAGAGAACTAGCATCATATGAAACAGGGTGTGAGACATTTTTTAAAATATTAGGCCACATGAAAAGTGGAACATATAATTAGTAAATTTTTGATTTTACGATACAAATTTAATGGTATATGTGGGGATTTTAGGAAAGTATATTATTATTAGGTTTATTCAGTTTAATTATACCTACTTTTGAACATCATTTGAATAAAACAAGTATACTTAAAAACTGTACTGTACTTTCTGTCATAAGTCAAGCTACATAGTTACGTGTATTGCAGATCCTCTTATATAATGTAATTGTGGGTACTAGACATAGTAAGTCCAATGTTCCAATCAGAGATTTTAAACTTCTAAACATTTCAAGTAGTCAAACAAATGAACATAAATGGGCGAACCCACAGGTATCTGTACCTCTGAAACTGTAGCCTATATAAAATAAAACAGCCCCATTGGTTCGACCTCGAAGAAGTTGTAAACACATGGAAAATAAATGGAGAAATGCTTTTTATTGATGATGTGACAATGCTGCTGTGTCATGCAATCACCTCTTGTTAAGCAGTTTTCTGAAGTTGATTCGAAACTTTTAAATTGATGTCGATCCAAAATTTTGAAACTTACATCCCTAGCCAATGCATATACATACCTGTCACAGCACTCATAGTGAATTCGACCGAGCCTCCATATTGCTTGTTCTGATCTTTTTACTGAAAGAGCTATATATTATAAAAAGAAAGTATATGGAGGAAATCTTTTTTCATTCACTACTTTTATCCATTACATTCTAATGGTGTATCATCTACAGTCAGGTTTATACCGAATAATTATTTGGTTTTGCAGTTATGAAGAAGTTCAAATCATTCATGTATTTCAATTCATCACTGATGCAACATTAAATTTTTTTTTTAATATTATCTCAGTGGTCAATTGTTAACAACTTTATACATTATGTAGAATCCTATAAAATGGGTTTCTATAAAAATCACTTGATTCATGCTATTATTAAACTGAACTAAATACAAATCTTCATGTAAGTGGAGTTATTCAAAAACTAGTTGAGATAATCTAAATTTATTGTAGAATATTCCATTCAAAATATTCATATCATGTAAACACTAAGTCAGACATATTTTCGGTATTTTTATCACTAGAATGAATAGTTATTGATCTTCCGTATTTCAGCTATTCTATATAATCTCTTTTCTTAGGCATGATGTGCATGGAACATTTTAGATGTGATTATTATAAAGATATAGCAATTTATATAATTTTCCAAATTCAGAATTTCCTTAATTAAAAATGTTTTTTATTTCCATATTCGAAAATATTTTTTTAGAATATATTTGGGATAGTGAAATGTTCGGTTTCGGCCATCCCTGATGTGGGCATTCTTCTCTTTGTGGTTAAATCATATTTTGTTTCAAAACTGACATTCGAAAAACATCTCAAATAGTAATAAATCAACCATGAATATGATTTTATATACTGTAAACCATTACAAGTTCAAAATGTATAATGTGATTGGTTATTGTGTGATTAACATTTATATTTAGCTTCAGTAATTTAAATACAACCAAAATGGAATACTGAGTAAGTGCAAGGGTATACATTCTCCTAAGCCGGATTATCCCATGTAAAATTCATGTAGGAATTATATCAGTCACATCTTGGATCATTATTCTTGTGGCTATGGTACGCATACGGTGTTTTCTCTCATATTGAAATGTATTGCCAGTATTGATATTACTTTAGCTTATGAATGTACATTGTACCATAGCTTTAGTTTAAGGCCAGTGTGGTTATTATAGCATTTAAAGTGTTAGCACCTTACAGTTATCTTGCTATTATGATTATTGTTATGATGAAACAATGTCTGTATAAATTTTCAAACAATTTTAATGGAGGTTAGTAGGCTGTTCTTGTCACATTGATATTACAGGCAAGAAATAAAAAGTCTTTGTTAATTCAGATAATTATGCCAGGGATGGTGAGGTTTTTCAGTGAATGGGGGTCTAAGATTATATTTCTATTGTGAAAAAGAAGCTTGTGGGCCATAGTGGTTTAATTTCTGTATCAGTGAGGTAATATTATATCATTTTGAGCTTCACACATGTAGCACTCATGTCAAGACTTATAGTACTCAATTTTATGAAATTTGTGCGTGAAAATGCGGATTTGCTATTCGTCCACTTCGCGACCCTCAGTTCGTTTAAATTAAAGAAGATTAACCAATTTCAAAGTGTGTTGTCGTAAACTGAACATTTTTATTGACGGAGTCTGAGACTGATTATTTTTTCTGCACATGGTTGTCATTGACTTAATAAAAGCTATTGCTTTAATAGTTACAATTTTATTTTTACTGTTTATTATAGTTGGAGGTAATGAAGATACAGAAGTAGAAGATTTCTTAGAGGAAGAACTCACTCAAACAATGGATCATAATGACGGTTAGTTATATCGTGTTTGAAGTTTATTGCAATTGGAGCTCATTTTTTTTACAATTACTTTATTATTTTTAATGTTTATCAAAGAAAAATTATGAAATTTTGGTATTTCCATCATTTCAATGGCCGGCCACCCCTACCCCAGTGTGACTTTGCTTAAAATAAATTTACTCTTGATAATAGGTAATTGCTATAAAAGGTTATCATCGACAAATATAACAAAATTAATTGTAATGGAAAGTTCTGTAGGGTCAAACCAAATTTTTATTATTTTATTAGGGTATGTTTAAAATCCCGAAAATATCTTGATAAAAATTTCTAATCAGGTATTAACTGACTGAATTAATTTTAAGAAATAATTCATAACATATCACAGATATTGTTCATCATTGCGAGTGTATGAAATTGTGGAATATTTTGAGTTTTTGTTGATTGCAATATTGTTTGTCCACAAGATGGAAGACTTATCTTGAAATAACTTTTGGCATCTTATTGGTTTTTCATAAACTATCGTTTGAATGTGTTTGTGGCCTTCCAACTATTCGGTAATGAATTATTGGTCAAATTACAGTGTACATATTTTATGGTTAGTCTGTGTGTGATGTTGTTCAAATTTTGTATTATTTCATAGAACCTCAATCTGCTTTCCAAGAGTTGTGAATATCTAGCTGCGTACGATATATCCTTTTTCCGTCATTTAAATAATTGATGTAACTGAATGAAACGTCTATTTAAGTATTCAACCTCAAAAAATTGTGTTATGACAAGCATTCAGTGTTTTTCCTAATTTACAAATTAAATTTTAGCAGATATGTACATGTGTATTAATAATGCTGATGTGCAGAGCAACAAATGATACTGTGATGACAGATAACATTTAAAAAATGGGTATTATGATATCTCATTTAATATTTAAGTGGCCATGCAGGATATGTACTTCTAGACATACTGAGATATTCCAATACTGTTGACTTATTTTCTTTAAATTTGTTAATATTTCAGGTGGAAAATTACGAGTCTATATTGCCAAATATACATACAACCCTTATGAAGGACCAAATGACAGTCCAGAGGCTGAGTTACCTTTGGTTGCTGGTGATTACGTCTATGTATATGGATCAATGGATGAAGATGGATTTTTTGAAGGTTTGTTGTATTTTATCATCCTTCTTCAGTCTATATTTCACACATGTACCGTAGTTACTTGTTAAATTATAGAAGGGGTAATGATGCAGCATTCAAAGTGTTAGACTTAACTGTGTTGGCATCGTAAATTACACTTTTCTGATTCCAAACCCATGCCCATCACCACACCCATGGCGTAAAAAATTGGGTAGGGAATGCAGAACTGAAAAGCCTCCGGTTCTTTCAAATATAGTAGCCCCTTACATATCAGTCGCTGCGCTCGTACAGGGCCTCTCGGGCAGGTGTAACCTAGGATGAAGCAAGATGAAAAGGGCGTCATATAAAAAATGGAAGCATTTTGAATTGTTGATTTTCGAATGAAATGAAATGTAATGAAACTTATAGGACAATAATTATTATTTAGGTGAATTAATGAACGGAAGAAGAGGTCTTGTGCCTTCTAATTTTCTTGAACCAGTACATGATGATGGCCATAATATGATGAATGGAAAATCTATATCAAAAGCAGATAACTCTGGATCAGCAAGGTAGGTTTATGTACAAATGAAGTCACTGGTGTAAGTGTAATCCATTATTTTGCTTTTAACGGTTTTTCATCAGTTATTTTATTCATCACATTTAATATTGAAAAGCCAACAACGAAAGCAAAAAACTATATCAAATTATTTTACTTTATTGAAGTCATCACGAATGGTACCTCGTGTAGGCTTTTGCTTTTGGCCTCCACAGAACCATTCCATGCCTTCGTGGGGGGTGTGGGGCATCGTGCTAACGTTATAAATACTCTTGCCACCACCCCTCTGATTACTCTGCGTGGATTCGCAGATTTGATTCCTGTGAGGTATAATTTTGTGTTAGAGGATTGCTGGACTCCTCGCCATTTTAGGTGGTTCACATAACTGATGGTCGGTTACAGCTTCCTCCACCATCAAGTCCATGCATCTGAAACAAATAACTGGCTAACTAATCCACACCCAAACATGGAGATGAGATATGTAATTGAGCTGTCTTATTGGCTTTCCTATTCTCCTTTGTTAACCTCAAGGCATCATTTACAATAAAGCAATTTTGGTATCCCTTAATTTTTACAGATGTACAAGTAGTGAAATAAGCCAGAGTGAAAGCATCATCAGTAGTTGTACGAGTGTTGGAAGTGGTAGAATCTCACAACGTGGTGATGTATCTGATTCAAACATGCCAGTTCAAATCCATGGTGTACTTCCATATCCTAAGAAACTTCGAATTGACAAGCAGTTATCTCACAGCTTGATTATCAGTAAGAGATTTTTGTGTACATTTTTATTTGGCATTAGTATAGAACAGTTTGAGAGTTCATAACTGACTCTGTAAAATAAATCTATAGCAATAAGTTAAGATTGTTCATGTCTGAATTATTTGGTTTTGTATAATTTAACCTTGTGATGAAATGTTTATTTTAATAATCTGAATGGGAATTTGTTGTGGCAAAATCACAGAATTTTTTGTTTTACAAAATTTTACATTAGACATTACTTGAAAGTTTTTTTTAAATAAATTTCATGATACTGTCTTGTCCAGGGCTGGGGAGCGAGTTAGAAATTACAATGGCTTCGGCTCTAGCTCCAGAGCGACGGTATACTTGAACCTCAGGTTCCATGCTAATGATGTTTTTTGGTATTACCACTACAATGAAATTTATCCCAAATTTTGAAATCAATCTTCAAATTTTTAGATATACAAATTCAACGAGAAACTTAATAAATTAATATTAGAAAATAGAATGGTAACCAAATTTAAATTCTGAAAAGGATAGATTTTAATATGTATAGAACATATTACAAAATGATAAATGGGGAAAAATAGTTGGATGGTTAAAAGCTAGAGCCACTAATATTTCTGGCAGCTTCGTCTCCAGCTCCAACTAAATGTCGCGTCTTCAAGATCCGACTCCAGCTCCTGATCCCAAGCCTGGTTGTGTCTGTTTTTTTTCTACAATTTTAAATTTGTTTTGTGTGATAAACTCTTCTGGAGCAGTGATGTTGAACCGCTTTATTGTCTTGAATAACCTGCATTCAACTGATGAAATAACATACTGGTACATCTTTTTCCAGCGGTGCAACCAATTTGTCAATAAATTGAACAACTTAATCAATGTTAATTATAGTCTATTATTAGCAATCATAGCATTATAAATATTTATATTTTCATGCATTTATAGGTTGGATACCACCTCAGTTAAATGAAGGCGAAGCAATAGATGAATATCATGTCTTTGTAAACAGTGAATTTAAAACTGCTGTCAATGGAAAGAAACATAAAGCTGTTGTTGAAAATATTCGACACGATCAAGTAATGCACAAATCACATATGTCTTTGATCTCACTAAATTGTTATTATTTTTATGTTTTACTAGTTTAGTGTGCATGAGATGAATTGAAATTTGAATGACTCCCTCTTCTATCAGTTTCTTCTGAACTGATTGTTAAGTTGTATTTAAGCATGATAAATGTATTTTGGACCTCCTGAAGTATGCGCACCACGATGGCGCACAGCCTGAACTCAGGTTTTGTACTAGGTCAGGGTTCAGGTTGTGCGATATCTTGGTGCGCATACTTCAGGAGTACCTGTATGACAACTTGCCATGCCTTCTTATAACTGCTATTACTTTTTTTATTTGAAACTCAAATGAATATTGGTGACATGTTATAATCTGGACAAAAATTTTCAATTGTGTTTTTCAGAAATTATTTCATACGTTATTGCTCATTAACCTATTAGAAATGTTTTATAGCCGAGATTGTATTTGAAAAAAAAATTTTTTTTATGGAAGCAAAATTTGAAATCAAATATTTGTTTAAAAGATAGGCTTTCAAATGTGTAACACCTTACCACTAGGAACAACCACCATTGTAACATTGCCTTTTTTATTATTAATAATATTAACATTGTAGATTGGTACTTCATTCTAAAAAGTTGTTCTTATAATCGTGTTTTTATAGTTCAGCCTTATCGAATAAGCGTTTGTACTGTTGTGCAGTGGGGTATCTCTGATGAAAATATCTGTGTGTTAGTTGTTTTTATAATCGTGTTTTTATAGTTCAGCCTTATCGAATAAGCGTTTGTACTGTTGTGCAGTGGGGTATCTCTGATGAAAATATCTGTGTGTTAGTTGTTTTTATAATCGTGTTTTTATAGTTCAGCCTTATCGAATAAGCGTTTGTACTGTTGTGCAGTGGGGTATCTCTGATGAAAACATCTGTGTGTTAGTTGTTTTTATAATTGTGTTTTTATATTTCAGCCTTATCGAATAAGCGTTTGTACTGTGTCGCAGTGGGGTATCTCTGATGAAAATATCTGTGTGTTGTCACACGGCAGAGGAGCTGATTTAGCACCAACTTCAATTCGAATGGAGAAAGTTGGAGCCTCTAGTGCTCGTGTTGCATGGACACCATCAAGCAGTCAACAATGTCATATTGTCTCAGTTGAAGAAGAAGGAACAGAAAGGTAGGAGCAATGGTCTACTGCAGTGGTTCCCAAACTTTTTAGAGTTGGGACCCACTATTTATTACCACAGCTTATGGCGACCCATTTACCTTTAAAAAAAAATTAATAAAACATAACACAGCAATGGCTAATCATCGCAAAACTACCGTGTTTCCTTGAAAATAAGACCTAAATTGAATTTTAAAAATGATTTTAATTAAACCCTACCTTAAACTAAATTTAAAATGTGTGGGAGAGGAAAGGTTCAATGACCTGAGGTAAGGTGAAGATCACACCACTTTTCAAGATTGTGTGATGTCACAATTATGATATTTTTCACTTGATTTGATCCTAATAACCAGTATAACTAATCAAAGCTTTCTACATCTTTTCACGACCCACCAAGATTCCTTTTGCAACCCACCAGTGGGTCGCGACCCATAGTTTGGGAACCACTGGTCTACTGATTAAAAGTGTATACTTGAATAAATTAGCACATCTCGGGTCCCCTGCCAACCAATTAACACATCTCAAGTCCCCTGCCAACCAACACCATCAAGCAGTCAACAGTGTCATATTATCACAGTTAAAAAAGGAACAGAAGGGTCGGAGCATTGGCCTAAAAAGCGTAAGGCTTAAATATATTGGCACATCTCGGGTTCAAGTCCCATGCTAACCACCTCACACAGATATAATAAATTGGGTAGATAATGCTGGATGAGAAAGATTACCGTCTTCAGTAATTATATACCTAGTAGCTCCTTACATATTCTTAAATATTAGTGACAGCTTGTAGTGGGCAATATTCGAAGCAAACTTCGCGAATAAACTTCATAGAAATGACAGATAGTGTAGGACATGGGTGTGCAACAGGCGAGTAATTTAGTGAGGCCCTTGTCAACACTCAGATTTTTCCCCACCAAGCATAAATTCCTAATCCGACATTTTATGTTAAAATTATTTTTTTTATTCTGCTAAATCTTTGTAATGTAATATTTAGTTCACAAATAGATAACATCATGCCATACACATTAACCCAGGCTTTGTCTATATTTTTATAAATAATCTTTTATTAAGAATCATTTACAAAATGAGACACAGAAATTCAACAATAATATGTATTTCAATATTCTACATTAATTCTTGATCTATGTGCCATGATAACATCAAAAACATATCACTGCATCATCCCAATCCATGCCTCTTTGAGTTAAGTGATACGATGATAATACTCTCATGCAGCAATTTTATTTTGCATCACTGCTTCGGTAATAGCAATTGATATGCGGTGTACAAAAATATACATTTCTCTAATTGATCTATATATCACTCTTGTTATTGCGCAATTTATTTCAATCAAAGTTTCATATATCTCATAAAGTTTACATATTCTCGCAAACAATATTTGAAATCTCATTAGTTCGGTGTTTCTTTTGCAATCATGTTCAGTATTTATTAGTAGAAGTTATCACCTGACACACTGTCATCATTCTACTTGTCACTCACAAGGGATCGATTAGTAAGTGTAAACGATTTTGACGAATTTCATTATCATAATTCCATTTCTTCAGTGTTGGTATCTAAATATGTCCTGAGAGTATTTCCACTCTCAGTACCAATGCTCGAATCTATTGTTACTAAGGGTTGACTTTCCACAGTATCATCAATTGTATTTGCTGATATCTTCTTGTAAACACGATCCCATTTTCCTCCACCCACATGAACCTTTGTTATTTTCGGCATCTTGAGAAAAGGGCAATTTTTGTGTTTTTGAAGATCATTGCTATGAACCACAATAACATGTTTGGAGCAATGTTGCCACTTTAGGATATCAACCTCCAAGGAATGGGTGACAGCGTTGTTCGCAGCTGAAAATTTTTCTTCATCATATTCCGCATCATCTGGAATACTTGCGAGAGTGACAATGTCTGCCCATGTTATGTTTGATTGTATTTTTGGCAAAATTGGATCACTTGTTGAGTTATTTTCGAGATTGATACGAACTTCAAATTGTGCTTTTCTTGAGAATAGTTTGGAAAACTTATAGATTTCTTCTTTTAACTGTTCGTTGCCTAAAACTGCTGGATTTAGGAATATGAAGATGTTTTTCACTGAAAATTAAAAAAACAGGATTTGAAATATTGCTAGAATGAGGCTAGATAGCTACATAGCCCTGTACACTAATATTTTACCATGTGTGAACATTTTACTTGAAGTTTAATCTACATACTGTATATTGTACTGACTTGATGACCTATATCCGGTACTTAATATTACACATACCTTCCCCTTTGGATAATAATCATATTCAGTCAAAAATGTTTGAATGTTCACATGTTTTTGTCTTAATCATAAGATGACAGCAGTTTCAATTATGAAACAGGTAAATGAATTTATCTTATACGCAAACACTTGAAATTACTGCTATTTTGAAGTTACTACCAGCTATCTGTTTTCTTATGTCTTGGTATAACGGTTTTGTCTTTTGTTATTTTTCAATGACTCATTTCGAAGCTACTGACATAACAGTAGTTATTTGTGACTTCATTTCTGAGTAGGTTCTTTATGGTTGCTTTGATTATATGTTGATGAAAAAGTGAGAAATAATATTGATGTTCGATTTTATAACAATATTTTGCACCTGAATTGCCGTCTTTCTTTTTGTGCAACATTTTCAACACAACTACCAAAGCAATCAGTGTTAGAGTAAAGAACGTAGCTGATATTACTATCATTATCACATATTTTTCATTAGAATTGGTTGGAGGAGAAACTGAAAAATAATCAATGCACGTTCAGCAAAGTATTACAAACCATTATCATTCACCATGGATGTGATATAAATATAAGATAACATATACATTATATAATTGAAAACATATTAATTACCAATCTCAATTTTATACCTTACAACCAATATATATTATTTATGGTAAATGAAAAGATTACCCGTTACAGAAGTACTATTCCGACATCCTTCAATTTGATCTTCAAAATAAGCTGTAAAAATGTATTCTTTATTTATAGTGTTATCTACTTGGTAAAGTTATTGATTCAAATCTGGATTTAAGATCTAAATAGAAGCTATTTTTTAGTAGAATTTATCCATCGCGAGTTCATGCCCATGTACTCGTAAATAAAAGAAACTCATCTCTAAATGTATAGGGTGACCACTGTAATGTCAAAAACTATATAGAAATCATATAGAATGATTGTGGTGTGTTACACACCACGCCAAAAATGTTGAAATAGGATTTGTGGTTACATGTATAATTTTTTTGATTGAATAATGTCTGCATCTCATTGCCGTAGGTTTTCATCCTTGGGAATATGTATATAAAAAACTTAGTCTATTCAACTTGAGTTTCTTGATACTTTCAATTATATCCAAAATTTCTTGGCATAACTCCAGAAAAAAAAATCTCACTTGGTACTACTTCATGTAAGATGGCATCACTAGTTTGGCTATTTGTCATTCTTGGCTCAGAAAAGATGGTGACAGAATATCTTCCATTTCTGTATATTTCGAATGTATCTTCAGTTTTGTGATAGAAGTATTCTGTTTTTATCTGTTTACAATAATAATAACGATACTAAAAATATTTAACAAGTTGCAGCATATAAAGCAGTATATAACAAAAGAAATAAGGTGAAAGTCTCAAGTCTCACTGAGAATATAAATATAGTTATTAATTATGATTAAATATTATATAATTAATTAATTAACATTATAAAATTAATTTAGTTACCGGTATACATCATTAAGGTATATATTGTTTTATAGATTTTACATTTGATTTTTTCACAGTTGAATACAATTGTCATAAAGTTGACAATGATATTATAGTAATTAGATTAAATGAAGGTCGCAAGGTAATACAGCCATAAGAACATTTTGCAGAAAAAGAAAGTGTGCGAATTCTAGAATAGAAATTTAATTTATAGCTATCATTGGTATTAAGATTATTAATTAGGTGTTATCAAATATACTAAAATAAATTTGATATTTTAATTTTAAATGAACTTGATAAAATATTACATACGTATCTATTCTTGGATAGATTCTTTGGAATTATTATTTTTATGAATTCATCGTTCAATAATTCATTATCTTCCAACAGTAGAACGAAATGTGTCACTAATCCACTCTCAATAAATTCACCTAAAGAAAATCAAACCCTGCTATTCTATACTGTATAACTTGTTTATAAGTGAGTTAGTTATTAATATGGGCAAATGACTAGATTTTACGTAAAAATGGAGCAATTCATTGATAATATGAAACTATTAACTCCTTCCTGCATTGGTATGCTTTTAATTATTTTCTATTCCCATTAGTTTAATTCAATGTAATATAATCTTGCCATTGTTATTTAATTCCAAATCTATATTCAAATTGTCATCCCTAAAGAACAAGATCAATCGTTATTTTTATTCTGAAAAATTGAATTTACCTCTGATTTTCCATGATATATGAAGGCCTAATTTTATATCAGACTTGTTTCTATTATCACATTTCAATTGAATCTTAAAATCTATTGGTTTTGGTGGTGGATGATGTCCTTTTGGAAAATACCAGTCATGTCCTGAAATGTGAAAAAAATATTCAAAATATTTTGTTTCGGAAATAGTGAAACTTTATAAAAATCAATATTTAGATTTTCAAGTAATGGTATATGAATATTTTAATGAAATAATCAATGTCCCAGTATATTGAAAAATTTCAGTTATTTCACCAACTGTTTTATGCAGGTACTAATGTCTGTTGTCATCATTTATTGTCATTTAATACTAGTTTTAAATCCACTAGGTCTACGAAAATATCTTTTAGGTAAAATGTGTGTATACCGGTATAAGTCAATGACAAGAATGAGTGCAAATACCGTATTCAGAATTTTTCATATCGGTTACCGGTATATACTGCAGATAACATATTAGTGTCTTAACTTCAGCTATAGATAATCTTATTCATAGGCTTTTCCTGTTAACGTTTGGGGTTAATGTGGGATGTCAATTCGTTTTTTATTAGTTTTTTTACTCTTACGTTTCTCTATTCCACAATTCATAATTTGCGAACAATTTTTGTTGTTTTCTGTGATACACCATGATTTACAATCATCATCTTCTATTACCGTTGAGTAAGTTAATTTGATCGAAAGACAAAACAATAAGATGATAGTTTCTCCAACTGAAACATTTTCCATACTTTTCATTCCAGCTGGTTTTCTATTAAGAAAATTAGGCCTATACTGTAAAAATATAAATTGTAACAGTAAAAAAATGTTTAATTAACATTGAAATACAGCTATGATTACTATTTTGCGAAAAGTAATAGAATTAATGTTTGATTTTAGTTATGTTTTATATCCTAGTGTTAACATATTTTTTCTGGGGGAGAGGAGAACTGATGAGATGGCTTAATCATATGGAGAACCACAGCCTATCGTCTGGTTTCCAGTTCATGTCGGATATGGGATTAGTTAGCCAGTTATTTGTTTCAGGTACATGGACTTGATGGTGGAGGAAGCCGTAACTGACCAGCGGTTACATGAACTACCCTATGGCAGCGAGGAGTTCAGCAATTCTTTCGCACATAATTTTCCCCCACAGAATTCAAATCTGCGCACCCAAGCGAGCGCAATCTTAACGCTTAGCACGATGCGCCACACTGCCGAACTAGCAATTCCTTAGACATAAAATATCGATTACCTTATATATACAGTATGCAGTCATATATAAATACATTTTAATCTAATAATTTTGAATTCCTAGCCACATATTAACGTCAATTAATTGAAGCAAATAAAGTACAAACGTCTTTTACCACCTATCAACATCCTATGTTTTATTCTATGTGATACATTTTTCATCCCACAGACAATGTCAATTAGAATAGGACTGATAAAAGGACAAACAGAGAAAAAATCTATTTAGAAAGAATGCTCTGCTACTGTTTTCAGCCAATCTTGGGCATTGGTTAAAGTAACATTATTTGATGGTATTATCTGTAGTACATCCTAGTCCGTGTATAAAATAATTGTTCTTTGAAACAAACGTCAATGTAACTCAAAACTTCTTTTTAATGAAATCTTCGCAAAGCTTGTTTTCAATTTATGTGAAACTAGACACCTAGTCTTTTGTTCGCTTTATTATGGGACTTTTCCTAACTTTGCACCATGTTTTATTCCCATTCTGATTTTTGAATATTGTAACTTTAATATGGGAAACAATTTCCTTGAATAAAATGAATTCAATTCCGCAGCAGCCACCTCCCCTATTGAAGATTATTACCGGTACTTAATTGCCAGCTTCAGATATTGTCCACTTTTTTAAAAAGTAGCACACAAGAACTATAAATAGTTAATATAATTTTTTTTTTGTGAATCTATGTTCTGCTATCTGCCCCATTAGACTTATGAACAAGTTGTTGATGCAATTGTATCAGCACCCTGATAAATTGGCTGTTCAGAGAATGCATGGCTTTAGAAAAAATATTGTTTGAGTTTTAGAAGATTTGATAAAACAGTATAATTTATATTGAGATCAAATTTAGCCGTAGTTATAGCGTGCATGCTCACTTATGAATGAAATTAGTGCTGATTATAAACGTGAAAACGCCAAAAAAAATTTGGTGGCATAAGCCTGGCATTGTTCCAGTACAGTGGTTCTCAAACTTTTTAAGAATTTGTCAAGTCTCTCGCCCCACCCCATAAATAATTAGTTAACAATAAGCTACAAATTATAGATAGTAAGGCAAAAGTATGTTTTATTTAAAAAACATGTTGAAAATACATGGATGGAACGTGAATAATGGATCAAATGTGAAGTTTTGAAATGTAAATATCCAGAATAAGGCGGGCAAGATCAAGTCTAACAAATATTTTTATTTTTAATTAGCTTCACGCCCTCTCAAAAAAAATTGTCTATGCCCTACCGTTTGAGAACTACTGTAGTGGTTAGTGTGTTGGACTTATTTGTCTTGTCAGTGCACAGGAACAAAATAGGTGTATAACAAATCAACATTCAAAAGCATTTAGATAATTCAAATACTGTTTTTTATTACCGTAAATATCACACCTTTTTCAGTAAGACCATGATTTGTGTTCAATTCAAATAAGACCATACACACAACCTACTGAACCATACATACATCAATTGTCTTCTCAATACATCAGCAGTTAGCTATGCTGAGGAAAGTTTATTTTTGCAAAGTTTGTTATTGGTTTAGACAAGTGGTTCCAAACCTTTTCAGTGCCTTGGCCCCTTCAAGGATTCACCTAAAAGTTGTAGACCTCCTTGAACATAACCAGTAATTACCGTTACATACAAATGGTCTCCGCTAGGAACAATGCTTCTAATCAAAATTGTAGAAAGAGTTTTCTCTGAAGAAATATGACATAGAATTTATCCTTGTGGAAACTTTTTTTATTTATATGTTTATCAAGTTCCGCAGAAACAAGTCATTGAGCATGAAGTTCTATTGAACTTGATTGCATAATAATTTCAAGATCAATGTTCAAATATTATGGATACAAATGGCCAAAACTAAATATTTTGCCCACAATTTTACAAAAAATCATATCTCGGATGAAGCTGAAACTGTGGGGAATCGTAACTTACTAGTACCATTACACTGTCCTGGCATTAGCAGATCCTGTGATGATGATGAGGAAGATTTATGCGTCTAGTGTCAATGTGATTCTAAATTCCAAATGTTTCGACTCACAACTGTAGTTTAAAATCTTTTTCAGTACTTTCACCTTTTGAAGAAACTCACTGTAGCCAATCCACAGTGCGTACCAGTATCGTGAAACTTCCGACTCTCGCGTAGCACGAGTTAATTTAAGGCGGAACAGCCGGAACGGTTCGCAGAAAAATAGCTTGGGTCTCATGAATAAAAATGAAACAGTGAAATTTGGGGTGAAATATGAATACAATCTCGTATTATGGATGGGAGCCATTGTTTCAGACAATTTATAATAGATTTTGGTGATTTGAATGTCATTTAAAATTTTGTTCTCTCTCATTCATATTATTCCAAAGACATTATTTTTAATATTATTTAATATCTTTTCCACAGATTTTCTCCAAGAATGAAGAATCCACCTCATATGTCATACACTGTGTCACCGCCTGCATATCGTTTTACTTTCGGTAACTTGCGTCCCAACATTCACTACAAAGTTGTTGTTAACGTTAAAGGATCACCAGATGAACCTCGGAGTTTCACAAGGTTATTATCACTTATCTCTATGCATGTGAACTAGCGAAATGATATTTGATTCAAGTCTTATATTGTGAGCAAGGTATAATAAATTGAGTTGCCTATTACCTAGTATTACTTCTTCAGCAGGAATGAATGAATTCTATAATTAAATAGGACTATGCCAAGTAAAAAAAATGCACCATCATATATATTTCTTGAGATAAATGAATATAGGCAGTTTTGAAAAATCTACAATGAACACCAGAAAAATATGCTGGAAATTCACTTGTGATTACTACAATTAAAACAAAACAGATGATATTATGGAAATATTATGTGTTTTTGATATTCCTATAGATTCAAGACACCAGAAGCAGGACCTCCTGATCCTCCACTTAGTGTTCAGATTGAAGAATGTCAGAATTCTAATTATCTTCTCATCACATGGTTGCCTGTTACACTCAACACTCTTGGTAATGGCTCTATTTGTCATTAAATATTTTTTACACATTTTGAAATTGTCATTTGGTATAAACTATTTCTATAATACCTGATATCTAATCTTTTACAGTAGACTACTGGTTACCGAGCCTTCTCGACTTTCCCTGACCACCTTTCCCTGATGACTTCATCGCACACAAAAAATAAATTTCATAGAGCCCACAGAAATTTTTGAAATAAATAAAAGTGATAGCCTTATGATAATAAAAACAAACTTTAACCACTGAAAATTTCATAACAACAACAAGAAAAATACCAACAAAAACAGCAACAAATGATTACAATATGATCCATAGATCCACTTTATGTCCAATGATTCTCTTCTATACATGATTAAAAATGGTTCACGTAATACTTCTGAGTTATTTATGTCTATTGGCTTGAATATCATCAAAATCTCCATTTCCTGAAGCAGTTATAAATTTGTTGAATTGCTACTGATTAGTTGCCATTATTTGTTTGAACTTTGCATCTATTAGCCTTGTGTGTGAGATATATTATATATGATATGCTGATTTTGGCTTGGCCGATAACTAACATTGCAAAAATTTTGTAGTTTGGGTTCTGTGGACACTGACGCTATAGCCCCATGTGCTCCAAATTTTTTCATCACGACCCACTGGGCACGGCCAAATTTTTTGCGTCCCTCAGATACTAAAATAAATATAGAGAAAAATTTGATCGGTATTTTGTTTTAACATAAGTTGGTGCCTAAAAAGATTTTAACGAGAGAATCATTAGGCCCTTTCGCGACCCATCGGGTGGTCAGGATCTCCAGGGACTCAACCCTGCTATAGCATATAAAATATTCTTATTGGCAAGTCATGCAACCTCATGAAAACAACTATTGTGATTAAATTTAAAGGCATTGCAGGATTGTGTAAAATCTTCAGTTGGATTCATAATTTTGATTAGAATTGGGATTACCTTTTTTTTAATATAGAAATAATTTTTTATTTCTAGGTACTTCGAATGGAGTTGTAGTAAAAGGGTATGGAATACATGTTGGTGATACCAAAGTATGCGATGTACAATCACCAACTATTGATCAATGTACAATAAGGACTCAAACTCTGGCTGATGCATTTGGCAAACAACTGTCAACTGGTCCAGACTTATCTTTCTATAGACTCTCTAAGCCTTCTAAATCTGTATTGAGGTGGAATAAACATGTTCCTCCTTCAATTACCATAAAAACATATGCTGTAAATGGACAGGAATCAGATCATTCTGACCCTTGTATTATCTCACAAGAATTATATAATCAATTGATCGAATTAATCAAGGAACATGCGAAATTGTCATCTCCTAAACCAAGTGAAGCAAAAGGTCGTAGGAGACCGCCTTTAATGAGAAGCGTTGAAAGCACTGACCTTGACGTGTCTTTTTCAAGTGATATTTCTATGCCTGGACTAAGTACACCCAGACTTAACGATGGTGCCAAAGAAAATCGACGGAGTGGTTCTTCCAATGATGGGTCTGGGTATCGTAAATCTAATGAAAATAAAACCGGTACATTGCTGCAAACTCGTGTTGTACCTTCCATAGAAATAACTCACGATACAAGCAGTGAGGAAGATCCTGTTGCTACCAATGGTCTCGGAAGTCGATCAAGCAGCACAAAATCACTCGGAAAACGACATTTTCATAAAGAAAACTCAAACGCAACAAGAACGAAAAATAATGTCACAGAGAACCATAAATCTTCATATAAAAATTCCGACAATGATGATGCTGTCTCTATTTCATCGAGTCACACCAGCTCATCCACTGGTGGTGGCGATAGCACAAAACATAAAAAATCAAATTCAGTTGCACATCGAGCTGCTCGTGCTATTCAAACACATAAATTGCAAAGAGGAGAAAGTGCAGAGTATTCAAATTCAGAGGATTATATGCCATTCAATGTCATTGGATCTCGGAAAAATTTGAATCCACCAGAGACAGAGAAACGCTCAACTGTACATCCCCAATCTCCTGAGTACATTCGTAAACAGCAACACAGACATCATCATAATATAAGACATACTGGAAAACGTCCACATTCTGTTACGAGCGATGAGCATTCACAAGGTATTTCTCAATGCCTGACACTATATCTGTCTATTAATAGAATATCTTGGAATTGAACAAAATCAAAATTTAATTTCAAACGTAAAACTTACATAGTGTTCTCCTTATAATCATGATTTGGTTTTGATGACTTGGAACCAGCTTTCGTACAGTATCAATGTAACCGAGTTTTTTTTTAATCCATGATTGCGTTCTGCAACACTAGTTTGTTCATTATATGTAACAAATGAATTTCAAAATTGATTGGAGTCATTTTGGAGTGATATTTCGAAGATGTATATGCTTATAATTGCCATTTTGTCATTAAAATCTGTTAATGATAAGCATACATAATTAGGGATTTCAATTGCTATTATCCCATTGCTACTTTCCTCAGGTTCACACCATTCTCAATCTTCATCACGTCATGGTCATGGATATTTATCTCATGGTAGACCAACAAATAGTCGCCGAAATGTAATCAGGCAATCAACTATGAGCAGCCAGAGTGGAAGTGAACTTGCATCAGAAGTAAGCATCGATAATAATTCAGATTCATGTAGTAGAGTTCTGAAAGTTCTTGTATGTCATTCATTTCGACTGAGATATTGAAAATATTGTGCTTCAGCCAAGGCACTGTGTAATTCATATTTGTGAAGTTACTATATTTTTAGAGAGCTGGAAGTTTTGATTCAGTATAATCCACCTAATATATTACAATCTGGACATGGGGTTTGATGTGTAGCTCTTTCATCTGTGATACTAGTGATACCCTGTGTGATAACTACAAGTCCATCACGCCAATGATTTGACGGTATATTAGACCAAATCAACATTTTTATGTGATCCCAACCTTTATTAGTGATAAAAAGGGTTGCCAACATTACTACAGCCTATTTTAATAATAAATTTGCTGTATTGATTTACATTGAAAATGACTTTTGAACGATAGGTATTCACAGCAGTTATATATTTTTCCAGATTGAGCCAGTGTATCCAGTTGACAAGAGCAAAGTTAGCTTGTATGTTGCATTATATAGCTATGATCCACAGATGATGTCACCAAATACTGATACCTTTGATGAAGAGCTTAGCTTCACTGAGGGTCAATTAATCAAGGTATGTGTTTAATGAAATAGACTCAGTTATTTCGAATTTGTATAGAACTTTGGTATGTGATCTTCTAATTTTGTATTCCTTAATTTCTTTTAATTCTGGACATGGTTTATGCAATTGTAAGATTAATAATAGTTTTCATGGGCACGTCAGTTGGCGCATGGTGTAAGCATTAGGAAAACTCTTGTAATCAACCCTTTGATTACCCTGTGCGGGTTCGCAAGTTTGAATCTCGTGGGGATAATTATGTTCGAAAAGAATTGTTGACTCCTCGTCATAGTGGGGTTCAGTTGCAGCTTCCTACACCATCAAGTTCATGTATCTCAAACAAATAACTAGCTAACTAATCCCATACTCGACAGGGACTGGAAACCAGAGGAGAGGCCGTGGTTCGCCTCATGATTAATCTGTCTAATGAGCTTTCCTATCTCTAAGGATTCAGATTTAGATATTTATTTTCGTCCTGCAACAAACATCATACATATGAACATAAATAAAAATTAAATAAATTCATTGAAAAAAAGCGAACAACAATGCTTTAACTGCAATAGACGAGGAGTCGCGAAAAGACTATCTAAGGAAAATATGAAAATCCTCTGCATGTGCCATGTCCTTTCGCAATACTAATTAGTGGAATAATTTATGTTTCAGGTAAATTAATCAATTATTTTATGCAAATTGTTCAACTTTAAATTGTATTTTGAAACATCAGATTTATGGAACCAAAGACGATGATGGTTTTTATTATGGTGAAACTCACACTGGTAATCTCGGCTATATACCTTGCAATATGGTCTCAGAAGTAGAAGTTGAAAATATACAAATGTTGAATGACCTTTATGAAAGAGGTCATCTACCATCTGCGTCTCCTGATGAAGATGAACAGAGCACAAGTGAAACAAAAACTAAAAGTGGGGCATCACAAGTTCCAAATGGTAAAGCAATGTTAGATATTTAGTCAGAATTACAGTATATTTCAAAAAATTTCCCTCTAAAATTCAATATTGAATTTTAATCGATTTTGATCGATCCTACCAATAACCAAATATCAATAATGGCTGGTAATGGAAATTGGTGTTGATAATTTTAAAATTATTCCTATACACACTTGCTAGTCTGTAATTATGCTACTAACTCTGTTCACAAGCATTATCGTTATCATATCAATACATCTTTTCCATTTGTGGGTTCCAAGCTATTGCTTCATAGGGCATATTGGCTCTGTTATCTACGGGTTCCACACTATCTGTCATGAGATGGTATTTGAATATTGTTCCACCATTTTTCCATTGTAATAAAGCTGCATAGGAAAATTGTTATTAGAAAATCAAGTACTATCGGATTCATTTTCCATGTATATACAAATATGAAATAACATTTTCCATCTGTTTCTAAATGAATTAGAGAACACAAGAACCATCTTTAATATTTGGCACTCAAAAATAAAATGATTCACAGATTTATTTTTCAAACTTTAGGTTCTGATGAACCAGACAGCGGAAAACCGGGAGGAAAAACAAGATATTTTGTTGCTTTATTTGACTACGATCCAACACACTTATCTCCAAATATTGATGTTGATGTGGAAATTAGTTTCAGACGAGATGACATTATCATTGTTGAAGGTGATATGGATGATGATGGTTTTTATAAGGTAATTGTTTGATTTATTCTATTATCACAATGAAAGATCTAAATATGGCCCTGAGTTTCATTTTGAGGTCGAATGTAACCCAGACAGACCAGGACCATTTAGATATTTTATATTAGTCATTTATATAAAGTGGTCATTATCCAACTCTACAAAGTTCTACTCTCTTGTATAAAAAATACAAGAAAGGATTGTTACTTGGTCTGTTGCAGAATTTGGTTAGGTATATAACAAAAGGTGTGTTCTTAATGTTTTAATGTTAATGTTAGTTTAATGTGAGTTCATGGAATGGAATAGGCAGAGTTCAGAATGTAAAGTTATTTCATTGAGTATGAGCCAAAGCACTTGATTAAGTACGCTATATTCAGTTTTTTCTAGTAATTAGATACATTTTCGAAAATAATGTTTTTAGCTATATTGAATAGCTTTTTGCAAAATTACTTGGCAAATATAATGTTTCAACAATTCTATCGGATCGAGCATTCACTCGAATTCATATCGAGATTTTTAAAAGGCCAAACGATCTAACATTTTGCATGGCCTACCATGACTTTAGTTTACACCATGTCTCAGGTGGTAGTCTTAGGCTGACATACTCACCAGAGTTGGAAGCCGAAATCATCAATTTGCAAAGTTAAAATATTTTCCTGCATTTTCATGCCTATAAAATGTTAGTCCAACCAACATAAGTCAACATGATTTAGCTTATTTGTGTGTAATTGAGTATTACTGTAATATCTAGGGGAGACTCCGAGACAAAGAAGGACTAGTGCCGTCAAATTTTCTGGAGGAAATCACAGAAGAACAAGCTATATCTTTGAAGCAAAAATCTGATAATAAACCGGAGAAGAAAAGTGTGGTGGACACGAGCACTAACTCAATATTATCTCCAGTTCCTAAACCAATACCAAGGCCAAACCATAGTAATGCGACAAATTTACGATCAGCTTCATCATTACCGTCATCCTATTCAACAACAAGTAATAATGTTAATCCAAATAGAGTTGATAATGCTGTAAGTATGATTGATCTTTTCATTTAAATATATTTATGTTATGGCCAAGGAAGTTTATGTTCAATTATAGACATTTTTTGGTACTCCAGAAGTATGTGCACCAAGATGGCGAACACCGGAATGTCGTATGAGTACCAGGTTGGGGTTAGGCCATAATTTTAAAATAAGGAAAATTGAAATAAAATTATGGCCTAACCCTATCCTGGTACACATACGACTTTCCGGTCTGGGCCATCTTGGTGCACATACTTTTGGAGCACCCATTTTTTTTTAATTTTGGCAAATTTATGTCAATTGCCAATTTCAGCTTTTTTGGATTTTATTTAATTTGAAATTTTACTACTATATTAGGGCAGTTCTTTCAAACAATAGAATCAATAATATCAGATATTGCTTAGGTTAGCCGTCTTAAATAAAATGAGATATATTGAGTCCGAGATATGAGGCCAGTATATTATTGAAAATTCTCTATATAAACTCACTGTTAACCAATGTTCTATAGCTCTTTGAGTCTGTCTAACACAGTGGTTCTTAAACTTTTTGAGTCGCGCCCCCCTTTGAAAAATTTTATAAACTTCGCGCCCCCCCCCCCCCCCTTTTTTTTTTAAAATCTGCTTTTGTGATGGGCTGGTTGATCTGTGGGTTTAAAACACACAATAATAACAGACTTCTTGGCTTGCCTAACGTCTCCAAAATTCACTTCCAATACCCTTGGACAACCACCAGGTTCAAAAATACAGTTTACAAAATGGAGAAGTGTAAATGAATATATGTACAAAAAGAAAAGAAGTTCTAAAAGTTATTATGCATGTGGACGATTCCCCGACCTTGACCGCTGAAAAATAAAGTAGCATGACGTTTGCGATTGCATTTTGTTTAAATATCCGATTGTTTTCGTCAGCCGCGGCAGATTAAAAACACTTTCTTAGACGTTGCAAACCTCATAAATTCTTTGTGCCTGCGGCACACCTGTAATGTTCTAAAACTACCGACTTGAAATGAATTTTTCTCCGTGGGATTTATCACAAACTTGGGAATTTCTCTAACAATGATATCTGAAAATTAATCATGTAGCAGCATTGCAATTGGGCGGAGTAAGAGTTGCAGCGAATATGAATCAAAACCAAATGTAATCTGGCAGTTTACAACACATTTTTATGTCTGCGGATTGCCGTGGTATTTTGGGGTAGGGGTGCTTTTGTTTTATTAAAGCAATCGCAAGGTAATTATTTACAATTAAATAAATAAAGCAACCATTTTAAATATGTATATCGGTCATGGATCTAATATTTTATTCAACCATCACAAAAACCATTACATATCCATTGAAAAAGTCGGCCCTTTTAACGAGTGGCGTAATCTCAACGACTGACCCATGCAGGAGCCGTATCGCGGAATTTCGGGGTTACCTTGGACACAAAATAATTAAAATAGAGAGACATTTTGAATTCTTGTTGTTAACATAGATTGAATATTACGAGACAGAAAAATTTATTATAATGTGAAAAAGCCGGCATTTTTAACACAACGCGGAGATCGTTTTTAGGAGCCGTTGCATGGAAATTTCTGATTCCATTTTGTGACCTCTTGCGGCCCCCAAGGGGGGCGCGCCCCCCAGTTCAAGAACCACTGGTCTAACACATAAGGATCATTTATCAAAATTGACCGCTAATGGGAATCACTTTAAACAATTTTAAAAATATTTTCATATACACTTGTTGGGCTGACATTAATCTACTGACTTTGGTTTTATTTGTGGGCCTTGAACTAATCACTAATGCCTCGATCTTTTTTCAAGACTTATCATGATACTTTTTCAGGTTTCCCAACGGAAAAAGGGAAGCTTTATTTCGAAAGGCAAGAAATTATTCAAAAAACTAGGTGGATCTCAAGATGGAAAACATCGACGATGATTTATTGAAGACGATAGGCTGAAGTTCAGTGTGAAGTTACAGCAGCAAGAGAGCAATCAAGGGCAGGATTTATAGAAGGGGTCACCTTTGCTATTCTACTGGATAAAGATGGATGAATAATTGTTGAACATTTATCAATTTTCAAGCAGAAAATGTTAATTAGTTGTCGAATTTTGTATCCAACAATAGAATTTATTAGTGAGAAAAAATATAAATGGCTTTGCTCTGTAACTTATGTAGTAGCGAAAACCTTTTATGATAGTTAATTGGGCAGAAATTGAAGCAGATTGTCGCAGTTTACTATAAATAAATCAATGATGCAATCTTTATTGACCATTCCTCTTGATTACATATTTACAAGTACAACTCTCAGATCCAATTTTAATTAAAAACTGCATAGTGTGCATCAAGTGGTCCTTTCTTGGAAAAAAAAAACATTTCTCAATAATTTAACTTGATTGAATTAAGATTTGAAGTCTATTTTCTGTATATATTTCATATATATTGTATCAGAATATATTGTTCTAAATATATATTGTTCTCTAATATAAGCAAATTTTAAATTATTCACACACATTTAATGTTCATGTGTAAAGACATCGGTCGTCTCTTCTTGTTGCTTTTTATTTGCATATACAACTTATACTTACCTTTTAATTTTGTTTATCATTATTATTATTATGTTGTGTTCGTTTGGATGTTGATCATGTATGAATGTGCATGGCCGCTCTCATTTCTTTCAGTTGGGGAACTAGACAAGCAATAAGACAGAAAAAGAAAACTCAATTCATGTTGATTCATTTTTTAATTCTCGATATACTCGTTTCGAATGGGATTAAGTGTACTTCGTGTGAGCTCAATTGCTAGTTGGAAGTTTAGTTTGGGTCTTGGCTGCAAAACGAAGATGTGGTGTAATAAATTGCATTGGCTATTCTGATGTTAAAAGATTCTGTTCTTACCAAACTGAGTAGTTATCGACATCGAATTGTATGCATGTATATATAGACTTATTCAGTGCATAGTGTTTATTCTTTCATTTAAAATGAATTCACTGGAAATACTTATTATTATCATGTTGGGATAACCAAATTTTCTGTGAGTGTTAATCGATTCTTTTTTCCATGACTATTTTTTTTATATGTTTGTATTTACATTTTATCTACGGTACATTCCAATTTTATACATCAAGATACACTAACCACTTTTGCACAAAAGGTCCAAGCACTGTTTTTGTTATCGGACGTTGATTCTAGCATTAGCATTCTATAGTACTTTGGACACCAGTGGGTCACCCATATTGCTAAATTCTAAATTCGGTGTTTTGTACCGCAGTATTATTGAGAGAAGCTCTTCTGTTAATTTCGTTTTCTTTTTTGATAATAAATGTTTCTATAATGACGAAAAGAGTACTGTGATTTTGTTCATGCATGCGCGGAATGCAGGGTTTAGATTTTAGAACTTTGATTCATTTTTCTATACTGAAGAAGTTTGCAATAAATAGTAGAGAGAACCAGCAATAGATGCAAGGGATGAGGAAACCATCCCGTGAGCACGTTGGATAGAAAAACAAAAAAATATTTTAAAGAGGAGCAAACACTGAAAAGTAAAGTTCGGGTCTACTCAAGGCTTGCGACTTCACCTTGCGTAACACCCGTCGAGCATACATGCGTATAGTAATACGAACGTATATGTATGATGAAATTGTTAAAATATCAATACATTTTATATATTTTCATATAAATTGTAACTACGGCACTAACTGATATGTTCTACATGTGGTGACTATCATAAAGTATAGTATAAATGTAGCTGTAGGCGAACATTGGGAATAGAAAGCAATCTGTTTGTGCGGCCATGCATGATTGTGTCAGTCGTGGTTAACATTGTATTACAATAATGAGAGACGGTGCACTACAAACAACAAAGGTTCGTTCACTACATTCGACGGCAACAAAGTATGTGTAGATTTAACAGTTTTGTTCCCGAGATTTATGTTTACAAAGAATAATGCACATCTAATTAACGAAGGCTAAACAAATTGAGTTCTGGAGAGTAGGTCGGGATAGTTGAAAGCGCCCATTCACCTAATGCGGGATGTTAGTACTTCCATACACCTAAAATCATAAGTATGGAGTGACTATCGTCACTCACAGTTGTTCCTCGCCACAAGCGCTCGATGTAACATGTAGCGTTTTTGCTATTCTTTCACATTTCGTATTGTCAGATATTTAAGTATGTATAAGTTTATTAGGCATTTGGAATCTGTATACGATGTTCGACAAATACGAAAGTATAGCTTATTAGTCTTTGCGTTAACTTTATCTTTATTTAATAAGCAATTCGTTATCATACGTCAATTTTATTACTGATCTGAGATGCCGATATAAACAAATTGCACAAAGATGAGTGCTGTGGTATGTATGCCGCAATATCACTACAAACCGCGGGGCAGGGTCCTATTAGGCAATTATCGACTGTGGAAAGATTGCGTTCGCATTTGCGGGTTTCTTCTCTGTGTCACTGGTAAGAAAGATGTAAAAGTTACTGATCAGTTGATGCTGTTACATATTTTCTTCCGTAGCCGCGAGTTCTCAACTGAGTTGTGTGCAGGCATAGAACATTCCTGGCGAAATATGAATCTTAGATAAATGTTCTCACCACACTCGATTGTCGCTGTCGGTAGGCACTTGAAATGCAGCTGTTGCCATGAAGATAAGGTTTAGTGCGAAACGCACATTTCCGTTTGATAAATCCAATCAGTAATGAGCGAATTGAATTTCGATCAGTGTCTTTCTGTGAACTCTGGTAAGTGAGATTTGTACGGCACAGAGTTCAGGAGATGATAGTAAAATAATAGTCCCAAGAGGATTTCCGAAACGCAGCGGGATTCGGTGACGACAATCGTTTAGTTTGTCATAGACCAATGAGTTATTAGAGCTGATTAAACGAAGACCGAACTAACAGTGAGATTTTTAAGTTGGCGACCTTGCTACTGTTAGTGAAGTTGTATTGATTTCGAAACCAATAACATAGAAAGGGTAACATAGCAGGGTACAGAAAGGGTACTTTTGAGTTCAGTAGCACATATTCATCGACTTATTAGTGTTTAGAAAATAAGGAAACGAAGAATTCCGACAAGAAACCCTTATAATCAGTGGTATGCTGATCATAAGGTATGCTTAGAAAGGCTTATTTGTTGACTACAGAGAGATATTTATCAATAAGACGAATTTACTATATTTTCTTTAGGAGATGAAACTAAATTTTAGGCATATTTTGCTATTCGCAGCATTTGTGTTGCTTTTCCAATATGGCAACGCCTTCAAGGAGTTCCAAAGCGACGAAGCAAAGTTGGCAAGAAAGCTTCTTGCTGATTATAATCCCGAAGTAAGTTGGCCAAATTGTAATTAGTTTTGGATATTGTTAGTCAATACAATGGGTATACTATAGACACTATTTTTAAAAAATGTTGGTTTTAATATTGCTGACATAGAGTACGGTGCCAAAGGCAGTATGAAAATGCACCTATGATCAGTGGCGTATCTAGGGTGTGGCAGCCATGGCTCGTGCCTTGTGCATTTTTAGACGTTGCCATGGGCGCCATTCTACGTAGATCTGCCACTGCTTATGATATATATATATATATAAGCGATAAAATTTCGTATTTACCTCGGAGAAGGAGGCGGCTGATGGACGGTATGGTATTTCAGCTCGACTAAATAGGAATAATCAACCAGTTATTCATCCAAGATGATTAAAACCCCGTATAGTAGCGGTTACATGAGACGGCGAGGAGTCCAGCAATCCGCTTATAATGATCTCCCACGAGGTTTGAAAAAAATTGCTACTCTCCTCGATGATTTGTTTATTTGAGGCATGTAAGAATGATGCATATTCAAGAGGAATAATCTTTGCGGGACAAGTGTGGAAATGCCATTTTCCAATGAAAAGGTCTCTCCCAAAATAAAATGGCTTTGTTGTCGAAAAAAAATCGTCTTTGCAACTAATGCACAAATTGATTTTCAGTACATAGTATACATATAGTTGGAACCGGTAGAAGGCTGTTATTTTATCTGAATACCATGGACCGATATTTCATCGGAAAATTCGATGTTTTATTTGTAAACATGGGAATACCCAGTACATTTATTTAGCATTTGACCTCTTCGTTCATATATTTGAGCATCTCATGTTGATACCAAGTTTCTTCTCAAAGTATCAATTACCATCCTCAACGTGATCTTACATACGTAACCTGCCTCTTTCAGTCATATAAACTCTTTATTCGAGCACAACAAGAGATACAAATCTGAAAACACTAATATATACTTGTGATAAGGTTATCTCAAAAAACTGTCCGGCGTACGTAAGATGACGTGAGACGCATTATCAACGCGTGATTAGTAAAGTACTCTATCATAATAAGTGAAGTGACGACGTAAAACCTTAACAAATGTTCGGGGTACAAGCCGCATTGAACGAATATTCATATATATTATTAATTAATACCAGTTACTGATTTTCAACTTATACTTTTTTCTTGCAAAATATCAATCATTTGATCTTACTAGATGACCGTGATTATTTTGTTCTAGATTCGTCCGTACGGAATGAGAGAAAATGCCACTAAAGTTCGACTGGGTATGACGTTATCTCAAATTATTAGCGTGGTAAGAAACGTTTTAATACTTCTACTTACAATTATGGAATAAATTTACAGAAGTATATAGATAACCTTCTCAGTAAAAAAGACTTGTGTTTATAATAGAAAAGTACTTTTTAGTGTAAACATTACGTGCAAACAACGGCTTTGAAGCACATTGCTTAAAGGGTATTTTGCGGTTTAGGATAGTATAAAATTGTAGGCCAATGGTTTGGGTGAGATTTGAAAGTTGAATTCATACTTGAATTAATATTTCGTGCATGAAGGTTACATACCAACTCATTCGGAAAATACAATTCTCCATTCCAATGGGGTGTTGCCAATCCCATATCGAATTTCGTCTTCATCACTTCCCACAATTTCTATGCTTTTCTATATCACTCGGTTACTAATTGCTTATTGAAAATTGTAATAAATACATTTACGTATTTATTTGTTAATGAGCGATTGAACACATCACTGAAAATAAAAATAATAACAAGTTATGTTCGTGAAATGTAGTAATCTTCTTTATTGTTTAGAATGAAAAAGATGAAGAACTTTCTACTTCCGTATACATGACACACGAATGGAATGATTTTCGTTTGACTTGGAATAAATCTGATTTTGGTGGAATACACATTCATAGACTGCCAGCTGATGACATATGGACACCTAGAATTATCTTAGGCAATAGGTATGCATTTTTTCCATGTCATTCCCGCCAATTTATTATTGTATCGCCGTGAAACGGTCAAAACCTATTAAATCCGAAATCGAAGTCAAAATATTTCCAAATACTATATATACTGAATTAATATGCGTTCAACGTAGATAGTTGTAAACTACTGTATTAATTTAACAAATCAATGCGTACGGGGGTAAATTGGATAATGCAAATTCGAACAAAGCATTATTAAAAGTTTAGGGAAATTAACACTAACAGTAGTAAAATGAAACTCATTTTTGTCGTTACTGTAAGTATGTTGATAGGTATTTGTCTGTTTGTTTGTTCGTTTGTTTGTCTGTTAGATACACGCGATATCTCACGAAAGCGAGGATGAATCCGCTCCAAATTTTGCATATGCATTCATCATATCTCGAAGCCTATTGATTTTGGATGAATTATGTCGTATAATTAGCGAGTTATTAATTAATTAGTGATGGGAAACAAGGTGTCACTATGGAGTAAGAGCGCTGTAGGAATTTTAACTTCAGTTTGTTTATTGAAAAACTTTTAGCAAAGATGGAGAATTTGACGTTTCACTGAGAGTTGATACCCTGATTCACAGTGATGGATCTGTGGAATGGCTACCGCCCGCATTGTATAAGAGTTCATGCAGTATAGAGGTATTTCTTGTTTAAATAGAAAAAAAAACATAACATAAAACATACCTTTGCAACAAAGCAGCCTGAATCATTGAAGTAAGTTGAGAGAAGGCTTCGGTAATTCTAGTTTGTTGAACCTGTCTAAAGTAAAATCTTTGCAAAAAAATGGGGAATTTTTTTAAGAAGCATTTCATATATTAACAAGTCGTGCGAAGCCGCCACTGAATGTATATGTACCTACAATCACTGGAAAAATACATAAGATACCTTCATTCGATTTCCAGTAGGCTAGGGTAATACAGCTTTTCTTTCATCGTAATACACCCCATTTTCGTCCAGGTTGCTTTATTCCCGTTTGACTGGCAAAACTGTACAATGGATTTTCGACTAACAACGTATGATAAATCTGAGATTGAATTGGAATTTGCTTATGGCGATGAGATATGGGTCGATCCAGCAGGTGAATAACAAATAAAAATCCCTACTTAAATTGAGTTAACTATATATTGTGAATCCATTCAATGTTTTTCGTAGAGGAATAGTGCATTTATATCAGGGCAAAGAAGGGAGAGAGAAGATTCGTTAGATTATTTTGACTTGAAAATATACTACGCTGTCACAATCAATAATCTCAATTGCTCACTTGTGCAATCAATCTTGAATATAGTAGGTCGGGGGAAGTCGGACCCACTAATAAGTTATTTTGAATAACTCTTCAAATAATGTCGCAGCTGCATTCGTTCTACGATTGATTCATGCACCCACCCTCCAGCTATCTTGCCACATTTGCACATTGTTGCCATAGCAACGAATCGGAATTTACGCCCGATTTTCAGCTAAAAAAATATCGGGGTAAGTTAGACACTTTGTGGGAAAGACGGACACACACCAAAATTAACTTGATGGTGTCTAAGATTTCGGTCATAAGACTTCGGTCAACGCCTAGATGGCCCAGGATTATGTCTCTTAAATTTTTTTTAAACAGATCACTTTTCTTGCATATTAAAAAGTATGTCCGTCTTACCCCATAAAGGACATAACAGGTCAATTTTCGAGAGAGCTTGAACAGTTTTAGGAAAACTAGAAATTTAAAATTTAGTTTGCGCCTTTTCAACCGCAATTTTTATATCTTCTTTACACGGACTACCTCTAGAAGTATTTATTTTGTAATTTCTTGGCATAACCTTGGGCGTATTTTATACGCATATGAAAAAAATAATTTGACGGGGTAAGATGAAATTTTACGCCGGGCTTAACTTCTAAGAGACCCAATATAAATATGGCGATGAGTGTGCTTTTGATCTTTGTTGTAAAAGGGAACTAATTCCCAAAAAATAATTATTTATAAGTTTCGATGACGACGGCCCATTGACATTCCCAACAGACTATATTGAAAAAAATCCTCCCCCCTCCCCCACTTAAAATCCACCCTACCTCTTAAGTGACCCTGCCAATCCAAATATGAGTACTGGCAGTCTGCTAAAGAATTTATTCGATCTAATGCAACTACTTTCAACAAATAAACAAAATAGAACCGAGTTCGCAGACTTTTCCGGCTAAAATTATTCTTCGCCACCATGGGACTCTATAATTTGACGTTTTTCTGACCCAACAGAAACACCCTTTCCCCAAAAAGCACCGCCTTGTAAGTTGTCGAGCCTGGAATGTAAAATCTTGGTTCTGTCGTTGTTCGCATGATGTCGCTCTTTCACGCGATGCGTTTTGAGCGACGAAAAAGCGCGAGGTGTCGCTAGTAGGAGGATTTTATTTTGACTGACCATCATACCCCGGGTGTCCGAACTACCCCGACCTACTATATACTGCAAATTTTATTCCTATGTATCGTATTCCACAGCTTGCATGTTTTCAATTTTGTTTTATTACACGTATTCAGCATTTCAACCAAATGGCGAGTGGGATTTAATACAAAAGCCAATAAAAATTCATTCATCTTATCGAGATGGAGCTGAATTTCAAACGATGAGATTTTATTTTATCATGCAAAGAAGACCGCAGTTCTATGTAATGAACTTGATAGTGCCTTGCATTCTAATGACTCTCATTTCGTGCTTCGTGTTTTTTCTTCCATCTGTTTCATGTAAGTCATATTTACATTTCTTTTCGAATGTAACTAAATATTGCAAATATTATCTGGAGGTCCAATGACTTCAGAAATCGTTCATCAGCATATTGTCACGCTAATAACCGAATTGCGTAAGTCATTTTTAGCAGTTTTGAGAAAAACGTAAAAAACTTCCTAATGATATTGTTATGCAATTGAGAGTCAATAATTTGCCATGGTTCAATTTTTTGATCGTAGCCGGATTTAAGTTAATTTGTATGACGCAGTTAAGTCACGTCATAATGGCGCACTGTGACTTAGGCAGAAATGTGTCTATGACTTGGGGACATACGCAATTTTGCAACTTTACTATATGCACCAGTCCTGAAAACTAAACATTCCAAAAACGAATGTAATTTTTTATGTTTAAAAATATATGTTTCATCAATATAACATGTTCTGCACACCCACCGAAATGAGAATGAGAATAAATATAAAGAATATAACAGCAATGCACCCAATATAAAAGCCAACCAAGGTGAATTGGACTCGGACAGTGAATATCACAAGTGCACGTCTTCCTATACTGTAGTATAAATTCAAATTAATACGCGCTAAGCTAGAATCCGAGATGCAAAAACTGGAAAATACTTAACCGAGATTATTTTGCCTTTGTGACGTCACAATAGTCCTGCGGTAACCATGATAATTCATTATGACGAAACAATTGCACAAATGTGCATGTCATACTAAATCGCCATTTTTATAGGTTTCGGAATTCTTAAAATAAAATCTGAGTTAACAGACAGGTGCGCAGCCTTACATAAATACTTATTTTAATAAAAACTCAAAATCGCCAAAAATGACTTACGCAATTCGGTTATTAGCGTGACGATGTGGAAATAATTGAAAAGTTGTGTGCAATTTAATCTGTACCAGAGTTATTCCTTCTCAGACCTCTTGCAATTCATTTGTGAAGCAAAGTTATTTTTTGGCGAATTGCACACTCACTTTTCGTGTTTTTAATTATGGGTTGTTCTAATCGCTTTGTTACCGTTTGTGAGAACCACATCGTATGTAAATAATTAAGTTATACAAGCACATTTTTATCGTTTTCTACATATTATTTCAACTATATTAACGCTTTGAAGGTGAAAAGATGACACTTTCAATTTCTGTTCTACTTGGCGAAACTGTTTTCCTTTTTCTGATTGCTCAACGAATGCCAGAAACATCTTTATCAGTTCCTCTTATTGCTGGTTACCTTCTATTTACAATGACTTTGGTTATTTGTTGCGTAATATTCAGGTAAATAATTTCGACATGAAATAGTAACGAGGAGTTCCCAACTCAATAATATTAAAACTCTATATGTATTTCAGTGTAATTGTCTGTAACATCCATTACCGCTCATCAAGAACTCATTTAATGCCAAAGTGGGTGAAGACATTTTTTATGGATTTTCTTGCTCCCATTCTTTATGTTGAAAGACCGCCACAAGCACAAGATGCCGTAAAAAGTAAGTGGCATAATTTACTATACTAGCAAGCATGTTGGTCTCACAATCTATCGCAACTAGAGATCTTGTGATCAAGCCTCGTGTAAAGTGGTCAATCCAAAACCCCAAGTTAGGAAAACGAAAAATTAGGTAAAGCAATTCAGAAAAAATTCGGTACATTATAGGTTCATCTGCATCTATTTTGCTTATACAAATCTTCGGTTTGGTCGATAGCATTGGGAGGTGTTAGCCACTGTCGGCGCGCTGGCTGTAATTAACCGACCGACATTTACTACATTTTATTGTATAATTACTCAAGCATGCTTACATAAGTAACAAGTTTAATAAATTGTCCAATATAACAAAATTTTAGAACCAACCAGAAACTCAAGAACAGAAAAACATGTGAAAGACATCCTTGATCGTAATGTACTACAAGCACCCAGTGAAGTTTTATTTGACAAGCAGGTAATTTGAAGTGAAATTTTGTTTAAAAATTGTGTCAACTTTGCTATTGCAACGGACCTTTGATATCCTTTTTCTGAAACGAGAATTTGCACACTAATTATATGTAGGCACTTTTTGTACTGATTGTCGACATGTTTCGTAGGAATACTTCAGAAGCCCATTAAAATAAAATATAATGTAACGCTATAGTGATAGGTATTATATCTTGTTCAGGCAAGACGTTACGGATTCAAAGCAAGGCACGTGCAAAATGCCACTGGATTCATTGACGTCAATTCAACGCCAGATGGCAAGGTTGACGTGTCATCGATACCTGCAGCCATGACACCATTACCATATCACTTACAATGTCTTGTTACTAATATTAAATACGTCTCGTCATCAATACAAAAGGATCAATTCGAAGAACAGGTTTGTTTAGTTGATAATTTTCATTTTATTTACTTGCAACATAAAGTAGTTTCATAGCCAGTTCGTAACTTGTGAATAACTTGTAAGTATGTGAATCGCGCTCTAAAAACCCAGATGTTTCTGATCCCTGTTCACTGTAATGTATTTTAAGCTGAAACGCTGTTTATGTACTTGTAGTAAAAATTATGGCGCTCCAGAAGTATGTGCACCAGATGGCGCACAACCTGATAACCCTAACCTGGTACACATACTATGTTCAGGTTGTGCGCCATCTTGGTGCACATACTTCAGGAGTACCAAAATTATATCTGTTGATATATTGATAGTTTTCGTGTTTATTTAGTTCATTTATAAAATTTGTGGCAACTGAAACATCGTCCGCCATAAGATAGTGTTCTCTGCTGTTTGTGTGATTACTTTCCGCCACACTCTTCGAATAACAGTAAAGTTAAACAGTTCTTTTATTCTCTTCCATATTTATTTCAGGCATGTGATGATTGGGCATATGTTGCTCTGGTTGTCGATCGACTTCTGTTTTGGATATATCTTGGTGTATTTACGTTCGGAACTCTAGGATTCTTCCTGAAAACAACCACAGCCTATTACCCTACGTAATTTCAACTTTATCTGACGCATCGTTTTTTTTAAATTATGCTTTCGCATTATTTATTTGCTATCTCATTAATAGATGTAACCAGACTACTTTTTCAAAGACATTTTTATTTATTTAAAATTTTGATACCCAATAAACTAAATAGTATTAACGTTAATATGCAGACATCAGATTTAATGCTGATTTCTGATCAAAATTGTGCTCAACCGTAATAGCCTTACATCCCCGGTGTGGTAACTGGAGTACGAATCAGCTTTGGTTTCTATGTTCTGTAGCCATACAATAAATGAATAAAGTATTAACAAGGTGATTGAAAACATTTTAGTCGAAATAGGACTCAAGAATAAATATATTTTGAAAACTGAAGCCTTTTCTTTATTTAAATGTCTTTCATTCGTGTTATGGAATGAATAAAAGTAATATTTGTTGATTTCCCTTAATATATTTGATTAAGAGAGGGAGAGTGTGTTTTAAGTGAGGTGAGATAAAGGGCATCCCTCTATTGATGTATAAAATTACAAGAAACACTTTGACGAAGTTAGTAAAATAGGTTGCGCAAACCGCATAAAACTCCGTTACCAGAATTTACCACGCTATTGCAAAAACATCTGCAACCCTTAAATGTATTTGAAGCATAAAAGCTATTATTTCCAAAATAAATAAAATGACTACTATATTCGTCGACATAAAGTATTAGATGCTTTTCAGCTTCTAGCTCTTAAAACGTTTATGTTTGTAATAATAATTGTGGAACACTGATAGAAATGCTAAGCATATGAATGTCAAGCATGATACGAGATTACCGATAAATTGAACTACCGCAAATAATTGACCAAGCAAAGCAGGCTTATGAAGCAAGCCTTTGCGGTCAATTTTAGCGTGAATTACACAGCCCCCTTATCTATGACAATGTAATTGTTATATTATAGTAGTATAAACGGTCTTAATTAAAAACTTCAAAAACGGTGAATATCTGCTCAGGTGGACAAAACGATATGCTTTTTGATGTTCACAATATAATATTAGGTTTACAATTGTTTAATTTAGCTACCGTGCGACGCCTTTTATTGCTTTCAATTCACGTAAGTAATAAAAAATTGCATATGTCACCAAAATATAATTTTATGACGTTTGTATAGCCTACCGAATTCAAAAGCTTCAATATCATTAAATTATTCCACGTGAAAATGTGGAAATCGTTTGTCTGGAATTCACGATAGCGGCATAACAAATTTTCTTTCCATGTCATCGAACCCTTGCATTGACTGATTTTCATACAGTCTGGAAAAGACTCAGACTAGAACCCGACGCGTAAGTTCCCATCAAATAACATATATATATATATATATAATTTGATCATCAACTTTTCGAAATTTATTCGTTGCAAAAATTTGTTTAAGTTTACACTGCCACCAATTTTTTATCATATTCCGATAAAAAATAAATAAAATAGTTGGGTACTCCCGTAGTGTGTGTACCAGGTTAGGGTATAATTATATTCCGATTTTCATTATTTCAGTTCTATTACGAGTTCGAGGACTGTCTGTGATAGCCAATAAATGTATCCCCTGCCCATAACCTTCAGTCCCTTTACACAACTTGATGTGAAGTATGGGCGAACATTAGTTACCTCCATATTGGTACACACACTTCTGAAACGGATATAAAGTCAGGGTTATTTAAAGTCACGAAATTCTTATCCGATATCCCCAAAAACTAATCATAACGCGGCGATTAGCTCATGAAATTTGAAATAAATGTAAAATCTACACATCGATTACATCAACAATTAGAAGTAAAATGGTTGAACTTAGTAGATAAATGAGTCACCCTCTGAAGCGGTTTCCATCCATCTTCCACGCTTGTCGCCTAGCCGAAATTTTTTCATTTAAAATTTAGGTTCATCGACCTGGAGGATTTTCGTTCAACATTCCCGGATTATTGTAAACTGGTTTTATATAATCGCACAAATAGTGCGAAAATGAACAGTAGCGGTCGTAAAAGTTATCAATCAAAATACTTTGAACCAACATCGCACACAAAAACAAGGTGTTGTCCGTGTACCGAGCATTTGCGAGAAAGACATAGGCAACTGGGGTAGAGAGACGCCAATGTTTCAAACAATGTAGATGACGTACAATAGAAATTAAATATAACAGAATATATTTTTTTGATACTTGCTTTAGTAGATTAGGCCGGATTTCTTTGTATTGACGAAATCAAAAATATGACAAAGTGAATTTCGATACGATTTAGCATATTTCTTACCATAAAAATATAAAACGTGCTACCTCATCATCGTCGCTTCCCCGTCAGGATACGATTATTCCAACTAGCTATTCTAAATTAATTCTAGTTGGCAAAGAAGTCGGTCAGCCCGCTGAATAGTAGACCGGACTTAAGAATAATAATAATATATATATGAGAGACAAATCTGTGAACATCAGGGACAAATTTCTTTCACGTTTAGCCACGAACGCATTTCTCGATATAGTATTGCTACTTTTACACGACTGAAAGATGTGATAAAAGTAGTAGAGGGCATACCTAATAGAATTTCTCAATCGTATGACAAACAGTAGGCAATGGTGATAATCCTTTCAGGTAACCCGACTTAAATACTGGAGGAAGCTGCTTTTATCAAACAGCACTTACCACTGAATTATGTACAACATCATGTATATATATTATGTTCATGAAATAATATATTTAACAGCTTGGATGAAAATAAAGTACAGCTTTACAAACATGAGGAAACTTACTATCTCACGCCACGCTACTTGATGAATATAGAAACGACAAACTATTCAGAGATATTGTGTTAGGAATTTTATGCAGGCTGATAATTTTATGATGTTTTTTTCGATTGGCTGGGGTCAGAAACGAGAAGATTGGATTCTTTACCGATTATGGGATAGACTTCATTGGGCATTAATGGACAAAGATTTTGCCGAAATTGCACGTAATTACAGATGAATGAGAACGACTATTTAGAATTTGTCAAGTCTCGCGCCTCACCTAAAAAATAACTAGCTAACAATAAGTTACAAATAGCACATAGTAAGACGAAAGTATGTTTTTTTTTGGAAACAACACGTCGAAAATATGTGAATTTAACGTAAATATCCAAAATCAAGAAATGTAAATATCTTAAATAGGGCGGACAAGATCAAATCCAACAAATATTTTTATTCGTAGAGCGCACCGCTGGACTAGAGATATTTCATATAACGAAATAATAAAAAAGTGGTTGCAATAATGGTCTCTGATGTTTCATTTCAACTCCGTAACCTGAAGATGAATAAATCAATCATTTTTGGGCCCCCATTACTTCGTATTTCAAAAATATTTATACTTTACTCTATTCTAGTTGTTTTTTTGTGTGGTGAATTTAGTAATCTTATAATTATGACTGAAGAAGTTGCCACTTTTGTAGCGGCTGATTATGCTGTTTTCGGTGTCATGCTTGCACTGTCTGCAAGTATCGGTTTATACTATGCATACAAAGATCGACAAGGGAAGGAAGGAGTGCAAGGGTATCTTCTTGCTGCGAGGTAACTGCGACCGTACTAACATGAACAATGATAGTATTGTGTTCCGCCAGGCAATTATTCTTACTAATGTAGCCATTCACAAGATAAAAAATTGACCAAAGACTGTTTGTGCAAGTGAAATTTATATATCCGCAATCAGTATACTAAGCTCCAAACATCATTTGCATTTTTGGTGATTGGATTGATATGCTGATTGCGGAAAAGATAACATTAGCACTAGGCTTGCACGTAATTGACAAAAATCAATTCCGTAATTACGACAAAATCAATTACGTAATGACCCCGTAATTGCGATATTTTTCCACGCATTTAAACCTATCATAACAATTAATTGAATCCACTTCTTTTCCGAATGGGACATTGAAGTTGGGTTTTCATATTCTTGGCAGTACTACACGCCGTCAGCAGATGTTAAAGACAAATATCAAGGAGTGAATTCAAATTAATTTTATTCTGATTTTTATCTTTTGTGTTAGCTTTGGTTTTCCTTTATCACCTTCGCAAATTAACCGTCCCATTTTTATGCGATCAATTTTATTTTATCATTACCGACACTGGTATACGGATATTTATGGAAACGATAGTTTTTTAAAACCACCTTAGTACTGAATAAAAATTACGGGTTTCTAATTTATTAACCAACGACGAGCGTATTCTCTCGCTTGATTATACTTGCGATTTCCTCGCGACGAAGACTTGTTTTTGCAGCGTCTTCTGCATTATCCGACATTACTGCCTTGTTAGCATTTTATAATAATAATTATTGATGTCGATATTCCGATTACCATGTTTCATTTTACATTTAATCATTTCGCGGACTGAATGTTTATAACATTATTTGCGATAAATTTAGATCAAATATTATTTATTTGAGTATAATTTAAATATCGAACTTATATGATATGCCTTCTCCGAAAATACAAAGTTATATCGCAAAACAATGCATTTTGTGACATTTATTTTACACTCACGACATTTATTTGCTAACTCAAGTCGGCGATCCTATTGGCCAAGATTGACACAAGTTTGGTCGAGTGCCGTTGGTATTCAAGTCGACGATAAATCAAAATAAGTTTGTTATTTGGTAAGACAGTTAATCATATATGGCCGAAATATTGAGAGGAATTGTGAAAAACATCATGAGCAAGGCCAAGTCCGGACTGATATATAACGATAAAACCGTTAACAGAACATCAAGATTTTGTAATAGAAAATGGATCTCGCACAGAATAAACACACTGGCTCATATTTGATTATATATGATAGCAGTTAAATTTTTAGCGGTCCGCGAGGAATCTGTCGTTTTGCTGTTTCTCTGCGGTCTCAATCGCTTTACCGATGCCGAGAAGACGAAGTTGCGTTGGTTCATTACGCAATCTCTCTTTTGTCGTCATATTGCTATTTGATTAGCGCGACATTAATTATCACGGCGAGGTATTGGCGCGAGTGATCAATCGCTCTTTTCGCTTATTTGGTTCCAATTCGTCGCGAAAGCTCTTCGTTAAATTTCACAAGATCGTCGAGTTGAAAAGTTATGGATATTTTCCTGTTTATAACGATATATAACGATAAAACCGTTAACAGAACATCAAGATTTTGTAATAGAAAATGGATCTCGCACAGAATAAACACACTGGCTCATATTTGATTATATATGATAGCAGTTAAATTTTTAGCGGTCCGCGAGGAATCTGTCGTTTTGCTGTTTCTCTGCCGTCTTAATCGCTTTACCGATGCCGAGAAGACGAAGTTGCGTTGGTTCATTACGCAATCTCTCTTTTGTCGTCATATTGCTATTTGATTAGCGCGACATTAATTATCACGGCGAGGTATTGGCGCGAGTGATCAATCGCTCTTTTCGCTTATTTGGTTCCAATTCGTCGCGAAAGCTCTTCGTTAAATTTCACAAGATCGTCGAGTTGAAAAGTTATGGATATTTTCCTGTTTATACCCCAAGTCTGAAATAAAACAGCCAAAAACAGTATGATATTCCATGTTCATATATCAAGTGTTGATATTAACAATAAAGAATGGTTAAGCATTGCTAATCCACACTTGGTGGGGAATTCCCACTATTTAAACGCGTGACTATAAAATAGAAGAAAATAGAAACGGAACATATATACCATAAGTAACAGAAAACTGGAACAAGTAAATAATGAATAAAAGTAAAATGGATACAAATGTTTGATAGACCATGTTTGAAAGATTGATCTCCTGCGTTCATTAGTCATTTCACCCGAAGAAGTTGAAACCGGGCGTGTTAGCGTCCATCGGTCTTAACACAATTCTCCCCCTATCTACGGTCATTATGTACATTGGCCATGACCATGCTAGATAAGATGGGAGAGAAGTTGAAACCAGGTGTGTTGGCGTCAATCGGTCTCAACGCAATTCTATCCCTTATCTACGGTTAAGTTACGGAAAAGTTAAAACCAGGTGTGTTGGCGTCAAACGGCCCTACTCAGTTCTTCCCCCTTAACTACGTTAATAATTTACATTGGCCATGCCGTTGATAATAGGTCAGTAAATGGCAAAGCGTCATGCCTTCCTTCACCTACGTAACAAGAGAGAGAAAAGAGAGAAAACGGCTGCGAATACCGGAACTCTAACTTCTTCTACTTGTTGAGCTTTCATTTTTCGCAATCGACGAAATTGACTGCTTTGAAGAAAGCTCGTTTCAATGCAATAATTACGACTTTACGTAATTCGTAACTTCCCTTCCGTAACTCCAAATAATTACGTAATTCCGTAAATCAGTAAATTACGTGCAAGCCTAATTAGCACATTCTAACTTTTGAGTGAATATTGGCCTCGAATTTGGCTCAAAAACCATCCAGCTAATGCCATGTTTTTCTATAAGATCAGGAGTTGTTTATCTTCATTGTTAATTTTGTTCTACAGGCAAATGAATTTTTTCCCAGTAGCCATCTCACTTGCCCTAAGTTTTGTATCTGCAGTAACAGTGCTAGGAGTTCCGGCAGAAATACACTTTTTCGGATCGATGTACGTTTGGTGAGTATCAAAAATTTATTCTTGTACGCAAATACTTGTAAAAATATTTCGCGTCGTGAAAAGATTTCAATAAGCACACACAAAGAAAATTGTTTATTTCTGATACCATAGCAATTGCCCTAATTGAAATATTTTATTTGCGCATCCTTGTTTAAAGAATACCGAGACGCAAATGTGCGTAAGCGCCATGTCTTCAATTGTTTTCGCCCAACTAATTTGGTATATCAGAGGTATAAAGATGATCGAACATCACTGTAGTTATCCACGAAAAGTTTATACCAAAATTAAGTTTTTGCTACGGCTTTGCTTGACAGAATTCTACCTACACATTATATTATATATATATATATATAAAAGTAATATTTTTACGCATGATTCTAAAATTGCGTGTGTAAAAGGAAGAGACTATAAATTCGCCGGTTTAGGTAAAAATTTCGCGTTGCCATAATCACCGAACAGACATAACAACTTATTTAGTTGTATTTTTTTGCTACAGTAAAAACTACTAATCTCTCTATTACAGGGTGATCGTTGCTGTCGTCTGGGTCGCTCCAGTCGTAGCAGAAATATATATCCCAGTGTTTTATAGGTTGGAAATAACAAGTGCTTTTGAGGTTTGTTTAACCATTTTTATCAAATTATAGTATTGAAGTGTTTATATATATCAGTTCCTATTACTTTCTACTTTATATTAGCCACGCAAGCTATATCCATCACTTTCTATAATACTAAAAAGTCTAAACGTTTATTCGTTGTTGCGTATTGTTGTTAGAATTCACCGATCAATCCCAAAGGAAAAAAAACTTTCTACCCTACACATTTTTCATATCAGTTTCACTATTTAGTTCTCCATTATATTGTTTTCCTCCTTATGCTTTTATTAAGTTTGTAGTCGTTCTGTCTTGAGAATTTATCTGCATAACAGTTAATGGTAGAGGTGGATATATGGTCCCATTTGATGGCCATGACCACTTGAATGGCCTCCCACATAGATGTATATTGGGCTGCGACATAGACGGCGGTTAGAGTTTTTGGACAATTACACAAGATATGTGATGATAATCTAGTTTAATGAAGACGAGCCCTGAGCACTGATGTAGCCATCTGCACATTTTACGGCATACATTTTAAAATACGTCATTCTCGTTCAAATAAAAGTAATTCTTTTTTATTACAGTACATAGAAATGCGATTCAATCGAGCTACAAGACTTCTATCTACATTTATATTCCTAATACAAAACATTATGTACATTGGTATTATGATATACGCACCAGCCTTGGCTTTGAGTTCAGGTGAGCTTTAGGACGGATCAGTGGTTTTATTGTTTACATAAATACAGTGCCTGTCAAGGTCGCAATCCTGATGCATATGAATTTATATTGTAAAATTTTCTCGAAGCAATGTGACGCGCACTCACTCAGAAGTCTGAGAAAAAGGATCTGCTTACTGTGTTAAGTTACCGAAGACCACGGAAGTGCCGAGAACTACTAAATTAAACCGGTACAAATATACCGAACTAAAGTATACCAGTGTATTGCTTACATGTTAGTAAACACCTATTGACATTAGCTTGCAACAGTTCAGATGGGTACGAGCAGGAAGTAGCTATGAGGCAATTATTGGAAAAACAATTTGGCATAATTTTTTGTCTGCTCGGTACGTTCACTGATTGAAAAATGGATAAAACATGTTTGCGGTTTAAGTGGTATGGACTAGGGCTAGGCTATTAATTGCACAAAACTAAAATCACAGAACAAAAATGCATCTGCTTCCTCAACTGATAAATCCCCTGAATATATTACTCAGCTCTATTTGTGTTTTCAATCGTGACGAAATCACGATTTAATCTTTGATTACCATTCAATACAAAACGATGAAGCGTTAGTATCAAAGGTTTATTTATTTACCCGCGGTGTATACACACCACTACATCTAAGCTGTGCACTTAAAGTAGGACAAGATAATTATGCTCAAATATATGGACAATATGGTCCCCTGACCAACGAAGCAAAGTCAACTAGTGCTCTTTACACATAAATCTGATATAATGCTCATACAAATGCTTTAAATCAAAATTACAAACTTAGAAGTTGGTGGACTAGCCTGACGTAAGGCAATGGGGGTCAAATGTCAAAATAGTGTTTTCATGAATTATAATAAAACAGCAATTTATGTGCGAGTTATCGGGCTCAGAAAACAAATACAGTAAAGCGATACACTGGTGCTCCATGTCCAATAAGCATTCTGAGTTCTGACGTTACCTGTTTTATTTGCTTCGATTTGCTGAAATGAATTAATGATATCTTCTTACTTGACAGTCACAAACTTCAACTTGTGGGCTGCGGTGGCAACAATCGGTATCGTTTGTACATTCTACACAACTTTGGTGAGTTTGAAATCAGTATTGTGTTGATCAGAATTGTTTGTCATTCGGCATAAGTTCAATTCGATTTGAAATGAACTGTATTCCACTGTCAAGCATTATACTCACATATGACAAGTTACGTGTTACACATTTTTATATTGGGTAGGGTTATGTCATCAAACTATGCCATGTGGTAAAAGAATACACCGCTTCGCGCAATACTCAATTTCAGCAGTCAATCAAACGCCCAGTCTACCGAATTTCCTGTTCACTGTGGCGTACCTAAATTAATAGAAATTTTACGACCTACCACGTCAAACTTTTGGTATTTGCAGGGTGGGTTAAAAGCTGTGATTTGGACTGATGTATTCCAAGGATTGGTTTTGCTCATCGGTATGATAGTCACTCTTGCTGTGAGTGTTACTTCCGTTGGAGGATTTAACAAAGTTTGGGAAGCTTGCAGAGAAGGAGGAAGAATCGACTTTATAAAGTGAGCGTTTAACTAAGAATGAATATTTCCACAAAAAAAACGATATCAAGTGAATGAGAGTAAGAAAATTAATTTGTTTTTAGGAATATAAAATACTTAAAATGAGATGTACTTGTCGTTTCTTCTCACTCTCACTACTACTCACGGATGTATCGAATGAAACTTGAAATTTTCGGACCCATTTGGTAAATTTAGTGAAAATTTGAATGTAAACATCGCTAAGTATTAGTAAATTAGTGTTTGATGCATCAAAATCCCTAAAGTCATAATCTTTATTTTTGCTTTCAGTTTTCAAACGGACCCAAGATACCGTAACACTTTCTGGAGCATGGTGATTGGACTTGGATTTTTGTGGCTCAGTGTTTTCGGAACGAATCAGTCTCAAGTTCAACGATACCTCAGTTGTAAAACAGAATATGAAGCGAAAAAGTAGGTCGCTGAAGGAATTTTAGGTGGTAGCATACATAGAAACAAACCAATTCTAGACTACATCGTATACATAATATTAATGTCCGCGCAGGAAACTTCTCGAAGCCCTCTTACGACTGGAAAATATTTCCTATTGATCACAATTGTCCAACCAACCAACTTGTTGCATAGCTTAGAATTTAATATTATCCGATAATGTGTCCTGAGTAGGGCTGGGAATGGTTAACCGGTTAACCGATTTCAGATGGCTAACGGTTACGATTTATTTTAACCGTTAACTGACATCTCAGGTACAAATCATCTTCATACCTAACTATTTCTTCAAATATGATTACGTCATCGCAAATTTATCTCTTGTGGCATTTAATTCAAAAGAATATTACTAACTATGTGGGTAAGGACTCAATAAATGTGAAAAATGATGGAAGTACCAAGATTGCTTATGGAAATTTGATAATGATGAATTCAGAATCAGTTTTCGGTCGATTTTGAAATATATTGTTCACGATTTCATTGCAAAATCGGAAGTAAAATTTGCACATCGAACACTGATAGTTTGTCACATAAATTGCGTTTAACAACGGAATCAGATTTTCTAAAATACTTCCGCACGCCCGAACCACGCTGCCTATCTCTTGCAGCAGAGCAATCATGAAACTATCTCGATTCGTGAATAATTTTAATAAGCGATACCGGGATAAGAACACGCAAAATTGCTTTATAAGCTTTGTGACGTAACAAGCTGAAATTATAAATTATTAAGTCAAACGTCACGCGGCGGTTAACCGGTTGATTTTACCCGGTTAACGGTTAAAGTGTTTTCCCTGAAATTCCCAGCCCTAGTCTTGAGTTATCATTGATGGTGACCGTACATTTGAACCCATGTGTATATCCGCGGGTGCAATCTATATGCGGGTGCTAAAACCCATGGGTTAGGGTTTGTATGGGTTCAAGTGTCCGATAAACCATAGGTGCAATAGTATGTAGGTGCAATTGTCATGGGTTCAAATTTACATGGGCTCAAATGTAATGGAACCATCATTGATAGCTTTGAGTAGGCTAAGTGATGAACATATAATGACCTCAGATGACATTATATGACCAAATCTTCAAATGAACGGCTGTATACTTCGTGGAATTAGGCAAAAAATTCATCTGTCATAAACTAGCTATTTCTGTGAAAGAGAAATAAATAATATCTCTACCTTCATAACAAAGATACGTAAAAAAACATAGCATTTATGGTAGGCCTCCACTCCAACAAATGAACGTTTTTGCGTGATACAAAAATCTTTGGTCATTTTTATGTTATTCCATATAACAAGGTAATGCAATGTTTCTTGTTCTCGTGTAGGGGATTTTACGTTGGTGTCATAGCTGCTATATTTTGTTTGGGCCTTTCTTATTTGACTGGATTTGTAACTTATGCATACTTCAAAGACTGTGATCCACTAGCCTCTGGAAAGATTTCTCAACCTGATCAGGTAAACAAGATCAATTACTTGACGTTACCTAGTCCTAGTCTACTTATTATATCATAAAATATTCCGATATCTCTCAATAATCCTGGAAGTGCGATCAAGTATAAAGTATATTATGCAAACACTCGGCATGCATTACAAGAAGATTCTTTTTTAAATCACAGATTCTTCCTTACATGATTTTACTAATTTTCAACAACCAGCCTGGATTGCCGGGTTTGTTTGTGGCAGGATTATTCGCAGGTTGTCTCAGGTAAGTAGGCTGCTATTCACATCTGTAAGAAAAATAAACTTTCGAGTTCTAAAATGCACATATTACTGTTTGTTTGTGGGTAAACACACATTTGTTCAGGATGCTTGAGTTAAAGGATATAACTTAGACATCAAAAGTCATAGCACTAAGCAGCGTACAGTACAGCAGGCGATGTAGAGCAAAGCCCGTATATACGGATAGAGAGAGCTCAACAGCAACGTTCCCTCTAACTAAGAGCTTGCTTAGGTGCGTGGAATAGAAGGCCATGTAAGCTTCAAAAAAAGGTCTGCGCGGAAAATTAAAGTACGTGTTCAGCTTGTCTTGTTGTCAATACTTATGCAGTGCGCGGCAGAACGAAAGTACTGTGCGGGGATTCTCGGCCAGCTGCGCCGCCGCGCAACTTAGAGGGAACGTTGCTCAATAGCGGCATCGGGCGACATAGTAAACAGTAAAGCATAATAATAACTAGAGCTGCGTGCAGCTTTAACAGGCTTCCCGCGTAAAAAAAACTGAAGACGCGTTTTGCTTACTGGAGCGTGAAAGCGTTGTCAGTCATGCATAAAATTTGCAATTTATGATGGGGGACTTATTATCCGCATGTGATGTAAATTTCAAGTCTCTAAGTAGTGTCGTTCTCGAGAAGAAGATGAAAATGTAAAATCCTATATTGCTCACTGGAGCGTATCGCCGAGGTCACTCATGCGTATCCTTGACATAGCGTATCCGGAACATGTCCATTAATCATTGTTATGAATTTCAACCCAATAGCATGTATCAATTTTGAGAAATTGCAAAAAAACTGAAGACGCGTTTTGCTCACTGGAGCGTGAAAGCGTGGTCAGTCATGCATAAAATTTGCAATTTATGATGGGGGAATTATTATCTGCATGTGATGTAAATTTCAAGTCTCTAAGTAGTGTCGTTCTCGAGAAGAAGATGAAAATGTAAAATCCTATATTGCTCACTGGAGCGTATCGCCGAGGTCACTCATGCGTATCCTTGACATATCGTATCCGGAACATGTCCATCAATCATTGGTATGAATTTCAACCCAATAGCATGTATCAATTTTGAGAAATCGCAAAAAAACTGAAAACGCGTTTTGCTCACTGGAGCGTGAAAGCGTGGTCAGTCATGCATAAAATTTGCATTTTATTGCTAGCTGAGAACTTCTGCACATTTGAGGTGAATTTCAAGTTTGTAGGACCAATTTGAAAAAAAAAAAAAAATAATAATAATAATAACTAGAGCTGCGTGCAGCTTTAACAGGCTTCCCGCGTAAAAAAAACTGAAGACGCGTTTTGCTCACTGGAGCGTGAAAGCGTGGTCAGTCATGCATAAAATTTGCAATTTATGACGGGGGACTTATTATCTGCATGTGATGTAAATTTCAAGTCTCTAAGTAGTGTCGTTCTCGAGGAGAAGATGAAAATGTAAAATCCTATATTGCTCACTGGAGCGTATCACCGAGGTCACTCATTCGTATCCTTGACATATCGTATCCGGAACCTGTCCATTAATCATTGTTATGAATTTCAACCCAATAGCATGTCTCAATTTTGAGAAATCGCAAAAAAACTGAAGACGCGTTTTGCTCACTGGAGCGTGAAAGCGTGGTCAGTCATACATAAAATTTGCAATTTATTACGGAGGACTTATTATCTGCATGTGATGTAAATTTCAAGTCTCTGAGTGGTGTCGTTCTCGAGAAGAAGATGAAAATGTGAAATCCTATATTGCTCACTGGAGCGTATCGCCGAGGCCACTCATGCGTATCCTTGACATAGCGAATCCGGAACATGTCCATTAATCATTGTTATGAATTTCAACCCAATAGCATGTATCAATTTTGAAGAATCGCAAAAAAACTGAAAACGCGTTTTGCTCACTGGAGCGTGAAAGCGTGGTCGGTCATGCATAAAATTTGCAAATTATGAATGAGGACTTATTATCTGCATGTGATTTAAATTTCAAGTCTCTAAGTAGTGTCGTTCTCGAGAAGAAGATGAAAATGTAAAATCCTATATTGCTCACTGGAGCGTATCGCCGAGGTCACTCATTCGTATCCTTGACATATTGAATCCGGAACATGTCCATTAATCATTGTTATGAATTTCAACCCAATAGCATGTCTCAATTTTGAGATATCGCAAAAAAACTGAATACGCGTTTTGCTCACTGGAGCGTGAAAGCGTGGTCAGTTATGCATAAAATTTGCATTTTATTGCTAGCTGAGAACTTCTGCACATTTGAGGTGAATTTCAAGTTTGTAGGACCAATTTGAAAAAAAAATAATAATAATAATAAATAATAATAAATAATAATAAATAATAATAAATAATAATAAATAATAATAATAAAACACAGGAATACAATAGGTTCCCTACTGACAAGCAGCGGGAAGCCTAATAATAATAATAAATAATAATAATAAAACACAGGAATACAATAGGTTCCCTGCTGACAAGCAGCGGGAAGCCTAATAATGACGTCATAAATATCCTCTTACAATTCGGCCTACTAAAGTTGAATATAATCTATCGCACAATGGGCTTCCAATTTTAAGGTCGTTTTATCGCTATAATTCGAACACAGTTATATACGTAAATATACGTCGAGATAGTCCGTCCAATTTGCATAACTAGAATAATTTGGTCGATTTGGGCTGTCTACAATAATCATCAAAGTTTGAATCCGATTTCTTCCAAAGCTGAATACACACCGCAAATCGCACCGCATTGCTACCGAATGGATATGATCATATCATTGCCTGAAAAAATATTTTGATTTAAATGTCGCACTGATGTATATATATGGGATGCTTTGCAAAATATAATAATATTAAATTCCTCTTTCAGCACCGTTTCCTCCGGGATAAATGCAATGGCATGTGTGACAGTGAAAGATTTCATTCAACCGTTTGTCGGATGGTCACAAAGAGTTATGACTTGGGTTTCTAAAGGTAAATAAATTTTGTGTTAGGACTGAAAACTTACAGAAACTTGTTTCGTTTCAAGTTATCATTATTACTCCCAACCCAAAGATTATGTAGGCTACAACGGGAACTACTTTTACTAGAATTTTGAGTCATGGATCAATAAATTATATATATATACATTACATTTTAACCTTACGCTGATTAAAAATGACTGAGAAGATTTACATCACCTCAAGAATGACATACACTTTTATGATAGGAATGGTTTTCTTGTTTGGAGCTCTGTGCATCGGATTTGCTATTCTTGCTTCGACTCTTGGGGGAGTTTTACAAGCATCTCTCAGTGTTCTTGGACTCGTAGGTGGACCGTTACTCGGCCTGTTCTCACTCGGAATAACGTTTCCCTGCGCTAACTCTCCGGTATGTATGAACTAGAATATTTACTGGCGAACGATACTATCTGTTGTGTTTTTTGTTTTGATTTTTTTTTTTTGCAATTCAATTGCTAATCTGAAGGAGAACTCAGAAGGCTACACTGGCTAGAATGCCAGAACAATAATGATGAAGTACAAATTGACGATAATTCAGATAATTCTTAAAAAAAAATTCACTCAATTCTTTAACGTGGTCGATAAAATATAGTCGAATTTCTAATCGGTGATTGTTTTTCTGCAGGGAGCTATCTCTGGTTTGATATTGGGAATATCGCTTTCAACTTGGATCTACATTGGTAGCACAATCTATGCACCATTGCCTAAGTTCATGGGTTTCAAAAGTCTCTCAATTGACGGCTGCGCTGTGGCAAATGTTACAAGTAACTACACGCTTACAACAATGGGATCTACCGATGTAATGACTACAACTGTGTCAACGACAACCGCTGCCGTTCGTCCTCCAATCGCAGAATTCTATTCAGTGTCTTATGCTTACTATGCGGCCATAGGCTACGGTGCTACCTTAATTTGTGGACTTGTAGTAAGCCTCCTAAGTTGTAAGTAAATATAAATTTTTAAGAATTGATAATCGGGTTATGCACAATTTTCATCAATATTGTAAGTGAAAATTAGCTCCCTAGTGCCAGAATATATTTGGCAAAAAATTACAATTTACACATGAGAAACACTGACATTCCATCCTATACTATTTTTTCGTTTTACTGTATACCGGCCGCTGCTTCTTCACGTCTTCCTCCAAAATAAAATTATATGCATACGCTTAAATCTATACCCAGCCTGGGATTATATATACTACCGAACGAGTTGAGATTTTAGTGGGAAAATAAGAAAAAGCGATTCATGAATTTTTCTTTTTCACAGGCGGATATCGAGAGCGGAAGAATGTTGACCCCAGACTTATTCTTCCATTGTTAGATCACAAAATGTTCTGCTGGTTGCCTTCAAAATTCCGTAGATTTATGTGGTGTGGAGTTTCCCATGAAAAAGATTTTGATGAAGTAAGGATATTATTTGACAATACATAATTAAATATAATGTATGAATATGATATTGCCGAGTATAATATACGTATCATTCTTTGTAATTCATACTCGTTGATACATTCGCGTTTCAATTTTCAATTCATTTAGTAATTCACAATCGATTCGTTTTCCTTTATTTTCCTTAACAAATAAAACTATAATTTCAGGAAAAGCCGGTCAAAGTAAAAGACATTAGTCTGAAGAGTATTTCCCCGTTGAATGTAGATGAAGCTAAAGTAAATGGAGACGTTTCATCTCCTGATCCACCACCATACCCGAATTCGAATGGATTTTCGCAAAAAAGCAATTTTTCAGATTCCGAGAGGAGCTTACCGGGAGTTGCAGTGCAAGAAAACGGCGAAACAAACCAGGCGTTTTCTATGGAAGATGAACGCTCGCCTATATAAACTATTCTTGCGTATTTATTTTTACAAATTCAATAAATAACAGCAAAGTATATATACCAGCCCACATAAGTCAACATGTTTTTATGTCTTTAGTGTTGCCTTAATAAAACTAATATCATGGTTGTAAATAATTGTCCATGAACCATCCCAACTTAAATAATAGGAGGCGGCTTTGTCTCCTAGAGTCAATTATCGCGCCACCAACCGCATTTGCCGGACGGTTCAACAAAAAATAAATTGTCCGTTCCTATGCGGGTGGAATTTTGAATATATAGATAAGAAATTGATTATAATATTTGAATATGAGATCTCATAAAGAATTGAGCATGCAAAATTATTGCAATATTTTGAATTAACTGTTGGTGAAAAATTCGTTAAACTTTTTTCCGGGAGCGATTTTGTATACAAATATAATATATATCTATTGCTTAAATTCAGTTATTTTCAAAAAAATGATATATAACATTTTTACATACTTTTCTCATAAGTGCGATATAGCTGAAAGGTTCGATTTCAATGCGGTCGAAATGGCATCAAAACGTCGTTGGTCATGAATATAAGTTGACTAAATATTGGCAGCACTTGGTTACGAATATGACACAATTTCATAAGTGAAATCGAATATTGTCCAATTTTTAAAACTCTAATCGTAGTGATGCCTACAAATAGTTCCTTAGTCGTATCAAATCTTTATACAATATTCCTAGTTTTAATGCAGGATAGCGCTTGATTTTTGGCAGGGTGGTCAAACTATTCGGGTCCTAAACTTAGCTAATGCTCCTCCTTCTTTCCAGTAATTATCAACAGCAACTCAACTGCATTGCATGACAGAAATCTTTGAAAAAACTTTTTTGGTAGAAATTTCGTTGAGAATGGTTTTTAGTGATTTTAGAAGGATAAGGGGCAGTGGTCAACCAAGTAGAGTGGTCAATTGAAAACTTTTCGGGGTAGAATGATTTTGATAAATTTGGGAAATAGAGTTCGGTAAGTCACTTACGATATTACGAAAAATGTTTGTAATCTGATAAACAGCCGACTAAACATACTCGGTAGTCTGTACCCTATTATGATTAAAAAAGGAGATTCGCAACAATCGTATGAATTCTGAACATCCAGTAACCTATGCTCTATTTAAAAAAATGCAGTTAAGAATGCTTTGCTTCATTAAATTTGGAAAAAAAAGACTGAAAGATTTTACATTTTCAACAAATTTGAATAAATCTAGCTAAATGGTTCCTTTGTATTATATTTATACCATGCCAAGCAGTAGGATATCTGCGAAGAAATCTCAATTTTTTTGTTGGTGTTATATGAACCTTGAAATGTACCCTTAGAGTGCTTTGACAGAAAATATTCTCAAAATTATTAATGTCGACCACGACTATTACGTACAGAAAACTTGACGTGACATTCAGTATTATTTCATACATATTGACAGATTTAAGGAAATCGCTTTTTAAAATTTGTACATTTTAAATAGTACGTATGCACGTAGAAGATAATTAAAAACTGTCATTATGTCAGTTCCATGTTTTTGCTCTTTGGATGTTTCTAAAAAATGATAATAGCATACTGTCAACTTTTTGCAGCATCATCAAGCGCAAAAAAATAAAAAATAAATTGTGCGTGCATGATATACCTTGTATTCAAGTTTCTGTTTTATACAAATATTTGGAGAGCGATCACGAGTAAGCTCTATCCCTCCATGATTTTTTATTAGAACTGTTTGGTTTATCGTCGCTGGAATAGTCTGAAATATTGCGCCGGTTTTGACTTTTATCTGAAAACGATTTAGTATGATGTCTTCTACTTCGTTTTTCAGGATGGGGATTCCTGGATCCACGCGTTCCAGTTTGTGCCCGGCGTTGTTGTCCCCTATCATTTTTTTCTATGGTTATACTCTCCTTTCCCTGTTCTCTTCTGCCTTGGCCAGACCGACTTTGTTTTGGTTTCGAGTTATTTTCGGTTGGAACAGTATCGTTCGGTACTTCACGACGACGTGTTCTTCGCCTTCTTCTTTCGTGTTGCTCATGATACCCATGGTTAGACGAAGAATTGGATTCTTCCCGCTCTCTGTTGTCGCGTTCGTGAAGTTGCCGCCTACTGCCCGACTTGCGCTTGTGCTCATTTTCACGGTGTCTGTCGTTAGATGTAGGTACTGCAACTTGTACAGCCTCGACATCTTTTCTTGATTTGTCGTTGTTAGAATTTTCAGTGATTTCCGATTGCTGTGGATGGGTCCGCCGCGGATGCATCACGGTATGTTGGTCTTTACCATAGTTTTCATTGGAGCTTGCTACTTCGGAATCTCTCGTTCTCAATGTTCCGCTAGTACTTTCAGCAATGCTAGCTGAGATTGTATTTACTTTCCTATCGCCTTCCTCTTCGTCCTTTTTATTTTTTCTCTTCTTTTTGAAATGTCGAAAGTGAGCATACGCGTGCATTATTTTGCCGGAACTTTTTTTATGAGCCTTATCATAAAAAATTCTTTTCAGCAGATATAATACCAAGGCTATTGCACCTACAGTTCCAAGAACAGCCAACAAAATTTTGATTTCGTGAGGAAGCGGTTTACTTCTTCGAGATGGCAGTTCATCTTGTTGTATAATATTATTTGCTGAAAAAAGAGGAAAAATGATATTTATTCAACTATTGGTACTCGCGGTCATTTTGATATTGATTGATGAGTTCAATGCCATTTTCGATCACTTAGTTTCTGTGTTTTTTATTAGATATTGCACGAAAACTGAAAGCACTGGTGGTCACGATCCATGGGTCGTTATTCTAGAATTAGATCTATATGGGTGCTGATATACAGGCTTAAAAAATTTTCTCGAAGCATTGTCACGTGCGCTCATTCCGAAATAATGGAGATCCATCACTGAACAAGGTAATGGTCGGTCAATGGAATGCTAACTGTGACTATCTCGAATTATGTCGGTATTACATAAAAGATTTTTCATGACAATTTTCTCGAAGAAAGACCACGCACAGTCAGAGATGTAAAGGAAGATCACATTTTCGATAAATTACGGACGAATGGTGATATACGAAAATCTACTGAAATGACCGTACGTCAAATTGGACACTGCTCACCCAATGTTGGAATAATCCTTGTTGCCGGTTTTTCATATTGCGATGGATTTCTACCTCCACTATAGTAAACTGGGCCGTTATTATTATGGCTATTTTCAGCTTCGTTCCTTGCTCGATTTTTAGCTTCGGTTCTTCGATTCTTAAGCGTCAACACGGCATTAGGGTTGGGTGGAAGAGGCCTTGATTTAGCAAATGGTGCTATGACATCTCCTATGGATCGAATTCCTGAAGATGATGCCGGTGCGGCAGGGGGCTTGCCAGGAGAAGCAGCAGAACTCGGTAAAAGATTCGACATGCTTGCTGAAAAAAGTAGGTTATATCACCAATTTAAATGGTTAAAATTCACTTATTCACTGAGGTGAAAATTTTTAAAAATAAAGGGTTATAGCAGTTTAGCAAAGGTCCGTTTCAGCATCACAAAGTTTGTAGTTTAGGGTTTTCGAGTTCTCTTGTCTAGGCTCTAGACTAGAAGGTATTCGACTCGACTACGCTCCACTGCACTCCGGTGCATTTTAAAAGGAAGGAAAAGGGTTATTCTAGTAACGTTAGAGAACAGCGTTTAGTCTACGTCCATTCGCAAAATGGAGATAAGACCAGAATATTATTCCAAAGATTTTCGATTTCACAATTACTATGTGTTATTCTTGAGTTAACAAATTTACTGATTAGAAAATGTTTAACTGGTCAGGCCTTGATTTCCAAGACGACTCCGTAATTAGGTTTGAAAAATTTGGTTTAACGAGAAATCTAGACAAGACTCCGATAAATAGAGAACAAAATATCGTGGATATATTTAGGTATAATTAAATTTTTATTTATTTTATTGTAAATATTTTGTTTGCTTTCATAATTGCTTGTGATTCACTCTTGATAAGCAAAGCCGATCAAAACGTGTAAGCGCTTGCAGTTGTGCGTTCGGGCTTACACGCTCGTTATAGTATGTTTACAACAACTTATTACACCAAATTACCAAACGCTGTGGCATTCGTCTGATTCGTGTTGAAATTGAATATGAAATATAAAGTAACTTACATGGCATAAACGCGGCGTCAGTTGTGTATTTATATCTTGCTGAAAATCCTCTGTATGAAGATGACGCTGCAGCAGCGTTAGAGTGCAAATTTAATCTCAAAGTATTACCTAGGAAAATTTTCAATAAAAACACGTTATTAGAATCTCACATATATTGCAAGTTAATTTCAAAGTTTCATTAAAAGTCTGTTACTGTAGAATTCATATATAAAAACTTTAAAGAAGTTCACTATTCAACCATATATGACCCTCTCACCTACAATTGCTATTGACTGTAGAAACAGATTTTTCAACGATCAGTCATATATTCCCATTGACATTACATAATAATTAAAATATCTATGACTGACCACTCGATATGACGATTCTTGGGCGATTAGTTCCACATAAAGTTAACATGGGCGGTTGACCTGGTCCTGTTTCATCTTCGCCTTCTTTAATTGTTCCATCTACAACATTCAACCACTGCCAAATGCATCTATTTTGTGAATTTGGTTCCACCAATGCAAAGTCAGTAAGCTCCAATTGGATTTTATATTGAGGCGGAGCAGATATTCTGGAATGAATCAAACATTTGCAATATTTAAGGTTACTTTACGTACAAAGGTTACTTTATTGTGCGAGGTGTCAATATCTGCCTAACAAGAAGATGAAAATAGTAGTGCAATAGTAGTGCATAATGCACATCAAATATCGTACATCATCTTCGTCGTACAATGATGGAGATCGAGAAATAGTTAGTTTTTAATATAACTATATAGTATAACTATATGGCTAATACTAAACAGGAACGACCACTGACTTTGCCATGGTAAAATTTATTTAGAATTTCATACACTGACTAAACCTATAAACTGACTTTGCAATGAAGCTAAACTCGCGCTAGTAAACTACGTAAGTTTATGATCAAATACCTTCTTTATATATAAATCAGCGTAATAATCAGGTACTTTGTCAGCCTCGGCTAATTATCATCTGAACGTTTAGCCAAGCTGGCTTGACCAGGTTTTATAAACGATTTTACCTCAATTTAGCCTAAGGCTACGCTCTTAAATTATTGTCTGTCACAGAAACTATTTCGACAACTTCAATATCAGCAACAAAACACGCTCGCAAATATTGTACTAAGGTTACTAGTCTGGTTAAGTTAACTCAATATAAACAACTCATTCGGATGTAACAAATTGTGTAGTCTGTGCTGTAACAAAAAGATGACGGCCTTTTCAGACACAGGGCGTACTAGAATGAAAACTCCGTGATTCTAAATCAATATACACTAAACATAGGCACATTTTCAAGGTCACATAATCTTGCTATTCTTCTAAACTTTCTAACGCTATGTATAATGAAATACAAAGAATGTTAACTTGGATGACATTGTTTTACCAACTCGTGTAGGACCAAGCAATATTCACAAGTAGATTGTCTGAAAAACGCGCTCTATATAAGTAAAGGGCGTTTAAAAACATTCCTCCACATATATAATATATTATATGTATATCATTTTTTTGCGATTCTTTCGTCTTAGCCAAAAACTAAAAATGATCATCTATTTTAGCGATCTAGCCGAAAATAACAAAACATCTACAATAAGCAAGAGACGGGAACTTTACATAAAAAATTAATCGTGCTAAACGGAATTTAAATTAGGTATAATAAAACTTTTAATTATTTAATTCGGGAGCTTAAGATAAACACCTGCTCTAAACAGCTGGATGTGGTTCTAAATTGTAAAATGGAGAATTTGAAGTCATAAATCGTGACAACATAAATACAGCATAAAGTGACACGAGCGTAGAAAGTTAGGTCATTTTGAGATATGTCCTTCTCTTCCATTCCCATGACCTTTTCTCTGTCCTAACTTGTTTCCTAATTTGGAGTCATTACCGAATATATCTGCATATCTGTGTACCATCGTCGAAGTGGCGTACTTTGACAATGACCAGAGTTTAGGTTCTGAGTATGTGGTTTTGGACGCTCAACCATATTGAACGTTATAAAGATCCATTGAATTCTAGTTTATCGAATAGCAGATTTATCTTGAAAATCTCCACTAACACGTTCCATGAGCTCATTCAATGCATATAAATATGATAGTGTTTAGGCCACTTTTCCATCAATATTATGACGGGACTTAATTTTGCTCTCTTCTATTTTTTTTTCGAATATATTATCATGGGGTTGTGTACAGGAGTATACGGAGTGGGAACCAACGTTTCGACTCAGATATTTATATATATATATAAAAGATTTCACTTTCCCTATTCTTGACTGAACTCGAGCACCTCTGCCGACGTTGCCACTCTGCAAGATCTCTTTTTTTTGTCTGACTACCTTTAAGGTTAAATGTCTTTTCGTTGCTACATATTTTATCTGATCAATCCGTGCCATTCAGCCGGATAACAAAATTCTTCACTTGCGTCATCAGACTGGGCAACTTAAATATTCTGAATATTTTACATACTTGGCAGCATGATATTGCAAGCCATGAGCTTTCGTTTGGTCACTATGATCTATTCTAGCACTACCTATAACAGGGTGTTTCGAAAATAGCTATAAAGGGTAGAATGTTACCATAGAGCTCAACCAAGTACTCCAATGGCTAGCAACGACGTAGACGAAGCACTTTTTAGGATCAATCTTTCATAGCTTTCAACAGAGAAAATTAAATTTAAAAAGTCCCATAATTGCCTATTTCACATGTAGTAATTATAATTACATAATTATATAATAGTCTTGTGCAAGTAACATAATTCGAATAATATTCGGTTATTCGGTTTAGGAGAATCTCACAATAGTGCGTCCGCACAGGGACGAATCAAAAGAATTATTAGGCCTTGTTTTAACCAAATAAATCACAAACTAATAATGAAAAAGAGAAAATGTTTCTCCTACCACGACACAATTTCGATTATTCTTTCTATATCTTGCCTGCCTTGCATTGTGCTATTTTTCAATAAGCTATTTGTCAATAATACGTGCATACACTGACTACTCAAAATAATTGCCAAACACCGTTCTAATCAATCAAATAGCAAACGAAAAATTTGGAAAAAAAATCATACTTCCACCAGCACTGTGTCTGAGATGGAAATTTTCTTGGATATCCAGGACTCTTCACCAATGTCCATCCATATAATGCATGTAGGTTGTTGTAGTGGCAACCTGGAAAGCATACAAAATTTCATGCTTACACAACTGTAAGAAAATTAAAAATGAAGCTGGAATAGGATTTGTTAATTAATATTCGTAGTCCTACACCAGGGGTCGGCAACCTACGGCCCGCAGAGTAATGCAATCCGGCCCGCGGAGTAATGCAATCCGGCCCGTGACGCCTCACTGAATTATAGTAATAAAACGGCTGTTTTGACTATTATATTCTTTACGAAACAGAATTTATTGTGAGACACGTGTAGACTAAATTATATTATAACCTGACAAGTATATAATTTACAATTACTGGTTTAATGAGCCTATAATTTAATTATGAAAAGACAAATGGCAACAAAACGCAGAAAAGTTGGTGCTAAGTGCAAAGGGTTCAATAGCGCCGGAAATATTCAAATGAAATTTTTCGAGATGCAGTGCAATGAGGAAATAAATCTATATTTATTCGAAAAATGTATCACTGCTTGATTTTTACTTATAAAAAGTGTCATCTGTTTGGTTTTCAACTTTCTAAAAATATGTTCGGCCCGCCAATGACTTGCAACTCTTAATTTTGGCCCGCGAGCGACAAAAGGTTGCCGCCCCCTGTCCTACACTATAGTACACTTGTATCAAAGTAGGAAAATGTTCCATACCTATGTTGTTTCGCCATTTTATTTTAAAAATTTCCTAACGTGGCGCAGACATCTAGTTTTAAATCGGGTGACAGGATTCAGTACGCACCCATGCCTGAACAGACTATATCTAAATATTTCAGCAATGAGTTATAGCCTCAATAGGTGAGAGCAAGATACCTTTTTATTTTTACAAGTATTTTATATCCAGGACTATTGTTACAAAAAAAAACTCACTCTTTCCAACTGTTAGATCTACTTCATATGTTATTATGAGGACTATCAATATTCTCCAAGTATTAACACCCATGACAAAACGTTGTAACCATGTAGAAGTTACACATTACAAAATAGGTGCTTTATATAAAACATGCACAAATGAACAACACATTGTTGATATATCGAGGCGCATGCTAAAAACAAATAAATAAGTTTTGGCGACACGCAGATTACTAACAAAATACTTGAAGAACCAGTGAATGGTAAAAATTTCAATCACATCATATCTTTTTGTCTGACAATTACAATGGAACTATCTGATCATCAAACCAACTATGTTATACTGTAGGCTACGTGTGTCCCTGAAATTGACCGCTCTTCAGTTATGGCGCACTGTCCAATCGAATACGGGCATTAAATCACTACGCATTCAACTGTCCAATAATCACACTTTAATTTTACGATCACAATATAAGATTTCCATCAATACAACTTATGATAGCGTTGTTATACGGAAATGTTTTAATCCGCATATAGCCCAAGGCAATCGTTGTGGAGATGAATCCAGTTGTCGAAAACATTGCCTTACCAGATTTTGACAATAAATACATATCACAGCCACGTCACCCTCTTGGCCTCTTTACATCATTAACTACCTGATTTGTACCAAATTGAATAAACGAGTGAACAATGCTGGGATATAATCAGGGTTGCCATATCGTGCCTATTTCTAAGATTTGTGCTTTTTTTCTAAACTGCGTCTTATAAAATAACAATGTGCTTATTTCTAAGAAAATTGCTTATTTTTGAGTTGCGTGCTGATTTTGTCTGAGAAGCATGGATGACTCGTTCGTATTTTGCGTATAAAGCTTTCGTGGAAACATGGGGTGACGCTTTGCTGTGTTAGTATTGTGATCAATTCTACCATAACCTTATATCTCGAACTCGCTCTCATCGTGAACTGTTTCTGTTAACGGTAGGGTTTTCAGTATTTCCAGGCTAACTCTGATACATTTACAATAGTTGCTGTTAGTTTTTAGGGATACTGTTTTTAAGCATAAACCATAATTTAGACAATGAGTTAGCGTAAGCACGAGTTCCGTTTCGAATATGGAAAGGAATTTGATGATGTCAAACGAAGTCGAAAGGGTAAGAGCGATATGCTCACTGCTTCTATTGTTACTGCGATATCAACCTATAGAGGCCATGGAGAAAACAGCAGTTAGTGCCCACAATATTACCACAAAACATGAGAATTTTGCAAAATGCAGTGCGAGAAATCAAATTATGGAAAATTTAGATTAGTGTGGCCCTCTTCTAGTGACTTTTAGCACTCATGGCCCTTGTTTATCATTCCAGTGGTAATTATATAGTGTATTATAGTGTTACTTTGATTAGCAGATTCCCAATCCTAAACAATTCATGCTCAACCCTGTGAAATACCTTTATAAAGCAATGAAACTAGGAAGAACGGAGAGTTATCCTGTGAGAGTCACAGGCCCCCGGTTTAGAACCAAGAGCAATTTCCTGGCTGCATACAACCTTGTTCGAAGCGAATTTTAATAAACTTGGGTGGAAAAAAATAGGGAGTGCGAAAGAGTCTCGTGTATAACTATAATTTGCATCTCATCCCCCCCCCCCCCAAGAATAACCTTTGAACACCTGTGCTTATTTTTGGCTTCAGGTGGATGGTTACGTTGGATTAGGGATGGGCATTTTCGAATACCTGATGATTTCAAAATCGAATCGAATATTTTTTTCGAATCGAATCGAATCTCGAATACTTGGGAGATACATAATTGTATGTAATTTTCTTCTTGTATTTGGTCCTCCAGACACATAAATTACTGGAAACGTAAAATACATCACTCAGACAGATTGCTGAGCGTTCACACACAATAAAAAACATGTTTCATCAATAACTCACTACAGAAAAAGAGTCGTATGTCAGAATCGCGTTGAAAAAATATGGCTTCAATAAAAAAATGGATAAATTTAGCTCGACAATTGGCGGAAAACAAAAAACAAGATGGCGGCGATTCGAAATTTCGCTCTGGACCGATTCGAATACTTTACTATTCGAAATGCCCAGCCCTACGTTGGATATACTATATACCACAATTTATGGATACGAAAGTCTAATGTGAAAAAATATAAGAAATAGCCTACTTGAGACTTCTTCCATTTTCAAGTACTAAAATTGATTGGACCAGTAGTTGTAAGGATTAGTAAACAAAAAAAACATTACACATTCGCCCTGAAACGAACAAACAATGGATAAAAACCAAACAGCTAAGCTAAATTCTGTACAAGCGAATACTCAAAACTATGAGAATACTCGTTCATTCTCTGCACTGAGCGTCCCGACAAAAATAATAAAACACTAAATTGGAGACTTTTATATATATGGGGTTTATTTAGGATGGATTTTCGTTAATTTATAAATAATGAGAACGCTCTTTACAATAGTCGAGACTTTTATCTTATTCTATATTCACGAGGTGCGGTATTTTCGTAAATTTAATAAAAATATGCGTTTTTGATATCGTTTGATATGATTTTTCTAGAAAATTATTAAATACCTAAGGTAATTTAACCAATGAACCATTTTGTTGCTAACCCGATTAAGAAAAAGAAAGAACCCCATTTAGGTTAATTAAAAGAAACATAATATTAAATATTAGGCAAATTGCTGTAGGCGGCCCAGTCATTCGACCATGTTTCACCTCAGGAGAAATGTGCCGAGTAATAACTCCTCCCAATGTGCTTCGATCTCGACTCGGCACAAGCTGGAGGAAGCATTCTCTGGAACAAAAATATTGTTTTGAATTATGGACTGTGCCTATGGTTAGGGTTACCATATATTTTGACCTCAAAGCGTGACGCCTCTTGTAACTTTACAGTTTCCAATTTTACTACATAGGCCTACATTTAAGCCATCCCGACTGTCTTCATTGACCATATTGTCATCGAGAGTTCAAGCACATATTTTCTGTCTGAATATCGAGTTCAGTTCGAAAAATAGAAAGAAATAGACGCTAACGATACAAATGATCCGAATTTATATTTTTTTATGTACAGCAAAAGGAATAAAGAAATAGTCTGCCGTTTTCAAGCATTGAGAATTTACTTATTCGCCCAAGCATGCTTTTCTGTAGATAACATCTTAAAAAAAAACGTTGTTTAATGCTACATTCACGCGAACGTCCGAACAGGACCAATTAGAATTGATTTTACATGTGATACGTTCGCCAAGGTTCCATTACATTTGAACTCACGTACATTTGAACCCATGACAATTGCACCTGTATGCTATTGCACCTATGGAATTTTTTTTGTTTCACGGATAGTTAAACCCATACTCACCCTAACCCATGGGTTTTAGCACCCGCATATAGATTGAACCCGTGGATATACGCATGGGTTCAAATGTACATGGGTTCAAATGTACGGTCACCGTTCGCCAACAATGTTAGCGGGAAACAACGAAACAAACAAAATAACGCATTCACCTTCAGTAAGTACTCTTACAGGGCTGCCACTTTTCTCTGACTAAAAATATCTAGATTGACTTCAAAAAACGTCTAGATTCAAAAATAAAGCATCTAGAAAATACATCTAGATTTGAAGTCATTGAATTTAATGAGAATCAACGAAACAAGAGCATACAAAGTTTATTATATTACATAATATTAGATGTCGAAGAAGCTAACACCTGTTGATGTTGTTTCTTCAGAGGGATTTTTATAAATTTTCGCTGTACCTATTCTCTTGACAACCAAATCAACAAGTTACAAGTGCAAAATTGGTATTTTTGAGTCAGGCCAACTTTGATAACCAAATTGCATTCAGTAAATCTGTCTTCATGCTGTTCCTCAGTTCCCTCGCCAGTCAAATATGCGTTCAACAAATTCAAGAGCTTTTGGCTTTGACGGTGATAAGACCACACAGACATAATGTAACATTTATTAAATAAATATATATCAATATAAAGAAATTCGAAAACATATATCAACTGAGCAATAAACAAAAACGGGAACTATGATCAAATATGTGGACACAAAGTTTGACTTCAGTGCAGATGGATACGAATCACAGAGAACCTGCTATCCGATTATTCAAAGCATGTTCACCAACGTTGCAATTTACGCCGTCACCGATGATGCCTTTGCTGTGCACGAGTTTGTCCGAAAGATAGTGGAAAATAGCAAAATTTATGTATAGAATTGCGAGGCCACATAGGTACCCCGAAAAAAAAATTGCTATTTTATGACTTGTTCCATCTTTAAATACTGAATATTTGAAATAAATGAGTCAATTGGTTGTAGAGAAAGGCGATTTTCACAACACCAACAATTTTGCAAAACGATCTACATGTAGGCTACACTGCATATTTAAATAAAACGAACTGATATATATTTTTTCTATGCAGACACAGTAATCGTGTGTAAAAGAAGTATTAAAATGAAACAGTAGAATTTAGTGACAATAGAATACAGTATACGACTACAACTGGAGTATTCATGATTCTGGGTAGGCGATTAATTCAATTCAGATAAATTCATTTTCCGCCAAAAATCTCGCAGTAAACTTATGTATGTATCTTATGATAATGTATATAAATAAGCTGGCAATCGTTGCTGACGGCATGTACAACACCATATATGGGTTTGAAACACAAATGTCTGGCATCATCTTTTGAAGACCTAAGGTGGAACATCAAGAATCTCCAACAAAGGTTGAAATATACAACCATAAAGGTGCGGGAGTGGAAACATCAAAATCACTTCAAAAGACACACTCGTAATAGTTAATTACAATTTGAGGAATTGCAGTGTTCGTAAACCGCACTCAGAGCGATTTGTAAAATGTTTAGGAAATTGATAGCTGAATTCTTTTGACAAATCTGAGGCAAACGTTTTTGCTGCTTCCACATTTGTCTTCAGAAAAGTATAATACATCATTGCATGTCTGTTTAAAATTAAATTATTTTCTGAAGACATTAAGTGCATTATTTCACCCAGAATTGTTTGAAAACTTTTTGGAAATATGAAATAAAATATAAATGCAGATCTAAGAAGCACTAATTTGAATAAATAGTCTGATATATGAGACCATGTAGCAATCTCTTGTTTGAGAATTTTCATTATTATTTTCATATGAGGTTTGCTTCTTGAAAAGGTACACACAAGTGACAAAAAAGCAACTTTTGAGTAATCACATGAAAGTTTTCTGTAAATTTTGACAACCTCGTCCATTAGAGTATTAGAATCAATGGATAACTCCTTATCTTTCAAGTCAGATTGTATCTTCCACAAGGCTACCAGGGCTGAATCAACAATGGAGGTGTTATCATGCTTCAAAATACTCTGAAGAAAAGTTTCACAATTTGATGGCAAATGTTGATGTAGAACTGTTAAAGAATCTACAGCTTCAAAAATAAGTTCACTTTCTATTGCTGTCATAATTATGCCAGTTATGTGCCGAAAAATCGTTAAAACGTTTTCTGTGGTGGCAGTTCTAGAAAGAATTTTCAACTTTTGAACTTTCAAAAATGCATCATCAGTGGAAAGAAGAAGGAATTTTTTCCAATATGGAAACAATTTTGAATTTGAAGATTTGTCTAAAAGTTCATTGAGCATTATAAGATGAAGGCTTTGCATAGGTAATGTAACGAGTGCGAGTTGTGAAATTAAGAAATCTACTATCCTTGTCTTTACATCAGAATAAATTTTAGCAAATCTTTTTGATACATGAAGCATTGCAGTGGCACAGGATAAAGTGAAAAAAATTGGATTTTTGTCATCTAAGTGAGGATCCAAGATATTAAGAACTTGGAAGATTTCTTCATGTGTCATTTTGAGAGGATTTGAACATTTTGTAAACAGGACTACAATTTCCATTTTTGTCCATTCTTCTACCATATCCATCCTTTCCAACAAAGAGATGAGAAGTTCAGTTTTAACTTCATGCTTTTTTCCTAGTTGCAAACACCTTATACATTCTACAATAACAGTTGGATCCTCATCCACATATATCATTTGTACAAGTTTGTCAAAAACAGTGGCAGTATCAAATTCAACTTTTTGAATACTAAAAAGTCTGTACAATTTTCCGATGCCTGCAACAGCATATCTTCGAACAGATGGATTATTATCTTTCAAGCAATTAGTAATGCTATTTATTCTCGTCTCATTAAGTAAAGACGATATTGAATGGGAATCAGTCAGAATGAGAATAGCAGCTTTTCTGACAAATGGATTAGGTTCCAACAAGTCATTTGATATAGAGTTTGTGATGTGCAACCAAATTTCTGAATCATGTTCCCCAACAAATGAAAGGTACAAATATACAATCTTTTTCACCCGTACATCTTTAACTTGAGTCAGCTGTATAACCGAATTCAACACACGTGTAGACTCAAGTAATTCACCATCACACATTCTCAAAAGATCTTTCAGTATTTCCAATATTGCTTGAGAATTCCTATTTAAGTCTGTTGATAATTCCTTAGAAAGTCTACGACTGATATCATGGGAGGAATCATAATTCATTTTAACAATAGAGCTGTTTAGTATCTAAAAAAGAAAATACAAAAAAGATGGACATAATTTAAAAATAAGGCCTAAGATATAGTGAAAAGATAAACTGTAATATTCTGAAATAGAATATAAATACTATTCCAAATTTGATCAATCAGGATCTCAAGCAAATGACATGAAATTTACAGCAAAACTGTTTTCAATATTATCACAGTAAATTCCGTTTTTACAGCATATTTGCTGATAAGATGAAAGAGCCCCCCGTCATAATCCATTAGCGACATATGATTTGATGCATATAGACCTGTACATACAATCCTCTTGACTAGAATTATGACCAAAACAGTACAATTGAAATATCAAAGGGCCAAGATATTCAAACATAAAGTAAGACTATAATTTGAGAAGGGGAGATTATCATTTCGCATCTTATTATAAATAGCTCTTTCTTGTTCAAGTTTATTGACGAAGATGAATCAATGGGACAGCAAGTTTTATTCAAATAATATATGATTGATTGCCCTAAAATTCCATCTGCAATTTTAACAAGAACTATCTGCCGGTTTGAATCGCTAGTCCCAAATGGGTGATTCACTTCGCCCTCAATTTTTTTGAATGATTGAACTTGATGGCAAAAAATATTCTTGTGTGTCCTGCAAATCAGGTTCTTTCTTTATCTCTTTCCCTCTTCTTTTTCTTTTCTTTTTTCTTCTTTTTCTTTTCACCATCTTCATGTTTTTTCTTTTTATGCTTTCTGGGCTCAAATTCTTCTCCTTCATTAATATGAGTATTTTGCATTGGGTCTGACCTACGTTTTTTATGATGCTTGCTTTTTCGTCGTGTTGAGTCAATTGATTGATATAAGGAACGATAATGATCAGGCAAAGGCCCAGGATGCAAACGGAAACTTGATAATAAAGGCTGTGATAGTGGTTGAATTTCTTTATTACCAACAGGGGGTCGATCGATCAACGCTTTTAAACTACTATTGTCTTGTATTGCAAGTGTGTCAATAAACCCAGGCAAATCCGGAAGAAATGAACTTAAATTTTCTTTTACTTTCTTTCCGCCGCAAAATTTGTTATATGTTGTTTCTAAATTGTAATGTGCTAGAAGATTTGTGCTTCCCGATACAACTGATGGCTCAACCTGATCTTTTAATAAATATATCCCAGTAGAAGTGCAGACAGGAGGTTCAGATTTTTCAATGTTCATTTGCTGTGTCTCCATTGTGGCAGGCTGTTGGAAAAAATCATGTGAAAAATTCCTACGATCATTATTAGGATGGCTACCTAATCCGGAGCTAGGAATCTGGTGATCGCCACCTTGCAAACTTATATTCATTTTACTTGTTTATGACTTAAAGCTGGAAAAATGAAATTTAATGTTAGTTCAAACAATATCGAAATATTAAAGAGGTTGACAGACTAAAGATTAACCTGATTGTCTCATGCATCATCATGAATATATCGATCAAAAGTTGGTCATCATCTTTGAAAAGATTATTTCAAATATATTACAGAATAATAATTCTACAACCTGATAAACCATTGGGTTTCAACCTCTTGGTAGGGGCAGAACCCAATGAAACATTCCAGAAGCTTAAGCAACCCCTGTGCAATTGATTATATATGTTTATTTCATTATATTTGTTATCATAAAATATGCCAATTGAAATACTAAATTTGACACAGAACATGTGAAGGGACCGTTTCCCATTGCAAAAATAGCCCCCACATTAAAACACAATTATAACAGTACAAACCCCTCTTTCACTAGGTATAATAACGGTAGAGAGAGAGAGAGATTTTATTTCCACAAAACAATGTTAAGAAAGGACAATAGGTACAGATTTTTATAGAAATACAGTACAGTGAATATTTAAACATTGATTCGTGTTGGTCAGTATGCAGGCTCCGACCATTTTTTTTACGCTGTGGTCGAACTGTCAGTATGGATTAAAAAAATATGAAATTATAAAATAAAGACATAAAATGAGTCAGCTGATAAAAAAATATTTCTACTCTTCAATACTTTACATCAGATTTATTGTATAGTTGTATAGGGCATGTGTAAAATTGTATTACTACACTTTAATCAAGTACAATGGTGATCACATCCACAGAACCCATTTTTTTATCCACAGAACCTGGTTCCGTATAAAAAAGAGAGAGATATTTGGTACTTTGTCAACCAAGATACAAACAGTCATCAATACGAAAAAAAATGTAACGAAAATAAAATAAGAATTGCTTTGATATGGACGGGAGGGAGTGATACGAGTCACGACCATGCGATCATCGAACTCAACTCCAATCCTATTTGCTGATGTGATTAACGTTCGCATTGAAAATGATTATTAGAAAAGCTGTACTGCCAAATAGAGAGTACTGTACTTTAACAAATTCAATATATAATTCAGAGAAAATCGCATTGCTGTATTGTTAGGTTATTTAAAGACATTGAAGATTACTGATATAAACTCGGATCATTCCCTACAACTGTATACTGTTTCGCATCAAATTGTTTAAAATTTTACGGACGCTTATAAATAATGAAAGAAAAATGTTTCCCTCTCTTCTGCGCTGTTTCGCGCTGTATTTAGTAAGTATTACGACCACTCATTTGAACAATAAAATTCATGGGCTTTAGATGATGGTAAACAATAACCTCTGTGAAGCTAGTAGCAAAACACGAAATTGTGACTGACGGAATCGCAGAAAATACCCACGCGTAAAATTAAAGGCGAAATATTTGCCCACAATTCCAAGCAGTGTTCACTTTTAAAATCATACATTGAAGGACCATTACCGCGACACATGGAAATGTACATTGCTGGGGATCAGATTGTATCTGAGCAAATCAGATGCGATATTATAAAATATCCCACACTATGAGTGGAAATATTTTTATTGCAGATTGAAGTACATTAAATTTACTTGTTTTTAGAATGTAGAAAACAAAATGCATCCATATTAGTTCAAAAGACAATAGACAATAGACAATAAGTTTATTTCGTCGTGCAAGAAATCACAATACAAATTCAGTATTACAGTACATTTCAAATACAGTAACGGATTTCATCGCAATTGACAGGAAGTCGCGAAGGACCAGGAATGGTCATCACAAGTCTGCGACACCAAGATTAAAAACGAGTCAATAATAAAAAATTGAAATAAGTGAAAGCAATATGCACAAAGAAAAGCTTATCCATTCATAAATTAACCAACAAGGTTGATATGAATCATTATATATGATTTGGGAGAGAAAGTAATAATAAAAGTCGGGGAAATTCAATTGATATACAGTAATTATAAAAATAAATCACCATATCATTCAGCTGGGCTTTTGTACAATTGCAGCGATTAAATTTTTATATATTGTCATATGCAACATTAAATTGAGCGATCATTTTATTTGATGAGAAAAATTAAATTAAGCAACCTCTATGTACGAATTATAAGGCACAATTCATACTCAATGTACAACCATCCACATAAAACTTTTAGAGTAGAAAATAAAATTTGGCACCAGGCCGATGTTAGGCGCATATATCCAGATCGGAGGCGACTCCAGCCACATCTTAGTTACAGTTGCAAATGCAAACAATGTCGATAATTAGCGAAATACGTAAAAAAGGGCGTTTCGGCGATATTCAATTGCGATTCTTTAAAATATCCCACATTGGGAATAGAATTTTTTTTTTTTTTTGTACATTAAAGTACATTAAATTTCCTAATTTCAGAATGTAGAAAATAATACACATCCGTATCAGGTCCAAAGATATAAAGAAAACAATGTCGATAATTAGCGAAATACGTCAAAAAGGGCGTTTCGACGATATTCAATTGCGATTTTTCAAAATGTCCCGCATTGGGAGAAGAAATTTTTTTTTGTACATTGAAGTACATTAAATTTACTTTTTTTTAGAATGTAGAAAATAATACACATCTATATTAGGTCCAAAGATATAAAGCAAACAATTTCGATAATTAGCGAAATACGTAAAAAAGGGCGTTTCGACGATATTCAATTGCGATTTTTCAAAATATCCCACATTGGGAGAAGAAATATTTTTCTTGTACATTGAAGTACATTAAATTTACTTTTTTTTAGAATGTAGAAAATAATACACATCCATATTAGGTCCAAAGATCTAAAGAAAACAATGTCGATAATTAGCGAAATACGTAAAAAAGGGCGTTTCGACGATATTCAATTGCGATTTTTCAAAATATCCCACATTGGGAGAAGAAATTTTTTTTTGTACATTGAAGTACATTAAATTTACTTTTTTTTAGAATGTAGAAAATAATACACATCTATATTAGGTCCAAAGATATAAAGCAAACAATTTCGATAATTAGCGAAATACGTAAAAAAGGGCGTTTCGACGATATTCAATTGCGATTTTTTAAAATATCCCACATTGGGAGTAGAAATTACTTACTTATTTTTAGAATTTAGAAAATAATACACATTCATATTAGGTCCAAAGATATAAAGCAAACAATGTCGATAATTAGCGAAATACGTAAAAAAGGGCGTTTCGACGATATTCAATTGCGATTTGCTTAAAATATCCCACATTAGGAGTAGAAATATTTTAATTGTACATTGAGGTACAACAAATTTACTTATTTCCAGAATGTAGAAAATATTACGCATCCATATTAGTTCAAAGTATATAAAGCAAACAATGTCGATGATTAGAAAGAAATGTAAAAAATGGCGTTTGAAGCAATTCTACTGCGATTTTCTAAAATATCCCACATTAGGAGTAGAAATAATTTTATTGCAGATTGAAGTACATTAAATTTACTTGTTTTTAAAATGTAGCATCCATATTAGTTCAGAAGATATAATCCAAACAATGTCGATACTTAGCGAAAAATATGAACGGGGGCGTTATAAGCAAATCCAACTGCGATTTTCTAAATAATCCTACATTAGGAGTTGAATTTTTTTTTATTGTAGATTAAAGTACATCAAATTTATTTTTTTTTGGAATGCAGAAAACAATGTGCATCCATATTAGTTCAAAATATAGAAAGCAATTTTGTTGGCGGAAATTTCGAAACAAAGTCACCATTTTATACAAGATATACCATCATATTCAAAACCTTTTGCCAATCCGAGGATTACATGACTCATCTTGAAACCAATAAATTACAAAAAAAAAAAATACTTCTTAAAAAGTTTTTTTCAATATGTCTAAAAGTAAAAATCAGTAGAAGACCTTCAACTTCTCATCAGAGACTCATCCCGCCACGCAAATGCAACATCTGTTACCGAAGCGTATCGAAAATTCTCGGAACAATTTTCAAGGCTTCGACAAAGGGATTTACAAAATATGTATACTGACAATCTCACGCAAGGTATTTTTGAAAAGCATTTTGGTCAACTCAAAGAAACATATTTTAAAGGGACACAGTTTTTAAATTTATACAAGTTTACGAAAAATATCGCAGAGAAATAAAAATATCCGTAAAGCAATTCTCCGACGTAATTCTGCACAAAGGTGGTAAAAAGTCTAATCGATCTCCAAAAGCGACACACGAAAGAAAAAACAGTATAGCCCGTTAGTCCAATCAAGAAAATGCTCTGGAAAAGGCCGCCAAAAAAATATAATTCGACAAGGTTGTAGATTGTAGAAGATGACGACGATGTATCTAAAGCTTCCGTATTGAATAGAGCTGTCAATGAAATCGAGTGTTCAGCGGGTGAACCGGATGCTGGTCACTGTGGTATATGCTTGGCTATAATCGGGTTCCAATAAATTGGTAGCAATTTGAAGTATAGCTTGGAAAATTATCGCCATTGGATATTATTGGCTCTTTGCTTCTGGAGTGATAAATGTGACGTTCCAGTGAAAGATGCATTTTGCAGATATTTCATGGTCATATTTTCATGGGCCTGCAAAACGTTGGGAATACGTGTTGATTCAACAGTGTACTGCAGGCGTTAAACTATTGCAAATCGAAGGATGGTACCTCAGTAATTTGGAGTGAACTTTCGGGGGACATACAAAATATAAAAATTATGTTTTAATCAATGTAAAATCTGCATCGAATAAAACCCGAATTATTAGAAAACGCAATAACTACTCGGCGGGGAATTTGGCCTCCAACATGACGCTCAAGAGTATTTAGCAGTATCTGATATTATGTCCGTATTTCACCAGTCTGGTATTATAAGGAATCGGCTCTTCAAGCGATAAAAACGTGCTGTATATGCAATAAAAAAACTTCGAGTTTATGCAGCGTATCAAATATGCTCTTTATTCCAACGTTTGACGAAGTTCCGGACCATTCAAGCATTTTGGATTACGTTAATATTTTTATTTTAAAAATCATCATTCCGGCCTTGATTGTTCTTCGTGCAGTGGTCAAAAATGTATAAAGTACCAAAAACAATTATTGAACAATATTTCGGTTCCGCGAAATAATAATAATTGATTGTTTCGTGACTCGAGGGGTACTTGACAGAAAAAATGTTAAGAACCCCTGTACTAGACGAACATGTGGTCAAATGCGATGATATCATGCCACCAATATGACCAAAGAAACAGCTATGGAAGATATTTCTACAAACGGAGACGTTTTTTTGTACGTGATTCGAGAGTATTTTGAACTTCAAGCAACTTCATGTCGGCATCGTCACCTCCAAAAAAAATGGATCAACCGGTGAAAATTCTTTCACTGAAGTCCACTACACTTGAAAGTATACACGACCAACAACGAATTACTCTAAATACTGTAAACCAGACTGTGCGACTGGAGAATTCTATTGAAATCAAGCATGATCTAATATGGGAGCAGGAAAACATGCGTAGGGGATCAGAACTTCGTATAGAAAAAATATACTGCAAACTTGAAAGCAATAGTTCGCGTAGTTAAGTCTTCAAACAACGAAACAAACAAAACAAAAAATGAGCATTAACGTTTTCTCAAAATGATTACATGTTCCGAGTCGATGCCAGGGTTCTTGAGCAAAATCTTTTGTAGTGCATGTAATGGCACATGTATATCGTGACAAAGATGGCACATGTATGGTCTTTTCGTTCGTTGGTTTCAGTGATTTTTTTGCTTTTGTGAAATATTGAAGTGTTCTTTATAATTATTATTCATCAGATAATGACAAATGCCATTATGCTTATGGTACCGGAGTGGATACAAAAGAGGAGTGCTTACTTTTTTAAATTCGAACAGAAAATATTACGTCATCAAAAAAGTACTTATGGATATTCCTAAAAAACATTTTTCAATTATTTCATGTTTTATGGTGATCGGAGACATTCGTGTGTGGCAGTCAATAAGTGCTGTCTTGAAGTGATTATTACACCTTGAGGATGTTTTTGATTGAAAATATTTTACAAATTTCATCGTATATTTAAATTTTGTCGAGGTAGTTTGAGCGGCCTCGGCAATAAATCTAAAAGCAAATTGTGTTGTAATTAATTGTTTTCATCCTTTTATTTTGATAGTGACCGAACATGAGGGCAAATTTTTTCATTACTTGCAATTTAGAGCGTATAAAATAGCTCTTAAATCTTATTTAGTGTTTACCGCGGCGTCGTTAATGACAACATCGTTCAGTTTAAGCAGACGGTATTAATTTATATTCGAAAAT